TATTATTTTTATTGATTTTATTATATTTATTGTGTTGAAAGTGTTGATGTGGAAAGAGAGTTTTATTATGTGCGGCTGCTGTGCGGCTCAAAACGCTCACCAAGTTTTTGTTATGTCTTTGAACTTTGAGCCGCACCCTTTTGTGCTTATAAGGAGCCTCTCCATCCACCTTTCCTACTCGCTATCAGTCTTACTCCTTACTATTCCGTTCTCTTGTTTATTGTTTACTGATCCACGAGTAGGTAAGTTATGCTATCAGTCTTACTCCTTACTATTCCGGGCTACTCCCGTTCTCTTGTTTATTGTTTACTGATCCACGAGTAGCCCTCTGAATATATTCATTCTTCACTATAATTTGACGCTATGAGTTCCTCTACCGCTAGTAGACCTTCTCCTGCTGCTGCCATTGGAGAACTTATGTCTGCAAAGGCAGTAGAACTTCAACAATTACAGCAGAGTCTTTATGGTCTAAAGCAGGCACCACGATAATGATGATGATGATGATGATGATGATGATAAATTTCCGTTTAGGGCCGTTGCAACAACTAAGTTATGACAGACTAACAACCCCTCCACCACTATATAATGAATCAAAATAGATCCTAAGATCATGTCACAATAACAAATAAATCTCCAATACAAAAATAAAACAAAGAAATTTCGCAAAATTCACGATAACATATCTCAAATAATAAATAAATAAAAATCGAAAACAATTTAATAATAACTTTCCAAGCTATCAACGTCCCTAGGAGGCCTCACGGCTACTCCGCAGGCACCATGATGCTGGAATGAGCTGCTGCATGATTACTTGCTACAGATTGGTTTCTCCTCAGCTTGTGTTTTCTTCTTAGGTGCTTATTTTATTTTACCTTATCTATCTTTTGGTAATATTTTTATTGAATTATTTTATAATCTAAAACAAGTTTATTTAAATTTTTATGATATAAATTTATTTTATTCAATTCAAGCGATGACTATGACATTTACAGAAGTATCAAATCAAATCTACTGCTTGCTGTATATGTTGATGATCTGATAATTACTGGCAAGGATTTGGACTCGATCAATAAGTTCAAAGATAACATGTGCAAAAGGTTCCAGATGACTGACTGATATGGGTGAGACAAGCTATTTCTTGGGGATCGAAATTACTATAGACAGAGCCAAAGGCACTCTCACAATTTTTCAAAAGAAATATGCTGAGGAAGTCTTGAATACCTTCAATATGCAAGACAGCAACCCTGTCACAACGCCTGTGGATTTGAGTGTTACACTCTCTCAGAAAAAGAGTCCAAAGACCAAGACTGAGGAAAAGGAAATGGAGAAAATTCCCTGTCAGAGTGCTGTTGGAAGCCTGAATTATTTGGCTATTCGGACGAGACCGGACATTGCAAATGCAGCGGGAGAAGTCTCCAGATTCAACCCCGATTATGGAAAGCAGTACTGGACAAGCAAAATTTGCGATATATCAAAGGAACGGCATCCATGGGAATCACCTTCAGCAGACACCATGGCAACTTACTTACCGGCTACTCAGATGCAAATTATGCAACGGATGATGATGATGATGATAAATCTCTGTTTTAAGTCCGTTGCAACAAGTAGGTTATGACAGTTTATGCAACGGATATTGATGAGCGGAAATCAACCTCAGGATATGTCTTTGTCCTTGGAGGTGGAGCAGTGAGTTGGAAGTCCAAGCGCCAGAAATCAGTTGCCTTCTCAACCACAGAGGCAGAATATATGGCACTGAAGCTAGCAGCTCAGGAAGCTGTTTGGCTGAAGAAGAAGAAGAAGAAGATGATGATGATAATAAATCTTTGTTTTAGGTCCGCTGCAACAACTAGGTTATGACAGACTAACACCCCCTTCACCACTATATAATAAAACAAAATAGATCCTAAGATCATGTCACAATAACAAATAAATCAATAACCTAATAAATCTCCAAGTCAAAAATAAAACAAAGAAATTTCGCAAAGTTCACTATGACATATTTCAATAAATAAAAATTCAAAAATTGAATAATAACTTTCCAAGCTATCAACGTCCCTAAGAGGCCTCACCGCTACTCCTCCTCCTCCTCAATATTGGCGATGTCCGCTCTCAAATCCACCATAAAATATCAATCCATAACTCATCCCTCTGACTCTGAGTGAGAGACGTCTGCTGATGATACCAGTGACCAGTGCCAACATGGGTCTTCTGAAGATACTTGATAAGTGCAAAAAGGCCTTTGTCTGTCCATAGAATGCGGTCGAGCGTGCGTTCAGCGATATAAATAATACTTTCCAAAGCACTAGTTCGTTCATTGCTGTGCTTGGGACAAGAAAGTAGCACATGCTCAACTGACTGCAGTGGCTCTCCACACCAACAGTCAGGAGAGGGACGGGGCTCCCTGCCATGTCTTGCAAAGTAGCTGTTGAAGAAGCCATGTTCTGTCCAGAAGCTCACAATACAGCTGGCAATGCTGCGAGGGATATTATTGACAAGCGGCTTGTCGATAGAGAGTCGAGGCTTGCCTTCATATTGATGATATTCTGATCGAGGTGCAGCTTGAAACCTGGCATTCCATTCCTCAAAAGCGAGGTCATCGACAAGCTTATGAAGAAAGCGCAAGGAGCAATCAAGATTGACGCGGTCTGGCGACGAGGCTGCTTGAGTTGCTGAGGCAAGGGCGCGATTGCTGCCCCCCACTTTGGTAGCAGAGCGAAGCCAATAGATAGAGACTCTGGTGTTGGTTGTTTGGCTGAAAAGACTTTATAAATCCATAAGCCATAATTTATCGCAGCCGATTCAAATCACAGAAGACAACCAGGGAGCAATCAAATTGGCAAAGAATGCGCAGTTTCATGAGAGAACAAAGCATGTTGATGTTAGCTATCACTTCACCAGACAAGCAATCAATCATGATGGCATTATCAACATTATTGGATGTGGAACCAAGGATATAGTTGCAGACCTTTTGACCAAAGGAATTGCAAGAGAGCAATTTGGAAAACTCAGACCAATGATGGGAATGAACTGAATAATGGAGAAAGTGGGAGTGTTGAAATAGTGTTCCATTATGCAGTAGGATCAAGGGTTTCCTTCGAGGGAACTGAAACCCTAAGGAAACTAACAGGTGCAACCAGAAGCAACTGGAAGCAACCGGAAGTAACTGGAAGGAACTGGAAGCAGCTAGAAGGAGCTGGAAAAAACTGGAAAATGCTGGAAGAGACTGGCGGAAACTGAAAAATGCTGGAAAGATTCGGAAAGTACCAGATGATGATGATGATAATTCTCTGTCTTAAGTCCGTTGCTACAGCTATATTATGACAGACTATCTCCCCCTTGACCACTATATAAAACAAAATAGATCCTAAGATCGCGTCACAATAACAAATAATTCTCCAAGCCAAAAATAACACAGAGAAAGTTTGCAAAATTCACTAACTATATCATATTTTAAATAATAGATAGAAATCCAAAACCGATTCAAGAAGATCTTTCCAAGCTATCAACTCCCTTAAGAGACCTCACTACTACTACTCCTCCTCAATATTGGCGATTCCCACTCTTAAGTTCACCAGAAAATTGATCCATAACTCATCCTATTGGCTCTGTGTAAGAGAAGTTTGGCGATTATACCAGTGACTAGTGTCGATGTAGGTCATTTGAAGACATTTGACGAGTGCAGAAAGACCTTTGTCCATATAATGCGGTTGAGCGTGCGTTCGGCAATAGGGATACTTTCAAAGGCCATATCTCGTGCATCTCTATGCTTGGGACAAGAAAAAAGCACAATCCGAACTGACTGCTGAAGAGTTCTATACCAACACTCAGGAGAAGGACGAGGCTCTCTGCCATGTCTTGCAAAGAAGCTGTTGAAAAAGCCATGTCCTGCCCGGAAGCTTACACTACAGCTGGCAATGCTGCAAGGGATATTCCCAAGTGGCATGTCAATAAAGAGGCGAGGCTTGCCTTCATATTGATAATATTCTGATCGAGGTGCAGCTTGAAACCTGGCATTCCATTCCTCAAAAGCGAGGTCATCGACGAGCTTATAAAGAAAGCGCAAGGAGCAATCATGATTGACGCGGTCTGGTGACGAGGCTGCTTGAGTTGCTGAGGCCAGGGCGCGATTGCTGCCCTCCACTCTTTGGTAGCGGAGCGAAGCCAATAGATAGAGACTTTGGTGTTGATTTCAGACAGTCGATCGATGGCTTGATAGATCACAGTAGCTTGGCGTTGATTTGAGGCGCGCCGAGGCTTCTCCAGGCGTTTCAAGACAGCAGGGACTTCAGTGAAGAAATGGATGGCCTCGTTTGACAGTCGATGTTTTGTTGCCCAAGCTGTGGCCTTCGCTAAGGCAGTTATCGTCGCAGAGTAAAAACCAGACCGAAAGCTCAAAATATCACGTTCTTCATGCTCCGGATTCGACAGTGAAATCCCAGTCAACAGCATTATTTTCAGCATCGCGGAAATGAGCGAGTATAGATATCATAGCTGTTGAATGATTCCCAAGATTTTCTTTCAAAGCGGTGTCTCAAAATTGCTATAGATGTCCGGGATCCGTCACAGTGAATACCCCGGGATGAGTCAAAGTGGATATTCCGGGAAGAGTCAGAGTGGAGGTCTCTAGCATCAAACCGTTTGGTCGTCGTTCGGCATTGAACATGTGGCCCTCATAGTCCACAGCAAGTAGGCTAGGCCACCTCGTCATTTCTATTGCTCTCAGCCTGGTCCCATACCAATATGACGAGACAGGAGACGTGCGAGACTCATCCGAGTGGCTGGGAACTGTATCACATCTGAGAGGGTGAGTTCTCAAGAGCGTCTTCAATCGAAGTGCATATATTCGCATTTGTTGTCGGAGTCTGATGACCCCTATAGGGATGGCTCCTTCGCATTCGAATGCTGCAATTTCTGTAAGTCCTGAACGCGCCTAAAATCATCCTGGGTCCATCGTTCTGTAGCTTTGCGAGCTTTTTTGCTGATTCCTACCCTCTCTTCAGTCCAGTAGAGTTCCGTACCATAGTCTGCAAGAGAAGATACAGAAAATATACAGCTCTCGGAGGATCAGTGCAGGAAACTGCCTGTTGAGTTAGCCAATGAAATATATTGTGACAATTGGGGTTCAAGTCTATTAAAGTGGCTAGTTTTATGAAGTTTTGGGCGAACATTGCCGTTTGACTTGATTGCCAAGGAAATACCTCGTAGTAAATGATTGCTATATTGTTTCTAATACTGCTATCAATTCCACACCAGATTCAACGAAAGCCAGTCATGGCGAATATATCTTTCTCATAAGAGCAGACAACATCTAGCCATCTGTATAGACTCTCTTCGACATAATAAGCTTTGTCCATCATTTCATCGTTCTGCATCCTTGAACCAAGACAAAATCGCAGCCAATCAATCAAATCGTGCGCTTTGCATACGTTTTTCTTTTGTAAAACGAGGTAACTCAAGTAGTCCTGGAAAACCTTGACATCATCGTCATGAGGCCCATACTGATATCCTGCGGTATCGTTCAGCCAGGCTTCAAGAAGCATCTTCAAATAAACAGTATCATCATTGCTATCAGTAGCTACAACGATGTCGGGATCGGGAGCATCCGTATCAGATTCATTAGCAGCATCCGGACGCGACAGAAGTTCGTCATTGTCGATATCTTCGTATTCCAAATCAAACCCATTTTCAAATTTCATATCCCTAGACACCAATGAATTCCGCTTGGAAGAATCTTCCTGTCCAGCAAATATATCCAAAGACATCTGCTCCTTGGGGGTACTTTTCCGATCGTCGTTGAAGGGTGCTAGCTTTGTAATTTGAAGACCCATACCTCTTATATCACTGACGACCATAGTCATCTTCCTGAGAAGTGGTAGAGCGGCATGGACAATCTTATCTATGTCAATTGATGCACCCGATAAAGACGTACTCCGGCTAATTGAAATACACTCCCCGCAGCCAAGAAACTTTGGTGGATCAACAGGAGCGTTTGGAGCACGGACTTGAATCTTTAATGTAAGGGCTTCCCCTCTTGATCCCAATTTCACCAGGCGCCGATACAACTCCTGACTGAGAGACTTGATGAATTCCTCAACCTGTTTGATAGATGAGAATCTAACTCCCCAATTGACTTCCACACTGACACTCTTTCGCTCAGAAATGCTTCCAACAACCCGATCGTCGATACCTCGCGAGTAGTTCAGAAGCTTCTCGCCATTTTTCTCCCCCAAAAGTTGTTGGAGTCTGGCCTTGCCCAGAGATCTAGCGTCACTCACTGTTCTTATAGAAGGGCTTTTTCTCTGAATGGCCGACTCCATAGATGGGCCAAGTCCTGGAAGTTCAGATATTCTCAATTTGCTGATAACTTCGAGAGCCTCAGTCTCATTAATGAAGTACTGTCCGTTAGGCTTTGCCAATTTGGTAGCAATTTTAGCCTGAAGGATATTTGTTCCAACACCGATGCTAACTGTGCACTTGGATAATTCGTAAACGCGATTTCTGATACCCTGGCTCAATAACAAAGCTCGATCGGCTATATCCGTGGCTCCCTCAGATGTACAGGCAGTTGTCATGTCGAGAAGTGCTTCATCAATCGATACGGCTTCAATCTTATCGGCGCCGCTTTCCAACAGGACAGAATACAAATGATTGGAAGCAACCTCATATTCCTCGAACTGGTAAGGCATACACACGATATCGGGGCACAAGCGCTTTGCTTGCTGCATCCTATTATGCAAAATGATCAGAATCAAAGACCAGAGCATACCAAACTGACTTAATACATACCACATTCCGTTCTTGACACCTTGTTTTCGGGCAATATAGTTGCAGCTAGCTATCTCGGCATTTTGCGACCCTCCATTTCCAACACACACGGGCATGCCCTGAAGTTCCGGATTAGACCTCAACGCGACCGATGCAAAAAAACAGTCAAAGTCAACGTGAAATATGACTCTTTGCGTTGGCTCGTCTCTCTCGCTGGGAGATATGCTACTTTTGCTATCCGTCCGAGATTCTTGTTGCTCATGATTGAGTATCAGAGTTTGATATTTGCTGCGCAGTTCAGCCTTCCATGAGCTAAGATGGTGTAAACGAGAACGACTGTAGTAATTCTCCAAAAATCCTGGATCAGCTGCAGTTTTCGCAGATTGCCGCGAATCAGTGACCAAGGGTGCCCTTTCGCTGGGAGGAACTGTAGTGGCAGAGTCGCATTTCCTGGTCTCCAGAAATTTCTGACTTGTACGAGGTATTCCGATTCGAAAATCATGCCAAGGTAACAGCCTGCCTTGATTGACACTGTCAACAATCCAAGCGGGACTGACAACTCGAGACGTCCTGAGCTCTACTAGTTTTTTGGGTGTCTTATAGACAGATAATGAGTTAGAAAAGTCAGAAAAGCTATATGTCAGGTCCTGTACTCGATGCACTTACCAAAGACGAGGCTATGATGTGCGTTACTTCGGTTTTGGAGTCAAGATATTGACTAAACTTTCCACCATGTAGAACAATGATCCTATGTAACTCTGTGATGCTTGGGTTTGTATATCCGTTAACATAGATACAGCACCCCTTGAATATCTGAGGGTGGTCCTTTTGAGATTCATCCGAAGGCCCAGAATTTTTCAAGATCTCATCGTGGTTTTGCAATTTTATTTTCTTGTTTCGATAATATTGCTGAAAATTGCCAAACTCAGACGGGCCGTATTCTTTGCCTTGCTCTTCAGAAACCTGACGATCGTCAAAATACTTTCTGCTCTTCGCCCCGGTAGACTCGCCGCTAAGAAACAGGTAGTTAGACATTGGACTCCGCTCATTGTCTGGTAAAGTTTGTATTCATACCCTGAAGCCATGACTACTGAGGATCGTCACGCATTCGTCGTCGATTGAAGTCCGTATAAAAGTATAATAGACCTCGCATATCACAGAATCAATACCTCAATCTATCTGCATAAGTCAAAATAAGCATGATAGACATTTTGGTAGAGTTGAATCAATATAGAGGAGCAAATAAGGCTGTCAGCCCAACATAGATAGATGTTTATCCACAGAGCGAGCTTATGACGCGCCGCACCGCTCGTTGTCCCAGTGAGTAGTTATTAGTTATACAAGCCCCTTACCTATGAACGAGCGAGACTGTCAGCAAATATATATATAATCCCAGGTGACGACGACCTCGAATAATTTGTTGTGTTTACTTGTTTCTATACCGAATTATCCCTTATAGCTTATTATGGGACGATAGCCCATAGTTTTGATCGATTGCCCTTTCTATTCCGAATACTGAGCAGCAGCTATGTCTGAGACTGACGAGCTACAATCTTGCTCCCCAACTTTGGATCAAGAAGGCGCGGAGACCATTCAGCATCATCAGTACTATCCTGCTCCCGCTGATGGCTTAAGCGCAGTCAGGATAGATATACTGAGAGAATTAGGAGACCACCAGACAGCTAAACATGGACCGAGATCTTTGCGCGAGTTTTGCTTGAAGGCTTGCTTTCTCAATACTCCTAGTAAGTTTACCGTTGTGAGGTTTATTAGGTACCAAGCTAACGCTTCTATACCAGGGATTACAGATATCGGGGATGTACCATATAGGCTGATTAAGGCGGTTTTACGACGGATGGGACCTACGCAATTGGTAAGCCAGTCTTTAATGCGCAATGTGTCGATTACTGATTTACTAACGGCTGGAAATTCATAGTTGGTGGTAGAACGCAATAGCCCGGTAAGTATATACGAGTCGTCGCGAGTTTTCCAAATCTGCTGATTACTGATAACTGATTTTTACGCCGTGTTTAGCATATCGTTCCGCAATCCAACGAGATCTGGGACGAGCTACTCACGAGCTCGTTCTCCAGTGCAGAGCTGCAAGCCATCGATAATAGCCGGGTTAAAGACTCCGATGTTCGGAAAAAGTATTTCAGACTCTTGGAATCAAGGAAAAGAAGGCTGAAGCAGACATCGGCCAAGATCAAGGCTGAGTATGACAGGATTGCTGAGAAAAAGCAGAAGATTGTGTCCTTGGATGTTCATGCCGATCCGGAGAACAAAAGGAAGCGAAAGACCACCCAGCTACCTTCGTCTCCGGCTGCTCTCAAGAGAATGAGTATTGTGAAGAGGGCCAGGATCGAGACCTTGTCGAACCAGGTTACTCCTACGAATCACAATCTACATACCAAGTCAATGCCAGAAGTTTATCCTATCAGCCATGAAGAAGCCGAACGAAGGCGGGAACGAAAACTTTTGGAACGCATGAAGGGTAAGCATGGCAATGTGGCTTCGAGTTCTCGAGATGATGAAGCACGCATCAAAAGCGAGGATGTCGACTTGCATGTCAAAGCCGAATGTAGTGAAACTACTTTGCAACCCGCCCCACTCACTGGAAAATGTCAGAGCCGAGGTCCAGTACCCGGAAAGGAGCTCAAGGGTGACAAGACTCGCTTTAACAATCCTAAGCCGGCAGTGGGGTCGCCGTTCATACCGAAGGCAAGAAAAGGAAGTTTCCAGTGAAGCGTATCGAGGGCGAGTATTTTTTGGGACTGTGCTGCATCAGACGGCTAGATCGCTGGAGGTTTGGGAAATAAGCTTTTGGTCTCCGAAGACCCTTCTTGAGAGCATGGAGGCGTTACAAGGTTGTATGCAGCTTTCTGGTTATAGCTGCCATGTATTTGTGTATATAGTAATTTCATTTGTTGAAAGTCATACGCTCTAGAACAGCACGTTGAACTCCAGCGGAGTATTGTGGTCTCTGTCGTAAGACTGACAGCAAAACACGTTTGGCCTGGGGCTATAATAATGACGAAGCCGCTGTAGACAAACCCGGAGGAGAAGGAAGTCGAGAACGCTTTATCCATTTAGATACTGATTATATTCTAGAATATCTCATTCTGCTATAATGTCGTAGATAATGTCAGCGTACAAGGGCTGTGAAGGTTACGAAGAGGATACCCATCAGATCACGATGTCAAAGGCTCAGACGGCAGCCGAGGTCAAGTGCTGTGAGCTCGGGAACGGCGCGAACGATTTAGAGTACAGAGGTACTGGATGGATAGCTAGCAAAAAGCATCGAGATCGGGACGGAATATAAGGTTAAGATGCTTTCAATTTTGGGGAAAGCCCTGGTTTCTGGTCTGTGCTCTACTCTGTTTCACCGCTAAAATGTGGAAGCTCGCTGGATTTCCAGATTTACAATCACCAACTATTTAGTAATTACAGTTTATCATATTTTGTATCGAAGTCCACTCACAAATGCCCTACAGATTCCAAGCAATTCTGCAAAACTCACCTCGCGCCTAGATTTACCAAACGACAAGCATATACAAATTCAAATCAGGCGGTGAGACGCTGGTCATGCGGTTGTTGACGCTTTGCTGTCCAAGACTGCTGAGGAAACCATTAGTTGTCACCGAAAAGTTAGGACATTGCTTCTGACGGTTCATTTTCTAGACAACAAACACTGTCATCCATCTTGAGACTTCCATTCAGAATTGTCAGCCGTAACCTCTTTCTATATCATATGTCAGTAAGCTCAGTGGTCAGGGTTATGGGATCAGATAAATCAAATTGCGCGCCGTGTCGTCCGATTTTGACGGCTTTGATGTGGACAGCACCAATATACGGACGCGGGCGTAAACAGGCTGTCTACTATCACAAACGAAATTAGGTCTCTCTTCATGAACTATGAACTTAGAGTAAACAGCTATCTCTGCTGTCGTGTAAACCGTTTTCTGCCGACCCCGCTCGGCTTTCGTAAATCGGGCAGGTACGCGCAATCAACAGAAGTCTGTGTTTGGATTGTGGAGATAGTCTAGACCAAGTACCGAAAAAATCTGTAGAAGCCTGACATCCTGTATTCCCCGCTGTCAGCTTTTCTGTGAGTGCTAGGGAATTGCCTCATACGTTTTCGGCTTTTGCTGGCAGGAGCTGGAACACAACTCAAAGGGTTGTGGGATCTGATAAAACTAAAATTTCAGTTCGCCTGCAGTATCATAACCACAGGATATGACGTTTTCAATCTAGACCATGATGGCTAATGAGTGTACAAGGTTCCAGTCTTTAATTCTTCTGTTCACGACTGTAGCCAATGCATTTCAATTTTGTTTTAAATTTTTGATGGCTCGAGTATACTCTCTCGGCTTCATCATCCAGGTCAGTCAGTTCACACCACACCATAATATACTTTGTTTACCCCTGAAAGCACAACCTCTCCGTCCTCGCGTGCTCCAGACCCAATGCCAAAAAATCTACAAAATCTGCCCCCGTCCGCTTCGCATTTCACTACTCCTCTAGCATATTCTACAGGTGGTGGATCAATCCATAGGACCTATACTACTGCACCATGGCTTCTCACGACTCGTCCCTTTCCTCAACCTCGTCTTCTTCACTGACCTCGCCCGTCTCTTCTCCGACACTTTCTTCCAACCAGGAGCGTGACCTATGCGACGGCTCACTCGAGCACCCCTACGACTTGATATGTATCGGATTTGGGCCTTCAGCTCTTGCTATTGCTGTTGCACTCATGGATACTTCTCCTGAAGCGTTGTCGAAGGTTCTCTTCATCGAAAAGCAACAGAGATTTGGTTGGCATGGTGGCATGTTGATTCCCGCCGCCCGCATGCAAATCAGTTTTATCAAGGATTTTGCGACTCAGCGTGATCCCACTTCTCGCTTCACATTTCTCAATTTTCTGCACTCGAAAGACAGGTTGATCGACTTCATCAATCAGTCTACTTTCTATCCTTTGCGTGAAGAGTATCAAGAGTACATGAGCTGGTGTGCGGATCACTTTTCAAATCAAGTGGCTTACGGCGAATACTCTCAGTCAGTGACCCCAGTCGACGGTCCTAACGGCGATCATGGAAAGTCAGAAGAGCCAATCAAACTTCTGAGAGTCTCCAGTGCTGTCAACGATCAGGGTGGTAATAGGGATCGGTATGCCAGAAATGTCATAGTCTGCACTGGCGGTCAACCGAAGGTCCCTGGCTTCTTCCCCAAGATCTCTCGTGGACCAATCACTTCTACCGGAGGGCGTTCTGGTGCATTGTCCGAAGATTCTGACAATAGTCTGAACTCTCTGATGTTTCACTCTTCAAGTTTCATGTACGTGATGCCTCGTCTGGTAGCTCATGCGAACAAGGGCCCTATCAGGATTGCCGTCATAGGGGCTGGCCAGTCTGCGGCGGAAATTGCAATGCATCTGATCTCGAATCTGCCTGAGTCTTCCGCGGTGGATATGATCTTTTCTTCTCGAGCACTGCGGCCTGCGGACGACACCCCGTTTGTCAACGAGATTTTCAATCCATCGGCGGTAGACGAGATTTATGCTCTGCCACAATCCGTGAGATCCAAGGTCATTCAGGAGGACAAGGGAACAAACTACAGCGTTGTCCGTTCTGAGTTGATTGACAGACTATACGACGAGCTGTACGCGCAGAAGCTCCCAGGGCACTCTGCTAGGTTAGCTATACTGAATAGCCGAAGAGTTTCTGATGCATCTGTTCTCGACGGCAAACGAGTCCGTCTTGAGATAGTCGACAATCTATTTGCGGACTTCAAACGTGATCAGGAGCTTCAGACCGAGATCAAGGAGTATGATTATGTGATTGCAGCAACGGGCTATGATAGAGTATCGGAGAGTGGAGCCCTGCTTTCTAGCCTCAAACAATATGTCAAGCTGATGGATGAGAATGAGCCGGCAGTCGATCGAGGATATCGACTGAAACTTGATAGAGAGAAAATCGAGGCGAGCGTGTGGGTTCAAGGGTTGTGCGAACAAAGTCATGGGCTGAGTGATACGTTGCTCTCTATTCTCGCTCTACGTGGAAAGGAAATCGTTGATCAGCTCTTCAAGTCGGACCTGGAGACCTCTTTCCGAAAACTATAGATTCTAGAGTTATTTTTTATAATATCACATCATCGTTACCATACTATAGTGTCGCACAAAAACGTAATCGTATATCCTTTAGAATTTTGAAACAAATAGCGGTAATTATTATCCCAGTCCAGATATAGCTCTGGCCAAGACTGCTTCAGGATGAGCGGGATTCGTAAGGATCAACTTGTGATGTTTGATTACTATCTGGTCTCTGGGAAATAGCGGTACCGCCTTAATGCCCGTTCGTCTGTAAAGGAAATTGCTAACAGGTACCAACCTGGCAGCCATAGCAATTCTACATTTATTAGGAATGCAAATCGAGGCCGCAGCAGAAGAAATATAAAAAGAGGTGAAACTCTAAACCTGCTGTGTTATTACGGCCATGTCAAATACTTCTGTACAAACTCTGTAATTTTTTGGTATGAAATGATCAAAAAGAGACAGAATCTCAGCACGGCAGCTTGCCGGCGCTGCTTCGCCACGAATCTGATGAGAGAAAGCTCACACGGACTTTGTTTCCAGGACTAGACCACCACTTGAGAAACATCATTTTCCGTCGCCAAGCATTCGGCTTTTCATGTGATATTGTGCAACGTGCGCGTAACATTTAGTCCGCTGGGAGCTGCGCAATTCGGAAACGAGGGTAAAACAACATCGACAAGATGATGATTGAACAAAGTGGACTTGACTAATGCAGGCTCAATAGAGCACCATATAGGTAGAAACCAAGTTATAAACAATATAAATCGCGTTCAAAAGTTTAATAGGCTTGAGAATAATTCCGGGGCGCGGACGGAGAAAGGTAGACCAGAATGGTAGTATCGGGGGAAAAAGGTAAAACCCTACTTGAAAATGTTACCAAAACTTTAATTTAACGTAACCTGCAGCCAAGCCCAAGCGCTCGTTTGAGTACAAACCCTCCACAAATTCAAATTCTCTAATCATGGTTCCAGCAATTACTCGGAAGCGAGTCTAGAGCCTCTGATCTTGTCGTTCACTTCGCTTTGACCTTTACAGAGCCCTCACCTGTCTTGCAAAGGTGGTCGAGAGCAGCCGGAGAAGACGCTTGCTTTGCTTCCGAGATCGATGATGTCGAATAACCGCCTGAATCCAAATTCGTTCTCGTGAAATCAAGTTACGCGTCAAATCAACCATATCCCACACTGACTCTTACCACTTCAACACCACCAACCGGACTTACAGCTCACTCTGATAATTCCTATCCCACTATCCAATTCTTCAACCTGCCTAATAACGACAGCATGGAGGAAATCACGCCTACCCCGTTCCCGTCGCTGATGCATACAACGCAAATTACGGATCATGCCTTCTCTTCCAACGAGCTGTCCCATTCCTTTCAGTGCGAAGCTGATATCATTCGAGCCTGGGGCAATTTGCTGGTCAGATACACTCTTGAGTCCTCTGTGGTCTTTACCTACGTTGAGAAATCTAAGACCTATGTCGTCGTGTATGACTCCGAATCGGCAGATTACACGCTCCACCCTGCTCCAGATGCATACTCAATCTCTCGTTCCGGAACCACGGTTGCGTTCGACGTTGATCACTATTTGCCTCCTGATTGCGATATTGTGGCGGCTTTCTCCTCATCTGGGAATGTAACGCTTGTGTGTCGCCGATCTTTGATTCCGGATGACTTTGTGGGCGAGATGGGTAGTCAGTTGCTCCGCGATAAGAATACGACTGCAGGTGTTCTCAACTTCCCTAGCCGTGAGCTTCCGGGTCCTGGTACTCTTCATAACTTGTCTCAGTTCAGCTCTTCTTCTATTGCGCTTGAATTCTTGAATGAGTCGGGAGAGATCACCAGAATCTCCTACGAAGAGCTCAGCGCCCTCTCCGCCAAGGTAGCGAGAAAGTTAGTCAAATTCGAAGCGTCTGTGGTTCCTCTGATGATTCCTCAGTCAGTTGAGATGTACATCGCTGTTCTCGGAATTTTGCGCGCAGGGAAAGCCTTCTGTCCTCTTTCAGCTTTCGATACGCCGAAAGAAAGAATCAGCTTTGTTGTACGCGATACTGCGGCTGACGTCATTTTGGTGACCAACGAAACCGAGAGCTTGGTTAGAGGCATTGATGTCAGTACAATCGCTGTCAATGATGAGCTTCTCACCGATCGTAAGGATGACACTCCTTATCAAGATAAGGTTGTCGATGGCGACTCGATCGCTTATTGCATGTAAGCTTCGCCACAGTCTCTCTAATACACGTTGCTTGTTCGTTATTCTGACTAAATTTTCGCAGGTTTACATCTGGATCAACTGGAACTCCGAAGGGTGTTCTCGTTTCCCATAAGAATGCGTGCCAGGCGCTTCTTGCGCACTCCTTTGTCCCGCACTTCAAGAAATTTCTCAACTTTGCTTCCCTGACTTTCGACGTCTCTGTGCTTGAGATCTTCCTCCCTTGGTTCCGTGGAGCTACATTGGTGTCAGCCTCGCGTTCCTTGTTATTGACAGATCTCTCAGATGTCATACTCAAGTTGAACGTTGATGCTTGTGAGCTAACGCCTACCGTCGCAAGTTTGCTCTCTTATGAGACTCACAATTCATTAAAGATCGTCATGACGATCGGAGAGAAGCTGACGAGAGACGTAATCGACAAACTTGGAGGTGCGAGAATTCTGTATAACACTTACGGACCTACCGAAGCCGCAATCCAGTGTACTGCAGCGACTGAAGGAACTTGTCGTGACTTCTATGAAAGCGATATCGGAGTACCCCTCACCACTACCACGATCTTGATATGCGACTCATCTATTCAAGATCGTATCGATTGCTTGCCTGTTGGATGGCGGGGTGAACTTGTTATTGCTGGAGTCCAAGTTTCCAAAGGCTATCTCAATCGACCTGATCTCACTGCCAAAGCATTCATGCATCACTCGAAATATGGTCTATGCTACAGAACCGGGGATTTAGCACGTGTTCTACCTAATGGCCGTATAGCGTTTGCTGGGCGTATAGCAGAAGGCCAGGTGAAGGTTCGAGGCCGTCGTATCGAGCTTGGAGAGATTGAATATGCCTGTCGCGTGCCTGCCGTCGCTCTGGTTCTCAACAGCCAGCTAGTCGTCGCTGTCGAATCTGAGTCTATTACGGCGCGAGAGAACTGCGAGAAGTTTCTTCCTGGTTATATGCTTCCTGACTATTATTTCGTTGTCGAGAAAATTCCACTTCTGGAATCTGGAAAAACGAACAGGAAGCTAGTTAAAGCTATAGCCGAGCGGGAATTTGCCCAGAACTTGCAGCAGACGGCTGATGTGGAGTACGCCAATGAAGCGGAAAGTGCGATTGCAAAGTCGATACACAGCATTTTAGGGGTTTCTCCAGGACCTGAAGTTTCATTCAGAAGCATTGGTCTCGATTCAATTCATGCCATGCGTCTGGCAGCGTTACTGAAACAGTCATTCACTGAAAAACGGTTCAGAGTTGTGGATATTCTGCTGGCTGACTCTATTCGATCTCTCACGAACACCTTTTTGCATCATCTGAGTGAGGAGATCCGGCCAATGGATAATCTTCTTCAGAGCTACAGTGACGTTCCGCAGGGTGTAACAGGAGTTTACGAGGTGACTCCTCTGCAGCTAGGTATGCTGTTCGAGTGGTCTCGCGACCATCGTCTTTACAGCAATCGAATCACTGTCCGGATCAGGAATGTTTCTGGACAAGCTGCAATCATTAAGGCATTCCGTTACCTGATTGACAAGCACGAGATCCTGCGAACCGGTTTTCTTGAAGTTCAAGACGGTAGAATGTTTGTACAGATAGTTTACCGTGACTCCTCGTTCCAGGTTTTTGACGGTCCGGAAAGTGATAGATTTGAGAGGGTAGATCTACCGCCGCTGCAAATCTCCCTCAGATCTGGCTCATCCGATCAAGAATGTTTGGCAGATATCATGATTCACCATGTTCTTTACGACGGCTGGGCATTTGATAAATTGCTGGGCGAGCTGGAGAGAGCACTCAAGGATCCAGAGCTCAAACGCGTTTCTTCATCTCAGTTCAGGCATGCTGTGCCATTATTGTACAGGAGTGAAGGTAGTATCGACTTCTGGAAAAATTACCTGGACGGTGCCTCTGTATCAACACTACCGAAGCTCATACCTCCCGGGAGTGAGATTGCTACTCCGTTTGCAAAGAAAGCACACCTCCTACTTTCCACGCCTTTCTCGGATATTCAAAACTTCAGTAAGAAATACCGAGTCTCTCCTCAGAGCATATTTCATTTGGCATGGGCTCAGGTGTTGCGCATCCTCCAGGCTGAGAGCGATGCTTCCGATGTTGTCTTTGGAACGGTTATATCTCGTCGAGCGCAGCTAGTTGAAGCGGGATTAGAGGATGCTTTGGGACCCATGATCAACACTCTTCCTCTTCGGGTTCCTTTGACTGCTCCCATAATCGACACTCTTCGCGAGCTGACGGATGCTTCCTTACGCATTATGCAGCATGCTGATGTGTCTTTGGCAGATGTTGGAAAAACGATGGGGAGTCATGCCAACGCTTTCCATACTTTGGTGGTATGGCAGCAATCTGACAAAACAAAAAGTGATATGGTGCATATAATAGATTCTTTGGATCACTTGGAGGTAAGAATTGATTCTCTGATGCGTATTGAATTGGAAGACTTACTAATGGATTCTGGTTTAGTTTGAGCTACTTGTTGAATTCGAGCCTCAATTTGGCACTGGGTTGGTTAATGGAAGCATTACATTCCACACAGATCAAATTGCGTCAACTCAGGCTGAATCTATTCTCAAGTTGATCAATGAATATATTCAGCAGCTTACCCGTGACGAAAGCTCTCTTAAATTGACTTTGGAACAGCTTACAGTCGATGATTCTTTGCTTTCAGTACGCAATCCCACGCCAGTCAGCTTCAATCCTGGCTGTCTATCTGCTATTGATCTGGTTGGTTTTGACTCTGGGAAAATGGCTATTGAGATAGTGAATGACCATGGTTATGAATCGGTGACTTATGACCAGCTGAGATCTGCATATCAGTCTTATGCCTCTATGCTCCGGCAATGTGGAATTGACAAAGGTGATTATGTCGGTGTGGTATTGCCAAAGTCGATTGAGCTTTATGTGGTGGTTCTTGCAATCTGGTCGATGGGTGCTGTTTATGTTCCAGTTGATCCTAGCACACCTGTCGATCGCATCAATATCGTCATGTCCAGTGCAGGTGCCAAACTGTGTCTAATCTCAAAGACACTGGAAACTTTGTCAATTCGCAATTCTAAAGTTGTGGTATCTTATCAAAACATCAAAAAGCCATCAGAAATGCTTGCGCCTGTGAAGATCTCTCCCAATGATGTGGCGTATGTTATCTTCACGTCTGGATCCACTGGAACCCCCAAAGGTGTCGTGGTACCTCATGATTGCGTTGTCAACAACATTCTCCTGCTTTCCCAATACTATCCTGCTCCTTCACGCGACTCAAAAATGCTCCAGCTATGCTCGATCAGCTTTGATGTCTCGATTTTTGAGGTGCTTTATGCTTTCCACAACAACATGACATTGGTTTCAGCTCCCAACTCTGTCATACTTCCACAGCTCTCGAAAGTTATTCACGAGCGAAAGATAACCCATTTGAGTATGACGCCAACAGTCGGTTCTCTCTTGGAAAAGGATTTTATGGGAGGTGTCGAGCTGGTCATTTTCGCTGGTGAAGCTATTAATCCCTCAACCATTGAATTCTGGAGGGGTTTACCTGCTGTCGTCGCCAACTCATACGGACCTACGGAAATGACAAATGTCTGCAATGGTCTATTGGGCTTGACACCAAAGGATGACTTTCGCAACATCGGAAAGTCTTTCGCCAATACGTCGTGTTTCATTCTGGATCCTGAATCGACGAAGATACTTCCTATCGGTAGCGTTGGCGAGCTAGCGTTTGGTGGATACCAAGTCACAGCTGGCTATCTCCACGCCCCAGAACTAAGTCGCGAAAAGTTCATACATCTTGGGAAAGACTACGGCCGTGTCTATAGAACTGGCGATCGCGCCAGAATGCTAGCTGACGGGAGTATTCTGTATCTTGGCCGTCTGGATAGTCAAGTGAAGATTGCAGGCCAGCGCGTTGAGCTCGGCGAGATCAATTCTGCAGTCTTGCAGACTTCTGGCGTGCTCGAGTCTGCGTCGACAGTGATGGATGGTCGTATTGTCGTTTTCGTGCAATCATCACAGGAGGCATCGGCTCTTGAGGCAAAAATCAGGCGAAGCTTGGAGTTGAGATTGCCAGTTTATATGCAGCCTTGGACGATCGCTATTGTTCCCAAGTTCCCTATTACTACAAACGGAAAGACTGACTTGAAAAAGCTCAGCCTTTTTATGGAGAACGGAAACAAGCGCACAGTCGACTTCCCTCGAGATGAACTTGTGGTTGTATCAGGGAGTGAGAATGAGCGGCTGCTAGCAGAAGTGCTGGTGCAGCTGATCAAGGGTCTGACACTGGAAGAGATCCGGAAGACAAAGTCCCTTTTCTATTATGGACTGGACTCTGTATTGGCTGTGAAGTTGATCAATCTCTTATTGCAAAGAGGTTTCCTGTTGTCAATCGGTGACATTCGTCGCGATACAGTCGTTACAGAACTGGCAGCTAAGCTTCGGTCAGCCAAGCTCAACGATGGGCCGAGTGAGCGCGAGATGCTGTACAAGTTCTCAAAGTTTGCTGAGGATGTTGAACCATTCATCACCAGCCATGGGATTGACGTGTCTTCAGTCGAGTGCACTCTGCCGGTGACTTCTATGCAGGATATGCTACTTGGATCTCAGAAATCATATCTGAGTAGTTTCGTGTTAAAGCTCTCTTCTCCAGATCATACCGAGCTGATCAAGAATGCGTGGGCCGTTATGCCGTCGCATAGGGAGATGCTGCGTACATGTTTTATTCCCATCGGAGCAAACTCGTACAATTGCTCGTTTGCTCAAGTTATCCTGCGAGAAAGTGGCGTAGACTTTGGTCGCCACTGGCACGAAAAAATGCTAAGACACCCATCTGATTATCCCTTGGGTGAAATCGCGTTCGAGGACATGTCTGTGCCGCCATATCGCATTACTGAGCTCAAATGTGACAACGGAACTTATTTGGCTATGGAATTTCATCATGCATTGTAAGGCCCTTTCTTATATTTGTTTTTGGTTTCCGACTATGTACTAACTCCGTTTAGGTTTGACTTACACGCTCTGAACCTACTTCTGAATGATGTCTGGCAGCTCATAACGCTCGGAAAGGTGGATCCCAGACCTTCATATCTTTCAGCGATATACGCAATTCATAATGTTGATACTAGCGCGGGCGTTCGCCATTACTCGGATCTTTTACTGCATTACGAGCCACAAGAGTTCCCTGATCTAATGCAATCGTGTTTGTCAGGTAGACCTAATGGACGAATGAGCACAATCTATCGATCTACTTCCTCTTTGGCGCATGTGGATGCTCAATGCCGAGGTATGGCTGTCTCTTTATCAGCAGCCGTATATACCTCGTGGGCGAAGCTAATGGCGCTGGTTTGTGGATCATCTGACATTGTGTTTGGAGCAATTACAAGCGGACGTGCATCTTTCCCAGGATGTCAAGACACAATTGCTCCAGTTTTTCACAGTTATCCCATTCGCTGCAACTTGAAGGAGCTACAGTCGAATAAAGATGCGCTACAAGAGCTGGAGAAACAGTCAACAGAGTGCTCGCGATATCCCTTCACGCCAATGCGGGACGTTATAAAGGAGTACAATCGCGCAAATGATGGAAATCCGAATTTACGACTGTATGACACGATGGTTGTCATTCAGAGCGTTCTTGATTCGGACGATGCGGACGGTCTCAACAATTCGTTCTGGTCATATCACAGTGAACGAGATGACAACGATGTATGTGCCTTTTGTTAAGCAATCGATTTGAAGTGAAAAACTAACTTGCTTTCTAGATGTCTGTTATTCTTGAAATCCGCCGGAATATTAAAGATGACTCTATCGAGTTTTTGGCTTCGCACGACAGGTAAGTTTGTCAAACGAATATGTACGTAACCCATCAATTAATCTCAATATTATAGATCAGTTTTGGACGTCAGTCAGGCTTTGCACCTTCTTTCAATTCTAGACTGTCTACTTAAGAATGTGGTGGATCATCCGACAAGCTCGCCGTCGGATCTTCTGGGACTTGCGAGTGGACAGCTTTCTATCTCCAGTCCAGCGTCGAGAATTGTAACTGCAAAATATCTGCACTCTGGCTTTGAACTTAATGCTTCACAAAAGCAGAACAAATCTGCATTGGAGTTTTTGCAGGAGGACGGCTCTATTCGAATGTGGACGTATAGTCAACTTAACTCGTGGGCCAATAAGCTTTCGAAGTATCTGAGCCTGGAACATGGGGTGACTATTGAACAGTCTGTTCCGTTATGTTTGCCAAAGTCACCTGAGTATTATGCAAGTCTGCTGGCTGTCTTGAAATCTGGAGCAGCGTTTTGCCCCATTGATCCAGCTACCCCTTCTGATCGCGTTGCTTATATGATCTCAGAGCTGGGAGCTTCCGTCATTCTGGTCGATAGTGGCTCGAGGTCAGCTATAGAAGCTGCGGTTGCTGGGAGTGGTTTGTCTGTTTCTATTATCGATGTGTCTGCTCTAAATATTGATGATCTAGGAAGTGATAATCGGGTTATTGATGGCTATAGTGATTCTGCGACCGCATATAGGATCTATACATCAGGTATGTAAGGATAGTTTTAGTTATAAGATTATCAGGAGCTAACTACCATACGTCTAGGAACAACTGGAAAGCCCAAGGCCGTCTCGGTAGAAGTTAGAAATTCTGTACAGACTATTCTTGCGTCTGACGCTCTTCTTCCACATCACGAAAATAGCCGACTTCTTCAATTTGCGTCTACTACTTTTGATATGTCGATATATGACTGTTTTATTGCTTGGGAATACGGCCTAACTTTATGTGCCGCCCAACAAAGTCACGTCATTTCAGATCTGGAAAGTGTTATCAACCAGCTCCAAATCACATTACTGGATCTGACACCTAGCGTGGCTTCGACATTGCGAAGAAGTAGTGTGGCATGCGTCGAGTGCCTCTACTGTATTGGAGAAGCGCTTCCGCAAAGTGTTGTGGATGAATGGGATGGTGCGTGTGTTAATTCATATGGCCCGACCGGTACGTTGTCACGTTGCTTTCTAGTATGATTATAGCATTTTGTTAACTCTTCTAACAGAAGCGGCGATGTGTTGCACAATCACCAAAACCTTGAAAGGAACCAAGAGCTCGATCGTAGGTCGTTCGTTTGGAACAACCGAATTCTACGTTTTGGACCCTGAGAGCCAGCGAATACTTCCAACTTACAGCGTTGGAGAACTAGCTATTGGTGGCTATCAGGTTGCTCGCGAGTATTTCAAGAATCCTGAGCTTTCTGCTAGCAAATTCATTCATTTGAACAGTGCTGAAAATCATCCCAGAGTTTACCGTACAGGTGACTTGGTTCGCATGTTAGAGGGTGCAACAGTTGATTTTATCGGAAGGAAAGATGACCAAGTGAAACTCCGAGGTCTTCGTATTGAGCTTCAAGAAGTGAACGCCGTTATACGAGAAGCCCTGTCGACGAGTGGTCTCATTGACCTCAAGGATATATGCACAGTCATCCTCGGGACATCTCAGCCCCAGTTGGTTTCTTTCATCAGTATTGGTAGTCCGCTTGACGGCTGCGAAATTATCCAGAGTGGCGAGGATCTTTCAAAGGCGCTTTCGTTGGCGCGCACTTGCTGCGAGTCATTTCTTCCACGGTATATGGTACCTTCAGCTTTCATTCCCATAACTACTATCCCACTGTCACCTGCTGGAAAATTATCTCGCAAGCGTCTTCAAGGAATTTACAATGATTTTGTTTCTCGAATGGTTGAAGATCAGCTCATGCCAGATAATGATATGGCGGAGCTAACGGAGACCCAGCAGAAGTTACAGCAGATATTCTCTGATGTGAGTGGACTTCCTGTTGAGACGGTTAAACTGGAGACGAGCATCTATCAGCTGGGAATGGATAGCATATCGGCTACTCAAATATCCGCAGCTATGAGAAGAGCAGGGCTACGTGCGACGGCCTTAGATGTTTTAAAGGTATGTCGAAAATGCTTCAGCTCTGCTTGCGCCCGTTGCTAACTTCTATTTCAATTTTAGTGCATGAACATTTCGAAATTATCTGCCCTGGTTGAGACCAGTTCGGAGCTCTCTGATGATACGGATGTGTGTTCGACTTTCGAAACGTCTTGCCGCAAAATGGCTTGGGACGATGTTTCTTCCGATGTCAAACATATTTATCCGTGCACGCATACTCAGGAGGGAATTCTTTCTCAGTTCCAGAGCAGCGAAGGTACCTTGTATTTCAACTACTTTGTGCTGAGCATTCCCAATTCTGTTGAACAAGAAAGAGTTCGCCGAGCATGGGCTAGAGTCTACTCGAAATACGACATCTTGCGTACGGGTTTCAAAGAGATTGAGGTCGATGGGTTCGCATATGCCCAATTGATCTACGGGACATCGGATATAAGATTCGCATCGCGCGTAGTCGATGACATCAGTTCATACGCGCCTGTTACTTGCGATAATTATTCCAAGGTGGCATTGGAGCATCTTAATGAACCCCAGGTTTTTCTTGAATATATATCAGAGCGAGATGGAAAATCTTTTTTGCTGTTCGCCGCAAATCATGCGATTTTTGACGCCAACTCATTATCGATGATCATGGGTGAAATGGAAGAACTTTGTCAGCCAGATTTTGAGCCCAATGGATACTCTCCCGAGTTCAAAGATACGCTGAACGAGATACTACAGCTTCAGAAGTCTTCCTCGTCTGGGTCGGCCAGTTTCTGGCGGAGTCTGCTCAGTGATGCTCCAGTGACGCGGATACCAAACCTGAATCCGTTTGTTAGTGAGAGAACTGTTTCTGCCAAGCTATGCACAGAGAACGTTTTGTCGGTGTCGCAGAAGACTCTGCAGGACTTTTCATCAAAGCTGGACGTTTCTATTCAAACAATCTGCGTTGCTGCGTGGGCTAAGGTGAGTCGATTCCTGACTGTTGCTCATTCAATTTATTGATACTAATATCATATTACAGCTGCTCTCTCTTTATGTTGGTGAGACAGATGTTCTTTTTGGCTTAGTCCTATCTGGACGAACAGGTTTGAAAAGTGCAGACTCCAGTGTCTTCCCGTGCCTCACGACTGTGCCGTTCAGATCTACTCTTGATGGTTCGAATGAAAAATATATCCGATCTGTGCACCAAACAGCAACCCAAATCTTGGAGTTCCAACATACACCATACAGTACTATTCGTGAAGCCAGCGACTCGCGGGGTAGTCTGTACGATTCGGTTTTTTTATACCAGAAGACGCAGTCAGATAGTAACCGCATTAAGACGTGGAACTACGTACTGGACAAAGGAACTACGGAGGTATGTATGATTGCTTTTTCTTGTCGACAGGACAATATTCTCACATGACAAATCAGTATTCGCTATCTTTGGAGCTTGAGCCTTCAATGAATGGCACTTATTCGGCGCGGCTCTCTTATGATAACTCGCTGGTCCCTACAGAACAGGCGGCTCTGATGCTCAGACAGTTTGAAAGTGTTTTGCTAGACTTTTTGGATCACACTCAAGAGATCTGTGTGCACCCCCACATTCCTGTCGATTTGAGCTCTGTTTTGCTCCCTCGCGTTACTTCGATTCCCACGGATGTTCGATTTTTGCATGAATTTGTTGAGCGTCAGGCTGCTCTAGACCCTTCTCGCACGGCTCTGGAGTTTGCTACTGTAATTGAGGAAGATGAGTTGGAAGTTACGAGATGGAGCTTCCGGGACATTGATCGCGAAGCAAATAAGATTGCCAACTTCTTGCTTACAACTTTTGAGGTTAGGCCTGGTGACAGAATTGCCGTCTGTTTTGATAAGTGTCCAGAGGCCTCTTTTGCATTTGTCGGGATTTTGAAGGCTGGCTGTTCTTTCTTGGCTCTTGATCCTACCTCCCCCATAGACAGGAAAGGGTATATTTGTGCAGATGCTGGAGTGAAATGTCTTTTGAGCAGTGATTCTCTGCTCGAAGCACTGAGCACGATAAAGGTGCCGGTGATATCCGCAACCTCGATCGATATAGTACGGTCGTCACCAGAGGCACCATTGCTCAAACAAGATTTATTACCGGAGAATACCGCTTATTGTCTTTATACTTCGGGATCTACTGGAAACCCGAAAGGTTGCATGTTGTCGCATGAAAATGCTGTACAAGGCATGCTGGCATTTCAGCAGCAGTTTGCAGGAACATGGACTTCCAGCTCAAAGTTCATGCAGGTACAAATGAACCTATGATATATTAATTCAAAGATCAAAACTAATGTTGTCTCTTCCCTTTTTAGTTTGCCTCGTTTCACTTCGATGGTTAGTATTGGTCTATCATATATATTAGCTTGGTCGATTTTGCTAATTGCATTCCAGTGAGCGTCCTTGAGCAGTTTTGGAGTTGGTCAGTCGGCATCGCAGTAGTTTCGGCGCCTCGAGACCTTATATTGAAAGGTACGTGAATTTAATTGCTTTTACTTGGTACTATTGTCTAACTGTACCAGATCTACCATTGAGCATTCGCGCTCTCGGTGTCACTCATATAGATCTCACCCCTTCTTTGGCGGTTTTGGTCAGTCCCGAAACTGCACCGTCTCTGTGTAGAGGTTTATTCATTACTGGAGGCGACCTTCTCAAACAGGAAGTACTGGATACTTGGGGAGATAAAGGCGTTATCTACAATGCGTATGTCTTCATCTATTTCTTGTGGTCGAATATGTGCTCACTCCTTTATTAGATATGGACCTACGGAAGCTACGATAGGTGTGACTATGCGCCAACGAGCACCAAGGACTATCCGACCATCAAATATTGGAAGTCAATTTTCAAATGTGGGTAGTGCGGTCTTTTATCCGGGGACCGAAGTTCCTGTCCCTCGAGGTGCCATAGGAGAGCTATGCGTTTCCGGAGCCCTGGTCGGCGATGGATATATCAATCAACCTGACACTACGGCACTCTGTTTTATGCATAGTGATCTACTAGGAGACAAGTAAGTTCTCGTCCTTTAATCTTATCTTGGAGTTTTGACTGATCATTTATAATCACCACCAGAATGTATCGCACGGGAGATCTTGTTCGGCTTCTTTCAGACGACTCGTTTGATTTTGTAGGTCGGAAAGATACGCAAGTCAAATTACGCGGCCAGCGCCTGGAAATTGGTGAGATCAATGCAGTTATGAAGGCTCCAGAAGAGGGTATCGTCGATGCGGTCACCTTAATCTTGAAGCATCCTGCAAACCACCGCGACCTGCTCGTTAGCTTCATAGTTGTGCGCGACTCTGAACCGATTCAAGGACTCCTTATTGCTTCAGAAAGCGTACGTCATGTGCTTCAGACCGCGCGCGATCGCTGTCTATCAAAGCTGCCGAACTACATGATTCCTACATATATTCTCCCGCTCTCTCGAATTCCACTTTCTGTTAATAACAAGGTTGATGTGAAAGCTTTGGCGAAGCTTTACAGTGACGCTAATATGGATGAGATCGCAAAATATGCGGAAAGCGGAGGTTCAGGAGATGAAGACTGGACAGATACAGAGAAGCGCATACTAGCAGAGCTTGAATCGCTAGATGGAATTGATAAATCCACAATTGACAGAAACACCACTTTCTTTCAGTGCGGTTTGGATTCTATCTCTATGGTCCCACTATTGAAGAAGTTACGACAGGTGTTTCCGTCCATAAGGCTCTCCGCGCTTATGCAATGTGAGTAACTAGCAATCTGTTTGTTGTTCTGACCTCTCTACTAATTTTTCAACAGACCCGTCGATAAGACTTCTTGCTTCATATCTATCCAGCAAATCGTCCGAAAAATCTGCACAGTTCACGCGTGAAAGCGAGGAAGTCAATTTGCTAAACTACCACGACCAGGCCAGCCAAACTCTGGATCTGGCGACGGATGATATTGAGTATATTCTTCCGTGCACCTCTTTGCAAGAAGGAATCATTGCACGTGCTATGAGCTCCGAAACTCGCATTCCTATGTACCTCAACCGATATCGCTTCAATCTTTTCGATGAAGTGGATGAGGCGCGTCTTCAGCTCTGCTGGAATACTGTTGTATCCCAAAATCAGGCTCTACGTGCTTGCTTTCTGGAAACCGCAGATGGAGTTCTTCAAGTGATTCTGCGCGACTGGAAGCCGTTCTGGATAGAGTCTTCAACAGATAGCGATGATATTGACGGCCTAGTTGAGTCTTCGTTGATCGATCATTGGTCAAATATTCAACTGTCAAGGCCTCCTATGATTCTACATCTTGTTCGCTGCTCAGGGTCGAGACTTTTGACTCTAAGTATATTCCACGCTCTCTATGATGCAGTGTCATTGCAGCAGGTGTTGAATGATGTGGTAAAGCTCTATTTCTATTTGGGTGTCCCAAAACGTCCCTCATTTGTTGAAGCTGTTTACCGTATGCAGCGATCATACGATATAGCTAAAGCGGAGCTGTTCTGGACTGATATGTTTTCTCGTCTACAAATGAGACCTCTCTTGGACAACCCTGTTGGCGATCAAAGGAGCACGTTGCTGTCGTTCGTTTCTACTTTTTCATATGATGTTATTAAGGCTTCAGCTCGATCTCTTTCATGCACTCCTCAGGTTCTATTCCAAGCAGCTTTTTCGCTCTCTCTCGCTACTCTTATGGGAAGTGTGATATCTTTCGGTGTTGTGGTATGTATATCTGGTCTTCTGCAGAGTTTCGTGATGTTAACAATGAGTGTATACACAGGTCTCCGGTCGATCTTTCCAGGATTCATTGGATGATGTTGCAGGTCCCTTGTTCAACACTCTGCCGGTTGCATTGGACATCAGTGGGTTTGAAAGCCATAGGGATATGGTGAAGAGATTGCAGGACTACTCGTCTTCTTTAACTGCTTTCCAGCATTTTCCTCTTCGCCAAATCAGAAAATTGGTGAACGTTTCCAACAATCAAAACCTCTTTGATGCTGTTTTTGTGTTTCAAGGAGATCAGGAGTCAGAATTTGCAGACTCTTTGTGGATTAACGAGGAGATTGGAGAGTATACAACCGATGCACGTAACCGATTGCTCTTTGTTTTCATGATCTTCAGCTGCTAACGTATATTTTTCAGTATCCTATCTCTTTCGAAGTTTCACCGGAATCAACTGGAAAGGTCAAATTCAACCTCGGCTATCTGAACAGAGTCCTCACTTCTGATGGCGCCAGAGAGTTCCAGTCACAGATCCTCCAAAATCTTGAACGTTTAGTGTCCGATCCTGAATCTACTCTGGGAGCTTACGCTCAACTCCCACTCTCCCAATCGGCAATTGCGCAAGATCGGGGAGAATTACAATCGGAAGAACTGCAGATGTTGGAACGTAATCAGGTCGACCCAGATATTGTTACTGCAATTAGGGATGAGATTGCCAAAATAGCTGGTGCTGATCCGTTGAACATTGATGAACGAAAGACTGTATTCCAGTATGGACTTGATAGTATCGATGGCATCAGATTATCTTCGGCTCTAAAGAAACGAGGTATTTCGATGCCACTGAGCACCATTCTCAAACATCCGTCGGCACTTGCTATGGCTCAATGGCATGCGCGATTAATGCATGTGGAGTCAAAACCAAAGGATGGTGCGCGGGACTTCTCGATTGAAGAGTTCTTGCGGGACGTGACGTCACTGCCTGATTGCGAAGGTGCTTATTACTGTACTCCTCTTCAAGACGGAATCATATTTCAAGCCTTGACAACAAACAACAAGCTGTATGTCAATCAAGTAAGTACTAACTAAACTATGGAAGTGTTTTGATATATCTTTGGGAAGCTTGTGCTAACCAGCTTATTGCAGAATGTTCTTCTGTTGGATTCTGGTATCGATGTTGCACGTCTCCAGAACTCATTTGAAAAGGTGATACAGTCCAACGCAATCTATCGGTCAGTTTTCATTACGCTCGATGGTCTGCTACCGCAGCCAAAGTCTCATTACGGTCTTATCGTATTGAGGTCTAATCATCTTGCTTGGGATTCAAACTGGCTGTCGGATGAAAACTGGGATAACGAGATGAAGGGACTATGCGATAATGCGGCGTCTGCTATCGATCATTTTCCTGCGCCTCCTTTATCTATCTGTATTGCTCAGTCTGAGACTCGCAGGGCACTAGTCTTGACAATCTCCCACGCTCTTTATGACGGACATTCTCTCGGTTTGTTCTTGGATGATGTATGACTACTCTTTCAGACTTGATTGACTGTTGAAACTGTGCTAACCCTGAACTATAGGTCGTGAACGTTTACAAAAGCGGTGCCAGTATAGAACGGCCACACTTTGCTCCTCTACTGTCTAGGGTGCTTGGAGAGTCTCAAAAGGCATCAAGTATAGCTTTCTGGAATTCAGCCTTTGCAGGGTTTGAGATTGAAAGATTTCCTAAGCTATCAGGTCAACTCACAGGCTCCAGTGAACCCTCCCGAGGTATGAGCCGTTCTTCGTTGCGCAGCAAGTTGTCGCTTGCTCAATGCCTAGCATTTGCTAGAGAGCGCGGAACAACGCTGCAAACGATTGCGCAGGTGTGCTGGAGTATTTTGCTCTCAAGATATCTGGGCACAAATGACGTTGCATTTGGAACTGTTTTGTCTGGCAGAACAACGGAGGATGACGAAAATGTTCAATTCCCGAGCATGGTCACTGTGCCCACGCGGGTCTCAGTTAATGGCTCGTTCACCTCTATCATTGGCAGGGTGCACGCATTTTTCAACCTTGCGCGAGACTATCAGTACTGTCCGTTGATTGACATCTACAAAACGGCAGCTGAAGGGCATCGACTGTTTGATACTTTGTTCATCTTTCAGCGTCCGCCCCCTGATGAGTCGACGATCTGGACGTCAATTGATGGCTCTTCTGCAGTTGAGGTTAGTCGGGTTTTTTGCGGTGCGAGGAAGAGTTTTCTGATACTAACTAAAACTAGTATTCCGTTGCTGTGGAGTTTGAGCAATTGCCCGATGGACTAAGGTGGAGTGTCGCAGCTCAAGCATCTGAGATCTCAAGTGATGATGTTGGTGTTCTGGCTGCGCAACTTGATGGTGTTCTTTACAGCATGGTCTCTGAAACCGACTCCTCTGATTACCTATCAGAATCGAAATTTGTTGGCAGTAAAGGGAGATCAACACTGTCTCGCGCCGATTTCAATGCTGTTGAGCTGCCGACGGAGATGAAAGATTTCTTGTCAGATCTTGATTCCATCAAGACCGTAAGTCTGCTAATGATGAGATGCCAAAAATGTGAAACCTGCTAACAGCCAATAGATCCTTGTTGTTGATCATGACGGCTCTGTGCTTCCGATCGGGTGCGCTGGTGAGCTTTCGCTTTTGAAATACGATAGCCAGGTAAGCCTTTTGTTGTACTCTGTTTACGGGATGAAATCTCAGCTAACTGGTAATAGACGCCTATTCGAACGGGACTTAGAACCAGACTCTTGAGTTCAGGGAAGCTATTATATCTTGGCATGGTCAGTTCCATTCTGAGCTACAACGGTTTAAGTCTCGACACGAACGCAATCTCCGACGTGATATGTGGCTCTTCAACAGAAATTTTTGCTGCTAAGACCTTCATACTTGACTCGTCGTTGATTGTGTATGCTTTTCTCAAGAGTCATGATTATAGTATGATTTCTTCGATCATCTTTTCTGCTCTAAAGAGTACATTTACGTACGGCAAGATACCTTCCTATGTGATTCCTATTGAGCCCGGTAATCAGACGGTGAATATGGAGGATACAGAGTCGATGAGAAGGCATTTCGTGAGCTTGGATGTGCAGACTAGACAAAAGTATCATCGTGACTATATCCACTCGGCCGATTCATGGAGTTATATCGAGACCAAGATCAGAGAGGTTTTGTCGCGCGTTTCAAATATCTCGACTGAGGAGATATCGAAGGATCAGAGCTTGTTCCAGATGGGTCTGGATTCGATTAGCTGTATCCAGGTTTCGAATCTCTTGCGACAAGAGGGGTTACTGATCAGCGTGAGTGAGATCATCAATTGTGGCAATATTCGTACCATTAGCTACCGCTTAGGTCAGTTGGCACGGGAATCTCGATCGCTGATGGAGCCTTCTGAGAAGACGAGAGACTACTCAAGTCTTCTAAGTGAAGACATCCTGGGTGCTACAGGGATCGATCGCAGTGCAATCGAAACCGTTCTCCCAGCTACTTCCGGCCAAGTTTATATGCTTTCGGGATGGCAGTCATCGAGCCGAACTCTACTGTTCCCCACGTTCTGCTTTGGGTGTGCTGATCAGATTGACGAAGTGCGTCTTCTTGAAGCGTGGAAGGAATTAGTTCGTACACAGCCTATTTTGCGCACTACGTTTGTCGCGAGTCAGTCTGAGAAACATCCGGTTCTGCAGCTGATTCTAAGAGCTGAGAATGCTGATGTTTGCTGCTCTGCGGGCGATACGTTTGATCCGGATCAGGATGCTGTCGTTGGAGTTGTCCCAGTGAGATTGCATTATCAGTCTGGAAAGAACCCGGCAATTTATCTGACAATCCACCATTCTTTGTACGATGCGTGGTCGCTTAGGATGATTGTTTCCCGTTTGTCTGCGTTGTATGAGGGGCTTGCTGTGCCTGAGTTTGAAGGCCAGGTGCGCGATAAGTTCATCAACGGAATCATTTCCAATGAGAACGACAACGGCAAGTTCTGGAAGGCTCAGATGGCAGCTGTACCGAAAATCTCAAAGGTGCAGCTCAAGACTTCTCGAGCCGAGCTTTTGAGAAGAAATGCGGTTAAGCATGCGGATAGCCTGACTTCATTTGTGAAGAAGAACGACATAACTGTTAGTACTCTATTGCTTGCAGCGTTCTCGGTCATTTACAACGACGAGATTGTACGAAACACCACTGAACCGGTGGCGTTTGGAATGTATAATTCCGGCCGAACAGTTGACTGCGCAGGGGTTCTAGACCTGGCGTTCCCTACAGTTAACATCCACCCATTGATTGTGGATACTACTGGAAAGGCTCTGGTTACCGTCGCGAAAACTATCCAGAACTCGCTCAGAGAGGTTAGTCAGGGGTACCGGTCTCAAGTTGCGCTATGGCAGGTGAAGGAGTGGACAGGCGTCGATATTGACTGCGCTGTGAACGTGTTGGAAGGTGTTTCCGAGATTGGCGGTGATGGACGTGGGGTTTTCCGTCAGTCTGATAGGACGGTTGGGTCGGTGAGGAGAGAAGATGATAGATTTGGTCGGTGTGTCGATGGAAATCGCGCGCAGAGCTCTTCTATTCTCAACCTGGATGTTGAGTTTGCGTTTGTGGACGGTAGAGTGGATATCGGAGTGTTCTACCATGAGGGTGTTCTAGGGGACGAAATGGAAGGGGATGCATTCATAGAGAAGATGGCAGGCTTGATTGATGCTGAATTGGCACAGGCTGCCTGATTGTGATGATTTGTTTGTTTTTGCTTTCTTGCTATACATGTTTATGACTTTTTTCTGCATTGTTAACGATACAAAAATTCTATATGTTATATGATACAACTCGGATCGTGAATTAGAGATTATATTAATAATACACTCATGCAATTCCAAAAATATGTTTAGATGACAAAATAGCTCTAGGATGCGCCCGGTTTACAGTGATCATGATTTCACTTCACTAACTGGATCGAATTAACTAATGTACATGCGCAAGTATAACGAGAAATCAAACAAGACAAGATAAACCAAGCAAAACTGAACTAGACCAAACTGGAAAGCAAAAATGACAACTACAACTTTAACTCAAACGCTTTTATCGGTGTCTATATAAAACTTAGCACATTCTGTATTCGCAGTGGCCTATGACGTTTCGCGTGTTTGCATTGTCGGAATCAATCGGCTCGGGCTCGAACTTGTAATCGATGGTGATGTCGAGATCGCGGGGGTTGGTTGCGTTCGGTTTGCTGGTGAGGTTTCCGGTGATTTCCTCTCCGTACTAGATAGAACAAAGTCAGTTCATTGGTCCGCTAAAAATGGCTCTGTTCAGCTAGGTATAGGGAGACTTACGTTGATGGTCAGGGTCTCGCGAGTGTAGAAGACGGTCTGCTTCCAGTGGGTGTACTTTGCGTGCGGGCCGGTAGAGAACTTGATGGGCTTGTGGCACTTTGAGAACTCGATGTCGAACCAGGAGATGAAGGCATGCACGAAGTCGTTTCTACGGGCACGAATAGAAAAGTCGCTGGAAAATGCAAGATCTTCCTTGGTACATGTGTAGAGATCGAGGCTCAGAAGAGTGCTCTGATCGGTAACGACAGCTTTCATGTCAACGGTGTCGACGAGGGGTTCGGTCAAGGCAACGGATTGGAAGGGGGTGTAGTTGAATCCGTAGACGTCGTTCCAGACTGTTATCAAGAGTTGTTAGTAATGTGCTTCGGAATTGTTAAAGTACCTGGAAGGTACGTACAGCCAATCTTTTCTTCCTTGTACTCGCCGTCCTCGATTCCAGCAATGTGAAGAGTCGCCTTGTCGGGGAAGATCAAGCCATCAGGAGCGAGGTACTTGTCTCTGGCCAAGAGAACGGTGTCGAGCATGGACTCGTAGAGAAGGAAGTATCCCATCCACTCAGAGATGATGATGTCGACTTTGGGAAATGGGAGTTCGACTTCCTCCATCTTGCCCTTCAGGAGGGTGATCTTATCAGACAGGCCGTTGATATCAACGATTTTCTTGGCCATGTCAATAATCGTAGACATATCGACCTATTAAACACGAGTTTAGTATTGAAGAACAGGGGAAGAGGAACTCTTATAACAGGAACAGAGATTAAATGAAGAACTTACTCCAATAACGTGCTTAGCTCCAGCACGAGCAGCAAACATCGACAGAATACCAGTTCCGCAGCCGACATCCAAAACAACCTTTCCTCTGAACATATGGCTGTTCTGGTAGATGGCATTTCGGTAGGAAAGAGTTCTGGTCTCATCCTTGAGCATCTCCTCGTGGATGCCAAAATGGTCGTAGGAAGAGAAGTAGTGTCGCTCGCTGAAGGTGAGGCCATCGTCTCCGATAGCCTGCGGGGCGGTTGAGTCTGAGGTGGACATAATGTCTGTATTAGAAGAATTTGTGGGTAGTCTATGGAGGAGAGGGAATGAGCGGTTCTTCTTGATGTGAGATGCAGAGTTGGGTTGATAAGTTTTGTGAAAACAAAAAAAAAAGTTGGGAGAAAAGTGCGGCGGCGTAAAAAGTTAACGTGAAATCAAAACACGTAAAGGGGGTTTGGTAGAAAAGTCCCAACCAAACGCTTTCAGCCTGCGTCAACAAACACTCGACAGTGTGCACTCAACCGCTTGCTTCCTGTCTGTTTCTAGTTCGCGTCCTGAGATGAAGTTTGAGCTACCTGAGACCTGGGACGATTCTTCTTCTTGCTCCTCGGGCAGCTCGCCGCGCACTCCCGGAGATATAGATACCCCATCAACGCCTGCGTATCCGACTGACTTTGATGCGCAGTCTGTACCTGTATTTATACCCACACAGTCAAGAGCACCGCCGAGCGAGATATTAGGGGACATTACGGTTATGACCACCGATGCGGACTACGTGTTGACCGGATTCGAAACCTTTCGCCCAAAGTACGGACCTGGTAAAGTCTATGTGGCGCCTGCATTGAACGAACGCAGCGACGACTCGTTCGTTGAAGGATCGTTGTGCTTTGTCGCATCCGACAAGCTGTCGCGGCTAGATTCCTGGGAGGACGAGGGACGCACGAATTCGCGCATGCCATGTCTTGTCAGTAACAAACTTGGCGACGAACTGATACTTGCAAATGTCTATATCTGGAATGGAAATTCACTGCTGGGAGAGTTCCAGTACAGTTGAATATTGCTTTTTATTGTTTCAGGCGTTACTCTAAGGTGTTTGCTGTGGTCTAAGAGCCAGAGGTCTGTCTCTGTGTCGTGTATTATATGCTTAGCGAGAATACAGGATGCGGCCTGCTCGCTGGGCAGGTGGTTGTGCTGGCTTTTCTGTCATTTCCTGGACAGTTTCTGATCTCTATATAATGTATACTTACTCTTCTTCGCTATAAATTGAATTCATCTCAAAAGTGCATCCAATGTAGTCCTCAGTATGTTCGAGTAGTGCTTGCTTGATCCAATCACGTGATCTGAATTAAGCTTTGAAGTGTGTGTGACATCACTGTGCCAGTGCAAGTTCCTACAAGGCTCTCTGCTTGTTCGAACAAGGCACAATGGCAGACATTAAAAGGCGCCCTTTCGCTCTTCCTCCTTCTCTCCTCTTTTCTTTCCTCACCTCTCACTACTTCCACACTTCAGCAACAACTTTCTCTCGTGTCCCCACCCCAAACAATGGTGTTTTTCGGCAAGAAGAAAGCACGTTCTTCTCGTGCATCGCAACATGCTGCTGCGAGTCCCAAGCACGATAGCCCACCGAATACGACGCACGCGCAACCGCAGTCCTCATCGCAGAGCTCCTCGACGGCCGAGAGAGGCAACGGACGCCGCCCCTCCTGCGATGTCGACGAACACCGCGAACTCGACGATCAATGGAAAGAGCACATCAACGAATTTCATCTTGACAGGGTGCTCTTTTACTCCCGCCGGCCCGACCCGCGTATGTTATCCAACGCGCTCAACCTTGCGTACGACAATATCGCCTCTCGTATCGACAACCGGCAACAATAAGGACCAGCTAGGCAACGGATTAACCGCCAGGATCGAGTCCGGGTTTCTGTTTTTAACTGCCTATGATCGTGCTCTGTTTATAGAGATTTTCAATCGCTGGTTATCAAGGCTTCGCTGTCATAGCAGCCAACGTATGTATACTCTCTTCCTTGTTCCCTTGTTCCTCTGAGCTGTGACTGACTTTCCCTTGTTGATCTAGCTGTCTCCCCCCGCAGCATATCCCTTCCTGGAACGAACCAGAAGAGTCCTATACTTCGACTACTGCTCAGGCTAATACCCCAACATCTCATGAGAGAAGTGGTCTACCTCTACTGTATTCCTGTCTTGCCACTGTACAGAATACCCTTGCTGAAGTTATCTCATCGAACTACATGTTGGTATCTGCCTAAAGAAGTAACCTTACTGTCTGTCTGCCCCCCTTCTTCCCTGCTGTACGGTCGTCATCGGGCGTTGAAACCTTTGGCCTCTGCAATGTACTGGCTCGGAATATCATTCTTTCCTTTCCTGTGAAATAGGGTTATCTTTGATCCCGCCAAAACCCAAAAAAAAGTACCGAATCGCGCAGAGCCGGAGGCGAATCATTGAACCGGGCTCTGTCGCTTGATTTTCACGCGTGCATCCTCTCGTCGAGCTTGTCGCGTTCCTTTCCTTATTATTTTTGCTTTCCACTTTCCCTTTTTTTTTACAATTCATTACGGGAGTTCACTAGGGATCTTCTCATTAGCATTAGATTGCTAGTGGCTCCCATCACCCCAATCTCTTCTGTAAATCTGCATCGTAGATCCTTGTAGGAATTCAGTATTTCTGTGGTGCCTGTATATGTCAACGCTGTCGTTGATCTATCTACGGTTACCTGCAGCACCCGCTCCGTTCCCCTGTCTTGCTGGCTTGTGTTCGTATTTATGTCGATATTTACTCACTGCCTTCTTACACAAAGCAAGATCTATAATTACAAAACTCACTGCTGATTCCTCCGCTCCTTCAGCACCCTTTTCAAACTAATAAACAACGGCACAAGCCCCGGTCCCAGAAGCGGTAAATACACTGCGACCTTATGCTGAAACGGAACAAACATGTTCAACATCATATTCTTCTCAAACACCGCCTTCTTCGCCACCCTAGCCGCCGCCGCTGCGCGCCGTAAGCTGAGCTGTTCAGAGACTTTATTATACGCGCCCCTCCTCCGGCCGTGAAGGACGGCGACTGACTCGCGCCATTCGAAAAAAGAGCTGTCGAATAGATCGCGGACGGTCTGGGGAACGGCCATTTCCTTGAGCGAAGTGACGAGGTGCGAGAGAGCCGAGAGCGTGTCGCTTGCAGCTCGCAGGTTTGTGATTGTTGCGATGCGGGCGAATTCGTGCCGCATAGGTCGGAGCGTGCTGGTGGAGCCGGTGGTGGGGTCGGTGAGAATGAAGGATACGGGCGAAAGAAGCTTGTCGATTTGCTTTTCAAAGATCTTGGTCGCGGACGCGATCTCCAGAGCAGGCGATAAGATGACGCCACCCCAGTTTGCGATTGTGAAACTCATGGGACGAGAGCGAGTTGTTTTTTCCGAGTCTGGCAAGAGCAGATAGATGAATTGGAAAAACCCGACTTCGGCTGAGTCTTCTGATTTGAATGTGACAGGCTGGAGTTCGAATGAGTCCATGAGGGAAGAAAGTTGGTCTGCTGTGACCGTCGATCCGGCTAGCATGTCCGCGTCGGACTTTGAGATGTACTGGAATCCAATGTCAGAGTCGTAGGTTATCGACGACAGATATCTGCTGAGTTCACTGTTTTCTAAACTGGAAACTAGAGCTGATATCTGGGAGCGCCATGATTTCTGGGTCTGAGAATCGAGAACGCTGTCTGTGCGCGACGCTAGTGATTGCTCAGAATCCTGTCCGTAGGCGACTAGGAGAGTAAACGAAAAGTGAACCTGCTCAGAGTAAGGCGATCCCTTCACTAAGATTGATCCCGGAGCGTCCTCAACCGATCCCAGACGATGGCGATTGAAGAACAAGATATCGGCCTTGAATATACTCTCGAGTCCCTCGACGATTCGATCGACCTGATTACCACCATCTTCGGGAATGTAGATTGATATTTTATCCGTTTTCGAGATGCGCGTCTTTGGCAGGGGAGTCTTTTTGGTCCAGGTACAGTCCGCTTCGTAAGCTGTCTCTACCGCGGCGTGGGCTTGTTCGTCGCTAGCTTTGTCTCTTACCTTGATAGTGAACGCCGGGTTTCGATCTCCGCTGCTTTTTAGTAAGCTCTGCCCAAGTCGCTCGTTTACTGCTGCGACAGTGCCGGCGTCAGCGACACATGAAGAGTCGAGGTTGACGGCTATCGGTAACGAATGGTCAGCCAGACCCAGTCCGGATTCGAGCAGCGCGTTCAGTTTTGGGACCTTGGAGAGGGGTAGTGGAGTTCTGTGGATAGCGGTGGTTTGGTACCAGAGCGGAAGTCCGAGAAATAAAAACACGGCCTGTGAGAAGAGCAGTTAGTGAGATGTTTGCCATGATTCGACGGTCGGTCTGTATGGAAGGGATCTCCATACCCAAAATGAAAACACCACGTTCCGACGGAGCGAAACCGCTTCCGCAGGTTCGGGAGAAAGAGCCATGTTAAGAGCAGTATATAGTATTCGGTTCCTTATTCCTATCTGTAATTGCTCTTCATAAGGCTCTATAAAGAGGACAGCATGGTCTGATGCTGATGTGGAAAGAGTAGGTGGCAGTTGACTAAGTTTGTGTTTATTCAGGGGCAGGCTGCGCGTTGGCGACCGAAACTCTCAACCTGGAATCCATCGAGAGATTCTATCAGCGCAGAGTGTGTTCTCGCCGTCGATGGAAGTACAACACGGGCAGGTCAGGACTGTATAGATAATCAACTATGTACGTGCTGTATCCAGATAAACTTGAAGAGCTAGAGCTAACAAACAGCAGCGCGCAAGATGATGTGCATAGAATGCGCTCATCCGGTAACCTCCCTCTACACAGCCTACTCGTCCAACAACATCCGACTGACAGCATGCCCGAACTGCAACAAATTCGCCGACAAATACATTGAGCACGACAGCGTGCTGATATTCATCGACCTTGTGCTCATTAAGCCGCAGGTCTACCGACACCTTGCCTTCAACCGGCTCGCCATCTCGCCGCACCTGCATTCGACCGTGCGCAGGTTTTTCCTGCTGATTACGCTGTTTGATGTGTATCTTACGTGGGCGCGGGTAGAGAAGGAGGCTGCGCGGATGGATGTCTCGAGCGGGAGGGCGGAGACTGAGGCGCGGATTCTGCAGTTCCCCGTGCTGGGCCAATACCTGTTTTTCCTAGCCTACTGCGTGACGGAGACGGTAGTCACGCACTTTGCTCTACGATTTCTCGCACGGTATGCGGTCTCGAGAAGGAGGCTGACCACGGCAGACGACGACGGCAAGTCAGAATCAGAATACGACCCAAACATAGTGACGATAGCGCTGCTGATATCGTCCGCGACAAAGATGTTTCCGATGCTGATGGTGATCTGGACGTACGACATCCCTGCCGCGGCGAAGGCGATAGGCTGGGCGGTGAACGTGAGCACGATCGAGGCGCTGAATATCGTGCTGATGTGCGGGCATGTGAAGGCGATTGCGCTGATGGGCGCTGCGGTGTTTGTACGGCGGGCGGTGGTGAGGATTCTGGTGTGGGCGTTCATCAGCCGGAGCGTAGGCGGCGGTGTGTTTGATGAGCTGAGTGTGATCGAGGGATTATTTCAGCATGTATTATAGCAGCAGTGGTAGTGGTAATTACAGTCTTTCATATATTTACAGACCGTAGTGATGACTGAATGAGAATGTGTACGCATGACAAATCGATTACTCATCTGACCCCCACGCAAGCGATGTGCGGAGATGGGCGTGGGAGGCCAGGTACAGGCCACAGTTTGACTCCACAATCTTTGCTAATCCAGCACCGGGCAGAGCAGCGCAGCGCAGTCCCGGAACTCAGCGCAGACCAAAATTAGAGCCCGGGGAAAGTTCGAGAGAATGGACTCGGCGCAGACGCCGTCAGAAACAGCTGCTGCTCCGTCTAGAACGACTCCGCACAGGCTTCCGCCGACCGTCAATTCTTCTTCTACCGCTCCTGCGAATAGCGCGAACCCGCGCTCGCCTTCCGCTGCTGCTCTAGCAAACCCGTCTTTGTCGAGCTCTGGTCCCGCCGCGGCGGCGACTAGTCCCTACGTCACTGCCATATCCTCGAAATCAACACACCCCGCCGGCCCGCCGTCGTCGGCAGCGTCGGCGGCAGCGTCGACCACGCCGGCAGAGTCGACGTCTTCGACCTCGACGCACGTGTTGCAGCACGGCGATGCGCAGCCGAATCTGTCGGACAGCATGGCCGAGGGGGAGCAGACGCCGTCGGGTGCGAAGCGGAAGAGACAGCGGTCGCGCAAGGGACTTGAGAAGTTGTATGCGTGCGATGCGCCGGATTGCGGGAAAAGTTTTACGAGGCCTGAGCATTTGGCTCGGCATCAGCTGAATCGTGGGTCCACTTTTTTTTGTTTCTATTGATTTTTGAGGGAAGGAAGGAGGAATTACTGACTAGGTAATGTTTTATTTTAGACTCCCCGAAAGAAATTTACAGATGCACATGGCCGTATTGTACAAAGTCGTTTGTGCGAGACGATTTACGACTGCGGCACATGAAACGACACAGCCGACGCAGCAAACTGAACGAAGCCGAGGAGAGTCAGGGAAGGGCAGGGAGTTTACAACAGGATGGTATACTTCATCCAACACAACAGCAACAACAACAACAGCGACAAGGGATGGAAGGTTTGGGTATGGTTGGAGGGGATGCTATGGACATTGATCGGAGGTACTCGACTTCAAGTGTATCTCAACCACCACAGCAGCAGCCGATGATTGATTCAGTATATATTCCTGCGCAGTCGCCGATGAGTCAAGCTGCGAGTGGTCGATTCTCAATGACGAGCCCGAGGTTTCAAGCGGCGGTGTCTCCGCAGTTTAGTGAACACGATCATCATCTACCCGGGCAATCTCCGATGGCGCACGCTAGCAGTCGATTTTCAATGACGAGTCCACGGTTCCCGCACGCGGTTTCTCCACAGTTTAGCGAGCACGATCAAATGCATGCGCCCAAAAACCCGCCGTCGTCGACACACTCCAACTCGCCACGATTTCTTGGCAGTCCGCACAGCACACACGGTCTACTGCAGCAGCAGCAGGCCGGGACGACGGTGGAGAGCGGGTCGCCTTCGAACGAGGCGTCGAACACGACGGATTTGATCAACTGGCTGTTTTCAGACAGCATGTTGTCAAACACGCGCGACCTGTTTCTCCCCACTAGTTTCTACTCTGCGTTTGAATCGCCGATGGATCTTCCTAATCTGCTGACGCCGCCCACGCCGCCGCCAACGCGGCAGATGTCAGAGACGAAAAGACTGGACATACTAGGGCTGATTCCGTCGCTGGAAGGCGAGCCGGACATGGAGCTCGACGCGATCCACCGGTTCATCAACTTATTCTGGGACCGGTTTCATTTCCAGTTCCCGATCCTGCACCGTCCGTCGTTTGAAGCGGATGCGACGCCGGGCCCGCTGCTGTGGAGTATTATAATGATAGGCAGTCACTATGGAGGAGCGCACGGGCTGGCGCTGAAGATTGCGGAGCACTTGCGGTGGGTGATTTTTGGGAGTCCGGGGTTTCATCCGCCGGCGAAGATTTGGATTATTCAGAGTTTACTGTTTTTGGAGGTTTTTGAAAAGACAATGTCTACGCGAAAGTTTCATGAACGGGCGCATATCCATCACGCTACGACGCTGCAGTTGATTAGGCGAGGATCGACGCTGCTTGGGTCAACGTCGGCGTCGACGTCGTCGTCGTCCACGACGGCATCCAATGCCGGGATGGACGGGAGCTCGGAGGTGTGGAAGCGGTGGATTGATGCGGAGATGGCGAAGCGAGCGGCCTTCATGGCGTTTATTCTTGACGTGTGTCATGCGGCATTGTTTGCGCACTCGGTAGTGCTGTCGACGCACGAGATCCGGCTGTCGCTTCCGTGCGACGACAGCGCGTGGGACACGGTGCCAGGGGACCGGAGCCATGTGGTGCGGACGCCGACGATGCCGTTTCTGAAGGCGCTGAAGAAGCTGCTGAACCAGCAGTCGGTGGCGACGGGCCGGTTTGGAAGCGTGGTGCTGCTGTGCGGGCTGATGTCGCTGTCGTATCAGATGGAGCAGCTCGATTTGCAGATATCGTCGCTGGGATGGGGCGCGTTCCGGGACACGTGGCGGACGACGCTCGCGCCGGCGCTGGACTTTTGGAAGGCGGACTACGACCGGCGATATCCAGCGCTGGAGGAGCATGAGATGCAGCGGGCGGGGCGGAGCGTCGAGGAAGGGGGCTATGGGAGCAGCGCGCACCTGCAGCGACTGGTGCCGCCGATGTGGCACATGGCGCACATCTCTATGCGGGTGTCGATCTACGATCTCGAGATATTCTGCGGGGTGCACCGGGTGCTGGGGCGGCCGACGCGGTACGAAGACTTTGCGGCGGCGAAGCGGCGGATGACGGACTGGGCGATATCGGAGCGGGCCCCGGACGCGGCGTTCCATGCGGCTCAGGGGCTGTACGAGGCGATCGTGGTCGGGGACTTAGGGTCCTACTACCGGGCCGAGGGCTACGTGGCGGGCCAGGACGCGTTCGTGCACCGGGCGTACATTCTCGCGCACTCGGCGATGCTGGTGTGGGCTTACGGGTATTGTCTCGAGGGACCGGAGTCGGGTGCGTTGGGCGAGCGGGACCGCGAGGTGGCGGCTGCGGCGGCGGCGGGCCGGGTCCCCGCGACGTCGACGTCGGAGGGCGAGGACGAGCGGGCGATTGGGGCGGCCGAGCCAGGCCGCGCGTTTCTGGAGCGGATGTGCGCGTGTGGCACTGCGCGGGAGATGGCGAAGCTGCGGGGCAAGAGCAGGACGGTGGGGTTGCTGCGGGTTGTGATCGAGGCGCTGCAGTCGAGCAAGTGGCAGCTTGTGCACGAGGTGTGCGATGTGCTCAAGTGCTGCATCCAGCGGAGTCTGGGCCGGGACGAGGCGAGCGTGAGGGGCGGGCGGGAGTATTACGAGGAGTAGTGTTTTCTACTATTTGTGTATATTTACTGTATAAAATGGTGATGACGATGTCGGTGTTGACGATGATGCGTTTCTGCCATTGTATTGTCACATCCACGTGACCAGAGGCTGTGCAGCGGCTGTGCGGGCTGTGCGGGCTGAGGCTGTGCGTGGAAGCCGTCGAAGGGCGAATGGAAGGCCGCAGCGCCTGCAAACAAGCTTTGGCACTAATCCCGATCGGGCGACAGGGCCAGGGTTCGGATGGCGGCATGCGTCCGCACAGCGGCGCGCGGCGCTCGTCGGTGGCCCTGAAACGCGGCGAAGGCTGTGACTGACGCGGCCGAAATCACCGCGGGTCGGGGCTATAAAGAGGCCCCTTTCCGCGAGTTCTCTTCTCTTCCTCTCATCATCACATCTTCACTCGAGATCAATTGACCCTCTCATCCACACATCTCACCATCACAATGTCAAACAACGACTTCTACGGCAACTCGGAGGGCTACCGTCCCAACGAGGGCGACAACCAGGGCTACGACCAGCAGCAGCAGGGCGGCGAGGGCCAGTCCGGCGAGCGCGGTCTCGGAAAGGATCTGCTCGGAGCCGCCGCCGGTGGCTTCCTCGGCCACAAGGTCGGCGAGAACTCCGGCCACGGCACGCTCGGAACCCTCGGCGGTGTCGTCGCGGGCGCGGGCCTGACTGATTTCATCTCCAACAAGTTTGGCGAGCACAAGCAGGGCGGCCACAACGGCGGCCAGCAGGGTGGCTACGGCGGCCAGCAGGGTGGATACGGCGGCCAGCAGGGTGGTTTCGGCGGGCCCGGTGGTCCTCCCCCTGGCGGACGCGGCGGTCCCGAGGGCGGATTCGGCGGTCAGCAGGGCGGATACGGCGGACAGCAGGGTGGATACGGCGGCCAGCAGGGCGGATTCGGAGGTCCTGGAGGGCAGCAGGGTGGATTCGGTGGTCCTGGCGGCCCCGGTGGCCCTGGAGGTCCCGGTGGTCCTGGAGGATTCGGTGGACCCGGTGGTCCGCAGGGAGGATACGGTGGCCAGCAGGGTGGACGCTGGTAAGCACCATCATCGCGTCGCTACTTCACCTTTTACACACACAGAAAACCACAAAAGGCCGGTGTTTACTATTGATTACTTATCCTGAATACTGCATTGTACATTGTTAGAATATAATTGAAAATCAATCAATTGTCAAATCATCTACATTCCACGTAGTCTAAAGGAGGTCTAAAGAAGCCCCTGCGCGATCTCGATCCGATCTCAACTCAGCAGTCAGTAACCGGCAGGGTGCAAACACAAATAAAAAGGCCACGTTCTCCTCAGTTCTGCCCTACGTCATCTTATGTAATCTCTTACTCATCGATGACGTAGTAAATTAAGTCTCATGCGGTTAGGGATCCGCTATCACTCACTCTTTACACTACTACACTACTCTACACTTTACTACAAGGAGAAGTAGGGAAACATATTATTCGCATTAAAATACACCTGAACTAAACAATGATGGAAGAATCCATCCGATATCAGATATAACACTCTTATCAATCTCTCTCTCCTATCCTCTCACCTCGGCTCGTGAGAAAAAGAGGACATCAAACTCATATCCAGCCAGCAATAAGCATAACCCAAGGTAATAACGAGAATACAATCAATCAAACACAATCAAACAAACACAAACACAAACACAAACACAAACACAAACACAAACACAAACACAACATCTAGTGACTCTCGGCAACAACGCCCTCAACCGACTCTGGCACGTTTTCTTGCACAACCTCAGTCACCGTCTTGCCGTTGCTGTGCTCATGCACGATCCCCAGCGGCACCTTCGCCAAGCTCTTTGCATGGTCAAACTGCTCGTGCGCAAATCCCTCCGCCAGTCCAATAACCTCAAACAAAAGCTGCTTCCCTGTCGACAGCGACACATACAATCTCCCCGTCAACGGCTTGCTCTTGATATCAGTCTTACTCTTCTTGTCCTCCCACACCGCCAGCGCCCGCGACTTTGCCGCCTGCGGAATCGACAGCACGTACGCCGCATTCTCCTCCGCATGCGCCTTCGTCGACGCAACCCGGCTCTCCACAATAGGCTTCACTCTGTATACCGCATTAGCTCCAATGTAGTACAGTCTCGACAGCTCCGTGCTCGGTGCTCCAGAGCTAGCGGTCGTCGACGCCGCAGCAGCAGTCGCTCCGTCGGTGTCTGCCTTCGCCGCAGGCAGGTACGCATCCACAAGCGCAACCAGGCGAGTGTTGATAGGCGCAAGCACGGGATCGAGCTTGGCGCGAACAAACGGACGTCCCTTGGCGTCATAGAAAGAAGCAGTGCGCTGCTTGGCCTTGTCGACCGCCTGCTTCGTGGGCTCGACGACGGTGTCGTTGACCTTGCTCTTGGCTGCCTCGCTGTAGAGGTGCGTCGTCGACTTCACCGACTCCACAGACTTTTGCACCTGCGCCGGAATATCAGGCGCCTGCGTCGACTTGAACGCGGGCACGTACTTGTCCACCGTCGACAGCGTCGAGTCGCCGAGCATGTCCACGCGGGCGAGCACGGGCGACGCACGGGCGACTGCGGGTTCGACGTACTTTGACACGTACGGCTTTGCGGTCGCAGACGCACGCTGCACAAGTGGCAATGAGGCAGTGTAGGAGACGGTCGCGCCGACGACGGGGTAGGAGAGCAGGTGGGAGACGAAGGCGGAGGACTTGGGGGAGAGGGAGGGAGTAGCAGTGGCAGTGGCCTCGGGGGTCTCGACGGGTTCGGACATTTTGATCTGAATGTGGTTTGCTTGTTAGATGAGGATGAAGAAGAGAAAAGAAAGAGGAAGAGAAGAGAATATATAAGAAAACGACACACGTGAAAGTGGGTCTAAAGCCGAGAAGAAGAGAAGGTGGGTGGCGAGGTGCGAGACAGACTTACGATCGGCAGAGGCACGGAGGTGGAAGAGAAGAGGAAGTAGAGGAAAGTGAAGGCTGTGAAGACGATAAAGAAGAAGACTCTGAGATATCTTCTACAATAACCAACTAAGGATACAGAACCAGAGCAGCTGAGTGGAGAAGCGGTGGTGAAGGCGAGGAAGAGGAAGGGAACAAGGATCGCGATGCGGGCTGGAGAGCAGTGAGCGTGGTAGGAAAACTTAAAGCCGCGCGTTTCTGCTCTGCGCCGCACAGCCATTTTACATGTGAAAGTGCTGGTGCTCAGCTGAGTCTCCGACTGCGCCCGACTGAGCCCGACTGAGCCCGACTGAGCCCGACCGAACCCTCGGCCGGTGTTCTGAAGTTGTTCACAGTTGCTGAATATCGTGTTGTTGTTCTGTTCTGTTTATAACCGCTTAGATTACTGCTTCTGTTGTTCATAACTTCTTCAATCAGTGGCAACCTCATCGAACATCTGGCGATCTTCTTATCTTCGCCTCGCTTCCGCCCTGCAGATCTCTTCTGCACGTTCTACTATCTCGATCCCTCTTATTGTGCTGTATACTGTATTTACATCATCCATCTCTTCTACTCTACTTTGCCACTCATTCTCTTTAATTCATATCACCTCATACTCCCAAATATACAACCTGTCTTGACATCTCTCGGCAATCTGCCGAGGCTGACACCCTAACCCGCTACTCTTGGTTCTTGTTCATGACTAACCTCTTACATACTCAGTACAATCCCCTTCTATTTACATACCTCTCAGTTACCACGGCAACGCGCGTAAACACGCACACAAACATACTCTTCACTCATCCTCACTCACCACTCCTCATCTACACTCACCTCTCTCCTCCACCCCCTCCCTCCTTCCTTACTCTACTGCACCCAACGCACTGTCCACGCGATGCTGTCGACGCAATGGATGCGCTCCGAGCTCGCCTCCGCGCAGGAAATGGTCGACGATCTATACGAAGACTTTGTCTTTGCCGCAAACGATGAACTCGACTGGATCTCTGATCGAATGGACGGCATCCTCCATGACTCCAACTTCGTCCCGTATGTTGTTACTACTATTAACCCATTGCTCACTGTCGCCTATCCATTCTAATTCCTCAGACAATCAATCGACGACAGTCGCTTAAAGTCCAGCAGTAAACCACTGCCATCTCCCGCCGCTCACGACAAGGAAAACGTCGAGGTATGCGTCTCAATTCTTTTCATCTCATCACGTCTACTCACACACATCTAGCAGCACTCGAGCCCCCGCCGCCAATACAACTCCTCCATCTCCTCTCTCATTACCTCTCCCATCCTCGCCCGCCAGTCAATCCTCTCTGCCGTGGCCGAATTCGCTCCCGAACCCGCCGACCCTGTCTCTTCCTCATCTCCTATTCCCGGCCATGATCACTACATTGAAGGTGACTTCTTTGGCACCCGCGAGCGTGAGATCCTCGCCCTCGATCCCGGCAATGGCTCCATTCTCGACCATCACAGCAGTAGCAGCATCACTCATTCTCCGCACCACTCTGACCCAGCCGAAGCAATGGACGTCGACTCTGGCCTCCTCGACGAACTCGAGACCTCGGTCCACTATGACGATAACAAATCTGTCAACTTCCCTGCCGACAGAAGATCAAATAACAATTCGTCTCCCTTCCGCTCCGAGCATCTTCCTTCTTCCCCCGCTCAGCCACCTTCTCACCACTCTTCCTTTTTGGATTCAAACATGCAGCCTCCCGTCAAGACAAACAGATCTTTGCAGAGTCTCTTTAGCGAAAGCTCACTCTCATCCTCTCAGCATGACGCCTCCTTCTACTCTGCAAACGACAAGCAGAGCCCGGCGGATCCACGTACCACCCCAAACACCAGATCTAGCGCCGCCCCTACCTCCAGTGCTCATCGCTCTGGTCTCCATCCTCAATCTTCACCAAACACCTTCACGCCTATGCATATCAATCCTCTCGCCCAAAGCACCCCTTTCAATCAGCCTGCTCCTCGCTCTACTCCAATCAGCGCGAGCAGCGCTCGTCGCGAGCCATACTCTCCTGCCGTCGCCTCTTCCCCTCGTGGCATTTTGCGCTCTCCTGCTACCCACAATTTGAGCCAGACCCCTACAACTCCTAAGCCCTCCACCACCGCTTCTTCAGCTACCGTCCCGGCCACTACCACTGCTGTGCACCAATCCACCACCGTCACCACCGTGCCGCTCAAAAACTCGCCTGCTTCACCTCAGGTCACTTTCGCTTCTCTTCCGGCAAAGGCACCGTTGACCACCAAGAAATCTCTTGGAAAACGTGTGTCGGATCTCAGCAGTGCAAAGTCATCAATGACCCACAAGTCTTCGGATTTCAGTGACGAGCAGCAGATTTCAAATCACAGATCCGAGTCGTCTCGTTCTTCACCGCAAAGTGCGCCTAATCAGTCTACTCCTGTTGCTGTTTCCTCTGCCGCTGCCGCCGACGAGACTCAAAAGACGGTAGTCAAGCCTAGCGCTACTTCTCAGCAGTCGGGGATGACGCCGGCACGTATGCTCTACAACAATCTGCAGAGTCATAGCGACGATACTCGCGACGACGAGGAAGAAGACTGGATTCCTCTGTCAAAGACCACGCCAGCACCTCGATCCAGATTCTTGAACACTGCTTTGTATAAAGATGCTTCTGAAAAGGTAGCCGGCCGCGACACGCAGCGAGCTGTTGTCGAGGAGGAGAATGAGGAGGAGCCTCAAGTGCTGGAAAAGGCGGTAGAGACCAAGCAAGCTGCTTCTGCGTCTGACGCTCGTCCTGCTGTCCCTACTACTGAGACCAAGAACGGCACTGATGAGTCTGAGCGTAACCCTTCGGTGAACACTGCTACGACCACCAAGGAAGTTCCCAGATACCTCACCAGCACTACCTCCTCCAGACTCAAGTCGTCTCCCACCAAGTCTGTTGTCACCGGCCTGCCTCCTGCTTCTCCTCTGCGTCCACAGAATGGAGCAACACTCACTGGTCGTGGGTCGCCTCTCCGACCACCGATGTCTTTCTCAACAAGACCTCAAGGCTCACCCGTTCGCAATCGATCGCCTCTGAGAAACACAGTCTCCAGACCTGCATCCCCTCAGCGAAAAGCGAGTGATGAAGACAAACAAGCCAAGAAGCCTGAGACCGTATCGAAACTACCCACCTCGACCGCAGTCTCCCCTCTTCGTCAGCAGCCCTCTATCCGTCTTCAGATGTCACCCGCGCGCTCAAACCTCAGTCGAAGTGCGTCGCAGTTGACCATCAACCAAGCCAGCTCGATCGCCGTCGCGGCTGCGGCCGCCGTCCAGGTTAACGGTCACTCGCCGATGACCAGCGCGCTGCGAAATATGAAGAGCTCTACTGCTGATGTCTTTAGGCGTGCCCGGATGCTTCTATTTGACAATGAAGCAAATAATAAATCTGGTGGGAAACAGCAGCAGCAGTCTAGTTCTGGGAAAGAGCTTGTGCATGTGTCTGGTGCGGGATCGCTTAGTCCAGCAAAGAAAGTGCAGAATTCGACAAAAGAAAGCTCCGAGCAGTCGAGTGGGAAGGCATCCAAGAACATGTACCCCGATATATCTGCTTTGCTCGTCGATAACGCAGGGTCACCAGGTCGGCCGGCCAATAACCATGGCTACGCTGAAGGTGCCTCGTCTTCGAACCAGGGGTATATGTCTGCATCTAATCCTGCCAAAGCATTGTTTCAGGCGCCAAACGCTTTCCGCTCGACGGCTGCTGCTTCCTCAATCACATCTACCTCTCAAGCATCTACGGCTTCAGACGGGACCGCAAGCACTCAACGGACGTCGTTCGACAGCGGTCCTGAAAGTGGAGATCTGAAGCTGTCGCCCGCACACTCAAAGCCGACCGGCGCTGCTGCAGGAACTGTGGCTGCTGCCGCCGCGGCTATCAACTCTGCGACGGCAGGATCAGCCAGCAGTAGTAGCAGTCTTGGACTGAGGGACAACAAGCAGCAACCGACAACCAAGCGTGTCAAGTCTGTCGTGCGCAAACCTGCTACTCGGGCCAAGCAGGCGCCGGTGGTGGTTCGTGTGCCGATGGGAGCCCAACGCGAGCTCGAGCAGCAGCGAAAGTTCGCGCAGACCGCTACAGCGACAGTGCCTGCCAGCACTTCTCAGGAACCTGCTCCCGCTGAAGTGGCGCACCAACAGCCGAGCGTTAGCAACGAGGATGAGTCGCAGCCTGCGAAGAAGACGGAACAGAAACGCGAGATTGATAGACGACGACAGGAGAATGCACGACGGGCGGCGATGCAGCAGCAGCAGCAACAACAGCAGGCTGAGGAGAAGAAGAGAGCGGATGAGGAGGAACAGGCGCGTCGGAAGTTTGCTCTGGCTAATAGAAATAGTCGAGTACCTCAAACGCGGGCAGTTGCTAATTTGGTGGTAAGTACTTTCTGCTGTTGAAAAGAAAAGTGAGTCTTATTAATTTTTATATTAATAGCGCACCGAGATTGAGGAAGCGACGAAGCCTATGAAGCGGAATTTCCAGATCGATGGAGAGCCTGGTCGGCTGAAGAACTCTCTTGTGCCGACTACTGCTTCGATGCAAGACCAGAGCAAGCGTCGTCGCACGGACGAAATGAGCGGTTCTCCGATCGAGGCTAAAGTGCGACACTCTGTCGTGCGCAAGGATCATCTGCAAGGCGGTGGTGCGTCGGCGCCTGGTAGTAAAGCGATTGGTGGAAGGCAGGTGCCGATTGTCGAGGGCGTCAAGTTCTCAAACGAAAAGATTCGATTCGCTGGGTCTGCCAGTGCTGCTTCTTCGACCGCGTCGTCCCAGGAGAGCAACGTTCAACCTACATCCTCGTCGACGGCTACCGGCTCGGTTGGCGGTCCTGCGCGACGGACGACCAATTCGGGTGAAAACGGTGCGCTGCCTTCGACCACGCCTGGTCGGCCTAACTTGAAGAATGCTTCGCAGCACGGTAGTCATGTGCGGTTGTCGCAGCTGGCGGCTATGCCGGTTAACAGCGGAGATCATATTGTTCTTCCCGAGATCTATAGCGAGTAAGTGCTTTGTGATTTGTGCAGTTTGTATAGTTGCTAACAAGAGATTAATAGATCGGAAGATGATGAGGAGGACTCTGTAATCCTGGACTGGGCGCACTCACCATACCTCAGAGAAACTTTACGAAAACAGCAACCGATCGATCCGGACACTGTGTTCGGTCCTGTTCCTCCACTGTCTATGGAGGAGGTATTCAGGAACCGAGCCGGCGTGTCGGCAGCTAGATTCCGACCTCGCTCATCGTCGGCCAATTGGTCAAACAATGACCGTCTGACGCCGCAGGAGATCGAAGCCTATGCGCAAGAGATGGGGTATAATCGACCGCAGCCACAGCAGCAGGATGCAGAGTGATGATGTTTGTAATTTTTGATCATTGTGTTTGTTTTTGTGTTTTTGTCGCGAAGAACGATGTGCGTTTCGTTTGCTTGAGATATAAACTGGTTCTGGACTGCATCGATATTAGATATCGTTTATTTGAACCTCTGGGAGGTGAAAAGATTGAGTTTAGTATACCAATAGCATATTACGGATTTATCAAAAGTTGTTTATTGGCCTAAAGTAGGATGTAGATTAGAAGTGATAAATGATGATGAACTCCGATGAATGCGCCAGTACAAAAAAAATGCAGGAGTGAGTAGAAGATTATATATGCACGACGTGTTTGGACATGATCTCGCGCTTGTTCTGCTGCTGTTCCAACTTGAGCAAATAATTTTCTCTCTGAAAGACTTTGATCCCCAGCTCTTTAAAATACGAACTCTTCGGCTCAAGCTTGAGCCCGCGCTCGATGCACTCCTGCGCCTCGCTAATCTTGTCGATCGCAAGACACGCCTTCGCGGTGCGGTAGTACGCTTTTGCGTTTGCAGGCTGCCGCTTGAGCACCTCTGCGCAGTCGTTGATCACGCGGCGGTAGTTTTGCAGCTCGAGGTTGCAGGCCGCGCGGTTGAGGTAGCAGGAGGTTACGATGTCTGCCAGTTCTTTGGCGTCTTTGGCGGCGGCTTCGGAGGTGTCGGTGGTGTTTAGGTTGATCTTTGTTCCCGAGGTGGCTTTCGAGTCAAAGTATGCTTCTGCGATTTCCTTCTCTTGTTCTGCAGTCATGTTGTCCGGCAACTCCTCGATCCGCGAGGAATTTGTCGAGTCCGCTCCCTCTCCCTGCGTAGGCTTAACCTCAGGCTTCCCAAGCCCCGTCATAATCGCCTTTGTATAAAACTCCACCGCGTCCTTAAAACTCTTCACCTGGAACCGCTCATTCCCCTGACTCTTGAAGTTCCGCGCAATCTCGACCGGCGAGCCTTCGTACGCGAGCGCCTGCAGCGCCTCCAGCATCAGATTCGAGCCGCCTTCGCCGTCGGTCTGGTCGAGCTCGGTCATGAAGAGCGGGAGACGGTTGAGGTCCCGCATGAGCTCGTCGGTCGAGCTGTCGGCGTATTTGAGTTGTGGGCCTGCTGTTGATGCCATCTCTGGTTCTAGATAGTTTCGATTTCTTGATTTGAGGGGATTGCCTTGGTGGGTGGAGGGGAGTGGCTGATGAAATAGTCAGAATATCCAAGTTCTTCAAAAACAAAATAAAAAATTCGATGGGAGTTCCAAGTTTCGCTTTCCTCCCAAGAGTTTCTGGATCAGTGATTTTTTGTAGTCTCTTCAAATCTCGAAAATACACAACACATAACCCCGTCTCTCTACACAATATATAGAAAAAATTATAATGAAAAAAAATATACACGCTTTCATCAATAATCACCGACAATAAACTAAAAAACAAAAACGCAAAAAAAAAAAAAAAAAAAGAAAACAAGTCGCGAGACTCTTTTATCTCGGTAACGGGGAATTGAACCCCGGTCCCCCGCGTGACAGGCGGAAATTCTAGCCACTAAACTATTACCGACTTGTTATCAAAAAAAAATTTATGTGCCATTATAAGCTGGTGTGCACGTAGAAGGTTTTGCTCGTTTTGTCGATGATTTTGGGTGGGAAGGAGATGGGGAGGGTATTTCAGACTCTGTAGGTTTTGGAATAGATGTGGAAATTGGATTGATATGATATTTAGAGGGTATGTGGTGCTTTGTAGTGAACGGTGGACCAGGGCAATACCTGGAAGGGCTGGATAAGAATAAAGGGGTTCGTACTCAAAAATCATCTCGAGAAACAATCTACGCTCTCTTCGCTGAGCCAGGCACCAGTTAACACCACAAAGCGCATAGTCTCGTCTCCCGATTCGGCTTTGATTTTTTCTAAATCTAAGGCTGTGCTGTGTGGCTTTGTTACGATATATTTTTGGTAGTGTTTGGATTTTTGGTATGTGTTTTGGATGGCGGGAGGAGTGCTTGTCGAGGATCTTGATTTGTTTATTTTTTGAGGAGCACCTGTCATTGATTGATTGTCTACTAAGACTTGACTGCGTCGCAGATACTACAGCCTCTGTTTACATTGAAATTGCAAAGAAAAGAATTGGGCAGTATAGACACGATAAAAATGGAACGCAAGGCCCCGAGATCAACGTTCACCAACTCGGCCCGCGGCACGAAGCCATACGCGAGACCGGCGACGGCGACGGCCACGCCTCAGCGAGCAGCGCAAAGGAATGATGAGAGCGGCGCGACGCCTACGCGGGTAAGTTTCTGTGGGTTGGGTGCTGGCGGTTGGTGTCGAGAGAGATTCGTGGAACGCTAACGAGGTCGAGGGTGATAGACACCGGGTGGAAGTATTTTCTCAAAGATCTGGACGATGTTTACGCCTGGCAGGAATCCACAGCAGCAGGATGGAGAAGAGGAGACGGCGGAAGATGGGCTGGAATCAGGTGCGGTAGAAGACGAGACTGAGAAATCGACCGACGAGGGAAGCACGGCAAAGCCTTCTAAATTGCCATACCTATTCTCGCCCGCGCAACCGCGTTCGTACCAGCAGTTTACCACGCCATCTGCGAACCCTCCGTCGCCGTTCAGATTCAATCCAGAAGAGTCTGCGACACCGGTAGCGAGTCGTCCGTCGCGGGGATTAGAGTCGCCGTCCGCCTCGTCGCCAACTCAGAAGCTGGAGAAGTTTTTCCGCATAAAAGGCAATGAACCGTTGTCGGAGATCGAAACGGAAGGCGTGCTGGCGTTGATACGCCAGGCGGCCGAAGAGGCGCAAAAAGAGCAGAACGGAAATGCGGATGAGAAGGCGAAAACCAGCGGCTCGCCCTTGGCTACAGAGATCTCACAGCCGCGCGAGCAGACGCCGCCAATGTCGGTAGCTGAGCGCCTGTATCCTTCCGTGCCGACGTTTGCGACTCCTTCTCGTCGCCGGCCGTTGGTGCTGGAGTCGCAGACTGTGCGCGCGCCGCGGTATAATCCGATCCTGACGCCCCAGAGACGGCGAGCAATGACGCCTACTCATATTCGCCCGCGCGAGGTCGAGCTGCCGTCGCACTCGACACCGTTCAGAGCTCGTACACCTAGAGCTACTAGCGCATCCACTCCGGCGATTTCCTCGCCTTCGTCGACTTCTCCGCGAGCTTTATCAGAAAGTAAAGAGACTGCTGGTGCCACTGCCGCCGCCGCCGTTGTGCCCGCGCCTACTCCGAAGCGAATCTCGACGACAGCGAGCACTCTGTTGTCACTAATCAGTCCTGTTGGCACATCGCAGGAAGTCGCGGCGGCGATCGAGGAAGACCGCGAGCGCGTGATCGACCCTGCGCTCCGTCCGTTCGTGAACCCGTACGCTGCCTCGGGCACGATTCATCGGACGCCCAAGCGTGCGAAGAGGAAGGAGTCCGTGCTGGGACTGAGCGCGAGCGTGCAGCGAAAGCGCACGAATACGAGCGAGACGCCGGTGGCGAAGAGGAGTGCGATTGAGGAGATTGAGCGGACGATGCCGAGCGAGGAGAGGGCGTCGGTGTCGGCGTTTGAGAAGGCTGTTTCGACGGCTACGCCGGTGAAGGCGCCGGTGGCTGAGAGTAGCCCGCTGACGACGCTGGAGAAGATAGAGAGGGAACCTGACGAGGTCCCTGCGGCTGTGGGGGTGAAGGATACGGAGGCAAAGACGACGACGCCGCCGCCTGCGTTTTCGTTTGACAAGTTTAGGCCTTCGAAATCGTCTAGTCTGCGTGAGAGCGTGGTGATGAGTCCACCTCAGAGCCCGACGAAGAAGGAGGAGAAGAAGGCGGAGGAGAAGAAGACAGAGACGACCGAATTCAAAGTTACACCTCTTCCCGGATTCAGTGGTCCACCCAAGATAACAGCTACTGCAGCTGCTATTCCTGTTACGGCAGTGAGCAAACAACCTGAACCAGAAGTTGAGATTGAGCGAACACAGGAGCAGGCTAAGGCGCTGGCGACGATGGATTACAAGGCCTATGTCGGGAGGTTTTTCTTTTACCCAGTCCAGCGCGCGGAGGGACAGCAGAGTGCGAGTGAGAAGGCGCTGGAGGCGCAGGAGTTGCTGTATAGCACGTACAAGATGAAGTATAACTTCACGGCTTAGAGCAAGTAATAATAAACCAATAATTTCACATGATGCTTTATATTTGTAAGATTGTAGTTATAAAGAGGAGAGAAAAGCTGCTACGCGAGCGATGGCGTCCTCAGCTGCGTCGGACGCAGAGCCAGGCCCGAGATTATGTCTTCCACCAGCAACAACACCACTTTTCTCCGCCCAATACTCGGGCTTGACGAAGCGTTTCCATCGGCCGACCAAATCCGGTTTGCTCACTTCAGCAGGCATGAACTCGTCCGCTCCCGAGACAAGGACAAGTAGCGGGCACGACACTGCGCCAAACGTCGAGCTGAGCACGGTGTCGTCAAGATCGGAGGAGAAGAAATCATCGTCGCCTTCTTTTTTTGCGAGGGAGATCCAGCGGTCGGCGGTGATTGGGGTGTCGAAAAAGAGATCGGAGTATCGTTTGGGAAGGATTTCGGCGCCGTTGCCGGCGGCTTGCTGCGCGAGAGCGTAGGTTAGGAGAGGGGCGGCTTGGTCGGGGAAGAGAAGGTGCATTGCCTCGCGATCTGAGACGGGGGCTTGAAGGATTGCACCGGAAAGGAGGGGGGAGGTGGAGTCTGATGATGATGACCTGCGCACGAGAAGCTGCATCGTGTCCTGGCACCCGGTCGAGTGTCCCATGAGCGCGATCTTGCTCCCTGCAGGTTTCCGCCGACGGAAATAGTCAACCGCCTGCGCAATTTCGTCTGCGTCGCGAGCGAGCGTGCCGGTGCCCCAGCCGCGGTAGGAGGACGAGATAAGGACCTGCGCGACGGACCATCCCATCGGCGCGAGTTTGTCCGCGAGCAACGGCACGTAGGGCACTGTCTCGAGCCCGTCGCCGAGGCCGCCTACGAAGAGAAGAACGTTGTCGTGTGTCGCGGTGCCGTACTCAAAGGCAACGAGCCTGGGGGTGTATTGGTGGAGCACTCCGGTCGCCATGGTCTCTTTCTCTTCTCTTCTTGTCGAGCGGAAGGTGTTCGCGGGGCAGTTGCGTCATTGCCGGGCGAAGTGGTTCAGGGGCGGCGGTTTATTCTGGGTCGCGGTTCCCGGGTCCAAACCCTTGCCCGCAGCGCTGCCCGAAACCAAAACCAAAACATCGCCGCTGGGCCCTGATCGCATCGCGGCTGTTATTGTTTTCCTTTTTTCTTCTAGTTTGGATCACAAAGGCTCACAACGCGCGACGTGTCGGCCGTATTCGGAACGCGTAAACAATCTGATTTGCAGATCAAGATAATTATTCTTCGCTTTGCAAAGGCAACTACTTACTATCACAATGACCTCTGATCCTCCTGCTCCGGATCAGCACCCGCCCTTCCCCTCGTTCACGTTCACGGACTTGCTCAACGCATCAGACGACGACGAAGAAGACGATGCTTTCTACACCTACGCCGAATCGACAAGCGATTCCTACAGCGCAGGCGACTCGGCCTCGTACAATACCGCGTCTGAAGGCGCGTCGATAGGGGCCGCGGCCGAGGGCGGTGATAACGCGTCGCAGGCAGAGCGCGAGTTTGTCGCGCAGACGTTGGCGGATATGGGGAGGGGGAGTGAGGCGAGTAAGTCTGGCGTTTGGGTTCCTGGGCTGCCTATCCACCTCGGCGGAGCAGAGTCTCTACGGACGCCTGCGACGCCTGTTAAAATGGAGGACGAGGGGGAGAAGAACGCGCCTGAGACACCTGCGCCGTCTACGCCTGGAACAATAGATCTTGCCGACGCGATCTCCGGTCTACGAATCGACGACAGCAGCAAGCGTGAGCCAGAGGAGCCGCCAAAGGAGGAAGAAGATAGCTCGGGAAAGACGATGCTGCTGTTGTCGCCCTTATCTTACAATCACGTTTTCTCGCGCAAATGGGTTGCCAAGCGGTATCTCTCATCGATCGTCGAGCGGCCGCAGCGGTTAAATGCTACCGCGCTGGGAATCGGGGCTGCGATGACGCTAGTCGACGATGATGACAGCAAGGGCGGGTTCGTACTGGAATCCTCCACCCGCAGCGTTGATCTCAACACCGCGCTACATGTGAAACGCGTGCACGGCCAGAAATGGCCGCGCGTGCTGGCCGAGCTGTGCGCGCAGTCAGAAGGCAAGCTTGCAGAGGGCAAGATCGAGGTTCCCGACGGCTGGAACTCGGGCGATATCTATCTCGGCCCGGGGACGTTGCCGGCACTGGAGGGGGTCGTGGGCACGATTGAGGCGGGGGTTGATTGTGTTTTTGGAGGGGATGCGAAGAAGGCTAGGCGGTGTTTTGTCTGCGTGCGTCCGCCGGGTGAGTTGTCTCTACATGTGTTTTATTGTGAGGTGTTGAGCTGATATTTGAGGACAGGCCACCACTCGCATCCCTGTGCGCCGTCAGGATTCTGTCTAATCAACAACGTGCACGTTGCGATCCAGTACGCAGGCTTACAGCACGATCTGACGCACGCCGTGATTCTCGACTTTGACCTGCACCACGGCGACGGCAGCCAAGACATTGTCTGGAAACGGTCTGGTTTGGAAGACGCCGACGAAGAATTCGAAGCCACCGAAGAAAGCGCAGAGACAAAGTCGAAAGCCAGTCCGAAGATTGGCTATTTTTCGCTGCACGATGTGAATTCGTTCCCGACAGAGGTCGGATATGCGACTGCCGAGAACATCAAGAACGCGTCGGTGTGCTTGATGGCTCATGATTTAGCAGTATGGAATGTTCACCTGGAGCCGTATTCTACGCCGGCGGAGTTTGACGCTCTGTACGAGACCAGGTACTCTGAGCTGTTCACCAAGGCGGCGAAATTTCTTGCTGCTGCCGAGGAGCGTGCTCAGAAGGATGCAGCCGAGAACGGGGGCGAGGTCAAGTTCAAGGCAGGCGTGTTTCTGTCGGCAGGATTTGACGCCTCCGAGTTTGAAGATAAAGGGATGCAGCGGCACGGGGTTCATGTGCCGACCTCGTTCTACGCGCGGTTCACGAGCGACAGCGTCGCGCTTGCGGAGCGGTATTGTGGCGGGCGAGTGCTGTCGTTGCTGGAAGGAGGATACTCTGACGGCGCGCTGTGCAGCGGGGTGATGGCGCACTTGGTGGGACTGCAGAGCGGGCTGGCGGGGTGGAAGGACGAGTACGCGAGTGCGAACGTGGTGAAGCAGCTCGAGAAGGGGTGTAAGCCGCGATGGCACGCGCCAAAGAGCGCGGCCGCGCGGGAGAATTGGGTCGTACGGGCGATCGAGGTCGGGCGTGGGTTGAGACCCGATGGCGGGGTGGTGGGTGAGGATAGTGGGTTCAGCACGCCTGTGGGATCTGCTTTGAATTCGCCGGTGAAGGGCACGCCTATGACTGCCGGCGGACGCGTGCTGCGCGAACGGCGGAGTACGCCTGTGTATGCGGCGGGGGGAAGTCGCGCGTCTCCTAGCAAGAGGGTGGAGACGCCCGCACCTAGCAGGAGGGTGGATACGCCCGCGGTTGCGAAGCATAAGATCGTGCGGGAGGACGGTGCGTGGAGGTTGGTGGATGGGTTTGAGAAGTTGAATGTGCAGGAGCAGCAGTAGTAGCAGTAGTGCTGTTTGTGTTTTCTTAGTTTGGGTTGTATAATTAGGCGATTGCTATGGGTAGTTGCTGGCGTCAGGATATATTGTTTGAGATTTAGCCGTAACGTACATGTAGACGTTTATTTTTGTATAATTAATGGAATATATGAGTGAGATGCACTTTTTTTCGTTTTTCCTTGTACCTCCTAATCAAATAGGATATGTGAGATCATCAGTTGATGAGCGGGGTTTCCTCACCGCGAACAGCGTTCTGGACGTTTTCGATACCGTCCTCGATCGAAGCCTGGGCATCAGCAGGCAAGAGTCCCTTGAATCCCGTGGCAAACATGACGACCGCGCCCTGGACGGTCAATAATGAGAAGTATTGTCGCCGCTCATTGCTACTGCCGTCTGTCTGTTTGATCTATATATTTGCTGTTCAGAGATTAGATATAGAATAAAAAGAAGAGGATTTATTTATTTTTTTCTTGGTTTTGCAATACGGTACCGCCGCGCGCTCTTGATACATCAAATACAAAAACACTCTGCTCTCTGCTAAGAAATATAGCAAAATGAAACAATGAAATAAAAAAAGTAAAACAACAAAGCAATGTAACATCACAAAAAAAGAACAATACAACAAAAATATTACAGTAGAATAACACAACAGTACAACAAGCCAGCGCAACAGCTTGTCAGCATAAATCAGAACAGAACAACATCAGAGAAGCAGATACAGAAAAGACAGACAGGAAGAGCGCGCATAAAGCGACTGGTGCCAGGATCGGGAAGAATGCGTTACGCATACCCTTTCACAGGACTATGATGCCCTGCTCAAAAGTTATGTGGGACTCTGCGACTCTCGAAATCGCCATACCCACTAAAACCCGACTTCACCCAGAAGACAGTCATGGACTGCCCCCGTATTGGTGGATTGTCATCGTTGCGCTTGAACCGCTTGGTCGTGCGGACTCTCTTCAACAACCGTCGCCTCGGGGCTCCCTTGCGACGGCGCAACTTACCAGTTGCATTTGTTGAAGAGACGCGACAACGAAGACGTTTTAAATCCAATGAGCAACCTGGCTAAAGAAGAAGCTCATCAGATTGGCCGCCCTGACCAACCGCGTCCACCCTGACCAGGCAGGATCCTCGGCGCGTACATGAGACGGCCAAGCAGAGGGACCGGGCCGACAACGGCATTACAGTGCCTTCGAGCGAACTCACCCGGTGTCTGCGCGGGCAGGCCATATACCAGACCGCTTGGTCGAGTAAGCTTCTCTCTCCCCTTCTTCTCTCGCATGCATGGCACGACGCCCACTCTTGAGGGTGTGCAACCACGGAAACGGACCGGAATATGCGACTACCCAACTTCTCGAGGTCCAGCCACAGAAAGCGAGTCCTACCTGCTGTGGTATATGCCACTCTTAGAGAACGCTACCTGGATATTATGCTACCCTGAAAGGCGCGCTATCTGTTCCAGTCATAGCCACCCCCAGAGAGTGCTACATGGCGCGGTGCAGTCTGCTCTCAGTACGAAAACGCTACCCACGCGATGTAGTTTCTCTGGAAACGCTCATGAAACAGCGCAGTCTACACTTTGAGAATACTACCACTTCGGTATATGGCATCCTCCAAGAGTGCTACCTGCGCTGTACGGGCTGCTTTCTGGCGACTTCACGAGGTACCATGCCTGTTAGAAAAGAAAGAAAGATCAAAACATACCCTCATCACCGCCTTACCTTTTTGCCGTCGAGAGAGAGCCGCGGGATGCCGATAATCCCGATCTATTGCTGGAAAATAGATCAAATCGCTGGGGTGGGACAGGAGCCGAAAACCTGTCCCGGGGGAGGAAGAAGAAGAAGGGAGAAGAGAGAGAAGAAAGGCGGGCGCGCCTAAATGTGCGGATCGTGGTTCGGGCGGGCGCGTGTCGGGTGTAGTAGGGTTTCTAACCTTGGCCGAAAGTAAACACTCTGATAGAGAGGATTTGGATCTCATACTGGTCATATCTTTCGCATATCGGCCGATCGCTATGATTACTGGGTTTTAAAAGCTTTCCTGATGATTAGCTATCTATGTGACTCTGTACCAATGCGAGCTGTTTTGAAGCCTCTGTATCATCGGGCGGTGTTTCTTGGACCCAAGGGTGGTACTTCTCATAATAGAGCTCGAAGATCTCGTACATGCTAACCCCACGCGTTTATCTTCACAAGATCTTCCTGAAAAAGGGTCCCTCAATAGTTGAACAGACAAGTAAGACGCGTTTCAAATCCTTTTGTTGTGATTTGGCGAATCTGGAGGCCCAGTTCTATCTGGCGCGTGCTGCATCGTGCTCTGCCGGTAAACCATAAGCCATATATCCACGTCTGCCAAATGAGAATCGATCTTCATCTTTCTAGATTGACAATACATCAAAGAAATAAATTACTTCTCTCTCGTTTAATTTCAAGCAATTCGCGCGGCAATATCGTCAAACGTGTTGATTGTTCATCCTGTCATGTAAGGTACTTTCACGATCAATTATATGCCTTGGCAGCGCTTCTACAGCTCCACTTTTTTTTCCTTCTAAATAGCTTGATAAATAAGAGCTCTCAACTTTCTGTTTTGGTGGATACCATGGTTGGCTGGTGTGGGATGCTGTGGAGAAGGAGAAATGGGCAAATTATATGTAGAAGCGCGCCGCTACAAAGTGTTAGGCGTTACATGTAGACATTTATTTTTGTATAGTAATTGAAATTTTTTCAAGTAGTGAATGAGTGAATGCACTTTTTCTTTTCCTTTTCTTTTCATCTCTGGAGTAATAAGTTATGGAGATCAGTTGATGAGCGGGGTTTCCTCACCGCGAACAGCGTTCTGGACGTTTTCGATGCCGTCCTCGATCGAAGCCTGGGTGTCAGCAGGCAAGAGTCCCTTGAATCCCGTGGCAAACATGACGACCGCACCCTGGACGGTGAGCAAGGCAGCGATAATTAAGGCAAAAATCCACTGCAGCGCAAAGGTCTTGACAAAGATCTGGCCGACCGCGAGGCCCCAGACGAGAAAGGCAGAGGCAAAGGCAAAGCCCCAGTCAGCAAAGACTAGGAGGGAAGCGGTGGGGAAGAGGTAGAGGACCCAGATGAAGATGTTTGCGAAGATGCGCGCAAAGAGGTTGTGCGCGTGGACGGCGACGGCACCGGTCCAGAAGATGGCGAAGAGGCACCAGGCGAACGGGAGAGCTGAGGCGGCGAAGTGGATCGTGAGCCACTTGAGGGGAGGGGAGAGGTTATGGGTGCGCTTGGACCAGTAGAGCGCGCCGGTGAGGAGGAAGTTGAGGACGACGACGAACTCTGCAAGGATGAAGTGGGCGTGCGCGAGGAGGACGAGCCAGAGGAAGTGCAGGAGGTTGAAGGCGGAGAGGAAGTAAGCCGCCTGCGAGGCGTCCTTTTGGGCGTCAGAGGAGCCGGCGAAGAGCTGGTGCAGGAAGGCGACCTGGGCGAGGTAGGAGGCGATCCAGAAGAAAAAGAGGAAGACGATGTTGGGGGTGAAGGGGGTGTATTCGAGGTGGAAGGCTTCGGACTGGTGATTCCCTGCGATTCCGCGGCCGGAGAGGTAGTAGAAATTTGTGATGATTGCAAGGGCAAAGGAGCCGACCGCGACGAGACGCTGGACGGAGGATCTTGAGATGGTTGAGTCCATTGCGATGTGAGCAGAGTATGAATCAACAGAGAACAGTAGTCGAGGTAGTAGATGAAGGATCAGAGGAAGAACAGAGAACAGATCGAGACCGAACCAGCTTTATGAAGCGAAGCGATCGTCGCTTCGGTCGACGACGTCATCGGCCACGCGCACGCAGATCATTTGTCATGTGACCACGTCTTTTGCTTCCTGTCTATTAACTGTGTGTATTCTGATGAGGAGTTTGTATTTGAAGTTACAGAATGCTTTGGAGAATGCAGGATAGTGGCTGCCGATGTAGAAGGGCACCGTGCGATGGCTGTACTGCCTCTGTCATACTTCCTCTTCCAGCTGCTCGACAGTGAGTGCAGTCAAACAGTCAATGTCGAGGTCAGCAATTTCCAGCTGATACAGTCAACACAGCTGCTGACTTCTGAGCTCTCTTACAGTTCGCATTCGTCTTCATTCCCCGTCCTCATAAGCCCTCGTCTCATTCCTCAGCTCATCCCGGCTCAGGTGGTTCTGGCTCGGCTGCGCTGTCAATGCGCATTAAACCCTAACACAATGGACATCTCGAAGATGCAGCATGTATATGCGAGCGTGTTCAGACATCTGATAGAAAACTACTAAGAAGTAATCAGTGCGTAGTAATATCCAGAGTATTGACAGACACAACGGGGGTAGAAATCCAGCTGCATCCCAATCATTACTAATCCATGACTAAGCATTAACATCACGACCCACATCCTCTCCTCGCCCGACCCGACCCGCACGCAGACTTTCTGGCTCCCCACAAAGTAAACAAACCCCACGCAAACAAACCATCCGCAGCCCAGAAGACGCGACAATGAGCTACGCGCGTCCGACGCCGCTGCACCAGCAGATGCTCAACCCGCCTGCGCCGGCGCTGCCGCTGCAGAGCATCCACCATCTGCACCACCCCTTGCAGCCCCTTCTGCCACATCAACAGCATCAGCAGCAGCATCAGCAGCATCAGCAGCCACAACCACAGCTGCAGCATCCTCATCAGCAACCGCAGCCACAGCAGCATCACCAGCAGCAACAACAGCAGCAACAGCAACAGCAACAGCAGCACAACAGAGTGCTCGCGCTGCCGCTGCAGCACCAGCAGCAGCAGCCGTACCTCCCTCAGCAGACTCAACACCCTCATCCCCTCCCCCACCAGCACCAGCATCTCCTCCATCCGGAACCAAACGCCTCGCCCGCTCCTCTTTCTTCCTCCACCTCAGCCGCCGCTGCTTCTCTCACGCCCTCCTCCTCATCGAAGAAGAAAACCCAGCAGTCATGGGTCTGGAACTACTTCGTCAAGGTCCAGGGCCAAGACGGTATAATGTACGCAATCTGCCAGCTCCCATCCGCGACGCCATCCAAGAAGTCGCGCAAGGACTCCACCGCCTCGACCGCAGCCGGCACCGCCGCTGCATCCAACGTCGCCGCCTCCGCCAGCAAAAACGGACAAGCCCCGGGTTCTTCCGGCGCCTCCGTCTCCGCGAACGGAGCATCTAATCAGAACGCGGGCGGCAAGCTTGACGGCGACGACGGCGACGAGGACGAAGACGAAGACGATGATGACGACGTGGGGGTCGTGCAGAACCAGCGGCGCAGAGGACAGACTGATTACATGCGCGAAGTAGTCGGCGTGGACGCGCGTCAGACCGATGCCGACGGCTCGACGGTGTGTCGCTGTAACGCGCAGTACAAGTATATCCAGGGCACCAAGAACCTCATCCGACATCTCATTCGCACGCACTCGATCTTCAAGACTACCGCACATGATGTCGCGGTCGCGAGTATGACGGGTAATCAGAACGGAGGTCTCGCCAACCAAGGCATGAACAACGGCGGTAACAACAACAGCAACAATTCGTCATCTGCCGCCGCTGCCGCCGCCGCGGCCGCAGCAGCAGCAGCAGCAGCAGCGGCATATGGAGCGTATGATGATCAGCGCGGGGCGATTCCACAGGATTCGCGGTTTGCGTGGATGACCACGGCCGATACGTTGGCGTCTGGCTCGTCGTTCATGAACACTGCGCCCACCGCGACATATCTTATGGATCCATCGCAGCAGCAACATCAACAGCAGCAACAGCAGCATATGCAGCACCACCAGCACCTTCAACAGCAACAGCAGCAGTCGCAGCAGCAGCAATCACCGGGTATGGTCAACGCGACGACAAACAAGCTCAAGCACTGGACCGACGACGAACTGATTGCGCTCCTACAAGCGCACCACGACGTGCGTACCGCACGCGGACCGGAAGCTGAGTTTCTTCCGCTCGATGACCTTATCGAGGATACCTACGCCACCTTCTGCGCGCGCCAGGAACAACTCATGCACCACCAGCATCAGCAGCACTCTGCGCAGCATCGCGACGCAGACGGCGCAGGCGGTGCTGGAGGCGCGGGGGGCGGGGGAAGCGGAGGCGAAGCGTATGAGCCGATAATTCGGCGACCGGCGAAGGCGGTGTATGATAAGTTGTATGGTCTCGTGAGCAGTTACAAGTTTGTGACGGATTATGAGGAGGATCGGATTAATCGAGAGCGGAACGCGATCGGGTCTGCGATCCAGACTACGAAGAAGGCGTGGTGGGATCTCACTCCGCACGATCATCGAAGGATTTTAGGGAAGAATCGAGTAAGTTTTGATGTTGCTTTTGTTCTATTATTATGTTCAGGATACTAACTTGCGCCAGACATGTCTGAGCAGGGCGGTATACAACACCGTCGCGATGCTGATGCCACCGGCTTTACTCCGAAGAAACGGAACAAGACCATCCCGTCGCGCAGACGAATCCGGTAGCGACCTGTCAGACGGCGAAGTGTCTGGTCGTCGAAACTCTGGAATGATAATGCCTTCACGCAAACGACAGCGACAATCTACTAGCTCATCTCAACCTCAACTACAAACACCACAGCAGCAGCAACAGCAGCAACAAGTGCAAAGACCGCGACGGAGGTCGCAGCAGAATTTCAGGGGTCTGTCTGTTGCGTTGAATGAGAGCGATAACGACGAGCTTGAGGACGACGATGGGAGATTGGCGCCGGATGATGTTGCGGTCGGGGTTGAGGATTTGCTTGGACAAGCGCCGCCTCCACCACCACCGTCTTCCTCCCCGCGCAGGAGTGCGCGGAATACCAACAACAACAGCAACAGCAATAATAATAGCAACATTGGTGGAATGCGGTCGAATTTCGAGAGACAGATGTTGAATGAGCAGGCCGCGCAGACGGATCTGTTGAGAACTATACTGGAGCAGCAGAGTCGGATGCTCTCTACGTTTGAGCAGACCTTGAGGAGGATTGATAATCGATGACGTGTCTAATGATGGATATGATGATATGTATTCTAGTTAAAGGACTCTTAATTGTAATGATAGACTTTTCTAAATTAAACAAAGACAGATCTACTTTTGCAAGTGAGCCGACTCAGGGGTGATGTCAACCAGCAGCCCAGAGGTCAGGGCAGACTTCAAGTTCTTCAACACCTGGAGCTCCATCTTTCTGCGGGACTCGAGCGTGTGGGTTCCGATGTGAGGCAAGAGCGTGACCTTCTCGTTCGCGAGCAAGCCAGGGTGGATAACCGGCTCCTCCTCAAACACATCAAGACCGGCGGAGAACACCTTTCCGCTCGCGAGCGCGTCGACCAGCGCAGCCTCGTCGATGACGGCACCGCGCGCGGTGTTTGTGATTACCACGCCGTCCTTCATCTTTGCGAACGCGTCCTTGTTGATGATGTGCTTTGTGGCCGCGTTGAGCGGCAAGTTTAGCGAGAGGACGTCAGCCCGCGCGAGCAGCTCGTCAAAGGAAACGTACTCGGCACCGCCGCTCAGCTCCTCCGACAACGGCTTGCGGTTGTGGTAAATGACCTTCATGTCGAACGCCTCGGCGCGCTTCTTGAGCGCGCGGCCGATGCCGCCCATGCCGATAATTCCGAGCGTCTTGAGCTCGGGGTCGTGAGCGAGCGGCGTGGTGGAGTTCCACTCGCCGCGGCGGAGGCCGACGAGCGCCTGGTTGAAGTTGCGCAGCGCGGAGAGGATGAGGAACATGTTCACGTCCGCGGTCGCGTCGTCGACGGAGCCGGGCGTGTTGGACACGCGGATGCCGCGCTTGGCGGCCGCGTGCACGTCAATCATGTCGTAGCCGGCGCCGTGGTGGCAGATGTACTTGAGCGTCTCCGGGAAGCTCGCGATAAGGTCGGCGTTGATCGTCGAGCCCGCGGCCGCGCTGTGGGTGTGGAAGATGGCGACGGCGGACGAGTACTCGCCGCCGGGCGCGAACTTTGCGCTCAGCTCGGCGTTGGTCTTGGTGGTGTCCTCGACCAGGGTCGCGAGCGAGGAGAGCTCCTGCCACTCGGGGTAGGCGTGCAGGATTTTGCCAAAGAGGATGACGGAGGGCTTGGACATTGTTTCTGTAGGTGTTTTGCGTGTCTGACTGTGCAATTGAGGCGGCAGAAGCGGTGGAGCAGCGGCGAGCGAGTCGGGAAGCAGAGCAGACGGTGGTTTTATAGTTGCGGGGCCTCCTTCTCCGCGACCTGCGCCGCACCTCTGAAGAGGCTCCCGGCTTTGCTGCCGTCCCCCACGTCCAAATCTGTAATCGCGTCTATGCCCCCCACGGTGTTAGGTAATGTGTTAGTAATATATCTGTATCTATTAGGAGGTTGCTGTGGTTTATATCTTTAACAGAAGTGGTCGGTAGTTGTGTTGTCATGAACTGCCATCAACATCGTGTAGAAACAACAGATAAGAATAAAAATACATTGAATATAAATAATCAGCAACGGAGATACTTCCGTCAATCAACCCTCCTCCGCTTCTCGGCTTTCTCCCGACTTTTCTCCCCCGCGGAACCGGCTTCCTCGCCTAATCCGCCCTCATCCCGCTCATGCTTTCTCCCGCCCTCCCGTCTCTCCCGCTCATGTCTCTCCTTCCTCCTCTTCTCGCGCTCCCTCTCCCGCTCCCGATCCCGCTCTTTCTCCCTCTCGCGCTCGCGCTCGCGGTCTCGGTCGCGCTCCCGCCGCTCGCCTGTCTCTGTAGATTTAGTATGGTGCGATGACGACGAGGAAGAGTGGTGGTGCCGCGAACTACTACCGCTGCTCGCGCCTTGACGCTTCTCTCGCTCCCTGTCGTCGGTCCCGGCCGTAGATCCCTCGCGCTCCTCGCGTTGTTTCTCACGCTCGCGCTCACGTTCGCGCCGGCGACGTCGTTCGCGGTCCCGTTCGCGTTCACGTTCTCGTTCTCGTTCGCGTTCGCGGCTTGACCGTTCGCCCGTCGCACTTTCCGACTGCTGCTGCTGAGGCGACGGTGCGGTGCTCGACGTGGAATGTACAGGTGGAGGAGGTGGTGGCGGAGGAGGCGGCGGTGGAGGAGGTAATCTACTCGTAGAACTCGACGGCGACGCACGCGCTGATGACGGCTGCGTAGGGGGCCTACTACTCCTCTCCTCACCTCGCAACGAAGAACTCGAACCTGTCCTGCTCGGTCTCATAGGTGGTCCGCCGCCGTTAACCGCTCTCTCCGCCGAAGGTTGCGACGGAGGTCGACCAGACGATCCTCGTCTTTCTGGAGGATCGATCTCGGCTCCTCGCGACGGTCCACGCAATGACGCGCCTGCAATCGAAAATTGAGATGATTGCGGGCCAGAAGCAGATGCGACATTGCTTGGTTCGGGGCCGGCAAAGCGCGGCGGTCGGCCTTGTAAATTCGCTAGCACCTGCTGCTGAGGTGGGAGTGGTACTCGCGCTCCGCTGCGCGCAGCTGACGACGACGAAGAAGAAGATGGCGATGCCTGCACCGGCGGAGCGTTATTGCCATTGCCGTTGCTATTACTTCCGTTACCGTTCAGAGCACGTCCACTCGGCTCATACGACGCCCCCATATTCCGCGGTCCTCTAGGCGGCGCTGATGGCACTGCCTGCGCTCCTGGCGCAGCACCATTCCCATCCGATCTATGCGCGCCTTGGATCGAAAACTGCTGCTGCTGCGGCGGCTGCGCTCGTCGGCGCTCACGCTCACCACTCGATTGTGATCGCAGAGGAGGTGCCGGAGGAAGAGGTTGAGATCCAGTTGTACTGGGTTGTTGTCCCGCTGCCTTCTCTTGCGGCACGACCGCTGACTGCGGAGGCAATCCGACCCGCGCAGACGCGTTTGATTGCTGTGGCGTCAATGGACTATTTGCTGCCGAAGTCGTCTCTCCACGAGTCCGAGCGGCCTCTTCACCTTTGACTTCTGTGCGTCCGTCTTCTTTGCTGGGTGCTGCTTTTGGCGGGCTCTCGTTCTCAGATGATGTCTTGGACGCCGACACCTGGAACGACGGTGCCTCCGGGTTTAATTTCTTGACCTCGGCGTGACCGAGAATACCGCTCTTCTTCACTTCAGCTGCCTTCTCAGTCGCCGCCGTCTCTTCAATCGTTGCTGACGGAGCTGGGGCTGCTGATGCAGCAGCAGTTGCTTTGCGTGCCTCGGCCTCGGCCTCTGCTTTCTGCCGCTCAGCTGCTGCGGCTTCTTTACGCGCCTCTGCCTCTGCTTTCCGTCGCTCAGCCGCCGCAGCTTCCTGCGCTTTCAACTTGGCCAGTCTCTTATCCCTCTCGATCTTTGCCTCTTTCTCGGTGTACCTGAAGCTAAGCAGGTCCACCCAGTTCGAAGACTGTCGCTTCATCAACCCATACAGCGCCGTCGACGTCAGCTTCAAATCCGAGCGCTCCTCCGTCTGCGAAATTCTCTCAACTCGCTCGAGAATCTTGTTGCCGTACGCCATTATTATCGGGAACGTCTTGATCGTCGAACGCAGCACAATGAACGCGTTTCGGCGGTGGATATAATCCTCGCTCTCTAAAGCGCGCAGCATGCAATCGCGAAGCTGGCCATGCCATTTTGTCACAATGCTCTTCAGCGCAGAGTACGTCAGCATATGACACTGCCTAGCCTCAGCATCCACGTCGTCCAGCGGCGGCGTCGTCACCTTATCTTGCGACGACAGCCGCATGCCCGGAAGAAACGTCACCTCGCCGTTCGCCTCGTGCCGGCCTAGGCCCTCGCGCACATAGACAGCCTGCGTCGCATGCCATCGTCCGATCTCAGCCAGCAGCTCGCTCAGGAACCGGCCAAAGTTCTCGGCCTCGTTAGGCGTGCAGCTCGCCATCGTCGCAAACAGGCGGTTGGCGGAAAATAACACGTCAAAGGCCATGATTGTCCGGAATTTGGGCGTGCCGAGCATGTGCAGCTGCTTTATAAACTTGACGCAAAAGGTCGCGTCAGTGGGCGAGTATAGCGCGCGGGGAATGATGCAGTGCGCCAGGAACGCGTCGACCTGCTTCTTCTGAGCTGCGACCTCGTGCTTTGTATGCTGCGCATTCGCGTCCACTCCACCCTCTTCCAGATCCGCAAACTCCTGCGCAGTCCGAGGAGAATACTCAAACCAGTGTCCGCGCTCAAATCGTAGTCGTCGTCGCGTTCTCTCCACATGAAGCATATGAACTCGGTTTTCTTGCTGGAGTTGTTCGCACTGGCGCGGATTGCGGGACTTTAGCTTGTTGAACTCGTCCGTGTACCGCTGGATCGGGATGTGAATGTCGTAGAGCGAGAGCTGGAAAAACGTCACAAATAGACCTTTGTTCAGATACTCCCAGTAAGCGGCATCAGATCCGGCTCCCAGTTTTTCGACAATGTCGTGTAGGAGGGGGTGCCATGGGCCCTAGAAAGAGATGTGAGCTTTTTTTCACCATAATAAAAAGATATTATAGTAATTACCTCCTTCTCGAGCTGTTCGTTGTCAAAATACTCGTCAATCTCGCTATCCTCAACCTTGGCTTCAACCTCCGTCTTGACCGTCGCGTCCGTTACCTCCGAAGTAACCACGCCTTCCATCTCCGACCCTTCTTCTTTCTGTTCCTTATCTGGCTTCACATCCTCCATCTCAACCTCCTTAACTTCCTCCTTGACCTGCTCTTCTGTCGCAGCCTCTTTCTCAGAAGCAGCCTTCATCTCCTTCTGCTTCCGCTCCAGAAGCTCAGCGCGAACTTGCTCTCGTCGCTCAAGTCGGCTAGCCCATCTGCTTTCATCAGACTTACGAACATCGATCCCAAGCTTTTCCCGCCAAAACGTAAACGCAATCACGGGATCGACTCCAAAGTCGTCGCAGAGTTCAGGAATCGACAACGCGTATTTTTCAAACTGCGCGCGACCGCGCTCGGGGTCTTCGCTGTCGTGGAGAAGGAAGGTGTTGATTAGATCGATGTACTGTGCGATGATGACAGCCAAGTCGTCGAATCTGCTGCCGAGCACTTTGGTGTGGGCTTGGTAGTCTGGGATGCTGAAGATCGCGGTCCGGTACTGCTGCGCAAGCAAGACAAACATCTCAGACACGATATCGAGCTCCTGTAAACAGGAAACAAGTCGCAAGGCAGAGGACCGTGACAGATGCCGCTGGTCGCCGAGCGTGAGCAAGACTTCTGCACGCACGATTGGGCCACAGCTCAGACCTTCTATCTGGGCTTCTTTCAGGTTAGCAAACGAGGCGACGCCCGCCATTTGCTGAATCATCTCTTGCAATAGTAGAATGTCTGAGGTATTTGATTGATGAAGTCGGCGACGGAGATACTCCAGAAGGGGAACTGGATTCATAAGAGAGTATTCTTTGCAAAGCTTTGCCGTGAACGATGCGAGAGCTGCAGCACTGTTAGTAAACCATATCCATACTGACTGCTTCAAAGTCATACTCACATTGCAGCCACTTCCGCTCGGTAATTCCATCTCCCTGTATCGTATTTCTCCCAGAACTGAGCTGCATCATAATCACAAACGGCAAGGCATCCCACCCGATCGAAGTAAAATACCTAGCAGCCTCGACCACCAGTCCGCTCAGGTTGTCATAACTCTCAACTTGACTTACAAGGGCAGTCAACGACGTCACCGGGTTGGCGTAAGATACTCGCGCAAGCTGCCGCATCATCTCGCGCACGTTCTCTTTCGCTAGACGTTTTAGCACGTTCTTTGTCTCCTTTTCTGCCTTCGAGCCCGCGACGCGGAGCTGAGGCACGTTGCGCGGCAGAACGTTGTACCATTCACCGTAGGTGGCGTAGCGAGTAGGATACTCAAAATGAAAGAGGATAGTGCCCACTTCATGAAGAACGCCCGGGTTCTCCTCTATCAGCGACACGGCGGGTAGCAGGTACGTACGAAAGTACTGCAGCCAAAACGCAGAGTCGTATTTCAGACCTTCAGAATTGCTATTCTCTTTCTGTTTATCGCACTCGTCGAGAAAATGATTCACTATCCGGCAAAGTTGTGTAAACAGCACCGGCTCTCGACTAAGCTGTGGCCCCACAAATTTGAGCAGGTAGTCAGAGTAGAAGAGCAAGTCCTCAACGTTCTCGATCCGCTTTATACCATCAGTCCACGAGTCATAAAACACTCGGTAGGTCGTATCGGCCTTTTCGGAGCGTTTCAGGTGGCTCAGAACCCGCCTAGATGCAGTCGGAGCCGGCATCACGAGCGTGAACCCAGATTTGGTCCCACGCTGCCGGGCGGGGAGCATCTTGCGGTTTTGCTCGGGGTCCAGAAACACCTTGAATGGCCTGATCGATTCGTAAAACGGAGTGAGCGCATATCCAATCAAGATATTGAGCGTGTCTGCGATTTCAGAGTATGGACCAGGTAAGAACGGGAACTTGGAAAGCATAAACAAAGCCGGCCAGATTGATCCGACGCTGAGCAGGGCGGCCACGAGCTGAGGCTTTTGAGGTATAACCTGCTTTTGCTCTTTTTCTTTCTCGGCCTCCTTTTCTGATTCTTTCTCTTTCGTTTGGCTCGAGCGATCGCGCGGACCTGGAGTGTCATCGGTTAAAGGCATTGCTAACGCCAGCGCCGAGGCAGTGGCCATGTAGGCCGTCTTTTCGAGTTCTTTCGACCAAGAATCTTTCTCCTTGAGCAGATCGTCGTCGGAAGGTGAGAGGTGAGGGTACAGATCGCCTAGGCTGATAAAGCCTTCTTTGATCAGCACCGCGATCGTAACTATCAGATTCTCTGGCGCGGTCTCCTCGAGCTCGGTGTACATCTGCAGCTTGAATCCGAGAAGAGAGGCAGCTAGTGGGTTACCACCCTGTCCTATATCAGATATGCTGTTCGCCGTCGACGGCACAGCTGGCCACCAAGGCGAGATCTTTAGCACTGCTAGGAAGAACTGAACATGCGCTACGACGTTGGCGGAGAAAATGTCGAGGAAGATGTCGAGCGCGCGGTTCGGGTCCAGGTCAAAATATCCAATGAGCGAAATAATAGTCTGTGCGGTTTTCTCGACGAGGTTCATTTTATTTGGAGCGTAGGACGCGCTGTGGATCTCGACAATGAGCTTTGCGTAGCCTTCTGATTCTTCGCGAAGCAGGTTGAATCGCTTCTGTTTGTAGAGCATCGCGGTGTTTGCGCGAACGACGCGTTTCTCGAGCATCGGGATGTTCCATTCGGTCGAGCTTAGAACCGAGGGCTCGAGACGAGTCTGGATCAGCGACGGTTCGAGAGGAAGCGATTTGAGAAGTAGATGCAGGGTTGGTGAATATGCAAAGGAGGCGAAGGTGTCGATGAGGATTGATGGCATGTCTACAGAGTCTGCGCTCTCGAGGGTAAGCAGAGATGTAAAGACCTGAATTGCTGAATCGGATGATATCCGTTCGACGACTGCTGATAGCGTGAGTTCGTGTACGAGTAGTAGCAGTTTCTCGATCTCAGACTGGCTGATGATTTCGCGGACAGCATTCGTTCTGAAAGATCTGTTAGTGCACCCGTCTCGCAAGCAGAAGGCAAATCAGACAAGAATTACATTGACTCCAAATCATTATTCGCAATCTTCTCGACCACCGAATCATCGACGACAACCCACTGCGACGCCAGCAGCTTCACAGTCTGATCAGCTGTCGATGCCGAGAGCGGATCCGGCGTCTGCACGCGAGTAGCCGGGGCCGGCGATGCTGTAGCCGCGCCGCCATCCTCCTGGTCGCGCTTCCGCTTCAAGACCGAGTCCGACATTTGCGGCAGCAGGAGGGAGAGTGAAGACGGGGAGGAGAGTTACTCTCGCGCCTGGGAAGAGAGTAGTGAGGACAGATCCAATTTGCGACCGAAGGTGTCCCGGACTATCCAAGCCTGGTTGCTTGCTGTATATTCCACCTGGAATCAACTTGCAGAGTCTCCAATGGCTCTCTGGGATCTCTGATTCTTTGCTCGTTCGTTCGTTGCAGTGCTCTGGAGTCGAGAGAAAAGAACAATAATTCTTCCACGTGATTGTAAGATGTAAGGGTCTGGAACTATGATCCAGGGGAATAGGTACTGATAGGTACAGGCTGCTATTGTAATAGATAAGAGTAAATAGAACAGTAGCTGACTGTTTGTATGTAAACTGACTAAATACATTTATAAATCAACGTTTGCTGGAGGTGGTGATTGAACTGAGCGCAGACGTGGAACCAGCAGCTCGCAGAGGACAAATAACCTGAAATCAACTTTGCCCTGGACTGATCCGCAGTTCAACCAGCCTCTCTCAGATATCACCACCCGCACCGTCTCAATCCGAATTCCACGATAGCGCATTGCCTATCTCAGGCCAGAAACACTCACTGCACAGTTGCGACTCAGATGCAGACTTGAACACACCTCAGGATCCGCCCGCGGTGTTGACGACCGGCTATTTCCCCGCAAAATCTAGGCGCAATCACCTACATCTCGAACCCCATTCGCCACCACAACTACAAATAACCAACAGACACGGCCAATGTTTGTGTTTCCGGCTAATAATGACGGATACAGGCAGAGGAAGAAGTCGTTCAAGGCTTGCGAGCAGTGCAAGAGGCAGAGAGTGAGTATTGCTGTCGTTGGGCAGGGAAGAGCAAGCAAGAGCTGACGGTGGTTTGTGATTTTTACAGCGGCGATGCCAGCCTTCCAACAAGCCTACGAGTGGATGTGCAAAGTGCATGAGGAATAATATACGCTGCAGGTATGTATACAGTAGACATCAGAGTCTTGGGCGCTACTAATCGTATCAAACAGTCTGATCGTTGATCTCCCGCCCACCTTTGGAGCCAAAAAATCACCCGCAGCAGTCCTCGGAGACGGCTCGTCGCCCGCAGAATCTAACTCGTCAAAGGAGAATGCAGAAAAAAGCGGCTCGTCGCGGTCGCCGATCTCGGGCAGCATCTCGCCAGGGCTACAGGCTGCTCTAGAGATGCGGCCAAAGTCGCCGGGCAGGCTAGAGCTCGAGTCGGTAATGTCGATAAACTCCGCGATCGCGCGGACTAGGAACGAGATGCACTCGCTCCCGCGTCCGGCGCCGATTGCGCGGTCTCATCCGGGAGCAATTACGAGCATAGGAGCGGTCGTCAATCCGATAGACCACGAGATAATTCCCCCGGCCGAGGCCGTAGTGGCCGAGTCTGATTCGACTGTGACGACGCCGAGGCGGTTTATTTCAAACCTGGATCCGACGTCAGAGCTGGTCCAAGGAGGATCGGTGGATAATGACAAGATTGGGGTTTGGCTCGCGAGTGAGAATGCTACGGCGGGCCCGGGGAACGACCAGCGAAGACAGGTGCATGTGCCGCCGCCGATGAATCAGCAGCTGGTGCTGTACCTCAACACACTCCGTGCGTTTGAAGTTTTGCCAGAGCCGGAACGGGATGGGCTCGTGGACGTGTATTTCAGGCAGATTAACAGTATTCTCCCGCTGGTGGATGAGAAGATATTCAGACGGCAGTTGATGAAGCAAGAGCACTCGCTGGTGCTGCTACAGTGCATTCTGCTGGCGGCATGTCGACATCCCGAGGCCGGCCAGTTTCTACGCGAGACCGAGCCGCGAGATTTCGCAGCTGCGACGCACGCCAAGATCAAGGCACTGCTGTTTGCGTCGCTGGAGCAGGATCCCATTACACTTGTGCGCGTATACGCGCTGGCCTCGCTACATTCCGAAGGCCCGCGAGGGCTCACGGACGCGGCCAAAGACATCTCGCTGGCGTTTCACTACGCGCATTACTCGGGGATCCATCTGCGGCGAGACCATCTGGAGACGGCGGCGCCGAACACGATGTCGGCGCTGCAGAAGCTGTGGCTGTCGCTGTGGTGTTTGGACCACATGTCTGCGTGCGTGACGGGGCATCCGCTGAACTCGCATCCGAGAGATGTAGGGCTGCCGATGGACGATAGCACATGGGCAGCTACGCGAGCGGAGCCGCTGGCACGGATTACGGAGGCGTGCTATATGCTGGACACGACGATTGATTTATACCGTCCCCGGCCGTCGGAAAAAGTGCTAGATCTGAAGCAGCCGGTGTTTGAGAAGGAGGAGATCATGCCGCGGCTGGTGCACAGCACGGCGATCATGCTGTTTTACAAACGGCTGCACAGTCTAACGGAGCAGCTGCCCGAGTCGACGATGCAGACGCTGCTGACGGCGGCGGAAGATATTTTAGAGATCGCGGAGGAGAGACGGATCGATCTGCCTCCGCTGCCGATAGTGCCGTACTCGGTCGCGATGACGCTGACGGTTTTCTTGCGTCTGTATCCTGCGCCGGCCGCGCGGACGGGGTGGCGACGGAGCTGCGAGCTGCTGGACAATATGGGCAGGTACTGGTGGATAGCGGAGGCGATGTCGAGCATGGGCAAGCGCGTGTTTAAGAAGTTGGAGGAGGACTACAACCGGATCACGGGCGACTGGACGTTGGAGGACTACATTTCGTCGGACCGGGCGCCGGCGGCGAACGGGCAGACGATGGGCGGGGTGCTGGACCAGGCGTGGATTTTTCAGGAGTTGGACAAGGACGTGGTGGATTACTGGTTTCCGAACATGAGCGAGTTGGACCAGCTGTATGCGGAGGTGGACATGCCGGCGGATTTAGTCAGTTGAAAAGCAGATACAAGCAGACAGTGCTGAGTCGAGAACAATACAGAGGAAGTAGATATCAACCCAGGACGGTCTGTGTCTGTAGCTCGGTTAGAAGCCAGAGGCGGGGCTGAGGAGGAGGCTGTGCTCGCTTGCGGGCAGGCCGAGTGGCTGGTGAGGTCCAACCCTCGGTGGCCGACGAACGGCGGAGAGTCGACAGCGAAAGCGGCGAGCAGCGAAGAAGAGCGATAAAGAGAAGAACGGCATCGATAGAAAGACGAGCAATTGAAGAGATTGAGCAACTTCACCATCGTCACCAGCATCAACTAGAGTCCGCAGTGCCCGTCGTTGCTGGGCAGCTTCCATCATCGCTTCCTGACCTGCGCTTCCTCACCAACCCACACCAACTACTTATATTCCTCACTCGCCCGCCTCTCATCCTCACTCACTCTTCCCGCCCGACCCTCCCCTCTCCTCTCCTCTCCTCTCCTCTCCACCCCCAGCTTATGGCTCCGGATCCCGCAATCGTTCCTCTGCGCGACTCGCCCTACGCGTTCGAGCACTCGGCGGAGGAGACCGAGCGCCTCGCGTTCCAGCACGCCGTCGTCTCGCAAATCATCGGCGGCCGCTTCCTGCCCGCGATAGACAACTTCGCCGTCAACGCCGAGTTCCGGATCCTTGACTGCGGCTCCGGCTCGGGCTCGTGGGCGAACGATCTCGCGTTCGCGCTGCCGCGGTCGACGGTTATCGGCTTCGACATGCACTCGATCGACATCGAGTTCGCGGCGCCGAACGTGCGCTTCGAAATCATCGACGCAAACAAGTATCCGTTCCCGCTCGACGACAGCTCGTTCGACATCATCCACTCCCGCAGCTTCTCGTTCGGCATCACAGACTGGCCGCGGTACATTGCCGAGCTGCGCCGGCTCCTCAAACCAGACGGCACGATCCACTTCATCGAGTCTGTCTTCCCCGAGCTGGTCGAGGCGCACTCGCCGCATCTGTGCGAGATCTACAAGCTCCTGCGCGAGCAATACAACATCAATTACTACATCGGCCACACGCTCGAAAACCTCATGCCGGACGCGGGGCTGACGGCAATCATAGTGAAGTCCTTCACCTTCACCTACGGCCCCTACGGCAGCACCGACAACGAGCGTCGCATAGGCGAGCTCATGCGCAGCCTGACGTACGACGGCGCGCGCACTATCGTCCGTGCCTACGTCGCATTCAAGGGGCTGTCGGAGGAAGAAGCAAAGCCGTACTACGACGACGCGGTCAAGTTGTTCGAAGTGTCGAAAAAGGTTCCGGGATATATAAAGTATGTCGTGGCCGCAATCACTTGCTAGTTGATAGTCTCAAGTGTTTTGATAGTCTCTAGTTTTCGATCGATTGTCTTGCTTTCTTGTTTGCTGTTCTTTCTGGGTCTGGTCGTTCAGGTGTTTGACTGTGGGATTTCTTTCTTTATTGTGTATATATAGTGTACCATACTACTATATCAGAAATTACTCATTAAATTCTGTTTATATCATCATTGTAGTCCATAATAATCAATCAGATGTTGATTGCAGTTGTTGCAGTTGTAGCAGGTATTCTCTTATAAAGCAGATCAAACTCCCAACCGCCGCGTCCTATCGTCATCTCGCCGCTATCCACACTCGCTCTCACCATGGACGAAGTCACTCTACAGAAGGTATCTCCCGATCTGCTTTTCAAACACCTTCCAGCTCTCTTCTAACAATCTCAAGGCCCACTCCGAAGCCACCAAAGCAGACGCCGCCGTCCTATCACGGCGGCCAAAAGACGCGATCTCTCTCTACGCCTCCGCGGCATCAATGTTTGAATCCCTCCAAACATCAACCAAAGACGACGAAGCCCGCCGGATGCTCTTACTTCTCCAGCAGAAATACGCGCGCTTGTCGGCGCAGATCAAAACCCATCTCGAGACGAACCCGGAGATGTTCAAGAAAAGCAGCGTCGGTCAGCAGCTCCATTCAGTGGGATCGGGCGCGAGCAGCTCTGCGTCGGCGCTGGCGTCGAGCTTGGCTTCTGCACGCGGGATCGCGGCGAATGATATTGATCAGCATTACGTGAACGTCAAGCACCGCAGCAGTAGAGCCGCCAGTGATCTCGCGCCGCCGTCGGCTCTTGCTGCGGCGGCGATGGGGCACGATGGCAACGATGATTTGTTTACAAGGTTTAACAGCACGATCGAGATTTGCATGACCAGGCTCTTTCACTCATCCGGCAAGACCGTCGCCGCGTTTGACGCGCTCCGGCGACAAGGTGGCGCTGGTCTCGATCAATACGGCACCGGGATGGAATCTTTCTACGTCGTGCCCACGTCGCGAAAGGAGACCGCCGCGTCATCAGACCCCGGCGAGTCATCCACGTCGTCTACCGGACAACCGTCCGCGACACTAGTGTCTGAAATCACAAGCAGTCTCTCCGCGCACGAGACGAACCTGCGCAAGCAGCGCGACGTGATGAGGAATAACCTCGGCAAGTTGCGGATGGAGATCCGCGCGCGCGAATCGCGGCGGACGAAAGAGCTCGAGGGCGAGATCGAGCGGTTGGTGGCTGAGAATGAAAAGTTGAAGATTTCGAATGGGAGGTTGAAGACGCGGTGGGATAATTTGATGGAGAGCGCGAGGAAGAGGAGGGAGGTGGCTGCGGGGGCTGATGCTGCTGCTGCTGATGATGATGATGGTGCGGAGAGTGGAGATGGAGTTGCTGAAGAGTGATGCGGTTGATGTACAGTTTCTTTGATTTTACTACGGCGTTCGGGATTCGGTTCGGTACTTTTTCTTCTTATTTAATAATCTATAGACTCTCATAACCTCCCATCAACGACTTCCCGCACCTTCTCAATCCTCACCTCCAGCGCGCCAACAACCAGCGCAGCCCAATCCCTCGCCTCTTCGAACGACATCTCGAGATGCAGTCCGAGACCGACGTCGACAAACATTCCCGAGGACGCATCCACCTCGGCTTTGGCCCAGTAGTCCTTGATGCCTTCTTGTAGTGGGGCGAGTACTGTTGCTGTCGGTGTTGATGTCGGAGTGGTGGGGGTTTGGAGGTGGTGCAGGGTCGATGTTGCGTAGCGGGCGAGGTCGTCGCTGTTGATGTTAGCAGTTACTCAGGAAAAAAAGCAACTGAGAGAGAAACTCACTATTCGGATCTAAGACGTTTCAGTTCTTCAAGATATGCCCTGACAGAGTCCTCCGGTAACCTGCCAATTTTACTCGACACATCTCCAAGCGACACCACCTCCCTCCTCCCTACCTCCTCATCCCCTTTCTTCTCACCTTTTTCTTTGCTCGCAGCAGTAGCAGTAGCAGCAACAGCAGTCTTCGCGATCGTGGCTTTAAGTGTATCAAGTTGCGCTTGCAGGAACTCGTGATCCCGTTTCTGTTGCTCGAAAATCAGATCGATCCGGGTTTGCATGGTTTGTAGGTTTTCCAGAAGTACTGCGTCTGTCGCCATCTTCAGTCTCTTTTCTTCCTCTTAATATTATGAGTGTAATTGTTGTTGTTTCTGAGATAGCATGGGGGAAGAAGAAGGCGGAGGAATGAGGGATGAGGAATTTTGTGGGATATTCTTGAGACGATGGAGAGTTGTGCGGCGTTGTGAGGTTGGGAGTTTGAGGGATTGATTGAATAATCCGAATTAATTCAGATACCTGCAATAAATAATCAAACATTTTAGATACTGAGGTAGAGTGTATAGAGTGTATAGATTGTATATAGATTATACATGGATTGTTATATAAATTGTATAGACTGTACATGTATTGTCTATACTGTGTATCAACAGACTACTCCAAGAATTGCATATTTCTAACCATCAAAACACATTACTCCTTATATTACAGCACATCTCCAAACCACACCATCAAATCTAAACACATCTATCAAGGATCAATAACCCCCGTCAAAAACCTTACGACCGCCTTCCCAATCTCCCCCCATGATTCTCCATCCCCACCCTCCCCAGCGCGTCCTGCGCCTGCTCGTCCGTCAACCCGCCGTTCCTAATCACCCGATCGACCAGCGCCTCCGCAACCTCGGCGTTAAATTCCGGATGGCCCTGGAACGTCAGGATCTTGCGCGGTACGTACATGCCCTGCACGGGCGACTTTGGCGACGAGGCAAAGACATGCACGCCCTTGGGCAGCACGGTCACGTGGTCGCTGTGCATTTCCTGGATCCGCAGCAGTCCGCCGGTGGATTGAGCAATGTCGGGGAAGATGAGGGCGCCGATGCCGGCGTCGTCGAGGGTTAGTGTTGTGACGGAGACTTCCCAGCCGGCGGGGTTGGGGGCGACGGTGCCGCCGAGGGCGCGGGCGATGATTTGGTGGCCGAAGCAGATGCCGATGAGGCGGACGGTGGAGGAGTTGAAGATTTTGCGGATGAAGGCTGCGAGGTCGAGGATCCATTTGTCGTCGTCGTACGCGTTTGCTCCTGTTGTATGTGTGTTAGTTCTGATCTCCGTGATCTCAGAGCACGCGTTGGTGAGAGAGGACGAGCAAGACTTACGAGACCCAGTAATAAGCATCCCGTCAAACTCCTCAATCTTCGCCGGATAATCCCCCTTGACGACATTATAATTAACAAGCTCGAGCCCGACGTTCTCGACCGCCTCCTCGGTCTGGGTGACGGTGTTTGTGAATAAGTTGTCAAACAGCTGCGCGAACGAGCCGCAGACGGTTATGTTTTCGGGATCGGTCTCGAGGATGGCGAGACGGAGAGTCCGAGGACCGCTCGCGTCGGATTGAGCGGTCGGCGAGGGGAGGGAGGAGAGGGAGGGCGGCATTACAGCGAGTTGACGATGGAGCGAGGTGGTTGAGGAGCTGTATCAGGTCCCAACGGTAACAAATGAGTAACACGGATTCAGCAAACTTAAAGCTTATCGGCTTAAATTTGTTTATCATCACTTACATAATAATTTCTTACATAATTTATGTAGGGCTCAACCCTACACTTACCCTACCCAAAAAAACAGTCACACTTACTCCCGCAGAGCCGCCCAGCGGCAACGGCAGAGCAGCGTCCAAGTTTGGTTTTGAATCCTGACCTCGACAGAAGCGCAGCGCAGATTCCCTCTTCCCAGCAACCAGCAAATCCCGGACAGAAACGATGGCCCCCTCAGCTCCCCACCCGAGAATCGTCAAGAAGAAGACCACGAAGTTCAAGAGATGGCAGTCTGACAATGTCATTGGAGTTTCCGAGTCGTGGCGGAAACCCAAGGGTATTGACTCGCGTATCCGACGTCGGTATGTGTGGATTTGAATTATCGATGCCTGAAGTGAAGAGAAGAGAAGAGAAGAGAAGGAGAGAAGGGGATGTGAGGAACTGTTGAAGAAAGGATAGGAACGAAAGAAAGAGGGAACATCATGCATCAAAATACAGAACAAACTGCTAACACACAATACAGCTTCAAGGGTACCTCAGCCATGCCCAAGATCGGTTACGGATCCAACAAGAAGACCCGCCACATGATGCCCTCCGGCCACAAGGCGTTCCTCGTCCGCAACGTTGCCGACGTCGAGGTCCTGCTCATGCACTCGCTCACCTACGCTGCCGAGATTGCCCACAACGTTTCGTCGCGCAAGCGCATTGCTATTCTCGAGAAGGCCAAGGCTCTCGGTGTCAAGGTCACCAACCCCACCGCTAAGCTGAGACTTGAGGGTTAAAGAAAGAGAAGATGAGGAAGGAGAAAAAAAAGGAGACTGGGAATATGCTACGATGTATGCATGGAATGTATATATAAGAATAGTAACATGGTTTTATTTACCCTTTTTTCTCTCCGTCTCTTGCTCTCTTTTGAACTTGTTTTTCAGTTTATCGGCTTTTTATTTTGTGGGAACAATGGTGTTTATCAAAACGAAAAATGGTGCTTGTAATATGAGAAAAGTGAAGAAAGTGCAAGAAGTGCAAGACAATGGAATGCATATCATATTTAGATAAAAGGCCGTGTACTAATACATTGATGCAACAGTATTTATGTAAATGATAGTAGTAGATGCAGTAACAACCAAACTCCAGATAATGATAACTAGTATATAAAATAGAAAGACTAGGCATTTGTCCGTCTCTTTTTCTTCCGCTTGCTGCCTCCATCGGTCGAGAGTCCGACATCACTTCCCTCACCACCCGTGACAGCCCCGCTCTTCCTCTTCGACCTCTTCCTACTCCTCTCCTCACCCGCCGAACTCTCGGCCCCAGCCGACATGCGATCACGTTTGCCGTATCCAGAACCCCCAGCAGCACCACCGGCGCCGGCGGAGGCGGGCGGGGAGAGAGGCGCGTTGAGGATGCCGAGGACGGTGGGGTCGAAGCCGGGGATGCCGGTGTCGGGAGTTTTTTCCATGGTGAAGACGGTGTCGAGAAGCGAGGGGTCGAGGGAGGACGAGAGTTTTGGTGGGGGGAGGTCGTTTTGGGGGGCGTAGAGGAGGCGGAGGAGGTAGTGTTCTGTCGGGATTTCGTTTTTGCCTGGGAGTGTCAGTTGGTCTCAGTTCCAGCACTGTATACACAGAACAAAACAAAACAGAAATGAATCAAATATGACGAGGAGTATAGACACACCGGGCAAATCAGAGATAAACCCCTTATAACTCTTCCGCAGCTTATTCTTGCTCCCGTCAGGATGCTGCCGCGCAACAGAGGCCGCGATGTTCGACAGCCCAAACAGCTTCACCAGGTTCTGCGTCGCCGACGGCGTCGGCTCTGTGTATGCTGTGTTTGTGAAGAGATGCAGCGGTGGCATTGTTGGTTGTCTGGTTGTCTGTTTGATCTGCGAGGATGATGCCGTGATGTTTTTGTGAAGAGCGCAGGTTGGGTGGTGGGTAGGGTTGGGGTTGTGTTGTACGGAGTATATGCCAAGTAGTGTCAATACTATATGGTACTGGTGGGTATATGACTGATTTATTCAACTGGTGATGAATAGACAGTTTGGTAGAAAAGGGATGAATAGATATTACGTCGACATCATCTGTGTCAAGTGCAGTGACTGAGCTGATCCACGCGCGTTAACAGTTTCTTCACAATCCGTCCGACAGACACAGACAGTAGAGCACCAAGACGAGCAATATACCAGAGATAAGCCCGACTCAGAATGCCATGCCATGCCATGACTCCCTACTCCCGCAATAAGCACAAAAATACCAACAACCGGCCCCCGTCGCGCATTGCATTTGAGTTGAGTTTCGGCGCAGTTTGTTGTTTGTTATCTGATTAGCAAAATGACGAGTCAGCGGCCTTTGTTCTTCAGCCTGTTTCAAGCTCAGACTCAGACTCAGACTCAGACTCAGCTCAAGCGGAGGCGGCGGAGTGGCCCGGTCCCAGCGCCTCTTCGGGCCCGGCCTCCGGTGGCTGTTTGCTCAGCTCTTTTGGCTTTGTTGTGTTTGTGCTTATAATGTTGTTATATCAAATAGAATAACAGTCAATTACACTGATTCTACATCTATCTCTACTTATCTCTCCTTGTTTCCCCTGCTCGTGGGTCTATCGCAATGCACCGAGTCGGACGATGATCAGCGTTTCCTCAATTAACTTTCTGAGCTTAACTTTATCCACTTCATCTGTCTCGCAAACAGAGACCCGCCGTACAGCTGCTGGCAGCTTATCTCCTTCTCTTCTGACAGACAGGCCAGGCAATGGCTTATATATTCCTCTCTCCTCCTTGTAGACTCAGCTCTCCTCCTCTACCATACTTCCACCCACCTCACCCATGTCATCCCTCGAAAACCCCATCGAATCCCCCTACGCGAACGAGAAGACCGACGCGAACGATGCCGTGCTCCCTGTCTACTCCGACACCGACGGCTCGGCGCTCGAAGTCACCATCTCGGCCGGCGTAATCGACCCCGTCATCGAGCGTCGCATCTGCCGCAAGTTTGATTTCCATCTCTTGCCTTTGCTCGCTATGATGTATCTCTTCAAGTGCGTCTCTGTCTCTTCTCGGATAGTCATCTCTGATGTAGCATCTAACACCTCCCAGCGCCCTCGACAAAGGCAATCTCGGAAACGCCAAAACCGACGGCATGACCACCGACCTCAACTTTGTAAACAACCAGTACAACATCATCCTCTCCGTCTTCTACGTCCCCTACGTCCTCTTCGCCTTCCCCATCGCCATGCTCGGCAAGAAGTACGGCCCTTCTGTAGTCCTTCCGATCCTCATGTTTGGCTTCGGCAGCATGTCGCTCATCGCCTCCGGCGTCAAGAACTTTGGCGGTCTCATGGCCGTGCGCTGGTTCCTGGGGACGTTTGAGAGCGCGTTCTTCCCGCTCGTGATCTACTACCTGACCACTTTCTACCGTCGCGGCGAGCTCGCGCGCCGCCTCGCAATCTTCTACGCAGCCTCCAACATCGCGAGCGCGTTCGCGGGCTTGCTCTCCTTCGGCGTGTTCCAGATCAAGAACGGGTCGCTGCACGGATGGCAGTATCTCTTTATCATCGAAGGCGGCGCGACCGTGCTCACCTCGATCTTGACTTTCTTCTTCCTGCCGCACGATGTCACGACGTGTAAGTTCCTCACGCCTGAAGAAGCAGAGATTGCGTTCCTGCGCATCCAGCGCGACTCGTCCTCGGTCGTGAACGAGAAACTCAACCTGCGCGTCGCGCTCAGCGTGTTTAAACACCCCGTCCCCTTCGCGTGGATCATGATCGAGATGTGTCTCGGCGTGCCGCTGCAGTCCGTCAGTCTCTTCCTTCCCCAGATCGTCCAGCGGCTCGGCTACTCGACCGTCAAAACGAACTTATACACCGTCGCCCCCAACGTCTGCGGAGCCGTCGTCCTGCTCATCCTTGCCTTCACCTCCGACTTCACACGCATGCGCTTCCCCTTCATCGCCGCGGGCTTCATGTTCCCCGTCATCGGCTTCATCATCTACGCGGCGATCGACGTCGAACACTCGATCGGCGTCGCCTACTTTGCCTGCTTCCTCATGACCGCCGGCACCTCCGCGCCCTCCGTCCTGCTCTCGACTTGGTACAACAACAATACCCCCAACGAGGGCCGTCGCGCGGCTCTCACCGCCGTCGGCGTGCCGATGGCGAACGTCATGGGCTTGGTCTCGTCCAACATCTTCCTCGACAAGGACGCGCCTGTCTACCTACCCGCGCTGGGCACGACGGCTGCGTTTGGCGGGCTGGGGTTTTGTTTGACGTTGATGCTGGGGTTGTGGATGGTGGCCGATAATAAGAGACGGGATCTGAAGCAGGGGGTTAAGCGGACGGTGAGGGATGTGTCGACTGAGATTTTGTCGGAGGGACCGAAGAATCCTAGTTATCGATGGTTTTTGTAGTCCTGCGTTTGATATAGTGCTGTTTCAGCTATCGTCCTCATTTAGCACCAGATACTTGTTATAATCCTAGTTATCGATGATTTTGTAGTGCTGTGTTCAAGATAGTGTTGTTTCATCCATCATCCTCATCCAGCACCGAAGCATTCTAGTTATAATCCCAGTAAGCAATAATTTTTGCAGTTTGCTATTCTGTTAATATACTATCTTATCTCCTATCCATCCGTCATCAACATCATCAGTATGTCTAAAACGATTCACATGCAAATAGAGGTGGAAAAAGTATCAGCTTATAATGGACCAGACACTAATTTTTCAACAAGAACAGCCTCTTTGGCCAAGTTGGTAAGGCGCGGCACTAGTAATGCCGAGATCATCGGTTCAAATCCGATAGGAGGCACTTTTTTTTTTCCTACTCTTCCTACCCTTTTTCTTATTTTTATTTTTGTTTTTGCTGGAGTAGTTGGCTTTTTATTGTTGATTTGTGATGAGGCGAGGGTGGCGGTGGACGGGAGGGAGAGAGGATGGGGATGGTTGGAGGGTAGTTGTTTGATTAGGTTTACAGAGTCGATATGGTGGTTTCCCTAGATCTGAGCAGTTCAGACAGAGACCAAGATATCCTACAAACAGACTACTCAACATCCTAATCTCACACCCTCACCCCGTTCCAAACACAATCAAAGCATAAGATGATGAGAAATGTGGTTGAGGAGCAGGAATTAATAGGATTTCCTTATTCTCTCTGAAATGCATAGCGAGCCATGGATGCGGAAGGATAAGATTAAAAATGCCAAAAGCCAAACTTATCGTGGGGGAGGAATACGCGCACTCGAGCAGAGATACGCTTGGATATTGTTTGAATATCTTGTGTTTCTTGTTATTCTGTTTTATATGTATTTTATAATACTGAAATACTATGCTCTTCTTTCTTTCTTGTTATTCTGTTTTATATGTATTTTATAATACTAAAATACCATATTCTTCTGCAAACAGCCACGAAGACAAAAAAAACCAATCTCGAGCATAACGAAGAAACCTACTCTGACCCGACCCATCCCCTCTCTCCATACTAAACAGATTACCCGGCCCTCGAGTTATGCGTGACACCCCGGGTCGCTTATAGTCGACGAACCCGGGTTGACCCAAGTTTATGGTTAGCCGATTCTCGCCGGCACAACGCTCGCTCGCTCGCTGTCTCGTCGCTGCTCAAGCTCAAGTCTAGTGTTTGGGTTTGCTTGAGGGTTATAGGTGTGGTGTCGCTGGCTTTATCTCTGTGTTTAGTTTTGGAAGTTTTGGATTGGCTTATAGCGGGTTTGTTGCGTCTACAAAACAGTCAAGAACAGAAAAGAAGAAGAACTCGAAGGGAAGACGAAAACATGGGGTCCACGTCCAGCAAAAATGCTCAAGCCGCGAGCACCACCACCACCACCAGCAGCAATCCATCCGCCTCATCAACCTCTTCCTCGTCGCAGCCGACTCCTCTGACGGATTACTCGAGTAGCAGTGCCAACACTGCTGCGTTTGGCGGAAGTGGTGGTGGTGGTGGTGGTGGGGCGGAAGCGGGGATGATGGCTGCGCCGAGGAAGATAAGGGCACGGCATCGGTTTCGCAGGACGAGAGGGGTGGTTGGGAAGGTATTGAATAGGCAGGCTGAGGTCGCGAGACCGGCGGCGGAGCAGGCGGAGCAGGGGGAGCAGGAGGGGAAGAGTGGTAACGGGGAGAAGGAACAGGAGGGCGAAGCAGTGGACAAGGAACGGAAAAGCGAGCAACAGCGACCAGTGGAGCAGCAGCGGCAAGAGTTAGAGCAGGAAGTACAGGAATTACTACAGGACGACAAGCAAAAGAAGGACGACACCGAACAGGAAGGAGAACAAGGGCAGCGAAGCGGCAGCAGCGGCACAAAAAGAAGACTATCAGCATCCTCATCTGGTCACGGCGACGGCAGTCCACTCGACGCCAGCGGCAACGCGCAGAAACGGCGGAATATATGTATTGCACTGAAACCGGCTGTCGAGCGCGATCCAGGCGACGACGAAATCAGAAAAAAGCGACACGACGAGTTGAAGAAGAAACTGCCGCTTTCCGCGCTGACGAAGGAGCAGGAGCGGTTTGAGCTTATGGAAAGACAGAGAAAGCAGCAGGAGGAGTTGAGGGTGAGACTTGAGCAGCAGCAGCAGCAGGCTCAGTACCGCAACGTGTACCAGCCCCAGCTGTCTACAGAAACCCCGTCGTTTTTCTACTCGCAACCTACACCGACTGCCTATCCCCATCCGAACGCGTACGGCAAGCCATTACCTCTATACGAGCCACCGCTTTCGGTACCAGCTCTACAACACACCCCGGCTCATCCGCTTACTTCTCCGCATGTTCCGGCGATCATGGTGCCGAGCCAGATGCCGTCTTTGTCGCCCCCTGCGCAGGATGGGAATTTTAGAGTGCTGCCCGCGAATCAGTTTGTGTCGACCGCGCCAGAGAGTTTTTATCGCCCGAATACTACCTCGCCTATAACGCCACCTGCGCTGGTACCACAGATGAACTCGCCGACCATGTCGTATGACGGACTGCGATACTCCGACCTCACTCGTCGCCGCACGATCTTTGAAAACCCGATCCCGACCGAGCCGCCCAAGCCTACAGACGAGCCGTTCCAATACCGCCGGATCAAGATCATGAGCAACGGGACGTTGTCGTCGAAGATCGCGACGTCAAAGATGCGACGGGCGCCGCTGGCAAGGTCGTTTCCGACGCTGGAGATGGTGCCGGCGAATAACTCGCTGCAGGTTAACGGGCGGTCTATTCTTTCTGATCCGGTGCCGCTTGCGAAGCCGAGGAAGATGGATAATGGGAGGTCTGTTGTTACTGATCCGGCGAGGGTTAAGCTCGTGGAGCCACCTATCGAAGACAGCGACAACAACAACGACAATAGCGTCAGCAACAGCAAAAATGACAACAGCATCAACAGCACCAGCACCAGCAGCGACAACAGCAACAGCAACAACAACAGCGCCAACGACAGCGACGACGACGAGTCCAACGGCTCAAGCAAAGACTACGAAGAAGCCTACGAATGCCGCTGCGGACACGCGTTCGCGACCAAGGGCAACATCAACCGGCACCTGCGCACGCTGCGGTACGATCCGGATCATATGCAGTTTGTGCATCCAAACAATGTTGTGTATGCGCGGATATTCCCGCGCACGAGGTTGACGCAGGCGGAGTATAGCGCGATCAGGGAGAAGAATAATGCGCAGAAAAGCGCGTGAGGATGGTGATGAGGAGTGAGTGAGCATTGGAGATTGGAGATATAGGGTGGAGCGGGTGTGGTGATGATGATGAAAAGATGGCGCGGGTGTGGTGTTTGGGAATTTTGTTTGTATTATTGAGAAGTTGAGCTTGTGACGAGTGCGGAGCGTTGCATTGTTTTGGAGTGGTGGGATGAGATGTGAAGTGCTTGTCTTTAAATTGTGCAGGGCGACGAAGATTAAGGTCTACTTGAGATTATGCTGAATGAGGCAATAAACTGATAAAGATGGACAACATTATCATTCATTCATTCATTCATTATACCACCAATTCAACTCCATCAACACCCACAACAGTCCCCCTTCGCTCTCATCTGATACAGAATCATCATCTGATCTGATCTCATCCCTTCTCTTCACCAGTTCTGGATCCCCCAATAACCTTTTAAACTCCAAACTCTATTTGCTGATTCTGTAAGAACCAACGAGAGCAGATAAAGTTTATTTTTATTTTTATATTTATTTTTAATTATTTACTTTAAACTTTCAGAGAGGCTGCGAAGTCAGCTGCGAGTGAGCTGAGCTGAGTGATTGCCAAACAAAAAAAAAAATAATCAGAACACGGCGAAGACGAGAGCAGTGCTGAGGAACTGCAAAGAGAGAAAACAACTGTTAACTCAGAGAAAATCTCTTTGTTTTCTTATTGATTCTGTTTATTTTTGTTGTTCTATTTTTTTTGGGTGGCGGGGGTTATTGCTGCTTAATCGGTCCTGGTTTCGGATTTGCTGTCTGTCTGCCTAGATCATCATCATCTCATCTCATCATACTCTTCCCACCACTCACTCCTCCTCAACTACTACAACACATAGACAGAGAAGATGAAGACATGCTACTACGAGCTCCTCGAGGTCCGCCGCGACGCTACCGCGGACGAGATTCGGAAAGGGTACAGGCGGCAGGCGCTATTGCTCCATCCGGATAAGAACATGGATAACGTCGAGGAAGCTACGCAGAAGTTTGCGCTCGTGCAGGCGGCTTATGAGATTCTTTCTGATCCCGACGAGGTTTGTTATTCACCCATTGTGTTTGAGCTGCAGATGTAATCGTTGCTAAGACTTTATGATAGAGGGAATGGTATGACTCCCACCGCGAACAGATCCTCCGCGACGAAGCACCGGCGACCTCCACCTCCGCCGGCGCCTCCTCTTTCCAATCCGGCACGACGATAGCCGACCTTCTCCGCTTCTTCGACCCGAGTCTCTTCGCAATCATGGACGACTCCGACATCGGTTTCTTCTCGATCGCGCGCCGCGTGTTTTCCCAGCTCGCGCAGGAAGAAGTCGAGTTTGCCGAGTCCGAGCAGCAGGACAACGAACCAAACGAGCTTCGGCTGCCGGAGTTTGGGAATTCAAAGTCGGCGTGGAATGAGGAGGTCAAGTATTTTTACTCGGCCTGGAGCGCGTTCTCGACAAGGAAATCGTTCGCGTGGTGTGATGCTTACAATCTTGCGGCCGCGCCTGAACGAAGAGTCAGGAGAGCGATGGAGAAGGAGAATAAGAAGTTGCGGGATGCCGGCAAGCGCGAGTATAACGATACAGTCAGAGTACGTCCCCCCCTCTCTCTTTTATCCACTTTTTTACTTTCTTACTGACAGCATCTAGGCCTTTGTCGCATTCATAAGGAAACGAGATCCGCGGGGTAAAAGTCCCGCGGCCGAGAACGAACAACGACAGCAAGACATGGCGGCGCGGGTGAAAGAGCAAGCCGCGCGAGCACGTGCAGCGCATCGCGAGCGGTTTAAAGATTACGAGGAACAGGAATGGGCTATGCCGTCGGCGAAGGACGAGCAGCTTTGGGAGGAGGAGTATGGGTATGGTAACAAGAAGAAGAAGAAAGGAGGGAAGAGTGGGACGCCTCCGCCGACGAATGAGGAAGAAGGAGAGGGGGAAGGTGAAGAGGAAGAAGAACAGACTACAATCGACCTGAACGACCCGTACGCGCCGCTCCCACAAGTCACCACGACCTCAACAATAATCCAAGACCCGGACACGCCCGGCACGCCCGACCCCGCCGGCGACAACTACGACGACGACGACGACGACGACATTATAATCTTTGAATGCGTGATCTGCAACAAGACGTTCAAGTCCGAAAAGCAAATGGAATCACACGAGAAAAGCAAGAAGCATTTGAAAATGGTCAAGGACGTCGTGCGGAGGATGAAGAAGGAGAATAAAGCTATGGGGCTCGATCAGCCTGCCGGTGAAAGTAGTCGACAGGCTGAGGAGGAGGATGAGGACGCGTATTCGGATGAGTACATTGACGCGGTCGAGCACGGGGTTTCACACATGACGGTTTAAATCATTCATCACCACTTTAAGGAGTTCCGGATCATTTATTTATTCTCCCTCTCTTTTAATACTCTGCTCTGTATTTGTTTGTTAGTTATGTGTATATATCTTCTGGTAGTCGGCATGAGCAGTCGATGCCTTGGTATATAGCTTCCCGTCTCTTGCGCTGTTGAAAAGAGGATGTGTATCATTATGTTGATCAAAGACTTTTCTTCTGCTCTATCTATACATCATTACATCGATTAAACCCCTCCACACCTAAAAACACCACGCTCCAATAGAAAAGGAATATACAAATGACTAAACAGCTAAATCTTCAACCTAAAATCCAATCTCAAATTCCCCCGATCCCCACTCTCGCTCCGATACTCCTCCCTCTGCACCTCCGTCATCTTCATCCACACCTCCTCGCGTCTCCTGTTCTCGGCGCGATAATACCCCATAATCCCAAACGCCAGCACCATCGACGCCACGTTCAGCGCGATGAGGATGTAGTACCCTTTCGTGTACTGCGGCGCGTCGGATTCCTGGAATACGTTCGCGGCGGTGAGGTTGCCGAGCTGCACGGCGATGTTGTAGATTGCCTGCGCGAGCGCGCGGCGGTCTGGGTCGTTGGAGTTGGCGGAGACCCAGGAGACGAGGATGGGTTGGTAGTACGGGTATCCGAGCGTGACGGTGTAGGACGCGTAGCGCCACCATCTGCTGGCGGAGAACGGGAGGAATTGGAGGAAGATGAGGTTCGGAAAGACCCAGAGCGCGGAGAGGATTGCGAAGATCCACTTGGTGTGGTAAAAGTCCGAGAGCCGGGAGAAGGAGGTCGTCGAGATGATGTTTATGATTGCGTAGGGGATGATTAGCAGGTTGATTGCGGTCGTGCTGAACATGAGCACGCGCATGTTGATGGGGAAATAGTACCGCAGCGTGACGGACGGGATGAAGCCGATATACCCGAGCAAGAAGATCGGGACGAGGTATTTATCCGTGAGCGCGCCGTAGATCGCCGCGAACGCCATCCGCGGGGTCTGGCGCTTCCCGACGTCTTTATTGCTCTGGTTCCGCTTCGACGGGTCGTCGAGCTCGACGCGCGCGCGCAGGATCACGGCTTCGCGAGGGGAAAAGACTTTTGCGATTTCGGGCGTCTTGAGCGACGGGATGAGGAAGAACGTCGCGACGCCGATCGCGGTCGTTAGTAATCCCTCTAGCAGAAGCAGCCATTGCCAGTTCCGCAGCCGCCCGACGTTGTCCATTAGTAAGATCGCGGACGCCATGAGCGCTGACAGGACGTTTGTTCCAGCTTGGGTTGCCCAGATCCACGAGAGCCGCACCGAGAGTTCGTCGGTTTTGTAAAAGGAGGAGACGTAGAATGCTAGGCCGCTGACGAACCCGCCTTCGCAGAACCCGAGGGCGGCGCGGGTGACGAGGAAGAACGGGCGGGCCTGGATAAACACCTGGACGGTAGAGACGACGCCCCACGCGGTCATGATTGTCGGCAGCCAGCGCTCGGGACCGAACCGCTTGTTCATCATCTGCGAGGGGACTTCGAGCGAGAGAAAGAAGATGAGGAAGAGCGATTGGCCGAGGTTGTAGTCGTTTGTCGTCATGTGGGTGTCGAGGAGAAAGTCGGAGGAGAGAACTTGTTGGATATTCGAGCGGTCGAGATCGAGACTAAAAAACATCACGCACGCGAGGATCATCACTCGCACATCTGTCTTGAACCGCACCTTCTTCTCCTCTTCTTCCGTCCATGCAGGTCTAAACTCGTCAGCTCATCCCATCTTCAGCAGCAGGAAGTAACAAGAACACTTACTCTCCATTCTTAATCTTCGCATCAATCAACGCAGCCTGATACGCATACTCATCCTCAAACTCCTCCTCCACGATCCCCTCCGCGCTCATCAGACTCCCATATTCACTCTTCTTCTTCTCGCCCGCAAACCCGAGCAACCCCGACTCCTCACCCACAACATCAACAACGTCCTCCTCCTCCGACGACACCACATCCGTTTTCTCTTCAAGAGTACTACTCTCACTGCTTCTCCTACTACTCGACATTCTTATCCTCTCAGCAGTTTTCTGATCCTTGAGAACCTGTGTGTACGTATAACAACCTCTGTGTTCAACATCAGCCGTCCTATCGATAGAGAACTTATTTATCGGCTCTAAGGGCCTCGTACCCGGCCCGGCCTGATTGCTTACACTCTCGTCCGATACCCAGACCGTATCTGCACGTGATTCAGAGTTTTGCTTTATGCATTAGAGTGACTTGTTACTGAGGAGGATGAAGTAGAGTAGATGTAACGATTAGTGCTTGAGCGATAGTAGTAGTTATTCAGAGCGAAGGGGGGTCTGATGGAAGACTCTTTAGAAGACTGGGTTGGGAGGTGGCTTGAAAGGAAGCATAAATAGTGGAAGAGCGGAGTAATCGATATCATATTCAATAGATGTCTGAATAGTACAGCAAGTACACCCTCTCGCTCTTAATAACTAGTCTCGCTCAAGTACCGGCTGTCACAGTAGAACAATCCTGAATAGAACATTGTTGATAGTAGTAGTAGTAGTAGTGAAGTTAACCCTGCCGCCACTGAATATGTTCCAAAATTCTAACCACGCTCGCGATACTACTCCCCTCCTCACTCCACGGCCTAATATTCCCCAGCACGATATCCCTCAACTCCCCCACATCCCCCACGCACCCCTTCAACACGCCACTCTCGTCCGCGCTTGCCGCCGTAGCAACCAATATCGCGCCCAACGAACTCTGCGAAAGCGTCCATGTGTAAGGGGACGGGTGGCGCAGGATATACCCCGCGCTGTGGATGTACCGCCGGATGCTGTCGAGACAGCGGTGGCAGTTTTCGAGGACGCGGGGTTTGTGCGGGCCGTAGGTTTCGGAGGCCGGGAGGGAGGGGTCGATTACGCGGAGGACGAAGGGGCGGAAGATGATGTGCCGGGTGGCGTAGTATCTTATCCTGAGCACGAGCGCGCGGTCGTTTTCCTCGTCGTCTGCGGATAATGATGAAGAAGGAGAGAGCGATAGGTCTGGTCTGACGACCTCGGGAATCGAATCATACCAAAGCTCAAGCTGCCGATTCAACTCATCACAAATCTTCAGCAACGAATGCAAACTCCTCTTCCCGGAGGACGTAGTGTACAGCGAATTATGCACGCGGTTGAGTAATCTCCGAATTGAGATCTCGGCAAGGAAATACACCATCGCGGGGTCGACGGGGTCGGAGGAAATAGTGGGTAACGGCATGTCGTCGACGATCGACTCGATTCCGGACCGGGGAAGTTCGAATTCAGCGAGCCGGTCGCATTCGATTAGGAAGCAGCTCCAGAAGAGGCGGATCTCGAGCTCGCGCGGGTCTGCTGCGGGATTAGAAGGTGAATTCTCGCTGCTCGCGCGCGCGTTTGATAGTCTGGTGAGTCCGAGTTGCACGTTCGTCGACGCGGCGTGGATTAGTTTCCAACTACTAATCGGCCGGACAATGTACGCCATATACAACCCCGCCAGCACAAGCCCCTGTGCGACAGCGGTGTTTGCGCTTAAATCTGCCGCGGAAGCAGCCCAAATGATTCTGTACGCTGGGGAAAAGTACTCAATCCCTGCAGGTTGTTGCTGGCTGTTGTCAGAGTGTTTTGTCGCGGCAGCACCGAGCGCGAGCGCGGTCATCAAGATCGCAGACTCGAGAGTCCAATCAAGCCCGTCCTCGCACGCGCGCTCACAAACTCTCGCGAGTTCGCGGGTATCAACAATCGGATGATGAACATGCACTTTCCTCGCAAACTGCGCCAGCAGCGCGTCGCACGTCTTGCGATTGAGCGCGGGGAGTTCGACGTGCGCGGTGGAGGTGGAGTGAGGTGTGGTGTCCCAAGGTACAGGGCGGCGGACTTCGATGTCGTAGAAGTAGTCGAGTGGGTAGTCACCCACGAGCGCGCGGATCTGGGGGAGCGCGAGGACGCGGATTGCCATCGTGTCGTGTTTGGTTGGGATCGTGAAGGCGGGCGCCGCGTCGGGGTTTGTATCTGCGGAGGGATAGAAGACTGGGTTGTGAGGCAGGGGGTGCGGCGAGTCCGGGGAGGCGGAGAGTGAGGGATGGGGCCATAGATGTTGTTGCCCGTTATTACTCGCGGCGGAGGAGATTTGTGACGGCGATGGTCCGTCGTCATGCGGAGAGCTGTGTTTGCTGCTACTGCTAGCAGCAGTAGCCGCGTTGAGTGCTTGCAGTGTCGTGATATTCTGGATCAGCTGCTCGTGTTTTGCGAGGAGGTCTTCGATGGTTTGTAGCCTGTCTTCGAGGTTTCTGGGGGGAGGTTGGTCGTTGGTGAAGCTATACACTATCAGCACCGCAGACACTACTAAGAAAAAAAAGGTGGAGGAGAGGTACCGCTGAATAGGAAGTTCTTGATATACACAGTCTGCGCGCGCGTGAAGACAGTTGGAGCATACAGGTTGTCGGCCGTCGCATCGTCGTTTCCTGCTCCGAGATGTGAGCGTGCCGTCGACTCCTCCCTCATACCCCCAAACAAACAGATAAAGTAGTAGTAGTATATACGCACTTGAACCTGCAAAAGTCACAGGCCACCGCAGCTCTTTTGCGCGGAAAACTCATGTTGTTGATCGAATATCTAATATCGACGAGATCTGGAGAGGCAACGGACTTTGAACATAAACTGAGATCTGGAGATGACGATGGTGGTGTCTACCCCGTCCGCGCTGAATATATCAAGGCAAGGCAAGGCCAGTCAATCAGCCATCCGTCGGCTTCACAGATACTCTCATTCTCCCTTTCTTCCTTCTCTCTATCTCCTCTACAGTTGGTCTTCAGATTCAAGGACTGGAGGTGAGGGGTAGAAGTGGGGGTTCGCTCCAAGCACGTGATCACACCCTATCAAAATCATCAACAAAACCCTACAATAAAATGTAAATCACGTGCGTTATCGTCGCCGATAAGCAGACTCTCCACGACGTTTGCTGTGTTTAAAAGTACAGAAGAAAGAATGGAGCGACCGCGCAGACCGAGTTTCTCAGAACTCCCGCTGCGGAAGGGAGATCCGCCGTACTCGGCGTGGGGACTGTATGGCGCGGACGACGAGCTGGGCACGATGAATTTGATTACGCCTGCGGTTACGCGGGCTGCTGTTGCGGAGGTGAAGTTGGGGGTTACTATTCCTCTCGAGTATGTTGCTCTTCTATCTTTTATGAGAGGAGGAGGAGGAGGAGGAGGAGGAGGAGGAGGAGACGGGGCTGATGATATGAGAATAGTCTTCCCCTCGACGCGATCGCAAAGCCATTCATCCCCTCCCGCGTGCCCTACGAACACAAACTTCTCGCCCGCGGCTACGCCAACGACGACGAGATCCGGATCAACACCCAAAGCACCTCGCAATGGGACTCACTCCGTCATTTCCCGTACCAATCCGGGTACTTGTACTATAACGGCGTGACGAACGCGGACATCAGCGGCGCGGAAGCAAACGACAAGAACGGGATCCAGAATATTGCGCGGAAGGGGGTGGCTACGCGGGGCGTGCTTGTGGATTGGTGTCGGTATGCGAAGAGGAAGGGGATTGAAGTGTCGCCGTTTGAGCGGCGCGAGATCACGATTGCGGAGATTGAGGAGATTGCGGAGGAGTGCGGGCTCGAGTTTCGGGAGGGCGATCTGTTTATCCTGCGTACTGGGCTGGTGGAGAAGTACCGCGAGTTGTCGCATGAGGAGAAATGCGCGGTGGCCGAGCGGACTGGCGCCGAGGCGGCGTATATCGGCGTCGAATGCAACGAAGTCAGCGCGCGCTGGTTCTGGACCCGGTCGTTTGCCGCGGTCGCGACGGATACGTTGTCGTTTGAAGCGTGGCCGCGGAAGAACTCCGAGGGATGGACGTGGCTCCTGCACGAGGTTTTTCTGGCGGGATGGGGGATGCCGATCGGGGAGCTGTGGGATCTGGAGAGGGTGGCGGAGAAGTGTGAGGAGGTTGGGCGGTGGAGTTTTTTGGTGACGTCGCAGCCTTTGATTATTGAGGGGGGGGTTGCTAGTCCTCCTAATGCGATGGCTGTTTTGTAATCTTCTCTAGATTTGTGGATTCTCGAAGAGGAAACAAAAAGCATGGCTTTGACCACCCAGAAGCCGAACTCTAGAGTGCACTTCCGAGCAAGATATCCGATCATAGCATGCAAAGAGAAGATTTCACCAGCAGCTGCTCTGCCTACAGTTCCTAACATCAACATCCAGACAAAGTGTAATCTGCTGCAGTAGTCGCGGAAGCAGAAGAGATAGAGAGGAGGAAGAAGGAGGAGGAGAGGATTACCGAGATGAACAAGGCGTTTTAGGTTGGATGAGTCGCGCCGCCACACTTTACTTGTGATTACTATGATCTGCTGTAGTTCTTCATCTTGACTCGTCAAGTAGTAGTTACTAGTTCTTTGTCTATAGAATACTCATATGTAGACATCATCTCATATCTAGGACCATATCTAAGACGGCACATCTCCATCCGGAACTTCTTCTTCCGCATCCCGGCTAAACCTTATAACTCAGCTCCTCGCCGAGCTCCACTTCACTTCTTCAACATAAACTTTGCCTCGTCGGACTTCTGGATGCGTCTGGTTCTGGTCTTTGCTGAGTTTTCAGTGGTGGTGATTGGTGGTTTACTACTGCTGCTGCTACTGCTGCTGCTACTGCTGCTGCTACTGCTACTGCTAAGATGTAAAATCAACCATTACTACCGTAAAACAATCATAACTACTCCGCCTTCTCATTGATAGCACTGCTCTCCTTACTCGACGACGACGGTCCATCCTCAGACGTCGTGATCGTCTCAATCACAGTCCCGCCATCGTCCCGCATCTCCTTACTATTAATCACCCGCGCGCCCTCCGCCTCGTCTTCCTCCCAGAACCGTTTCTTGCGATGCACGACCAGCCTCGTCAGCCACGGCGGGAAAAACACCGTCATGATCTCGAGCGGCGTCAGGCGCTTGGGCTTGGAGGCAGAGGTCGAGGGAAGGGTGGGGTCGATCTCGGACTCGTCGTCCTCGCCGACTGCCATTCGCCACGTCCAGCCTTCGCGCTTTTCGTAGTTCTCGGGCGTGATGCGGCCCTTTGATAGCTTGTCGATCAGCCACACGCCGATGTTGAGGAGCATGTAGGATAGGATTCCCGCGATAAGGCCGTACGAGATCGAGTAGGTGAACGGCATGACTGCGATCGTCAGGAACGCAGGGATCGAGTCGCCGACGTATTGCCAGTTGATTTCAGCGACAGCGCCCATCATCATCGCGCCGACAATCACGAGCGTGGATCCAGTAGCCCACGGCGGGATCGAGGCGAAGATAGGCGCAAAGAAGATCGAGATGAAGAAGCAGATACCGGTAGTCATAGCCGTCAAGCCGGTCCGTCCGCCCTCGGAGATACCGGCGCCGGACTCGATAAAGGCAGTCACGGGCGGCGTGCCAAACAACGAGCCGATGACGATGCCGCTCGCGTCGACGATGTAGGCGACCGCGGAGCCCTCAAAGTCGCCGGTCTTGGGGTTCATGTATCCCGCGAACTTGGCCATCGAGTAGAGCGTACCGGTGGTGTCGAGGATGTCGACGTAGAGGAAGGTGACGAGCGCGAGCCAGAACTCGCCGGTGCCGCCGGGGATGGAGCCAATATTCCACTCCTGCACGGCCAGAATCTTTTCAATCTTGTGGAAGGTGACGACTTTCTTGAAGAAATCAAAACGCGTGTCGCCATCGGTGGTGTAAGGGAAGTATGTAGTCGGGCTCAGACGAGGCCAGGACACGATTGAAACCATAGCGATGCCGATGATGACGGCACCTTTGATACGGTAGAGCATGCAAAAGACGGTGATGAAGCCGCCGAGGAAGATGCCGAGATACATGCGGCCGTCCGACATCTGGTGCTCGGAGCAGAGATCAGCGTCGCCCTGGTACTCGAGCGCGCAGCCGGCAAGGTCGACGGGGGTGGACGTCGAGCCGGTGGTGACACCGAGACCGGCCGAGCCGTAGAGACCGATGAATGTGAGATATAGACCGATGCCGGCACCAGTAGCGTGCTTGATGGTGGTGGGGATGGAGCGGGCGAGCCATTGCCTGATGCCAAAGATGGAGAGGCCGATGAAGATGAAACCTTCGACGAAGACGGCGGTGACGGCGAGCTTGTAGGAGATGGAGCCGGAGCCGTGGTAGCCTACGACCTGGTAGGTGAAGTAGGCGTTGAGGCCCATGCCGGGGGCGAGGCCGATGGGAAGGTTTGCAAAGAGACCCATGCAGAAGGTTGTGAGGGCGGCGATGGCGGCTGTGGCGGTGACGAGGTCCTGCTTGACGACTGAGTTTGAGTTAGAAAAGTTTTATACAGAGAGGGAGAGAGGAGGAGGAGAGGAGGAAGGAGAGGAAGAGGAGAGGAAGAGGAAGAAGAAGAAGAAGAAGAAGAAGACACACCTTGAACACAGGCCATATAATCAGTATCAGCATCACAGGTAGGGTCATCGGTAGTGCCATTACAGACACAGGTTCCACCCGACTCGGAGGTGATGGAGGCGTTGACGGAGATGATGTAGGCCATGGCGAAGAAGGTAGCGAGCCCGGCGCGGATTTCGGTGAAGAAGAAGGCGCCGGTGCGCTCGCGACGAGAACCGGAGTTCTCGAGTCTGAACCAGCGGCCGACCGGGGAGCGGGCGACCTTGAGGTTGAGGGAGTGGACTATGTCAGCCACGCCCATGGTAGGAAGAGATGAGGAGATGGGAGATGGGAGATGAGAGATGAGAGGAGATAGAAGAGAGAAGAGAAAAGAGAAGAAGAAGGGAAGGAGAAGAGAGGGAGAATCGCCGAAACAGACAAGAGCAGAGCAGGCAGAGGAGTGGAGGGCGGACGGAGGAGGTTAAATAGGGAGGAGGAAAGATAAGAGGACAGAGACCGGAAGCGAGGACGGAAGGAGGAGGACGGAGAAGCGAGTAAGGTTTAGAGCCGCACGGATAGAGTTTGATCGTCGTAGGAGGCGGCGCCACCGATGGGAGACAATGGCGGTGGCGGAGGCGGACAAGGCCGAGCGACGCCACGGGGGTGCTTATGAGATTGAAGAGAAGTAGTAGTAACAATAATAGTGGTATAGAAGAAGAGAAGAAGAGAAGAAGAGCAGAAGAAGAAGCAGTAATAGAAGAAGTAATAGTAGAAGAAGAAGAGAAGAAGAGAAGAAGAGCAAGGCCCACTTGACTCGGACTCTTCTTCTGTCCAAAGTCACAGTTATCGGCGCCAAGAAACAAAAATATTTTAATTTTCAGTCACCGCAGCAGCTTTTGTATCTTTCTGCTTCTTTCCTTATCTTTTAGTGTCTTTTTGTGTTTTAGTGTATTTGAGTAAGAGAAGAAGGATTGACTGGAATAAGAGTGACAGTTGTTAATTAGCTGTCTGTTCGCGGATATGGCCGTGTTTTAATACTAGTTACTGCTACTACTGCTGCTACTACTACTACTTCACTACTCAGTAGAGTAGTCTACACTCATCGGCCTTCTCCTACTTCTTTCTATCTCCTCTATCTGCCCCACATACCCCGCCAACCTCTTATCCTCCTCTGCTCGCATATGCCCGACTGTTCTTGTTCTCTACTCTACTCTACTCTACTCTACTCCACTAATCTACTAATCTACTAATCTACTAATCTACTAGCGGATCTGCTAGCAAACCTACCCTTCAGCCTCGCACACTCTATTCTTCCATGTCACGTGCTCTACTGTGCTCATAACCAGCCCGCTTCAGCATCTCTCTCTCTCTCTCTCTCTCTCTACTCACCACCACTACTACTACCACTACCACTACCACCATGGACTTCCTCCTCCTACCCACCCTCATCTCCCTCGCCCTCAACCCCCTCCTCTTCGCCCTCGCCGATGCCCGCTTCCTCTGCTTCATCTACCTCCCCTCCCTCGGCGCAAACCCCTTCCTCTCCAGCCCCGTCTCCTCCCACATCTGGTCCATCCTCCAGCTCCTCCTCACCCACTTCCCCCCTCCCCCCGCGACTCCCTCATCTCCTGCGCCTCCGTCTCCGCAATCTCCCTCTTCTACCTCCTCCTCTTCCTCTCCGCCATCCACCGCACCTTCACCTCCTCCTCCCGCTACCTCTCCTCCCTCGGCTGCACCCGCCTCTCTCCCCTCCTCGCAACCATCCCCACCTCTTCCTCAGCCCTCTTCGCGCTCTACATGATCGCCTCTTTCCTCCTCCCCCAACTCGAGCGCTGGCCTACCACCTTCTTCTACATCAAGGCCGCTATCGCTGCTATCCCCTGGCCCGCCCGCTTTGCCTCCTCGCACCCGCTCCGCATCTTCCTCGACGCCCGCTCCATCCTTCTCTCTTCTGGTCTATATCCTGTGTTTTCTCGCCAGGGCTGCCTTATCTCCATGTGGCTCTTACTCTCCTTCTACATCCTCTTTGCTCTCACTCCCCTCCTGCGCTTCACCCTCTCCTGTCTCTACAAAACCGCTCTTCTCCCGACTAAACTATGTAAGTCCTCACATCTCTCTCATCTCATCTTCACATCTTCAACGCTAACATCCCAGTCGCCCAAAACACCTCCCGCTCAGACCTCGCAGTTATCATTGCAGAGATTAAAGCGCAGGCAGCTGACCGCGACGCAAAGCACTCTCTTCTTCTGCAGCAGACATTTACCGCCTTCGCCCTCGAACTGCGCGATCACTCTGCCCGTCTTGATGCCTCTTTTGCTCAAAGATCTGATTTTGTCCAGCAATCAGATCTTGTCCGAACATCAGATCTTGTTCAGAACTCAGGTCTTGCTCAGCGCTCAGACTCTCCGCAAAACCCAGACAATGCCCCCCTCGACGCCCTCTCCAAACAAATCCACAAGCTCGAAGAAAACTCCCGCTTCCGCTCCTACGAGCACCGTCTCCTCATCGGCGAAAACAAGCGCAAACTCTCGCACGAGCTCTGCACCTACCGCGGCGACGTCATGCTTCACATCAACAAACTCTCCGAATGGCTCAACGGCGAACTGCCCAAACACCTCGAGGCGCAGGGAAGCAGGCTGTACTCGCGCCTCGCCGCGTACTTTGATCTCGCGGACGTGCATCAGTTGAAGCTTGCGGAGGGGCTCGAGGAGCAGATTAAGCACTATACCGAGCAGCACGCGTCTGTGCTCGCGGGGCAGATTTATAATATGGCGGTGAATGTCCATCAGACTGCTTCTCGGTTTAACGAGTGGGAGAAGGAGGTCTCGAGTCGGTTGCTGGCGATCGAGGATGCTCTACATATCCCGCAACGGCCGCCGCTGAAGGAAATTAATCAGCCGTCTGCTTAGTCGTCGTATTGTTTATTCCAAGGACCTGTGTATGTTTCTGTGCTTATACCTCCTCTTTCCTCCTCTTACCTCCTCTTATATCAATCCACCGCTGACTTTTCCAGATTTTTACCTGACTCTGACTGTACTGTTCTTTATCTCTTCCTTCTGAGCTATGGAGAGACTATACTATTATCACCCCGATCCGATTCTACTCTACTGTTATCACTACTGTTATCTTATTATTACCCTCTATGTATGACACTTCATACCAACGCGCACTGTTAGTGCATACAGCTCACGAACAAATCCGTGACAGAACGCCATTGAATATGGCCCGATTCCACTCTTCTTCCTTGTCCCCGTGTATTTTGTGTACACGCCCTCGACTATTCACTTCAGTATCACCGCTACTGTCGTGCTATTGTCGTACAGAAGTATGACACCAGCGCCGTCGTCGCGTACAGCTCACGATCAAGATCGTGACAGAACGCCATTGATAATGGCCCGATTCCACTCTTCTTCCTTGTCCCCGTGTATTTTGTGTACACGCCCTCAACTATTCACTTCAGTATCACCGCTACTGTCGTGCTATTGTCGTACAGAAGTATGACACCAGCACCGTAGCGCATACAGCTCACGATCAAGATCGTGGCAGAACGCCATTCAGATATGGCCACTCCTTCTTCCTTGTCCCCGTGTATTTTCTGTGTACACAACTCTCTATTCTTTCATCTCGCTCTACACTCCTCAGCTCTACACTTATCTCCACACAAGTCAGCTCTACTCTTTATCCTCCGTCCTCGGTCCACATCCATCTTCCTCTCTCTCTCTCTCTCTCTCTCTCTCTCTCTCGGCACTTTTGTTTTCGTCAAGCGGCTTTTGGTGTCTGCTTTGTACTTTAGTCTTTGTATTTTATTATACGCTTTTGTTTTCTATGATGTTTGTTGTTGTTGCTTTTGTGTTTAATGGAATTGAAGGTGAAATGTTCTCATATTTGTACGTGCGTAGATGGGCGTGGTGGAGAAGTCGCCCTATCCAGTATCTTTCTTCTTTCCACTTTCATTCTCAGTCATAATTCCGACAGAGTAAATTGCCTATCTTCCTCACTGATCTGTACAGCTTCAGGCGGGGTGATATCAAGTTAAGTCCTTGCTGACGATCTCTCGCTGCAGAATCGTAGTTCCATCTCCCCTTCCTCTCCTCCTTTCTATCTTCTCTCCTACTTCTCTTCTTCTCCTTTCTCTTCTTTTCTCTCTAATTCAAAGCAACACACCTCGCCTATAACTACTTCTCCTCCTCGCGCTGCACTAATGTGAAGTCGCCATCACCGCCAAATCAACCAACGAGCCGCACGAGAATAACCCAGCACCCTCTCCCACCCACCCAACCAAACTCCGAGCTCTCTTCTATCAACATCATCCAACGATTTGCCATCGCGATTTGTGTGTTGCTACACAGTGTGCGTGCTGCTGCTGAAGAGTGTGAATATTGTTATAGAATAGTATAATTGAGGAGGATCTAGAGATGTCGAGTTTATGCCTGAATCGATTGCAGGAGGAGAGGTATGTCAATCCCCACCCACCCTTCTTCCTCTCTTCCTCTCACTAATCCCCCCCCCCAGAAAACAATGGCGGAAAGACCACCCCTTCGGCTTCTTTGCCAAACCCAACAAATCCCCCGACGGCAGCCTCGACCTCATGAACTGGTCCGTCGGCATCCCAGGCAAAAAAGGCACCCTCTGGGAAGGCGGCACCTACACCCTCACCATCTCCTTTCCCGAAGAATACCCGACCAAGCCGCCAAAGTGCAAGTTCGCGCCGAATTTCTGGCATCCGAATGTGTATCCGTCTGGGACGGTGTGCTTGTCGATCTTGAATGAGGACGAGGGGTGGAAGCCTGCGATTACGATTAAGCAGATTTTGCTGGGGATTCAGGATCTGCTTAATGATCCGAACCCGGACTCGCCCGCGCAGGCGGACGCGTTTAACGCATTCAAGTATGTCTCTCTATTTTCTACTATTTTTTTTTTTTTTTGTTATTCGTGCATGGGTTGGAGTTAACGACGATATAGGAGAGACAGAGCGCTTTACGACCGGAGGGTTCGCTCCCAATCAAAGGAATACGCGACACAATGATCAATATCCGGCGATAGCGAGCAGTCTTTTGTTTGTTGAGTAGTGGCATGTACTTTTAGCTCTTTCTTTACTCTAGTTTTCTTTACTTTTGTTTTCTTTACTTTTGTTTGTTGTCGGTGCAGTTTAATACAATTTGTTTTTTTTCGACATCTGTTCATTTTCGACCTCCATTTGCGACTACTGAGATAGTGCCTTCTGCTCCGCTTCAGATATACGACATCATCAACGTTTCAAAAAAGTGTACTGTGATCGTCACTGCGTGAGCTTCTTTATACTAATCTGAACATAACTACTACATGTCGATGCAGTTTCATACAATTTGTCCATTTTCGACCTCGAAAATCCTCTCAAGAGACAAAAGTCATCCGTTTTGCTCCAGCTCTGCTGCAGATACACGACATTATCAGCGTTTCAAAAACAAGTTTACTGAGCTACTTTTTACTAATCCGAATACAACTACGAATACAGATCTGAGGATGGAGAGTTTATACACCCCGCCTCTTGCTGTACGCCACCAGGAATGAACCTGATAGATGCTGTAACGAACACCCCGGATTTTATAGCAGACTCTTTTCGTTGTGGTGTAGCTGTAGCTGTAGTTAGAGTAGTAGTAGTAGGATCAGCAGAAGAAGAAGAAGAAGAAGACGAAGACGAACAAGAACAAGACACCACTCATCCCCCTCTCCATCCCTCCCCATCCCACCCACCCATCCTCTATTCTCCTTTCTCCTCTCCTCATCACACCCACTCATCCTCCCTCCTCTCCCTCTCTCCCTCTCTCCTCCGCAAAAGAACCAGAAAGAACCAGAAAAAGAACTAGAAAAAGAAAAAGAACCAGAAAAGACTAGAAAAAAGGAGACACGAAGATGTAAATGCTCAACTTACATAGCGTATGCTAAACAGATAAACCACCGACAAGGGCGTGGGAGATAAGTGTATTGAAACGTACACTACAAACACAAACACAAACACAAATACAAACATAAACGCAAACACACAAACTATCAATACTATACAAAACACAGACAAACCTCAATCACTAAAGCATCTCCGTCCAAGACCTTTTCTACACTTTTCAAACCCCGTTTTTGTAAACCCACACACACACACAAAGAAGAGGGCCCTACCCTGTCGTGAAATGTACTGGACGGCGCAGAACGTACTGGAATATGGTTATGCTCCGGGCGGAGGTGGCGGGTATGCTGCTGTTCCTGGAGGAGCGCCGGGAGCCCCTGGAGCTCCTGTACCTGGAACGCCGGGCGGGGCGCCGAAAGACGCTGGGGCGCCAGGGGCGCCAGGAACACCGGGAGGAGCGCCTGGAGCACCGGCACCGGCGCCGGCACTCGTGGCTGGCATACCAGGAGGTGCAGAGGCAGGAGCGGACGCAGAGGCAGCATCCGCAGGTGCTTGACCCGCCGCGGCCTGCTGCGCGTAATATTGTTCATAATACTGCTGATAATACTGCACATAGGCCGCGTACCCTCCATAAGCCGCATACGGGTCCTGGCCCGCTGCAACAGCGGCGTAGTATGCAGTGTAATCCGGCTGCTGGCTGGCTGAAGCATCAGCAGCTGCCTCGGCCGCGTGGTCAGGAGACTGTTGTCGAGGAGCTCCTCGGTCATCTCTTCCCCCGCCGCCGTATCCGCCGCTGTTATACCCACCGCCGCCGCCGCCGTATCGATCATCGCGACGGCCGCCATCGCGGGGTCCGCGGTTGTTGTTGTAGCCGCCGCCGCCGTCGTCGTAGCGACGTTGCTGGGGTCGCGGGTTGGCTTTGAAGGTGAGGTAGTCCTCGTTGACGGTCTTGACTAGATCTTGAGCTAGACCGACTGCTCTGTCGACGCTTTCTTGGTCACGGCCACTTGTTAAATAAGAAGAAGGAGCTATATGTCAGTTTTTAAAAAATCAAAAAAAAAAAAAAAAAAAAGAGTACGATGACAGAAAGAATAAGACAGAGGTATTGAGAACAGTCGATGGAATTTAGTCACGCTACCAAAGATCTTAGTAAATACATACAGAATATGAAGGAAGACCGGTTCGTCGCTCTCGCGGCCGGTGGACTGCTCGATGAACTGGGATCCGCGGCCCTTGATCTGCACGCGACAGCTGGTCTCGGCCTGGATGTGCTTGACGTTGGAGCCCTGCGCGCCGACGATGTTGCCGCGCACGCTGAAGCCGGGGCCGATGTAGTCGATTCCGATCGGGACTTTGGCTTCGATCCAGGGTTGGCGCTGGTGTGTGTTAGTATGAGTGAGTAGGAGTTGGTGAATGAGGAGAACTTACAGGTCTGTATTCGCCGCGGGGTCGGTCGTTGAAGAAACGCTGTTGTCCCGGGCGGTCGTCCTGGTGGTACTGCTGATGAGCAGGAGGACCGTGCTGGTTGGAGTAAGAAGGACCAGAGGGAGCAGCCGGGGGAGTTCCGGACTCTGCAGAAGGGTCTCTGCGCGGGGGCATGTTGTCGCGCTTCATGAGGTCTTCTATAAGCCCGACGGCTTTCTCGAGCGCTTCGTTTGATTGGGCGGTGATGTGGAGGTAGAGCGCTGGTTCTTTCTCGGTCGCCATCGAGGGGTCGGGGTAGTATCGTCCACGAGTGGTCACGTCTGTTATAAGATGTCAGAAGATGAGATGTCGGTGGGAGAGTAAAGATACTGACCTGCTCCGGTCTCGGTCTTGATCATGGCCTGCGTCTGGCCTTTGGTTAGGGTATACCGATTCCTCAGGTGGTTGATTTCAATGTCGCGAATAAAGTCTCCTTCGTCAATCATGGTCTCTTCTGTAGCTCGGATCGGACCAGAAGGAGCAGGAGCAGGAGTAGATGATGGAGTCGATGCAGACGGGGCCGCACCGCCGAGCTTTGCTTGTAGCTGCGCGTTGATCTTCTCCGCGGCAGCAGCTGGGGGTTGTTAGTATAGTATTTCATAGAGAGAGGTAGAGAAGACGCACCAGCAGCAGCGATGGCATCCCTCTTCTTTGCCTCAGCAGAGGTATCGTGTCTAGAGTGCGCCCGGGGGGAAGCCGAGCGATCGCGGTAGGAGCGATGGGAGTCGCGGTCGCGGTCTCGTTCTCGTTCTCTGTCCCGCGGTGACCGTTCGCGGTGGGATCGCGAGCGGTTTCTGTCGTAGTCCATGGTTGAGGGTGGGTTGAGTATGAAGATGGGTAGAGGATGTGAGTATTGCGATGAGATGGCCCCTTGATAAATTTTAGTTTTGAGGTGTGGTATTTTGGGTACCAGTTTAAGGAGAAGAAGAGATAGAGAGTGAGAGTGTTATTTTGGGGATGGATTTAGTAGAGCAGATGACTTAGAGCAGAGTAGAAGAGATGAAGTAGAAGAGAGAAGAGGGATTCAGAGAGGATTAATGAGGTTAATTAGCAGATATTGTTGAATGAAGCTGATTGCAGAAGCAGTTGGCAGACAGAAGTAGTCAATAGAGAAGAAGAGAAAAGTAAGAGAAGAGCAACAGAGAGCAAAGAGCAGAACAGACACAGAACAACACAGTCAATCCTCTCATCGCACATTAATACAATAAACTACTATTCTATTACTACAACAACAAATGTAATAACAGCACATATAACACACATACAACAACACATATAACAACACCACAACAACACCACAACACCAACAGCGAATCAGCGCACGCAGAGACGCATGTGCGGAATTGAGTTTGTTGGGCGAACAAGGTTATTATGACGCAACCGCAGTGATTCTGCGTACTTATGCTGCTCCTGTTCTCCGTCTTTTGTGAAAATATAAATACAATAACCTGTTTATTCAGACAATTCTGATTCGATTGATGTAGAAATCACCTCTATTCTCGCAGTAATTGCGTAGTTATAAGCTGTAGTTGAGTCGGTGCGGAAGCTGCAGCGCCGCGCTCTGTTCATTTCCCCGGTCTTCTCTTCGCTCCTCTTCCTCTTCCTCTTCCTCTTCCTCTTCCTCTTCTTCCCTCCATCCTTCTCCTCCTCTTCTCGTCATCACATCTCCACAATGTCCTACTCCTCAATCCCCAAGCAGACCAACGACCTCATCAACGGCGGCTTCTACCACTCCGCCCCCGTCGCCCTCTCCGTCAAGAGCAAGGTCCCCAACGGCGTCGTAAGTCCCTCCTCCTCCTCCTCCTCCTCCTCCTCCTCCTCCTCCTACAACACATCTAACATCCTCCCAGGTCCTCTCCGCCAACGGCAAGTCCTCGCCCTCCGGCGCCATCTCCGGCGGCTTCGAGGCCTCCTTCCCCGACAAGGTCTCCGGCGTCACCCTCACCCAGGGCTGGACCGCCGACAACAAGCTCACCACCAAGTTCGCGCTCCCCTCCTTCGCCCCCGGCCTCAAGACCGAGCTCGCGACCACCTTCGTCCCCTCCGCCGGCTCCCGTGGCGCAAACGTCACCTTCAACTACTCCCACGGCCCCTTCACCTCCAAGATCTTCGCCGACCTCCTCAAGGGCCCCACCTTCAAGTCCGACTTTGCCTTCGCCAAGTCCGGCGCGACCATCGGCGGTGAGGTCGAGTACGACATCCCCGCCGGCGCCGTCAAGGGCTACGCCGCTGCTGTCGGCTACGCCGGCCCCGGCTACTCCGTCTTCGCCTCGGCCACCTCCAAGCTCTCCGTCTTCTCCGCCGGTTACTACACCAAGGCCTCCGACGACGTCCAGGTCGCCACCAAGGCCACCTGGAACTCCAAGGAGCCCGCCCAGGCCGTCGACTTTGAGATTGCCTCGCAGTACAAGATCGGACCGACTTCCTTCTCCAAGGCCAAGATCTCAAACAAGGGAATCCTCACCCTCGCTTACACCAACACCCTCCAGGATGGCGTCAAGCTCGGATTCGGTGTCTCCGTCGACACCCAGAAGCTCAACAATCCCGTCCACAAGGCCGGTCTTTCGTTCTCTTTCGAGTCCGCTGCTCCTGTCGCTAAGTTTTAAGCCTCTTCTGCTTGAGTTGCTTTGATATTCTTGAAATGCTTAGATGGATCATGAATCAATATTCTTTTGGTTTGTATGCTTAGAAAATGCCTAGATAAGATAATACACTATATATATATATACATCCTACTCCTTTGCCTCTGTACTCTTCTGCTTCTGCTTCACCGCCCTCGGCACAAACATCACCGTCGTCGTCGCTGACTTATCTCCGCCTGCACTTCCCCTTTCGGTTCCTGAACCTTCCCCGCCGCGGCTCACGCGGCTACCAATCCTTCCTCGTCCCCTTCCTCCTCTGCCTCTGCCTCGGCCTCGGCCTCTTTGAGAGGACTGATGATGGTCTGTAGAAGATGCAGGAGCCTTGACCTCCGCCAACACAACACTGAGCACCCGATCCCCCACCTTTGTCAAGTTCAACTCCAGCGCGCGCTCCGCCTCCTCCGCCTTGGAAAAAGTGACGAATCCAAACCCCTGATGATTCCCAAACACTTTCTCACTCCCGCCGCCCCCCGTCGCAGTCGGAAGACGCACGCGCTCGACAGCGCCGTACTTTGAAAACATTTGTAGCACGTCCGCGTCTTTCATCGAGTACGGGATACTCCGCACAAACAGCTCCCGGCCCTCGTACACCGCGCCTTGCCGGTTCCGTCGCTGACTCGGGTCGCTTATTTTCACAATCAACTTGCGCTGCTGCTTCGGCTGCTTCTCGGCTTCTGCTTTCTCCTCCTCCTCCTCCTCCTCCTCCTCCTCCTCCTCCTTCTCCTTCTCCTCCTCGGCTGTAACCAGCGCCGGCGCGGGGGTATCATCCAACTCCTGCTGCGCACGCACAGCAGCTTCCGCGGTCGCGTACTGCAGGTAGCAAAACCGCCGCTTCGTATTCACGCTCAACGACGGGAACCGCACGTCGACCACCTCGCCGAACTTTTCAAACAGGCCGCGGATATATCCCTCGTCCGCCGCTGACGGGAAGTTTGTGATCCATAACGTTGAATTTATCGCTCTGCGCACTGTTATTGTACTTCCGACAGTGGAGGGCTTTTGATCCCGCGTAAGAGCGGACAGAACGTCCTCGTCGTTGCCGAATTCAAGGGTTGCTGTCGTCTGCCCATCCACGCTCACCAACTTCATCGAGATGATCTCCCCGCAGTCCTTGAAAAACGCAGCCACCTCTTTCTCCGTAGCGTCCCCTGAAATGCCCTCTGCAATCACCGATAAATGCTCGCGGTCTCGAACCGGTGCTGATGTCGTTGTCTTGGCTTTCTTTACTGATACCTCTGCAGTAGGCACCGGCGCATCTTTTCGTTTTCCGTTCGTCGCGGGCTTTTCTTCCTCCTCCACCTCCTCCTCCTCTGTCTTCTTTTTGTCCACCGTGTGACTCTTCACAGTCTTACTCGCTGCTGCTGCTGCTGCCGCCGCCGCCGCCGCCTCCGTCGCCCGCCGCTTCTGCACAACCCTCATCAACTTCTTCACCGCGATCTCCGCCTTCTCAATCGCAAACGCACTCCCCACCTCCCTCTGATACCCCAGCAACGCATCACACACCCGCTCAGGCTGATCGATACTCTTCACCCCCACCGCAGAAGTCAACACCCCCGCTGGCGTCAAATGATCCCCTTGCGGTTCGCACACCGCTCGTTCCCAGCTAAACCGTTTCATCCAAAACTCGCTTTCCCGCGCGTGTTTCTTCGTCAACACTTCCCACTCCTCCCGCGCGCGACCGATCTCGCCCCGCGCCGTCAGCGAAGCTATATATAGCTGCGGAATCACATACTTCTGATCCCGCCTGCTCGACTCATTCCCAAACTTCTCGCGATACAAATCAACCTGCTTATCCACCTCGGCATAGTACGCACTCTCCTCGCCCACCTCAGCAGACTGGTGCCGGATATACGCCAGCCACGCCGCCACGGCAAGACTGTAGTCCTCCACGCTCGAGGACAGGAGATCGTCGCCAAACACCTGCGTCGTAAGCTCCACGATCGCGTCCGGCGACGCGCCGAAGCGCTCTCGTGTGCGGATAAAGTGCGCCCACAGCGCGCCTGATTTCGGACACGCGCGGACCGCGCGCGCGAGAACGGCGTTGACAGTGTCGTATTGGAAGTCATGGTCGAGCAGGAACAGCACGTAGGAATCCCACACTGCTGCACTAGTCGGCGAGTTTGCGATCGCGCGCTCGTAGATTGCTTTCGTGAGATCAAAGCTGAGGACTTTTTTCGGCCGCGCGAGAGACGCGTCGATGTACTGCGACCAGACCCCCAGATCGTCTGGGTGCTCTGCCAAGTGATCTTCGTACGGCTGCAGGACTGCGAGCGTTTGTTTAGTTTCAGAGACGAGCTTGTTTGCTGCCACTAGCTCTTTTTCGTAGTTGTCGTTCGCGTAGGTCGTGATGAAGGTCGAGTAGTCCGAAAAGGTTTCGGAGAGGGCTGCGTGTGGGATCTTGAGGCGAGAGAGGTAGTATCGTTTGACGAGGGCGATTGCTTCGATTGTTGGTTTGGCTGCTAAGTCCTCGAGTTTCATGTCGCGGTAGATGTTCCAGATTCTGTGGCTCTGCAGAGTATTTGTTAGCATCCAGTCTCTCGATTGTGAATATAGATTTGTACTCACATCCGGGATCAAGTACTGAGTCGCATCAACAGCCCTGACCGTCTCCGCCTCGACAACCGCCTTTGAAAACACTCGCGCCTCCTCATCCTTTCCCTCCTTCTTCTCCCTCTCATACTCCCCAATCAAGAACCCAAGATACCGTTCCCAAAGCTGCACCGACACCAGATCATCCACGCTCTTCGTATACACCTCCAGCAACTTCACCGCCTCCCCATCCTCATCAACCCCTTCTCCTTCTCGCAGCCGCTCTCGCGCAGCTTCCTCGTCGTCAAGCCATGAATTCCAAAACCCAGAATCCATAAGAAACACCCCCGCCATCCGCTCTCGCGCCTCGCGCAGTTCGTCCGCAAGCGGACTCTCCGGTCCCGCCTGTTTCAGAAACGAAAGCAACTCTGCATGCGCGGTGTACTTGTACTTGTTTGTCAGTACTGCTTCGAGCAGATCTGCGAATTTCTCGGCGTCGATCTCAAGTTCATGGTCTTCTGGTTGTTGTTGCTGCTGCTCGTCGACGTCCATTTGCACTTCTTCTGCGGAGCTGTTGCTCCCTGATTCGTCAACTTCTTTCTCCATCGCTGCTAGTGTTTTCCTCTATAGTATACTACTTCAACCACGCTGCATCAATAAACACTCAACAGAAAACAACCACAATTCAATCCTACTCCTCTGATCCTCACTTCAAACATCAGTGCTCAGATCTCGCTCACAGCGCCACAAACCCCTCGCCACCAACACTCCGCCCTCCGCCTCACGCAAATTTCATTTTTTTTGCACTTCAGTTCGTCCCCGAGCCATTCCGAATTACCGCTGACTATCAGAGCAATTGAACAGAGACGGTGGTAGTAATTCGTGGCAATAGTAAGCAGAGAATATAGTATCTGCTGTGTGTGTATATATAGTCTTGGAATAAGGGAAGAGGTATATGATGGTGTCGTCTGCTGCTGCGTTGACGGCGTCGAGGTGTTTGGCTGCTGCTGCACCTGGTGCTCTGCGTTATCGGAGTAGTGCTCTGCTTCCTAGTATGTATCTATCTCTCTACTCTACTCTACTATATATGCTAACGGTCTCCAAGTCGCGAGCCAATACATCTCCCGGAGCATAAGCACGACCGCGGTTCTCCGCAACGACAGCAAAAAAGGTATTTTCGGCCGTATCTTCTCCGGTTCGCAAACGAGCCCCGAGAAGAAGAAGGAGGGCGCGGCAGAGGAAGAGGAGAATTCGCTGTTTGACAGCATCGCGCCGGCGCCGAAGCGTCAGCCTATGGAGTTTGACTTGATTGATTTGTCGATGCAGAAGAAGGACGACGCGAAGCCTGGTGAGGAGACCAAGACGGAGGAAGATCGCGAGCTTGAGGAACTTAATCGCTCGCTGGATCAGTATACTGCCGGTCAGGAAGGCAAGCCAGATGCGACTGCTGAGTCGGCTGAGAAAGCAAAGATCCCGCCTGAGGAGGACCCGGAGCTTCTGGCCATCACAAAGCCGACGCCAAAGAAAGCGATCGACGTGCTCCTCTCGCCGCTGCAGAAAGCAGTCTACCTCCGCCAAACGACCGGCGTGGATGACCCGCTCATCACGGGCAAGAAGTACAAGTTCAAAGTCAACCGGCGGCTGCAGGAGCTCCTCGAGCCCTCGCTCTGGATCAAATCCCACACGCTCTCCGGCAGCGTCAAGAAAGTGACCCCGCTCCTGCGCTCGCTCCGGAAAATGACCGTCACGCGCGCGATCGCGCACTGCCATTTCAACGTCAAGCACGAGGCCAAGCACCTCGAAACCCTTCTCTACCGCGCGCTCGACGAAGCAAAAGCGCTCGGCATGTCCACCAAAGGCCTCTACATCGCCCAGGTCTGGTCCGGCAAGGAACCCAAGCCGGATATGGCGGCGAGATCGAGGATCGATTACAAAGGCCGTGGACGGGCCGGTACGCTGCTTAGAAAGGAGCACCATGTGCAGATGATTATCAAGACTCCTGTTACGTTGGAGCGGATCGCGACTGAGAAGAAGAAGAAGATGATGGGGAAGAAGCCGTGGAATACGTTGCGCGACAAGCCGTTCTATGATAAGAGAGGGCAGGAGTATAACTGGTGAGGTTGTAAATAGTATATAGTGCATGAATATCTAATTCTTCAACTTATTTTGTAAATGGCGCATACACTACGAAAATGCTTCTACGTGAAATAGTATGCCTCTACGTGAGATGATGTATAGTGCATGAATATCTAATGCTTCTACTTGTTTTGTAAATATTATATAGTGGATAGTATTCAGAACTAACGTCTCTACATAAGATAGTATATAGTGCATGAAAATCTAATGCTTCTACATAACAACATAAACAGTAAACAAAAGCGCGAATGCAAAAACATAAACATAAAAAAACTTCAACAACCTAGAAAAACCTCATGACCAAATAAAACGACGCCCCGACAAACCTCACAAAAGCCAGCGCCGCAACAGTCCACAAAATCACCTGCAAATACACAGACGAAATCTCCTCCTGCCGATCAGACGAGTCCGAGTCACTATCGCTGTCGCTGCTGGTCAGTCGCGACAAGCCCGCGGTCTGCAGCACGACCGCGACGATTGCGAAATTGCTCACCATCCAGGTGAGCACGACGACGGAGCGCACGAGCGCGTAGTAGCTGTTTGCTTTCTCCTCTGCGACTTTGCGCGCGTCGTCTTCTTGCTGCTTCGGACTCTTGACCTCCACGATCTGTTTCGGGTCGATCAGCAGCATCTCGCACTGCTTGCGGTATTCCTCGTCGATCTCGTCCGGCCGCGTGGGCACCGCTATCCGCGCGGTCTTGGATTCGCCGTCGCCTTTGGATTTCGCTTTGCCGAGATCGTTCTTGGAGCCGGTGTCGCCTTTGGTGCCCCATGAGATATCGTGGATGTTGCAGAACGCGTAGACGTTTAGGACGTTGATGTAGGAGGGACTCAGGAGCATGTACTGGAAGAGCTATTGGAATAATTAGCATGACAAAAAGAATAGAGGAGGATGAGGGACTAAGACTCACAGAAGTGAACATATGTCCAAACTCGAAAAACATAAACGACGCGACAAAGTACAGCACATAAGTCGACCCGAGCGACAGAATAAGTCCTCTAAGCACGCTATTCGTAAAGAAATCCTTAAACTCGATCCCGCGATTATCGTCCGACTCGAGATCGTCCTGGACAGACTGCACAGACTTCACGGCGACGTAAATCACCGCAAAAGTGAGGTAGCACATCAGGAACGCAAAGAAGTAGACCATCGTCAGATACGCCTTTTTTGTGCCCTGCGGCTTGTTTCCCAGCGAGAGCACGAAGCAGACAATCAGACAGCCCGCGTACAGCCATTCGAGGACCACGCCGAGATACCGACCGGCGGTGAAGCCCATGCCGGCCGCGCCGACACTGGCCGTCAGCAGTCTAAACACGAGGAAGAAGTTTGCGAGTCCGAACCACGAAAACAGGATCGAGATGAACTGGTAGAAAAATTCGACGTGGAACATCAGTTTGCGGAAGATCGAGTGGTTCGATCGCCAGATGTTGAACGCGTGCGTGAGCGAGTACAGGGCGGCAAAGAACGAACCGTTCAACCAGCGACGACGCTGCAGGATCATCTCGGCTAAATCACCGGGGACGTCGGTCTCGGCGTGCGCGTTCTTGACATAATGCAGCACCCACGACGCGCCGCGTTTCGAAACAAGCTCGTAGCAGAGAATTCGGTCCTCGGCCAGGTACATATTCTTTGTGAAAATTCCGGCGTTGGAAGTGTGGATAGTCTCGCCAAGGAAGTACTTGTCGAGCGGGCCGTATTCATTCACGTTCTCCAGCTTTGCGTCTCCAGCAGGCGAGATCTGGAACCCGCCTCTGAGCAAAGCTGTGTATCTGTACGCCGAAAACGCACCGGGAAGGACAGAGATAAACCCAAAAGCAGACTCGAGCGGTTTGTCGAGAATGTTTGACATCTTGTACTCAAAGTTCTGCGCCGCCACGAGCGGATTCAAAAGATTGCGTCCGGCGCGGCCGAGATCGGCTTTAATCTCACCACAGGCGCCGCCGACGTGCGGGTTTTTGTAAAACTCATACCAGAGATGGAACAGCGAATTGCTTCCCGGCTTTGTACCAGCATCAAGCAAGACGCAGATATTAGGCTGCAGGATCGGCGCAAAGGCCTCGAAAAACCACCGGTGCGAGTTAATCTTCTTTGCGTTCTTCTCCTTCAAGCAAAACAAGAGCTGGATCGGACACGCCTTGTTCTTCATCTCGTCCTCGCGGTTGTCGGAAAAGCTCACGACGCCGTTGCGCACGTCCGAGATGCCGATCTGGGTGGTGTACTCGTAAATATGAGCCGTGACTTCTTTCTCGTCGACTTTGTTGACGGCAACGCCCTCCTGATAGCAGCCGAGCGCGGCCATGAGCGCTTTTGCGCGCGGCTTCATGATCGCACGGCCGTCTGCCACGACGCAGACAACGACTTTCTTCCACGAATCAGGGCCCCAGACGTCGCCGCCGGGACGGTTGGGCTTAATCTTGCAGAGATGGTAGATGTTTGCAAAAACGCCCTTGAGCGTGCGCGCCAGCAGCTCGTCGCTCTCATTGTAGAGCGTGACGACGACAAACATCTCTGTCGAGCGCGGCGTGTTGTACAGGCTCTGGCGGAGGGTGTAGTCTTCCTGCGGGAACAGAGTCGGGGTGGCCGAGGTCGCGGCGGTGTAGCGCATGTGCGTAAACTCGCGGCCGGTGCTGTTTGTCGAGCGCGAGAGCAGTTCATTAGAGACCTGGCAGTCCAGCACGAGGTTTCCGCGGAAGAACTTGACTTTTCGCGTCGTCAGATGGCGGCGGAGTTGGAGCGCGGGCGCGGGCCAGACGGGGGAAACGCCGTTGTCCTCAGCGTCCTGATCTTCGGGGTAGTCCTCGCCGCGGAGGATACCTCCAGGAGCAACAAAGCCTCTGCCTTCCTCGGCCAGGTTCTGGGCCGCAGCGGGATCACTGTATGCGTAGAGGGTCGCGTCTTCAGGGCGGCCGAGGATATCCTCGTCGTCGTCGTCGAGATACGAGTCGCCGTCGTCTTCATTGTCGTTGTCGTCGTCCTCGGGGTCGTCGACGTAGGTGTTGATTGCGTAGGACTCGCCTTTCCAGGTGGCCGGCATTCCGGTCGAGTAGCTCAGGCCGTCGTCGGACGCGGTGGAGTCGTAGTAGTTGTCGGCGGGGGCCGAGAGCCGGTTCTGGTCCAGGGTCGCGATGCCCGCGGGCGGGACGGGGTAGCTCGTGAGGGGGAAGGCGTCGTCCTGGCCGACGTAGGTGTCTGTGGGATCGTGGTCGTTCACGAGACCGCCGCCGCCGCCGTAGGACTGCTCGGGCACGGCAGGGTAGGCGGGGGTGTAGGAGATGGTGGGCTGCGGCTGAGCATAGGAGGGCTGGGGGATGGACTGCTGGGTGTAGAAGGGGTCGTTTGGCTGCGCGTACTGGGGTTCTTGGGCTTGGAAGGAGTAGCGGTCAGGACGCGGGCTGTATGCGGGCTGGGGCGAGGGCGAGTGGTACTGCTGCTGCTGGTGGGAGGGGAAGGAGGGGGGGTCGTAGTTGTAGGCGGAGGAGAGGTTGGAGACAGGGGTCGGGGAGGTGTGGTCGAGGAAGGAGACGGGTTCGAGCGGGGGCTGCTGGTCGTCGTCGTAGGGATACGTCCGCGGGATCGGGGGGCGAACGGGGACGGGGGCGATGGGGTTGGCGGAGTAGGGATCTGGGGGGTTAGCAGATGGAAGGGATGGAGGGGGAGGGAGTAGATACAGTTAGAGTCGTCGTTGGGATTGCTGCCGTAGTTGTTGTCGGCCATGGTGACAATTGGCAATTGGCAATTGGCAATTGACAATCAAGCAGATGATAGTAAGAAGAAGAAGAAGAAGAAGAAGAAGAAGAAGAAGAACAATACAAGAAGAAAGAAGAGTCGCGAGGAAGTTCGTGGAGGTCGACGTCGGCGCTGAGTTTTGAGACGCGACAGCCGCGTCGCATAATATTTAAGGTTTTAAGTTAACACCGCCACCGGGGCTGTGCTGGGGCTGTGCTGCACAGCCGGAGTGAACCCATGATGAACTCATGATGGTGATGGACTCATACTCATGACGGTGATGTGGTGGTGGTGGTGATGTGTTGATGATGTGTCGGTGAAGTAGTGGTGACGATGACGGTGTTCTTGGCTGTCTATTACACCCTCAAATAGCAGTCAAAGAGAACTGCAGACAAAGATCACATATCAGACTCTATCCTACTCTCCACCTGCACCCTTCTCTATCGTCTTCAAAAACACCCGCGTGAAATGATCCAGCTGCTTGAAGCTCTTCTGGAACCCGTCCGGCCCGCCATAGTACGGGTCGCTCACGATCCGGTCTAGTTTCGGGTTCTCGCAGTAGGTCCCGAATAGCTCGACTGGATGAGTAGTGTGAGATTGAGGTTGTTAGAGGACTAGAGAGAATTATAAGTACAGCACTCACTCTTGGCTCGGATGCCGCGCGGACGCATATAATTGAGGTCTTCTAGGTTATCTCGGTCCTGGATATCGAGATCAGTCAGCACCTCTATTCACGAGCACAGCATTCACCTCTCCACGGCACAAAGCCAAACGTACCATTGCAAAGATATAGTCAAACTTGTGGAAATCAGATTTGCTCTTAGATTAATTAAGAATTGTCAGCACACACTCCTCAAACCTCAAACAACCAGACAACTGACTATCTGCCGCGACGTGTGCGCAATCGGCACCCCGTTCGCTTTACAGGTCTGCACCGTCCTCCGGTCCGGGTTGTCGCCTGCGTTGAACCCGCTCGTTCCAAACGAGTCGATTAATGTGATTTTGGTGTCCAGCATCATCTCCTTTGTTCTCTGCCGCATTATCGCCCTAGATGCTCTTTGTCAGCGCCCTCTGCTCAGTGTCGACTCTATTCTTTGAGAAAGGTACGTACTCTGCCATAGGCGAACGACAGCTATCTGAACGTTAGCAGATCTCATGTCAAAGTACAAACAAGAACAGCACCCACATGTTTCCCAAACAGCAGAACGCGACCGCGATAGAGTCGTCGGTCTTCGGCGGCGGCGGCGGCGAGGGCTCCCGCGACCGCGACCAGGACTCAACCATAGCTAAAGACTCGCGAGTCGAGAAGATGATTTGAGAGAGGTTTTGTACTCTAAATACTCACTACTATAAGAGACAGAGAAGAAGGAAGCAGAGTATCAGAGATGTGACGGAAGAGAAGACGGGGATCAATCAGTTCTTTATAGATTTCCCCCCACGCGGTTTTAATCTGATTGTGCACACTCACCGAGACTCCCCGGCGCGCCAATTCTTCTGAGCTCAAATAATGTTAACAAACAGTCTGCAATTACTTTACATTAACCACTATTTAGTAACAAACAGCATACACTTAAACAAACCACATCAATATCAATGTCCCCCCACTCGGCTTCCAATTATTACGTAACATCTTATGTTGCTACTCCCACGCGTCTTAATTAATTTAAAACCTTAACTCAGAACCTTAAAAGCTAAACTCTACGCGAGCGCATCTCAGATCTCTTCTTCTCTTCTTTCTATACAAAGATCATAAACATGGATGACAGCTCGGTTGATGACGATCTATCCTCTTCTACTCATGTAGCAAACAATCAGCGACCTGCTCTGCCGCGCTTTGTTCCCCGAGCAACTCAGTCCGATCAATCCGCAGATCTACCAGCCAGACCACCAGCCAGACCGCTAAAGCGAAGAAAGGCAGACGACAGCAGGACTGATGATTTGACCTTCATGATCTCGAGCGATGACATTGTTGAGGATCATGAAGATGTATATATGCGTTCTGAGACCTTGAGGTACTCGCCTGCATCCTCGCTTCAGGAGGACTTCGACCCAGTCGATACCCGCGCGTCTGTCTCCAACACCATCGTCCAGAATCCAACAGACCTTCGACGACCTATCTTCCGGCCTGCTAAAAGCATCCCTGATGCTGACATCTACCAACCAGACACCCTCTCCTCCTCTCAAGAAACCTTTCATGAGCAAGATCTACCCCGTCGGTCCTCTCTCGACGAAGATCAGCTTGAATCCTCATTATCTAATCCCACCGTGGATAAAGACAACATCGAAGAGTACGACTCAGACAGGCTAGACGACTCCTCAGACATGACCTTCACGCCGCCCAAAATTGGCATCACGCCTCGCAAACCGGGTCCTTCTCCCCTACGCGTCTTTTCCCCCGATCAATCGCCATCACGAACTGATCAATCCGCAAAGCCAACCTCACCGCCCGAAGATACACCTCCACGAAAACGCAGCCGCGCATTGCTGTCTGCAAATGCTTTATCTACTCTCATCCAAGGCCGCCAGCGAATCAGCTCTCTTTCAGACTCCCCTCTTCCCTCCTCGCACTGCCTTAGCCTGACTCCCTCTACACCGAGACGGCCATTGGCTGCTACAGCAGGTCAAACCAGCACCCCTATGCTATCTCACAGCATTGCGAATTTGGTACGCGCAAATATCATGAAACTTCAAAGCGACGTGAAACTTAACGCCATCACCGACCGCAACCTATCCACCGCCGCTGCAGAGACAAAGAGCATCCGCAACCTATCCACTGCCGCCGCAGAGACAAAGAGCACCCGCAAACAGCCCACCTCAATCGGCTACGAACTATGGCGCGTCGTCCGCGAAAACCTCGGATACGCCCACGGAATAAAGAGTTACGCCGGCTTCACTTTCGTCCGCCTTACACCCCACCACCATCAGCAGCCCGCAGTCTGGGCCCTGCTCTTCAACGTCGGCGACAACATCTCCTCAGACCTAGGCGGCTACGACTACGCGACCACCTCTTCCACCACCACCGAGTCTCTGACCGGGTTGATGCTGAGGAATAAGAGTCTGTACAGGGACTCGGTGGTTAAGCTGTACAAGCCGATTTGGTATATCGAGCTCTCAGACACCGACGTCGTCGCACTTCATCACGCGAGATTCGACGCAGTCTCCGCTCAGTCCGACCCCGATGATAGCTATATAAACGACACGTCCTCAAACCGCGTCTTAGTCTGCATAAAATGGAAAATGGAAACATAGCATGATTATTAGCAAGTAAAAAGAGACGCGTAGGAGGTGCTCGGGAGGGTAAATCTATTTAAGCTTTTGAGACGCGTCGGGCACACGCGCCGCGCGCGCTCGGGTTTCTTAGGTCTTTGATCTCCCATTCTCGTCTCTGGTCTCTCTACCGCAGTTGCTCACTTTCAGCGAGTCTTTGTCTGTGAAAGAAGCTGTTTGTGAAAACAAGCTGGACAAGTACATAGAGATACCAGCGAGCTAGCAACAGCGACAGCGACAATGGCTCCCTCCACACCCCCAAAACTCGAGAACCTATTCTTCGACGACGACGACGATGAGGAAGAGGAGAACAACTCTGATGGCGGCAGGAGTGTTGCGAGTACACCGAAATCAGCACGGTCGACGAGATCGACATCTTCCTCGCAACATACCTACGGCGGAAGCGACAGCGACGCGCTATTAACCCCGCGCACTCGTGTGCGAATGATGATGGCCGGGTCAAGTCTCGACGACGACGACAAGGATGAAGATAGTGACGAGAGCAACGCCGGTGCAGACGAGAGCGAGGCTGATAGCGAGGCTGATAGCGACGCCGGAGAGGGTGCGGGAGAAACAGATGTGCAAGAGAAATATAATCTTGCGCGGCAAAGAATGAGAGATTTGCTGAAGCGGGCGACGAAGACGCGTCTGGCGTCGCCGCCTACGCCTCCGGAGTTTGATGATGAGGTTGTTGATTGGGTCGATGGTCGAGGAGATGAAAGTGAGGGTGGAAGTGAGAGTGATGTGCATCCCGGATTTGAATTGGTAGACGAGAGCTCGAAGTCGCCGTCGCCGCGGGCTGCAGCCATCGTCGAACCCACCCCAGCACCAGCACCAACAACCACAACCACAACCACAACCACAACCACAACCACAACATCAACCTCATCTCTGTCCGCCGAATCCCTCCTCCGCATAAAACGCCACCTCGAAAAATCCCGCATCGACCTCGGCCCGCTCTCGAAAGAAACCATCGCGGAGGGCGAAAGCGACTCCGACTACGAAAGCGACACAAACTACGACGAAGTGATACAGCGGCGCGAACGGCGACTTGCGCGCGCGTTGCAAGAGCTTTCGTCTTCTGATGATGATGAGGAGGGAAATGGGGATTCGGATAAGGAGAATAGAAAGCCGGTGAGGCAGAGACGGAGGAAGACGTTGGGGAAGAAGAAAGTTGATGAGCGTGAACCGGCCCAGAAAGGCGTGGCCCGCGTGAAAGGCGTCACGCGAAGAAAGAAGAGGGCATCGAAACCAAACCCGCCTTGCCGTCGCCGCGCCTCCCTATCCGGCTCTGACCTCGACGTGATTGCCGGCGCAGCAGCCCATCATCCAAGCGCCTCCGACACCGCCCTATCCTCCGACGACCTCTCCGACCTCGCAGACCTCACCAAGTCCTCTTCCTTCGCCGACGACCTGCGCAAGCGGCGCCAGGCGCGTCTGTCTGCGGAAGCGAAACGGCGCGCGGCGGAGCTGGAGCGGGTGAAGCTCGAGCGCGAGGTGGAGGAGATTGACGAGAATGACTTTCTGGATAGCGAGGATGAGTTTTGGGACGCGAGGAAGCCGAGGAAGGCGAGTAAGAAGGCGATGGAGGAGATGAGCAGAGAAGCTGCTCGCGTTGAGCGAAGTACGTCCATTTCACCTCCTTCCTTTCTCCTACACATAACATATTTGAGATACTAACAACTACAACTCTAGACCGCCAACTCGCCCTCCAACCCGTCACGGTCGGCAAAATCAGCAAAGAAACGCTCTTTGCAAAGTTCGCATTCGACGCAAACGCCACCAGCGGCAAATACAAAGTCGAACAACCTACTGCTGCTGCTGCTGCTGCTGCATCCTCCTCGCCGTCAAAGGGTGCAGACGGGGTTCTCGACAGCGACGAGCATAGTGCGGATAGTACGCCTGCGACGTCGCCTGTTAAGCGGCAGAGTCCTGGGAAGCAGCACTTGAATCATGAAGCTACCTCTGCACCCTCGGTGGCGATTGATCCAGGCCAGAGTGTCGAGTCTGATAGCGACATTTTCGAAGACGATGACGGGGAGGAATTTGATTTGGCAAAGATGTCTAAAGAGGCGGTTGCTATGAGAGCTCTTGCGGCTGCTCCTGCTCCTACCGATGATGTTGTTGAGAAAGAGAGCGCTGCTGTTGAGAAAGTCGAGACAAAAGCAAAGGAGGACGAGCATGTGAAACAAACTCCTCAGATCCTTCGCGCACAGCTAGATCCAGACACGTTAAACCTGATCAAAGCCGCCAAAGCCCGCTCCGCAGCTCTTCTTTCCGAGAAACTTGCCGCCGCTGACAACTCAGACGAAGAAGCCGCCGACGACGACGACGATGATGATCTCGAGATCCTCGCGCCCGGCGAGAAAACCCCCAGCAAACCAAAAGTCAAAATCACGCTCGACAACGTCCGCGTGAACTCGCACGGCCGCAGGGCAGTCCCGGTATGGAAGCGGTTCCTAGGCCAAACCTCGCCCGCCGCGCAGCGCCGGCGGCGGCCGGGGGTGCTTACGGACCGGGAGCTGGACGAACTGCTTGCGGAGCGGGAGAGGGAGCAGATTGCGGCGGAGAAGAGGGAGAAGATGAGTGAGATTGCGGCGAAGGGGGGGAGTGCGCTTGTTATGTCTTTGGAGGAGAAGTTGAGGGAGGAGCAGATTGTGGAGGATTTGTTGGAGCGGGAGAGGAGGAATGCGGAGGAGGCGAGGAGGAAGGATAAGAGGGAGGGGAGGTGGAATGGGGATGAGGATGAGAGGTTCGATGATGAAGAGGAGGAGGAGGAGGATGAAGAGGAGGAGGAGTATGATATTGAGGAGTTGGATGACGAGGCGGAGGATGATGGAGATGAGGAGGACAGTGAGAGCGAGGAGGAGGAGGAGGAGGAGGAGGAGGAGGATGAGACTGCTGAAGTGGATGCCGAAGCACCTACAGCTGATATTCCTGCTCCACCAGCTCAAGTCCCCACCGAGCCCGAGCCCTCGACCCCATCGCCTCCTACACGCGCACGATACTCAAGTCCCGACCGCGCATCCTTCTCCGACGACGCAGCATCCGCACCCTCAAGCGACTCCGAAGCCGACCCGGCTGCACGTTCACCCACTGCCACGACCGCCCCTGCAGCCCCGCAGAACGCGTTCGCAAAACTGCTCGAAGCCCAGAAAAAGAAGCAGCACCGCAAAGAACTCAAGCGCCTGAAGCGCTCGAAGCGGATGCGCGCGATGTTTGACGAAAAGGCAGAGGAGTCAGAGGACGAGTATAAAGGCGTGGGCGGGTCGTCGCAGTCGGATGATGAGGAGGATGATAGCGATGACGAGGAGGTGTTGGCGAAACATCCTGAGTTGGTCGCTATGATGAATGATGATGCTGATGAAAATGAAAACCGCGAGCGCGTGCAGGCGCGGTTTAAGTATGTCCATGTTTTCTTCCTCTATTTAGCATGTGTTGTTACTAACTAGTTTTGAACTACAGCGAGGAAGAACGCGACCGCGACGAAAAACTCGTACAAGACCTCCTCAAAGGCGTCCACGGCGGCTTCCGCAAACGCAAGCACGCCGGCGGCGCGCTCGACCTGTCCGACGACTCTGAAGACGAAGCCGAGTACGAAGCGCGCCGGCGTCGGCAGCGGCGCAAGCAGCGCCGCCGGAAACTGCTGATGGAGGACGAGAAGATTGGGTCGCTGGCGACGGATCCAAAGACAAAGGCGTTCTTTGACACGATCGAGGAGGATGAGAGGAAGGTTGTGGAGACAAAGTATGTGTCGTTTGAGCAGTTGGCGATGATTATTAATGATGAGTAGGGCGATGTGAACGGGGGGAATATATATCTCTAGTATTAAACATTACAGTATAAACAAAAAACATTATTGATCGATGAATCCAACAGATGATCGACGTAATCCAAAATGAAATGCAACAAGTGCATGTATGCAAAACTGCCCTTCATAACGGTACACCATCAATGATAATAGTATGCAACACAAAGAACGAGCCGGTCTATGGTTTGATGGTGCTGCTAGGGTGTCTTGAACGGATAGGGCGATGGTAGCGGTCTTCTAATGTATGCTACAATATCCTCGGCCTCTGTTCCCTCTGTGTCTATGTGTTCTTCTTCAAGTTCATGTCGTTCGTGCTGTTGTTGTAGTGGCTCTTGCGTCAACTGCAGAATAGGCGGCGTATGCAACCTCCGCCTACGATCCCGCTCCTCATCCAAAACCAACCCGATAACGCTCTGCGACGACTCAAGCTGCTCCGTCCCCAACCGTTTAATAAACCCATCATACGAATCCGGCAAGCTCGCCAAAATCGTCCGCACGAGCGTGATATCGTCGATCTCGTCGCCCGCCCACCGCAGGTACTCCACCGCCGCCAGAATCCGCCTAATTCCCGCCGCAAGAGATTCGCCTTCCCGCACGCGGCGGTAGAGTGCCCGGTCGGTGCTGATCCGGTCGAAAACAGTCACTTCGCCAAATGTCTCGTCGAGGTAGAGCCATGCCTGGCGCGCGGAGGTCGGGGAGGCGGAAAAAGGGGTAAGCTGGGGAAGAAGCGCGTCGGAAACGGAGAGTCTGATGTATGAAAACGCGAGGCTGTTTTTGTCGGCAGAGGCAGGGTCGTCGGTCGAGAAGGCGGACAGAGGTCTGGTACTTCGGGCGGCATGTGTTGACGACGAAGATCGCCGGCGCTCTGAGCGCGGACTGGAGCCGGTGTCAGCGGTCGTGGTGTCCTCGGAGGACGGTATTGCTGGACTGTCGATAGCGGACCAGACGTCGAGTTGGTCGAGAAAGCACTTCATCAGATACTTCCATTGGAAGTAGTTTGTTTTGCCCGCCAACTTCTCGATCCCCAAAAACGACAGTTCAGGCACCTGCTCCTGCTCCTGCTCCTGCAGTCCCGCCCGCCCTCTCTCACTCCCGTCAAAGATCGGACTTTCCTCTTCAGCAGCCGGAACCGGCAACGAGCTCTCGATCGCAGCAATCTGCAGCTGCAGAAGCACGTTCAGCCGCGACAGCGACCTCGTTGATCTCGTGAACGAGTCGGCCAGAGCCGCGTCTGTACGGGCATCCAGAAGCGGCTGCTGCATCGCTGGCTGTGTCGACGATACCTGGTGTTGTCGAGCAGCACTACTACTACTGCTGCTGCTACTCCGCACTCCTGCTCCAGCGGGTGATGTTGTTGCGCTTGGTGATGTGCTGGTCGCGTAGGGGATGCCAGCACTCGCCGCCGACCGACCCTGGCCAGCGGTCGCGGCCGCCGCCGCCGCCATCCCGCCGCCAGAACCGGTCGCCGGCGTCCGGCGCTGTCTGGCAGAGTTCCTGTCTGCCATCTGCTCTCTGCTCTGCGGCAGTCAAACAGGCGTTGCGGGCGGCAGAAGGAGGATCACACTGCTCATCAACAAACCTGTTCGCGCTGTGCCTAATCGCTCGACTTGGCTGCTTTGGGAAGCTATTTTAATCTCAGCCGCACGGGATACGGCGCAAACCTTATTCTTTATTTTGTTCTGCAAACCCTTCTTACGTCAACAACAAGCAATTGCCTTTATCAGTAACTGCTCTACTGCTTCTGGTGGTCTAAAACATCACCCTCTTCAGCGGCCGGTACTCGGCCTTCCACATCTGCGTCTTGACCCACGCCAGGCACTTGCCGTACTCGCGCGGCACGCGCACCTTATCCATCTGCTCCACGCGCGCCACGCCGACCTCGAGCGCCTTGAGCACGACCGCCGTCGCGACCTTGGCCGAGATCTCGCGGATGTCTTGCACGTCGGGGAGGAGCGGGCCGTCGGGATCGTCGGCAGTCACCGCCGGCGCAAGACTCGAGAGCTGTAGCGCGGCGGCAGCGATTATCTCGTCGGTGATGCGGTCTGCGCGCGACAAGATCGCGCCGAGGCCGATGCCGGGGTAGACGAAGCAATTGTTGTTTTCGGCAATCTCGCGGCCGTTGATGGGGTCGAATGGTGAGCCGGTAGCTACAAGTGCTTTCCCGTTCGTCGCGCGCAGGATCTGCTCGGGTGTGGCTTCGTGCAGGCGCGTGGGGTTGCTCAGCGGGAACACGATCGGCCGGTCGACGTGCTTTGCCATCTCGCTGAGGACCTCGTCCGTGAACGAGCCTGGTTTTGTAGAGCAGCCGATCAGTGCATGAGGTTTCACGCGCTTAATCACCTCGAGCAGCGAGGTGGTATCGCAGCCCTCCCATCGCTCGTCGTAGGCCGCGTACTGGCGCTGCGCGGGCGTGAGCTTGTCGCCCATCGACTTCATGAGCAGACCCGGCTTATCCACGAGCCAGATATGCTCAAAGATCTGCTCGGCCTCGACATCCTCTGTCTTTAAAAAATCCCTAATCTGATCGGCAATGCCGGTCCCCGCCGTACCCGCGCCAAAGATAACAAACCGAATATCCCGCATGCGCATCCGCAGGACCTTCATCGCCGCCAACAACGCGCCCAAGGTAACAGCGCCGGTGCCCTGCACGTCATCGTTAAAGCACGCAAGCTGCGGGCGGTATGTATCCAGCAGCCTCCTCGCGTTCGACAGCCCGAAATCCTCGAAATGCAGGATCGCGCGCGGATACTGGCGCTTGACGACCTCCACAAACTTTGCGACAAAGTCGTCGTAGCGCGCGCCGCGCACGCGGCTGTGCCGGTTGCCGAGGTAGAGGTCGTCGTTGAGCAGGGCGGAGTTGTCGGTGCCGACGTCGAGTGCGACGGGGATGATTCGCGACGGGTGCACGCCTGCGCAGAGAGTCATCAGCACGCCTTTTGCGCTCGAGATTCCGATCGCGCCGACGCCTTGATCTCCGATTCCCAGGATCTACAGCTCTCGAAATTAGCTTATCATAAGCAAAAAATACAGAAGATTGGGGACGTACCTCCTCGCCGTCACTGACGACGATGTAGTCTACATTCTCATTCGTACCCCACGCGAGAAGCGACTCTTCAATCCGCTCTGGGAAGTTGATATCCAAAAAACACCCTTCCGGGCGTCTAAATAGTCTCGAGTATTGCTCAATCGCCTCGCTCTAAAAAATCTATGGTCAGTCATCAAGATCTAAAATAAAGAGAAATGAAAGTGAAGATAGGGAGCGTACCTCGGTGGGAGTATAGACGATGCTAAACATCTCCTTCAGATGATCCTGGAGTAACCTAAAATACAGCACCTCGTTCTGCGTTTTCAAGCTCATGAGGAACGAATTCTTATCAAGCGGCGTAGGCAAGCTTCTAAACTGCTGATACGCCCTCGTCGCCTGACTTTCTAAACGCACAACACCCCATCAGCATTACTCAAAACCGAAAACAAATCAAGAGCTGTATAGTTACCGAGCGTCTGCAACGAGGAAGGAAGAAAACCATGTAACTTGAACGTCTCGCGCTCTTCGGCGGTGAACCCGGTTCCTCTGTTAAACTGAGGCAGATTCAGCATTTCCAGGCCCTAGAAGTACGTCAATATTGCAAGGAGCGGGAGAGGAGATATGGGGTTGCATGGATGTAGATCATACCTCGTAAGGACACAGCACCGGTCCCGCGACCGAGAGCGGGATTCTCGAGGATGGTGTTCCGGGTGTAGACGTCATTATAATTACTTATACGAACCTGCCTGGTGTATAGCAACAGATATGGTGAGAAGAAAAGGAGAAGGAAGAGAGGATTAAAGTGAGAGATGATCGGAGCTCGGCTGCGGTAAATGCCGGCCAGAAATGCCGCGCCGCAGCAGACATCAATGTCATCTGATCAGCTGTTGCTCTTCACCACTCTTCACGACTGCAGATACAGCTCAGATATTTGGAGATGGTTGAGGTCGAGGTTGAGGTTTTTGCTGTTGTATATTCTTGCTATTTTTTGTTCTGTGAGGTAGCTGTCGGGATCAAGAATCTTACCTGATATCTGATAACTTATCCAGTTTATCCAATTTCCAACATCTAACCTCGAATTTCTTCCTTCAAACAGCTAACTAAGCCTCCTATACAACCAATCTTTACATAAAAAACAGACAAATAATAAGAAAAATCAACCTAAACCCATCCCAAAACGAGGAAACTTGACTATGCGACAATATTCGAGATACGCCGACGTGGTAGTTGTGTATTTTAATCACTTTGAATTTCTCTACCAAACAAAGGCGAGCGAATATTTTAGAGATTGTGAATTTTTGTAGGACTACAGAGGAAAATAGAAATGAATATTCAAGCTGGAAGATATACCATATGTCTTGTTTACTTGAGTTTTGAAGAGGTATCTTGGATCTACACCTATATCAATCAAGGCTTTGACAATGCACAATACTGCACAATACGAAGACACTCGTTCACCAACTCCTCATCGTTCAGATATAAAGAGCACAGCAGTTTTGTTATAATATTTTTTTATTTCCGTGCGTCCATCGTACTATCTACCCAAATTTTTGTTGTGAAAACTAGTGAAAAAAAAATACAAACAAGAAATTAAAATGGCGGTGAGACTGTTTATTTCTTGGCGGTCTTCTTCTTGGGCTTCTCGGCCTTGGGCGCAGCAGCGGCGGTGGTCTTGACGACCTTCTTGACGATCTTCTGCTCCTCGATCAAGAAAGCGCGGACGATTCTGAGATAGTTGTTAGTATCCCTGCTATAGTCATACTCTAATCAATCATGTACACACCTCTCTCGGACGCAGTTTCCGCAGTAGACACCACCGTAGGCACGCTGGACGGTCTTAGTGGGCTTCGAGACGGTAGCGTACTGTCTTGGTCGCAGGGCGGGGATCTAGAAACAAGTCAATATTCTGTTCTTCTGTTCTTTGAGCTCGAGCTCGTTCTTGCCACGCTCTGCTTCCACTCGTCTCCATTTCTTCTGAGATTTCTGAGATTTCTATCGATGTCGGAGAACAGGACGCATCGCACGGCAAGAACTGAACTGAGCTGTACTGAAATTCACATCGAGACGTACACCAGGGAGGAAGTGCTCGCATCCACCGCACTTGGGCTTCGAAGCAATCTTCTTGACATGCTGGTAAACAAGCTTTCCACCGGGGGTCTTGACGACCTTGACCTTGTTGGACCGGGTGTTGTCTGTAGAAGCAGGATGTTAACAATACCGTCGCTGTGAATATCCATCCGTGTTGTCCATCTGAGCTGCCTATCCTCGCCCACTCCCTGCCCCTCTGCCCAGCAACTCCACAGAACAAACAACACGTCGACAACAGGAATACGTACAAGGGTTTCTCTTTCTGTATGCGAGTCTCTGAGCCATTGCGAATTAGATGGACCGGTGTCGTTTGTTGCTGGTGACGAAGATAGAAAAAGCGAACGTCCGAGTGATCTCAGCGGTGTGTGTCTCCCTGCGTGCCCGCCGCGGTCTCTGCTCCCAGCACAGCTCCCCAAACCGCGCGGCTCTGAGTTGACTGCGTGACTGCTTCTGGTGCGGCTCGACTCACTGTGTAGGGTTGTGCCCTAATTAGTTTCTGGTACCAGACCCGCTTGTTACAGTGTGACTGAACATTCGCTGAGTGCGCGTAGACTTCAGACCGCAGCCCCTGAGCCTGTCTGCCTACACTGAAGATTGGACATTGATATCCAGCATCTCGACAGGAGCATCCATATAAAACACAATAACATCCACAATGCAGTCGGCAGAGGCAATGGACATCGACGAGCTGACGAGGATCAATAGTGCGTCTACTTCTTCTAATATCATTCCATCTAGATCATATATCAAAGCAGTGCTAACAATCTCCAGAGCCTCCGAAAGCCCAGCATCAGGCAACAGCAGTTCGATGTACGCTACCTTCTCCTTCCTCACCTCCTCATCCACTTTAGATCTTGTTAACATGAACTCTAGCAATCGAGGGCTGGATCATCATTGCCACAAACGTCCACGAAGAAGCTTCCGAAGAAGACGTCCGTGATTTCTTTGCTGAATTCGGCACGATCCGAAATCTGCATCTCAACCTCGACCGTCGGACCGGTTACGTCAAGGTACTTTCTCTTCCTCTTCTTTCTCGTTCTTCTAATCATCTCTTTCTCTTATTCATCTCTTTCTTCATCTGCTAACATACCTGCTACTCCTCAGGGATACGCCCTCATCGAATACGAACACGCCCTCGAAGCCGAGCAAGCAATCAAAGGATCCCGCGGCACCGAATTCCTAGGCCAAGTCCTCGACGCAGACTTTGTCTTTGTGCGCCCGCCTCCAGAGAAGATATTGCGTGGCACCGGGCGATCAGGTCGTAGCCGGAGTCCTACCTCGCGTCGGTAGACGATCGATGATCACTAAAAGAATCTTGTTGTTGTCGTTCATGAGTTTTGTATACTAGCTTCATTCTACATTTTTGCTGTTTATCTATCTGGAGTTGGGAATACTTCTTTCTGTTTTCTTACATTTGTTTTTGGGAATTGTTGTATCTGTAGAGGTCCTCAATAGAATGTTATGTATCACTCTATACTACGCACCCTACAATCCAGTAGAGATACCATCATAGCTATAGAATATGTATATTTAAAAAAACACTATTTTATCTCAACACAGATCCATAGACGGTATATCAACACCATCTGTACCAGGTTTGAGTACAACATTTAAGCGAGAGCAATGCACTCGATCTCGATCTAGATTTACGAGTCAGCAACCGCAAGCGTAAAGCGCAAAGACGAGAGACTTACGACAGCACCGAGGGGAAGCTGCTTGATAGCAATGCAGGTTCTAGCAGGTCTATGCTCTCCAAAGAACTACATCTAAGTCAGTACAAGTTATGATTATAAAAAGCAGTGTGATGATGGCGTACCTCGGAGTAAACCTCGTTGACGGGACCGAACTGCTCCATGTCGGTGAGGTAGACGTTGACTGTTATTGTGAAGGTTAGCATCCTCTTCTGTAGTGAGAGCTTGGTATATATTTGATAGCCTACCCTTGAAGATCTTGCCGACGCTGGAACCGCCGGCCTCGAGGACAGCCTTGAGGTTGTTAAGGCATTGGAGCTATCACACAGTCAATCAGCACATGTTCTCCGCACACACACTCTCAACAGCACACTCTCAACAGAGCACTCCTTCAGAAACGACTTACAGCAGCGGGCTGGATCTCGGTGAGGATAACGCCCTCAGGGGTCATGGGGATCTGACCCGAGCAGTAGAGGAAGTCTGCGAGAGAGTAAACAGATTAGCAAGGAGTCTTCTTTTCGAGCCAATTGACTACACAACTACTAATTCAATCGATACACACCATTGACCTTGACAGCCTGCGAGTAGGGAGCACGCGGGGCGGCAGAGGAGTTGGTGGAAACCTGGAGATCAATCGTTAGTTTTCCAATTTATCTCCGACATCGGCACGATCATCAATTGCAAAAGCAGTCATATATAAAGAACACAAAAATCATAAACAACGACATACAATGGTAAGAGCGGGATCGGTAGCAGGCATTTTTGCGATATTCGACGATGAAAACGGACGAGTCAAGGACAGAGACAAGGAAAGCAGCGGCGAGGCTAATGATGATTTCTGGGAAGCCAGCCGAAAATCAGAGGGCCGGAGGCCTCCGGCGTTGACCGACATCTTCTGGTGGCCCCGGCACCACAGCGACGCGCGCGAGCATCTGGCGGATGATAGCGATAGAAGGGGTTTATTTATCATTGCTGGGTTGTGATTTGGATAGAATATAAATGTGTGGTTTGATTGAGGTGGAGATATTGTCGGAGAGGTAAACTGCTAGGAATGGGTGCTCTGATGAAGCTTTGGTAACTGATGGGTTCAGATAACAGTACAGATAGCGAGCAGTGCCGACAGCTAAGCTACGTTCGATATTTATCAACAACCAAAAAGATGAAATCTCTTGATTGAAAGATTATTGCTCTCTAACATCAGCTGTAGTAAAAAAAAAACATGAAATAAAAAAGCAAAAATATGAACCGTAGGAGAATCGAACCCCTGTCACCTGCTTGGAAGGCAAGTATGATAACCACTACACTAACGGTCCCAGTTCATACAAAAAATATTAGTTTTTGACGTGGTAAGCTACTTGGCATAAGTTATACTTATATTATGGTTATATGGGTTATTTGCACTGAAGTGGCGCAGATGTGGGGTATGTAATAAATGTATATCGGAGATATGCAATTGTTGAATTATTTCCTGCAGTCGACAATCTCTATCTTCGAAGCTATAGATGCTCATCGATAGTCTACCAGGACACTTGCAGAAGTAGATTTTCCCGGCTTGAGGTTGATTTGAAGAAAGCGCGGAGGCTGCACTGATCTCCACCACGGTCTAATCCCAGGAGATCTACGCCGAACAGAGCTGTAGATATCTTCAACGTGAAGTGATTTAGTGCGCTCATAATTATCCTAATACTACAGCTACGCGGTGTCAACAGATAGTTAACAATAGGCCATTATCTCGACATCTACCCACACCATCCACACGCACTCCAAACCTCCACCTCCACCTCACCATCCCAAGCTCGCTCTCTCTTCACTCTGTGTTTATTCCTTCAACACCGCAGCAACTAACAAAACTAAACAAAACCCGCACGTGCACACGCGTTTGGCGGATGCCTGCGCCACGAAGGGCTGAGCTGAGCAGTAAACTTTAATCTCTGCTCGCAGCAGGCGGACCAGGACACTCGCGACGTGTTCACTTTAATGAAGCTGATCCAGCTCATTCATTTCTCGAGGGTTTCTGGTAGATTGAAAACAATTGAAGAAGTGACGGGCGAGGAGCTTATTGCATAGAGGTTTGTTTACTGTGCTGCTAGATAATTCGGATTGTGCTTCAGACGCTTGCGAAGGAAGAGTTGCTCGAGGATCTGAATCGTGAATACCTGATCTCGGCTCTTGACTTGATCTGCCACTGTTGGATGTGCATTGGATCCCCTCATTCATATTTATACGCCGACTGTATAGAAGTCAACTGTGATCTGCTTTGCTTCGGTAGGTCTAGCTGCTCTTCATATGTTACTGCGTCTTACTTACCATGATCGCCCAGACACTTCAGTTGTACATCAGACACATGAGCATCAACTCAACACCAGACCCAGTCCTCCTCGCATCATCTACAGCATCATCTCTAAAAGCAGCCTCATCAATGGCCGCAGTCCTCTTCGACAGCTCAAAATCCGCAACAATAAGCGAGCTCCTGGTATCCTACCTCTCCCTCGGCCGGCTCGGCTCAGACGCGCATTCGTCGCGCACAACAGCATGGGTCCTGGTCGCTGTCTGGGTAACGCTGCTGGCGGTTGTTGCGCTGGCGGCGGTGTATGTACTCATTGCGTGCATTGCTCATTTCCCGCGCAAGGCCGAGAAGACAGAGAATATGTACAGAACAATGACGACAGAAGGCCAAGTCTCCGACCTACGGCCGCTGCCACACATTGACCAAGACGAAGCACGCGAGGTCGAGAGTAGGAAAGAGCGAGTGTTTATGTCGGTCGTCGTGCCCGCGTACAACGAAGTCGCGCGGCTGCCAATCATGCTCGAGGAAGCGGTCGAGGTGCTAACCTCCTGGACCGTCGACGGCACGCCTGTGACTTGGGAGATCTTGGTCGTCGATGACGGGAGTCGGGATGAGACTGCTGATGTGGCGCTGAAGTTTGCTGGCGAGCATAAGCTTGATGAGGGGAGTTTGCGGGTTTGCAAGCTGGTCAAAAATCGGGGGAAGGGTGGGGCCGTGACACACGTAAGTCTGCTTCTTCTTTTCAAAGCGATTTTTAACAAACGCGGACTAACGTAACCAGGGAATGCAACGAGCACGAGGAGATTTCATTATTTTTGCAGACGCGGACGGCGCCTCGAAATTCTCGGATATTAGGTCCCTACACAGCGAGCTGATAAAACTACCGGGTCGAAGTGGGATCGCGCTAGGATCGCGGGCACACATGGTGAAGACAGACGCGGTCGTAAAGCGGTCGTTTATTCGCAATTTCCTGATGTACGGCCTGCACACTCTTCTCTACGTCTTTGGCATCCGCAGCATAGGCGACACGCAGTGCGGGTTCAAGCTGTTCTCGCGCGCAGCGGTCAAAGCGATCTTCCCGTACATGCACAACGAAGGCTGGATATTTGACGTCGAGGTGCTGATCCTTGCTGAGCGCAAGCGGATTCCGGTTGCGGAAGTCCCGATCTCGTGGCATGAGGTTGATGGGAGTAAGATGGAGCTGGCGCGGGATAGTATCAAGATGGCGGTGGATTTGATTGCCATCAGATGCTCGTACATCCTGGGGATCTACGACGATGGCCGGCGCGCGGGTGAGAAGCCTGCGCGGTTGAAGAAGGAGGAGTGATGTGTTATTGTAAATATACTTATCATCTGTATTTCCTAGAGTAGATAGCTGCTCATCGTAGACAATGGGCCGGGGATAGGACCGGGCAGATCTGCGGGAACCGAACAATGGACGAAATGCGGGGTTGGCGCCCCCGCTGTCATCCATCCCGCTTCCTCAACTCTGTCTCTACCCCGGATTCCCATCCCACTCTACTCCTCTGTCTGTATTTATACCCATGCTCACGCTGTTGCCTGTCTGCTCATACCCTCTGCATCTCTTCTTCATTTCTGAATATGGGCTCCTCGATATGGACAATCCAGGCCTTCAAGCGCGCCGAAGACAGGCCTACGCCAAAGGTAGTCTACAACTTCAGAGTCTACTACTCCTCCATGATCATCGCCATTGCCGGCGCAATGATCGGCTACGACAACGGATTCGTTGGCGGCACGCTTGCTCTTGACTCTTTCAAAGCCGAGTTTGGGCTCGACAAGATGACGACCTCGCACGCAAACTTCATCTCTGCAAACGTCGCCTCGACCTTCCAGGCCGGCTGCTTCTGGGGCTCGCTGTTTGTCTACCCGCTCGGTCACTACTACGGCCGCAAACTCGGGCTCATCGTCTCAACCTCTGTCTTTCTCGTCGGCGCGATCCTCAACTGCGTCGCCTCGCGCAGCACCGGTCTCGGAATCATGTACGCCGGCCGCATCCTCGTCGGCCTCGGCGTCGGCGCGACATCGAACCTGGGCCCGATCTACATCTCCGAGATTGCGCCGCCTGCGATCCGCGGCCAGCTTTTGGCCATGTACGATATCTTCTGGCAGGTCGGCGGCCTCGTTGGCTTCTGGATCAACTACGCCGTCAGCGAGACCATGCCGGTCTCGCGCAAGCAGTTCCTGATCCCGTTCGCCGTCCAGGTCATTCCCGGCGGTCTTCTTTTCATCGGCGTGTTTTTCCTCCGCGAGTCGCCGCGCTGGCTTATGGCAGAGAAGAACTCTCCGACCGGGCTCGAGAACTTGCGCTGGTTCCGCAAGCTCGATGAGTCGGACGAGTACTTCCGGTTCGAGGTCGCGCAGATTGAGGAATCGATCGAGTCTCGCGCGGGCTCGATCGGGCTCGGATTTATGGCGCCAATTAAGGCTGTCTTTAGTTCAAAGAAGATCATGTACCGCATCGCCTTCACCACCTCTCTCTTCATCTGGCAAAACGCGTCGGGAATCAACGCGGTTAACTACTACTCGCCCACGATTTTCAAGTCTATCGGAATCGGCGGCACCGACGCAAAACTTCTCTCGACCGGTCTGTTTGGAGTTGTCAAGACCGCGTCGGTGATTCTCTGGATGATCTTCCTCGTTGAATCCTGGGGCCGAAGATTGACGCTGATGGTAGGCTCCGTCGGGGTTTCGTTCTGCATGTACTTCCTAGGCGCATACGTCAAGATCTCGCACCCGTCCGCAAACCTCTCCTCCGCGACCGCTGGTGTGGGTAACCTCAGTCCCGGCGGCCGGGCGGCAATGGCTTTTTTTTACATCTGGACGGCGTTTTACTCTGCGAGCTGGAACTGGACACCGTGGATCATCAACGCGGAGATCTTTGACAATAACATCCGCACGTTTGTGCAGGCGATCAACGCTGCGGCGAATTGGTTCTGGAGTTTTATTATGACGCGGTTTACACCGCAGATGTTTTCCGCAATGGTATTTTATCTAGTAATTTATCTTTCTGCAAGAGCGTGGTCACTAATCTCTTTTTATAACCAGGGCGCGGACGGCTTCGGGGTATACTTCCTCTTCGCCTCACTCTCGACAGTAGGCTTCTTCTACGTCTTCTTCCTCGTCCCGGAAACCAAAGGAATCCCACTCGAGATGGTCGACGGTCTATTTACAAAGGGCGTGCCGGCCTGGAGTGCGCACGAGCACGTACTCGAGCAGCTTGCCGAGGTGCGGAATGAGTTCCACGTGTCGCCGGAGGAGAAGGCGGCGGGAATCGGAGAGCATGTTGATCTTGCTGCGGTGGAGACGGGGGGTGAGGCGGAGAAGTGATGAGTTTTGTAGCTGGAGTGGGATGGTTTTGGTTCTGTACTGTAGGTCTGGGAGTTTGCTTGAATATTTGAATTGATATTGAATTGCAGGAAGGAAAATGCGGCTCAGCTCTTTTAACCCGTCTGCCTTCTTCCTGCGATTAATGATTACGAGATTAGTACATAGTGAGTGACAACATAAGAAAAGAGAAATGTTATAATATTTAATCTACTGATTTATTGCTGAGTTTTAAATCCAACGAGAACGAGTCTTCCCACGCCATACCGCGTACAAACCGATTCAAAAAACTAAGAATCATCCACCTCATCATCCAATAAACCCACAACCCACTCATATCCTCCTTTTTAGCACACACAGTATCCTAAAAATATACTGCTATCACCATCAAGCTACCGCAAAACTCTCTAAACAGCAAGCAACAGATCCCCAGCAAGTCGCAGCAGTCGCAGCAGTCGCAGCACATGCTCAGTTCAGGTTATGAGCAAGCATCAGTTAAGGGTTAGGAGTCCACGACCACGCTCGAACTGTTCGCCTGATTTTGTCGGCGTCGGTCGGCGATCGTGCAAGTTGACTGAATCTGAGGAAATCTGGAAAAAACTCGGGATAGAGAGGGTTATAGTGAGTTTGCCTGAGCTGGTGGATGTTTAATGACTGGTGCTAATGAGATGCTAGTGGTTGTGCAGAGTCGGCTCGTATGCTTCACCGAGGATTTATCTCTCTCGACGAGCTCAAAAGTGAATGTCTAAACAAGCAAAGATGAGCGCAAAGAGCGCAAAGTCCTCGAAAAAGAAAAATGCCGCTGCTGCCGGGGAGAAAATACCATCGAACGAAGTCGGCGGGGTGTATTTCTGTCTGGCGCCCTCCTGGGTCGCTGAAAACCCCGACGACCCACCAGAGTATTTCTCCCACGACGCCGACGTGGTCGAGTTCATGCGGTTCAACAGCTTGCCTGAGTTCCCCACACGATCGCTTCCCGAGCGCAGGGATCAGCTGATGGGACGGTACCCTGTCATGCTCCCGCGTCTGCACCGCAGCGACGAGGAGTCCATCGTCGCGTACCTGCGCGAACTGCGCCTCGCCTTTGGGGAACACACGGATCTCGACACCATCGGCCGCGATCTCTACGAGCTCTTACCGCCCGCGGTTCTTTCCGGCGTGCTTGACCGTGAGCGGCAGCTCATGTTCACCGCGCCCGCGCCGCTCTCGTGGGAGAAATTCTGCCTGCTGCTGCTCACCACTAGACTTTTCCGCACGCGCTTCAAAGTCGACAACGCGGCCGGCTACGCGGCGATGTCGAACGTCTCGCAGATCAATCTTGTCTCGCAACACTTCCTTGAATCGAACAAGCTCGAATTTGAGCGCCGTCCCACGCGCGTGCTGATCACCGGCGTCGGCGTGTCGCTGGAGGTGACCGAGATCGTGTACTTGCCGATCTCGTTTGTGGATACTTATGATGCGGTCATGATCGAGGCGTTCGTGCTGCCGACGACGAGGGTTACGTATCCGCATTTGGTGCTTGGGTGGAATTTTATAACGAATCATGTGAAGCATTTGCCGTGGAAGGAGGATTTCAAAAAGTGGATGCCGGAGTTTGCAAGTTTATTTCAGTAGCGCAGAGTTTGATGTGAGCTTACTGAACGTTTCAGCCAGCGAGTAGTGCTGATGACTCGCATGGCTAATTTGCAGGATCAAGAAGTTGAGTAGATGCCAGATTGACGAGAAGATACATGCGATACACCCCAACATGGACAGAGCCACTGAAGTACGCGCTCTTCAACAACTATCTTCATCAGACACCAGTACTACGGGGCACATACTACAGACAATCGTCATTGTACATCAAGCCTCACTACGGCGAGTAACAATGACACATCAACACGCTATCAAGGAGAATGTATAGGTCGAGAAATTTATGAATTATACAAGATTGATAATGAAAATTACAAAACTGAACTGCGTCGAGCTTAGATGCAGTAATATCTATCACCGAAATCGCCTAATCCGGGGGACACAAATCTAAACAAAAAGCTGTCAATAACGACTTCTACTCTAAAAAATGCACGAAACGCATAGACTTACTTCTTCTCATTGAGACACTTGTCGATAAACCCAGTGATAATCTTAACACCAGGACAAGCCTTGACAAAAGTCTCGATTCCTTCAGGCGTAGAGATGAGGTTGAGGAACAAGATGCGCTCGGCGGGGACGCCTTTGCTGATAAGAACCTCGACGGCGGTGATGGCCGAGCCGCCGGTTGCGAGCATGGGGTCGAGCAGAAGGACGTCTGCGTGGGTTAGCCAGTCTTGACCCTACACAAAAACTGAAGAAGAAAGGACTTACATCGATCCTTGATATCGGCAGGCAACTTCTCGTAAAACAGCTTAGGCTCGGCGGTCTCCTCGTCGCGCTGGATTAAAATCTTACCGATGCGCACAGAGCGGCAGCAGTCGCGAAGACCTTGCTCCATTGCCTCGCCTGCGCGCATGATCGACACGCCGCAGATTTTGCCCTCGAATTGGAGGCCGTCGTAAGTCACGTCTGTGCGGATTGTTAGAGTGCTTCTCTATTTTGTAATCTAGTGGAAGAAATGATAATGGGTGTACCGGTAGGAGTAGGGACCTCGATGTCCTTGACTGGAAGATGATTGAGACCTGTACAGACCAGTTAGCACGGCTGCTCTTGACAGTCTTTGAAGTGGTTGGTAAAGACCTTCTTCGACCAATATCCGAATAATTCGGTCACTGTAGAACACAAAGTCGCCACGCTTGGTGTTGACATCTCTAATAATCCTATACAGCAGCAATCATCATTAGCCCACACATATCCTAAACTTGATCAATTAGATATCTATAAACCAGAGATCATACGTGAACAACGCAATCAACTGCGGCGTCTGCGACACGACAGTGACTTCAGGCCATTTCGAGGTAATCGACAGAGTAGCTGCCTTCGACATTATGCAATTGCTTCAGAATTCTCTATGTAAGTAATCAATTCTTGCTGCTGCTGCTGCTGCCAAGCTGAGTTGGTGATGGTAGGAGCGATAGCGGTTGGAAGTACAAACCCCGTCAACTCGGATTTGTTGGTTTTAAGTATTCTCACGGCTGGGAATTGAGATCTGTCGCGATATCTACTGGCGGAGACCGGTGGATGCACGATTTACTGCAATTGAATACTGCTGCATTGAATATCTTCATCTTACTGTTGTCTACTTGAGCTGTGGCGTAATTCGCGCAGATCGGACTAGATCAACCTCACCAGATGCTCGAGACGACCTACGACCTCCACCCAGCGACCTAATCAATTCATCTCCCATCTCCTCCAAACAACTACGACAAACAACGACGAGACAGAAGGCATGTCGTCCTCAGCCGGTACTCCATTCTCACACCGCACGCCAGGCACTTCTACAAAGACCTACGGCCGCAAGAGTCGTATCCCCGCGACACCGATCGAGCGCGCGTCACCTGTCAAGCGAAAGCCAGAGGGCGACGTGGACACACAATCCTTACAGTCGGCAGACAAGTCAGAAGATGCAGCGGCGGCAGAGGCATTGACCTCGCCCAGATCTTTGGGCCTCAGCGGGTGGATTTCAAAGATTGGAAGTGTGGCTCGATCCCCGTTTTCTGCCCTTTCGAGACGCAAGTCGATTGACTCGACCGCCTCGCCTATACCGTTAAACTGGGGTCCTGCATTGGCGTCTTCTTCTGCGTCTGATACCCCAGGCTCCTTGAAACGCAGACGCGCCGACGCTGAAGAAACAACCGACAACAACGACGTCGCCCGCACGATCAAACGACCGAGGACTCCAAAACAAGTAGTCGCATCAGTCAGGTCAAACAGTCAACTCAAGAAGACCGACGACCCATTCGCCTTTGACGACACAAACGAGGTCGAGATCGACAGTACCGCCAGCGCGCGACGAACTCGGTCTACGCCGCAGAAAGGCGCGCAGGTGAAGAAGCCGCGGCGAGTGGTGAAGGAGACTGTACAGGCCGATCCGAGCGACGATGAGGATACGATTAGGGTGGCGTACAGGAGCTCTGATTCTGTGTCTAAATCCCGTGGAAGAAAAGCAAAGGCAGAAAAGAGCGCTGCGGAACCAAGCGACGATGAAGATACGATAAGGGTAGCATACAAAAGCCCTGTTACTACGTCCAAGCCCCGTGGAAGAAAAGCACAGACAGAAAAAAGCGCCGCGGAACCAAGCGACGATGAAGACACAATAAGGGTATCATACAAAAGCCCTGATGCTACGTCTAAATCCCGTGGAAGAAAATCACAGACAGAAAAAAGCGCTACAGAACCAAGCGACGACGAAGACACGATAAGGGTAGCATACAAAAGCCATGATACTACGCCCAAGTCCCGCGGAAGAAAAGCACAGGCTAATAAGACTGCGGAACCCAGTCCGTCTGGAAAACAAAAGACGCCTAAAGGGGTCCCTCGCACTGTCGTTGGAAAGAAACGGGGAAGGTCTACGCCGCGGTCTACGACTCCGGAGATTGTGCCAACTCCGGCTGTCCAAGAGACGAAACGAAGGTCGCCGGTACGAAACAGAGCGCTTTCTTCAAAATCGACTGCTGCGCCTACAGAACAATCACAGCAGCAACCTACTTCTACACAGAAATCAAAAGAGCAACATGTTTCAGAACCATTTGAACAATCTCCCGCCGCATCCAACCACAGCCCATCACCAGAACCTCTCCCAAAATCCCCAGCCATAAGACGGCCGATCTCCCCTCCCCCTCTCGAAGACCTCGAGTTCGACACCCCCGAGGAGCCCCCCAAAACACCAACCATCGCCGGCGGCCGCACGACCGAACCCTCACCGCGACTGACGTCGCGACAGAGCGAGGCTTGGGATATGCTCGATCAGACGTCGGAAAGTATTCGGAAACGAAGCAGTCCGGTGCGGAAAGGCGTCGACGGCGAGACCGTGAGCGGGTCTGGCAACAAGCTTTTCAGGATGCTGGCGGCGAAGAAGGACGCGGGGCCGAAGCAGAAGACGTTGATGACGAGGTCGTTTGAGGAGATTAAGAAGGATTCTGAGAGATCGGACGGGCAGGAGAAGGGTGCAGGTGGCGATGCGGTCGAGTTGGGCTCGTCATTGTCGCAATCTAGTCAGCCGACTTATGTGATGGTGCGACCGGGCAAGCGCACGTACGGCTCATACCGCAGCTATATCGACGACTCACCAGCGACGCAGACGCCGAGCGGTTCTCGGCCAGGTACGTTCAGCGAGATGTCGGAAGCCGAGCTGCTGAGCGTGTCGCTGACGGGCAAGCCTGCGACCGGGACGCACTCTGATAGCGAGCGAGAGTCAGACGACGAAGCGGAGAACGAGAATAACGACTCGATCAGGGTGAAATCTATCCACGAACTGCGGGCGTCGGGAACGAACGCAAAGTTCATGGATGATATGGAGTATCTGCTAGACGGTCTGCGACCGACCGCTTCTCTTTCCACGCAGAGAATGACGTACCTTGAGTTAGCACTCAAGTTAACCGACAATCAATTCATGCACAAATTCAAGGCCGGAGGATTTCTCACTCGTCTCGCGTCTGCGATCTCGCAAACCCGAGCGTCGAAGGATGCGGTCTCGAGCTTTGCGCTCTCGTACGTGCTGTGTAATTTCTTGGGCGACGAGGGAATTATGCGGAGTTTGGTTAGTGAGGCCGGGGTGGTTGAGTTTTTGGTTGAGTTTGTGGGCGATGGCGAGGATGTTTTGAAGGTTGCGACGAGGGCGGGGTCTGGGGTTTCAAAAATTTCGCAGTCGATGGTGAGTGCTGGTTCTAGAAGATCAGTGTGTTGAAGATGAACTAATGTGAGGGTATTATAGCTGCGAGAACTGCGGACGGAGATCATCAAATCGATCCCGTCGACAGTCAAACCTTCGAGTATATCCCGGCGGCTGATAGCATTAACCGGCCTGCTAGAGTTGACGGACTCGTATTTCCAATTCGACTTTGTGCGGACAGCGTTTGCCGAGAGCAAAATGCGCGATCGGGTTATAGACGCGCTTGCGGAGTTAGTCAAGCCGAAACAAGGGCTGGAATTTCACGATATCGCGCTCTGTCTGTCAGTCCTAGAGAACTCGGCAGAGTTAGCAGCTAAACAAGACAGTGGCGAGCCAGTGGAATCCGAGACGCTGACGACGGCGACAGCGCGGCTGCTGGGTCTTCTTCCGAAGCTTGAGGCGACACCGCAGGAAGCGGTTGTGGTCGCGATTCTCAAGTTTGCGATTCTGATGACGAATAGTGGGAGTACGGCTGTATGCCTTGCGCTCGGCACGGACGAGACGGTGGCGTATGCGAACCGGTGCGTCGAGCGGGCGGTCTGTGCTGAGCAGGGCGATGGAGCGGAGACGGAGGAGTATGGGTTGGCGGCGAATGTTGCGGTGTTTTCGATTGGATTGCTTGTGAATCTGTGCGAGAGCAAAGAGTCGCGGGACGTGATTTCGAAACCGGAGCACTTGCGCAAGCTCGTGTCGCTCTTTGAAAAAACCTCGCCGGCAGAAAACCAGGCAAACTACATGGACGACATCAGAGGATATCTTGCGCTCGTGCTCGCGCTTGCGCCGCGAGAGAAAGTGAAGGCGGAGGGCGGGGCGGGGTTGTTGAGCGCGGTGGGCAGCGCGCTGGAGGTGTTTAAGGAGAGCACGGCGCAGATGCAGGAGGATGTTGGGATGAGCGCGGGAGCGGGTGCGGGGAGGGGGATGGTGGCGAAGATTACGAGTGTGTTGAGTGGGCTTTACGAGTAGTTCATAGTTGAATATAGAGATCAATTATAGAGAAGTAGTGTAGAGAAGTATAGGAGAGAAGAAGAGGCGGAGGAGAGGAGGGGTGCGGCTCGGTTGAGCTGGGGATTTTATTCCTCTCCAACCGAGGAACTTGCCGACTCCTCCTTTCCCACTCTTTTGTCGTTCACTCTTTCAGTTTGATTCAGTGCAGGGAGAATCAGATTAGTTGAAGGACTTGAAAGGTATTAGAAAGGTAATCGACTTGCTACGACTATTTTAGCGCAGCGAGAAGCAAGATCTAGTGAGTGCATCATGGTCGGATCCACGGTATCCCCAGTCGACGACGATGGCGAGATTGAATCCAGAGCACCACCACAACTATCTACCAACTCTACGTCCGCGACGGCCAACGGCGACGAGGACGATCTTGATGATCTCGACGGTGCGTGCGGACTTCTTGTGCTTTTGATATAGAGTGTGGTGTATGCTGATCTGTGCTTATGTTTTAGATCTGCTGGATGAGTTCACGATAAGTCCGCAGACGTACTCGAAATCGAAAGCGCCGACTGCGGGGATAGCGTCGCAATCGCAGACGTCCTCTACAGATTCCACATCGACTACTACCCTCCAAAACGGGTCCTCAACTCCCTCCGCACCACATCCCCCACAACCCAACGCAACCACGCCCACCAGCGCAACCACCCACGCGCCCGCCCCATCCACCACCGCCCCCTCACCCAGCACACTACTCCTCGACCCCGAGACCGAAGCGCTCGACAGCGCGGAGGACGAGTTTGCGCGGCAGCTCGAGCAAGGGTTCGAGAGCATGCTGGCCGAGCTCGAGACGGATCCCGAGAGCCGGCGGAATTTCGAGGCGATCATGTCTGAGATTGGAAAGTACTCTGACGGCGGGGGCGAGGTTGACGATACCGTGCTCGGGGTGGCGAACGCGGCTGCGGTGGGGGCCGGGGCGGGGAAGGGGGCGAGTAAGGATACGTTGCAGGACGCGATTGCGAAGACGATGGAGCGGATGAAGGAGTCGGGGGATAAAGTTGATCGGGAGATCATTGATGGAAACGGAGGGATGGAGGACGACGATTTCCTTGCGGCGATGATGAAGCAGTTGGAGCAGGCCGCTGTCGGCGGCGAAGGTGGCGGTGAGGGCGATCAGGCAGGAGGACTTGGTTCGGACGAGGATCTGACGCAGATGCTGTCGGGGATGATGGAGCAGTTGACGTCGAAGGAGATTCTCTACGAGCCAATGAAAGAGCTGGACGACAAATACAGCGACTGGCTTGCGTCCAACCGCGGGACGCTGGACGCGGAGGAAGCGAAGCGGTTCGAGGCGCAGCGGGTGGTTGTGCGGGAGATCGTGGTGCGGTTCGAGAAGGAGTCGTATAGCGACGAGGATCCGGACGATCGGAGGTATATCGCCGAGAAGATGCAGCTGATGCAGGAGTCTGGGTCGCCGCCGGCGGATATCATGGGCGAGATGGGACCGGCGGGGATGGATCTGAATGATCTCGGGTTGGGGAATATGGGGGCGGATTTGACAAACTGCCCTATGCAGTAGTGAATATAAGAGATTATGACTATGTACAACCATCCAACTCCAGTGCACCAGATAAAACAAACACAAAGCAACTACTATCATACATCCGCCATAATATCATCCTCATCAATCTCCTCCACCAAAAACTCCTCCTCCTCTTCCCGCTGCTGCAGCAGCTGCTGCTGCTCCATCAGCGCCAACATCTCCTCGACCTGGTTCTGCTCGGACTCCTGCACCATCTCGGCCATCATCTGATCGGCCTGGGCTCTGGCCTCCTCTTCGATCGCCAGCAGCTCGTCGATCGAGATATCAGCCTGCAGGGCTTGCGCGCGCAGGTCTTGCTCCAGCTTGCGGGTTTCGGCGGCGTGGAAGAGACGGAGCATCTGGGTGTGTTAGTAGTTGATTGAGTGTGTGAAGAGGATGCAGAAGGAGGGAAAGTACCTCGTCGTCGCCACCGCGCATGGCATGATACATAGCCTGTCTCTTCTGCACGAGCAAGTCAAGCCTCTGTCTACGCCGCCGGTCACGCAGCGGATCCGACGGCGAGAGAGAGGCAGCCTGCGCCGGACTCGAGGGAGATCTTGTCGGACTGCTCATTTGGGAGGTGAATGTGCGCTGGAGAGAGGCATGGCGGCGCTGCTGGGTCTGTTGCGCGTGGGGGAGACGCGGGGAGGGAGAGGTGGGTGAGAAGGGGGAGGAGGAGTCCGAGTCTGGTGAGCGGAGGGGGGAGGAGAACATGGTAGTTACTGCAATATCTATATCATTCTAGGTTATAACAGTATAGCAGTTGATAATAGATACAAGATATAATAGATAGAACAGTAGTAGATAGCAGAAGCAGATCTACGCGTTCATGTCAGCAGCGGGTCTCGTTCTATGAGTCAACGAAGATTTTAATTATTCGCGGCTCCTGGAAAAAAAACCAAATTCGAGATAAAAGTCTTTGCTCTTGTTTTCCTCTTTTCTTCATATTACTGTTCATTTCTACTATATCTATTACTATATCTATTGATATACAGCAGACATGTGTGGAATCTTTGCCTGCCACCATCACCCGGACGTCATCGCGTTCAAGCCGAAGGCGCTCCAACTCGCCAAGCTGTACGTATCTTGATATCGACATATAGAAGACTGCGCAGTAGCAGCGGTGACCTCTGCAAGAGATAGAAGAAGAATTGCTGCTGCTGTGCATTGCTTTTGAGTAGACGCTGACCTTGGTTGTCTTCCTAGCATCCGTCATCGTGGTCCTGACTGGAGTACGTCCGCAGACTGATTTAGGCTGCCCTCGTGGTAATCGCCGATATACCGCAGATGGATATACTAACCGCTTCTTCTTCTCCAGGTGGAAACTTCATCAAGAACAAGACGAGTGAGTGCTTCTTTGTTACTACAGTTGTTTGTCGTTGAGGTCGAATTCATGCTAACACCACGCAGTCATCGCCCACGAGCGTCTCGCCATCGTCGGTCTCGGTAAGCACACACAATCACATCGGAGATTCTACACAGCTCCTCCACAGCTCAACTATATTGCAGACGACTGACATTGACTTGTACAGACACTGGTGCGCAGCCTCTGTTGAACGAGGACCAGTCCATCTCCCTCGGCGTTAACGGCGAGATCTACAACCATGTCGTTCTCCGACACAAGCTCTTCCCGGACTATCCGTTCAAGACGCAGTCTGACTGCGAGGTCATCATTCCTCTTGTATGATTTTTCTCTGCTTAGAGTTATTAAGAGGTATATGGCTAACGAGAACAGTACCAAAAATTTGATATCGACTGCCCCAACCACCTGGACGGCATGTTTGCGTTTGTTCTCTACGACGCCGAGAAAGACCGCACGATTGCGGCGCGCGACCCGATCGGAATCACGTCGCTGTACATGGGTCGCTCGTCGAGCACGCCCGGCGCGGTCTACTTTGCGTCCGAGATGAAGTCGCTGGCGGAGGTGTGCGACGACATCTCGGTGTTCCCGCCCGGCCATGTGTACGATTCCGCGACCGACAAGTTCACGCGGTACTTCAAGCCGACGTGGTGGGACGAGGAGCGGGTGCCGACGACGCCGCTTGATTTGAAGGCGATCCGGACCTCGCTCGAGACTTCCGTGCGCAAGCGTCTGATGTCTGAGGTTCCCTACGGCGTGCTTTTGTCTGGCGGTCTTGACTCGTCGCTGATTGCGTCGATTGCGGCTCGCGAGACGCGCAAGGCGCAGGCGATCGACACCGCGACGACGACGTCGACGCTCACGGGCGTGGACGAGGACGGACACTTGTCTGGCGCCGCGTCGTGGCCGCGACTGCACTCGTTTGCGATCGGTCTGCCGGGTGCGCCGGATTTGATTGCCGCGCGCAAGGTGGCGGACTTTATCGGCACCGTCCACCACGAGCACACGTTCACGCTGCAGGAGGGTCTCGACGCGCTCTCGGACGTGATCTACCATTTGGAGACGTACGACGTGACGACGATCCGCGCGTCGACGCCGATGTACTTGCTCAGCCGGATGATCAAGGCCGGAGGCGTGAAGATGGTGTTGTCGGGCGAGGGCTCGGACGAGATCTTTGGGGGGTACTTGTACTTTGGTGCAGCGCCGAGCGCGGAGGAGTTCCATGCGGAGACGGTGAAGCGGGTGAAGAACTTGCACTTTGCGGACTGTCTGCGAGCGAACAAGTCGACGTGCGCGTGGGGATTGGAGGCGCGCGTGCCGTTTTTGGATAAGGCGTTTTTGGAGCTGGTGATGAACATTGATCCGAAGGAGAAGATGATTACAAAGGAGCGGATCGAGAAGTACATTCTGCGGAAGGCGTTCGACACTACGGACGAGCCCGAGACGGAGGCCTACCTCCCCGCTGAGATCCTGTGGCGCCAGAAGGAGCAGTTCTCTGACGGCGTGGGCTACAGCTGGATCGACTGCCTGAAAGACACAGCCGAGAAGTTTGTCTCGGACGAGGACTTTGCGAACCCGAAGCCGCAGTGGGGCGAGGACGTGCCGACGACGAAGGAGGCGTACTGGTACCGGTGCATGTTTGACGAGCATTTCCCGACCAAGACGTGCGCGGACACGGTCATGAGGTGGATCCCGAAGGCGGACTGGGGATGCGCTGCTGATCCGTCGGGACGGTTTGTGAAGAGCCATGTGAAGTCGGTGGATGCTTAGATGGTTTGAAGTGTTTGTTGTTTGTACCGTATACTAAATGTTTTTTTATATGTTTTGTTTTGTTTTATTTGCTATAGCTGTTGTGTTGTTGAGTACGTGTGCACTGCAGTACAGCGCGTGAGTACAATACAGAAAAGTATATAGACCAGTTAACCCATCTTCTTAGTTGTTATTAATAATATGTTATATAATATAAATAGTAGTGATTAGTAATACTCTACAGGACCCCGATCGGCTGGCTGGAGGAGGAGCAGGAGGCTGGCGCGGCTGGCTGCAGGTGTGCTAGCCGACGTCGGAAGGTTGCTCAACTTCCAGAGTTGTTAATAGCTGTATGTATGTTGTATATACAATACAACTACAATACAATATCAGTTCTAATTCAACTACAGCAGAACTATCAACAAGAACAGACATTTCTAGCATCAACAAGAACAAGAAGAACAAGAACAGCCGAGCTCGGGACATATCGGGAGCATAGGGTTAGGTCTGGAAACAAACAATGGCGTCGGGAGCATGTGAATGTGAAGAGATGATGATATGTTGTGATATAAGATGATTGTATGCATTAACTATTATACAGAGAGAAGAACGCCATAAATACTCATAAAACACTCAAAGAGCAAGACAAATGCAGATTAAGACCCACGAAATATCAACAACATCACATCCGCCGACACCATCCATGATTAAACACCAGCGATAAACAACATAAATAAACAACATAAGAAAAGAAGAACTATGCACAGAGTTTGAGATCCTCGCGATCAGGTAACAGCTTCAAAAACGACGGTTTCTTATACAAAAACTTCTCCTCTGCGTCTATGCACACCTCACCCACAGACTGCTCGGTCGAGAACGCGGAAGAAAAAGTATAGTCCTCCTCCTGATCCTCGAGCGTGATCCGTCGGATGGTATGCAGCGACCGCATGAGCTCTTTCGACGGCGCGACAGTGTACCGGCTCCAGTACGAGCCCTCGTCGTCGCTGTCTTCCGTCACGTCCGTGTCTTCTTCCGAGTAAGCTGCCTCCTTTGACGACGACCACGCGCTTTCGACAAACTGCTGCTGCTGGCTGTACTCCGCCTTGGGCGGATCCAGAGCAGCGAGTGCCTCGGCGCGCAGCTGGATCAGCAGGTTCTTTATCCGCAGCGTCTCCGCGCGCTCGGCTTGGTACGCGCTCCAGACTGCCTCGGCCTCGGCGACGGAGGCAGTCCATGGCCGCCAGTACGCGCCATCGTCGACGAGGTCCGCGTCGGCGGGTCTGACGTCGGAGAGCTTCCAGCCGCGGTGGCCGGGGGTGTCGATGTATGTCCAGACGAGCTCGAGGTCGGTGTCGGAGTCGGGAGCGGAGAGGATGGCGGATGCGAGGATGGAGTCTGGGGAGATGCGTTTGAAGCCAGATGCGGAGGAGAAGTGGAGGGCGGGGTCGGAGAGGGCGCGGGCGATGGAGGAGGCGAGGAGGGGGTGGGAGAGGGAGAGTTGTTGGAGATAGGAGGAGTTGTTGTTGTGGGCGTGTTCGAGGCGAGCACGTAGCCGGGGCGCGAGTTGGGAGAGGAAGGCTTGGGAGGGAGGGGAGGAGGAGGGGAGGGCGCTGAGGAGGGAGGAGGTGAGAGATTTGAGGTCGGGCTGGGGTATTCTCTCCATGGTGAGCAGTGTGAATGTGAATATGGTCCACTGAGTAGAGTAGAAGTGGAGGAAGAGGAGAGGAGGAGGAGGAGGAGGAGGTGAAGGTGATTTAAAAGAAAGTCGTGTGGGGAAGCAGCCGAGCACAAATTGCTCCGTTCCGCCGACCCTCCGAGGTGTTGCTGTTCTTCTTGCTGTTCTACTGTTGTTGTATTCTGTTATTCTATTGTTATATTCATTCTATATTCTATTCTATATTCTATTCTTATTACTATATATCTGCTATTACTATACTCATTACTATATACCCAAGCCCACTACCCGACCCAGCCGCGCTGGGAGATCTTCATCCGACCCCGGCCATTGCCCCGGAGAACACCGTCGTTTGCTCGTTTATGCTCTGCCTTCCACTGCCGTCACTCCACCCACCACCACATCATCACGCAACTACATCATCACGCAACATCATTACCATTACTCTATCAAGAAATATCACGCACTGCACAGGTCCTGCCATGCCTGCGGGGGATCTAACGAGCCTATCTGGCTCGCCATCGTCTGGAATTGCATCATCAGTCCCGCCTCCAGATGCCATGAGATATGACCTGTAAAATAATCATCGTTAGTAACTCTCCAACATCAGTACATCAGAGTACTACTCACAATGGAACGCCCACAACCCCGGATTATCCGCAACAAACCGCACGATCGCCCACCCATACGCCTGCACCGACAACGTATCCCGCTTCACCGGCGTGTCCGACGACCAATTCCCGTAATTCGTATACTTGAAATTCCCCCTCCCCGCCTCCATCACCCAGAACTTGTACCCGTGCAAATGGAACGGGTGCGCGCCGTCGTCCAGGTTGTTGATCAGCAGATCCACCACCGCGTAGTCCGGCACATTCACCACATACTGCTGCTTATTCCCCGCATACACCCCCAGCGGCAGCGCGCCCTCCGTCGTCAGCAGCGTGCTCGAGTTGCTATCCGTCACCGACGACGACGTGCTCGGATTCAACTGCTCCCACGCAGAGTACAGCGTCGGCACGCTCGCCGGCTTCCAGCTCGTGCCGTTGATGTACGCCAGATCAAGCTGGTACGCCCCGATCTGGAAACTCGAGTCCACCCGGTAGAAATGCGTCGCGTTCGGCACCTCCAGCGTCTCGTACGGCTCAATCAGACTGTTGTCCAGATCCAGACAGCGGATATTCGCGTCCCGGTCGTCCCACGAATCCGTCGCCGTCGAAATCACGGCAGACTTGCCCTGGAACCGCACGCGCGCCTCCGAGTCGCTCTCGTCCGTGTACTTCACCGCCGCGCGCACGCCGACGTCCAGAATCGGATTGGACTCTGAAAAGCAGAACCGGTTGAGCTCGGCGCGCATCCAGAACGTTTCGTTCGTCGACTTTGTGTCTGTCACGTTCGTCGTCATCAGCAGCGAGTACCGCTGCGCGACCGAGATGCGCACTTTGTGGTATGCGGAGGGGGAGATCGTCGTGCCGTCGGCTTCCACCAGCGTCAGCTCGTGCGAATCCACAGAGAAATCAATCTCTGCAAACGACCCGACATTAATCACCCGCAGCCGGTACGTGACGTCGCGCTCAAAGTTAAACACCTCGCGCTTGGCCTCGGACTGGTAGCACGTATCGTCCGGCGTGAGCGAGCAGTTGAAGTAGTTTGCGCCGTTGATGAGCCCGCTGTCGGGCGTCGGCTCGGTGTTTTCGTTGTTGGACGCAAGGTAGGCTTCCAAGTACCCGGACGCGATGCCATGGTACCAGTCCTGGATGAGCACGACCTGGTCGTAGTCGTAGAGGTCGCCGATCATATCATCCTCGAGCGGCGAGTGAATCACCAGCGGACCGTACACGCCGTCCGCGTACTGCGTGCCGTAGTGCGAGTGGTACCAGTATGTGCCGTACTGGTCGTCCGCGATCGTAAAGTTGTACGTGAACGAGCTGCCGGCGGGGATCGGACACTGCGTGATGCCGTGCACGCCGTCCATGAAATTCGTCCCGTTCTGGAACAAGCCGTGGAAATGCATCGTCGTCGCGTTCTCGCCCTCGTTCTTGACGTTCACAATCAGCCGGTCGCCCGCGTTGACTTCGATCAGCGGGCCGGGGAACTGCCCGTTGATCACTGTGAGCGTGCGGTTGTATCCGTCCGGCCAGCCCACGACCTCGGAGATTGTCAGGTTGAACTCCCGCGTCTTGGGTTCTTCACTAGAGTCCCAGTCCGTGCTGACCGCGTAGGCAGTCGATGTGTCGAGTCGCCAGTCGTCAGAGAGAGTAGCGGTAGGTGAGCTCGCGGAGGATGTCGTCGAGCTGCCGCTGCTCCCACTGCCGGACGAGGAAGAGGCAGAGGACGCGTCTGAGTTCTGGTAGTTCCTGAGCCCGATGCCCATGCCGAGGACGACGGCGGCGATGATGAGGAAGCCGAAGCCCATGTAGAACCATTGGTTGCGCCAGAACGGCTTGCGCTGTGCTGTTCTCTTTTCTTGGTCTTCGTTATCCATCGTGTGTCCTACTGTGCTGAGTGAGTGTAGAATGGACGAGGAGAAACAGAGTAATAAAAGAAAAGAGATGAGGGAAAATCAAGAGATGAGTAAAGACCACTATCAGAAAGTCAAAGACAGAGACAGGTCTGGATCGAGAGACGGTCTCGAAGGGGAAAGCGGAGGTTGCCGAGGAGCTAATAAGCTTGGCCGGTCAGAAACAGAGGACAAGAACAGGAATTGCGATGCTTGTTCGGCCAAGATCTCGGCAGGGGTCTGTCTGTCTTCTGCCTTCTGTTCTTGTCTTGATGTCGATATGACGATGTCGATATCAGGTATCTTTCTCAACCTATCCTCTTCTCGACTGATACTCAGTACTCCGAGTACTCTGACGACCGACAGAATCGGCAGACAGTCCACCATCTCGCATCTCCAAACTCCGACTGACAGTCCAAGCAGCTGTAGCCACTCCTCCGCCGGCCACTGTCTTCCTCCTGTGCACGCACGTGGGCCCCGGTCCCTGTGCGGCGCACTCACCACGTGCGGCCACCGCTCGCGTTCACTCCTCGCGGCCTCTTCCGCACCGACTTTTGCCTGCAAACTCCGCAGCTCTGGCGGGTTCTGTTGAAATTGCCTGAAATTGCTGTGGTCCGGGTGCTAATCGTCTATCTGCACCTCCTGATTGGCTCGCATTGGCTCCACGCACGCGACCGGTGTCTGTTATTCGTCGACTCGCGTCTGTTCTCTGTATCCATCTGACTATCCTCCTGTCTGTCTTTGTCCATCGCCTGTCGCAAAGCGAACGGTGGCTTGCCGTCTGTCTCCTGTCCACTCCTTCATACCACCACGTGTCTCTCCTCGACACATATAAAGATATCCCTCGTCCTCCATCTCCTGTCTCCTCTCTGTCCTCTGCCATCTATTCTCTCTACAACCAACATGAAGTACGGAGCCCCCCTCGCCGCCCTCGCGGCCCTCGTCGCACCCCTCGCTGCCGCCGCCGCCGTCTCCTCCTCGTCGGCTGACCCCACCCCGGTCTACACCACCATCGAGCCCTCGCTCAGCGAGATCGAGGCTGCTGCTGCCACCGCTGTCGTCGGTGAGGAGACCTCGGATGTCGATGGCCTTTACTTCAAGCGCATGTTTGTCATCTGGCTCGAGAACACTGTATGCCACTGCTGTTGTTTTTTTTGTTTTATGATATCCTCTGACATTGTATTTCTCTAGGACTTTGAGGCTGCTGATACTCAGGCTGACCTTGAGTGGCTCGCCCAGTACGGTGTCAAGCTCACCAACTACTTCTCCGTCACCCATCCCTCCGAGCCTAACGTACGTCTGCCTGTATCTCTTCTCTCTGCGCACAGCTAACATCAACAGTACCTCGCTGCCGTCGCTGGTGACTACTTTGGCATGGACTCCGACGCCTTCTTCCAGATCCCCAAGAACGTGTCGTCCATCGTCGACCTGCTCGACTCCAAGAACATCTCCTGGGCCGAGTACCAGGAGCACCAGCCCTACGCCGGCTACCAGGGCTTCAACTACTCCAACCAGGAAACCTACGCCAACGACTACGTCCGCAAGCACAACCCTCTCATTCTCTTTGAGAACATCGTCAACAACGCCTCGCGTCTCGACAACATCAAGAACTTCACCTCGTTCTACGACGACCTCGACAACGAGCAGCTTCCGCAGTGGGCTTTCATCACCCCCAACATGACCAACGACGGCCACGACAGCACCATCGACGTCTCCGGCGCCTGGTCCCGCTCGTTCCTCGAGCCGTTGCTCAACAACTCCTACTTCATGGAGGACACCCTCGTCCTCCTCACCTTTGACGAGAATGAGAACTACGCCATCCAGAACCGCGTCTACGCCCTCCTCCTCGGCGGCGCCGTCCCCGAGGCTCTCCAGGGAACCGAGGACGACACCTTCTACAACCATTACTCCGAGATCGCCACCGTCGAGGCTAACTGGGACCTTCCCCATCTCGGCCGCGGTGACTTTGACGCCAACGTCTTTGCCCTCGTCGCCGGCGACCTCAGCATCGCCTCCTCCGAGATCGACTACTCCAACATCTACAACAACAAGTCCGCTCCGGGCTACTACAACGACGACACCATCCCCATCCCTCCCCCCAACGTCGACGTCACCAACCGCAACGGCCAGAGCATTCTTCCCGCCATCAAGTCCGTCTGGGGTGAGAAGTACGCCTCCTACACCGCCGAGTCGTTCACCTACTCGACCGAGACCGACAACTTTGCCTCCTCCACCGGCGCCTTCACCGCCTCTTCCGTCACCGAAACCGCCTCTGCGACATCCGACGCTTCGTCCGGCTCGGCCTCCGCCACCTCCGCCGCGGCATCCTCGTCCTCCGTCGCCGCTAGCTCCTCGACCGCCGCTAGCTCCTCGTCCTCCGCCGGCGCTGCCTTCGGTGCCGCCCCGGCTACCGGTCTCGTGGGTCTTGTGCTCGCGGCTCTTGCCATGATCTAAATGGCTCTATAAAATGAGAGAGAGTTATGATGCGTTTATGTTGGTTTTTAATGTAATAAAAAAGACGTGTGTGTTATTTTGGAGTAGCCGCAGCAGTTTAATCTTAATAGAATTTATAATAGCGAGAGATTAAAAGCCTTGACTTTCTTGGCAGTTATCTGTATTGTAACTTGCTGCATTACAACAACACCAAATAACACCTCTGGCAACATAAAAGCAGCAACCGAGACTGAGATTAAGAAGACCGCGCGCCGCGCTATTTACAGCCTTCCAAACCCGGTAATCTCTCCCAACCTCCCAACCTCCCAGCCCGAACCGCACCAGGCCGGATCAAAATCGCGTTTTTAAATGCGCGTTTTGAAAGGAAGTGGGAGGGGGTGTGATATGTGCTTGGTGGCGAGAGGAGGAAGGGGAAAGGGGTTGGTGTGTATTGCCAGGCTGATTTATGATTATTTGCTGTCGTGTGTTTGGTTTCTTTACTACTTCATACACTACTACACCTACTTTCTACTTCAAACACCGCTCATCCTCTCCTCTCAAAATGGCGCGCATTCTTCAGTTCTTCAAAAATCTCACTTTTGTAAGTTCCTGACTCTTTTCCCCTCAACCACAAGATATATCTCGACGATATCTAGCTCACTTCCTCACGCGATACAGCACCACCACACACAAGCAACTACCACGACCCTTCCCGTCCCTACCGCACTCGAACAGGCCAGTTTCAGATTTCTTGTTTTTTGTGTCTGTATGAGGAGTAAAGACTAACATACTCACAGCAACAGCCCATGCATCCCGCATCGAGATTTAACGCGGCAGTGAAATACACCGTCGCGAGACTCCGCCGCGCGTTTCGTCGAGTACGTTCCCCTTCTTTTTCTTCTCTTCTGTTGAAACTTTATCTGTGGAAGTATACGAGGTAGAATATAAGAGTGTGATGAGCTGACAAATAAACAAAAACAGCGGAAATCGGCAACAGAAGGGAAGCACGGCACAGCATCTCGTCGCCGGTTTGGAAGAGGGCGGGGTTGTCGTCCTCGCCGAAGACGTCCGCGGATTGATATAGACGCATCAGCGAACGATACTACTGCAAAAAAGAGGGCTCTTGATGCCGCTGATCCATGGATCACTGAGATACCCGTCATCTCCCCTCCTCGTTCTTCATCCTCCTCCTCCTCCTCCTCCTCCGCCTCCTCTCATCGCCTTCCACGCACGCCTGTATCCCCGCGCACATCATCTGCGAGTTGGCGCCAGGACTGCCTAGACGCGCTAAAAGCCACTACCACCACCACCACCCTACCTTCTCCGCGACAGAACCCGCGGGTGACGATGATTCGGCGGAGTCCTACCATTTACGCAAAGTACTACGAGCACCCTCCTCCCACGACGCCACGTCCGACAGCAGAAGCAGCGAATGATGCGCAACGAACGAGCACCTTCACTGCCTTCGTCTCGCTATTTGAGACCGCGCTCGGTCGCGCCCTACGGTTTGGTTCTGTACATCCTCTAGACCGGGCATTTGAGCTGCCGCAAGCTGCCTCTGCGGCTGCTGCTGCAACAGCGGGCGGTGATCCGGATCTGTTTGTTGATGTCGATCTGGACTGTGCTGTTGTTGAGGATAAACTGGAGGGGAAGATACTTGTTGAGACGACTGTGGGTGGTGATGGGGGGATGAAGTCTGTGAGATTTGAGGATGGAGAGAGTGTTGGTATACCCGCGCCTGCTGTGTCTGTGACTGCTGTAGCTGTGTCTGACGACGATATCGAGGATGAGATTCAAAAGTCGATCGAGGGACTTTTCGATTCTCCTCCTCCTTCTTCTCCTCCTCCTCCTCCCTCTGCTGTTCCTCCTCCTCCTCCAGCAACGCAGCACGACAACGCCTCTCCTCCCCACCCAAAATCAAAGACCCACACCCCCCTCCCCCTCCTCCTCCCACAAAGCCCTCCCGCCACCACTCTCAACCCACCTCCCCACTCAACGACCTCGCCGCCGCCCGTCTGACACTAACCCTCCGCCAACGCCGCAGCCCATCCGCCCTCTCCCTCTCTCCTTCCCGTCAATCTTCCACCTTGCCGACTTCTCTCGCGGACAACGACGACGCGCTGTGTCTAAGGCCGATCAGCGTGGCGCGCGTGTTGGCTGGCGTCGCGGAGCATCAGGGGCGTGGCGGTGGGAGGTCGAAACGTGGGGTGTCTGTTGTTGATTGTCGCGGTGGGGCGAGCGAGAATGCGGTTGTGGTTAGCGACAGGTGTTGAATACCCCTCTTCTATTTGCGTTTTCTGATTTTTTTGTTTTTGTTCTCGGTTCTTTATTCGGTTCTTTTGAGCAGGCACTGCTGCTTCTTTCTGTTATGTTTTGGGATATCCCGTTTTCCGCCTTTCTACTCTTCCTCTCTGCTCTTCATCTCTTAGTTTTGGGTCTACTCTATAATATAACTTCCTCACTCCCACTCGTAATCCGTATCTTGCTTAGAACTGGGGTGGAGATATCAGTACAAACGCCTTATATATGTAAGTGTGTAGAGCGCGTGGAGATGTAAACAAACAAACAAAACCCTACGCGACGACGAAGCTTTCCCACCTGCACCCGACCCCGCGCAAGCAGTTCTTCCACAGCCACTCACTCACTCTCCTATCAGAACAAAACAAATCAAAAACGAACAGAAAGAAAGGGAAGAAGAAGAAGATGAGCCGAGACTCGACCAAAACCGACAGATTCGAAGACCTCGAGCTGCGCACGTCGCTGATTGCATTCGACCACTCGCGCGGGTACCGGAAGCAAGTACTTTCCGACCTCGCGCGGAAGGCTGCCGGGTTGCGGGTTTTTGCTGTTAGTGTTGATCAGTTTTTTGAGCTGTGGCGGAGACGGAGGAGAGGGAGGGGGGAGATGAGTGAGGAGGAGGAGAAGAGGGAGGTGGCGGGGGCGTGGATGGATGTGTATACTGGGATCAGCTTTGAAGCCGCGTACGTGAGACTGCAGCTTGAGGTCGTGGACGGACAGTTGAGGGTGCGGGAGAAGCTTAGTGTTGGGGTGCAGTGGTTTTCGCTGATGTTGATGGACGCGGTCGAGGAGTTTGAGTCTGTCGTGCCGCTTCTGTTTACGTCGGTGAGGAAGTACAGTCGAGAAGAAGAGGAGACGGTTGAGAAGATGGATGAGGACGTGCGAGCGCTTTATATCTCGACAGAGGCGGAAATACAGGAACGGCAGAGGTTTGGAGATATCACGAATCACTTCTCTGCGTCCAGGACTACTCAAGATGATACAGCGAATCGCTCGACTGGATCACTGGTGCCAAATCTGATGAAACGGTTCCCGCGCCCGGGGGTCGAGCAGGTCATAGACCGGTACTCGAACACACGAGCACTTTGCCTCAGCAGCCGCGATGCCAAACACTTTCTGCTCGCAGTTTATTTCCACAGTTCAGCGGTGTCGTAAGTCGTCTTTTCACCTCTACTAACCCCCATTCTATTCTCATCACCCCCTCCTGTTGTTCTCCATATCTCTTTCTCTTTATTAACACTGTCTTTATTAACACCCGCCTAGAAACATCATCCTCGGCTTTGCAATCAGAGACTATCCATCTCTCACGCATCGCCATACGGAATTCCTCGCCGTCCTCTACGCGCTGCGCGAGATGACGCCCGACGATGACCACGAGATTTCAATCGAGACCAGCGCGCCGGCTTGTGAAAGTACTGCTGCTTCTTTTTGAGCACTACCTCTTACAGATAGGAATTTGTAAACAAGAAGAAGCGGGTGTGCTAACGAGTTTGATTATATACAGGCCTACTACGATCGCTAAATCAACCACCATCGTTCACCGAGCCCGAGACTACCGCAACAGCAGAAAACGAAGAAGGAGAAGGAGAAACCCCGCTGCTGAAAGAGATAGTGCTGCACATCCTCCTCCGCCGCAGCCGCGGACAACGGGTCTCGATCGCTGCGTATAACTCTCTGGATAAAGAGGTGGTCGGAGTGAAGCAGTTGATGAGAAGTGTTTCTGTGCAGGGTGGTGATCAAGGGTGTTGTTTGAGGGGGTTCAAGAGATCGGTTGTATGCTGAGGCGGTATTCTCAAAGGCGTTTTTATGACTTTTTCTGTTTCTGTTTTATCTGAATAATTGATGTATATTTTCCAAACCATGTAGCTATAACCCAGCCTATTTTTTAGTCGTTCGTTTTCACGCGGGATGTCAGTCATACAGCAGCTGCCTCACCGCCAAAATCACATCCGAGCTCTTGGGCACCAAATTATGTCCTCCCCACTTCAAAGCCAACATACTAATCCTCCTAACCTCCTCGTCCTCGTCCGTTACCGGCACCACCACCTGCTCCACCTCCTTCACCACCTGCTCTATCTCGACCCCTTCTTCTTCCTCTCCGTCGGAGGAGGAGGGGTCGAGGAGAAGGGTGCCGTTGTCGGAGAATCGTTGGTAGAAGTGATATTCGCGCGTCTGCTGCTCGGCGATACTAACCACCTCAAATACACCGCTTCGTTCATTCTCAGCCATGCCAAGATACCTATTCAACTGCACAAGCCCCCCCTCCTCGTCTTCTGCAGACGCAGACGCAGACGCCCCGCGCAACGCGGCTTCAAGTAACCTCTCACCATGCGCAAACGGAATCTCCGCGTCATCAAACGAATGCACGATCAACACCTTCGTCCTGCGCGAGTTCCGCACGAACCGCTCGAGGCGCTCGTCGCTGCGGAACGGGTGCTGAATGAATCTCGAGACCAAACCCTGCGCCTGCGGCAGGTACGCTGCGGGACCGATCACAGGAACCGTACCGAACGCTTTGAAATCAAGCGCGACTTTTTCAATCGAGGAAAACCCAGCGATTGGCACGATCGCTTTGAATTCGACGGGGGGATCGGCGGCGAGGAGTAAGTCCGCGATTCCGATGACGACGCCGGTGCCGAGCGATTGGCCGACGAGCACGGTCTTGGACGGGGGGATTCCTGTGAGTTCAGTGATTGCGAGGGAGACGAATGCGCCGTCGGAGATCAGGGCGGATTCGCTGGGGAGACCGGTGGAGACGCCGAAGCCGCGGTAGTCGACGATGAAGAGGTGGGTGTGTGCGGGTGAGGAGGTGAGGAGGGCGCGGTAGATGTCTGGGCGGTGGATAGACGATATGCAGCCCGCGTTTCCATGAACTGTGCTCCATCAGCCTCCATCCTCCATACTCACAACAAACAAAATCACTCACAGTAGATGATAACCCGAGCATGCGGATCCTCGCGCAAGATACTCAAATGCACCTTCGCGAGCTCGTTCGCGTCAATCTCATCCTTACTCGGCTCGATCGCTCGCAACCGCGCCCGGTTGAGCTCGTATGCGTCGATCGGGAGGATGTGCCAACCGAATAATTTCTCACCATCCGGGGTCTCGAGCCAGAACGGGGCGACTTGATTTTCTGCAGAGTAGTTGGTTAGAATGAGTAGAACACAGTTGTGTAGTAGATCGACGTACTTGCAAAGCCGGAGGTCTCGGGATGGTATAGCGTCTCGTTGCTGCCCAATTTTATCCCGTTCATAAAGATAAAGCTAAGAATTCATCAGCCATCTCTCTTTGACTGCAATTGCGATTGCATTTTGTAGATAATCATGCATGAAATAGACATGATCTCACCCTCTCTGCACCGGCGCCGTAACCAGCGAAAACAAGAATCCGAGATACGCCAACCCCGCCAACACAATCAAATAAACCAATTTCTTCAAACCCATCGTGAACTGCTTCCTCTTTTATCTTCTCTTGAACATACAAAAAACAGCCTCCTCAGGTTAAACACAGTGGGAAACCCCACAATCCAGATCTCGACTCGACCCCAGCCGCACGCAGCAAACCTTGGCGCGATAAAACAAAAAAATTCTGGCGCAGGCCAAGATAACACCCAACTAGCTGTTCGTCTTTGATAAGCTAGTTTGGAGTTGATAAGCTGGCATTGAAGTTGTTGACGCGCTGGACGTGTTGTTTTGGAAATATAGACTTATAGAGAGATAGAGAAAGAGAGAGATATATAGAAGATGCATTTCTCGACAAGTATACCCAACGCGGTATCGCATATGAACGACCGGCTTCTCTTTGCCATTCCCAAAAGTACCTCCTCCTGCTTCTCTCTTCTTTTCCTCGACCGCTGCTAACATCTTCAATAGAGGGCCGTCTCCACCGCCAATGCATGGACCTGCTGAAAGGCGCCGACATCCAATTCACCCGCGCCAACCGCCTCGACCTCGCTCTCTCCACCAACCTCCCGATCACGCTCGTGTTCCTGCCCGCGGCCGACATCCCGCTCTTCGTCGGCGAAGGCCGCGTCGACCTCGGCATCACGGGCCAGGACCAGGTCGCTGAATCAGCGCAGACCGCGAACGTCGACGAGCTCTGCGATCTTGGGTTCGGCGGGTGTAAGCTCCAGGTCGAGGTCCCGGACAAAGGCGAGTTCACACAGCCCGAGCAATTAATCGGCAAGAGCGTCGTCACTTCCTTCCCCAACCTCGCGCGCACATACTTCCGCTCGCTCGAGCAGATACCCCCCGACGCACCGCTCAAGACAAACATCAAATACGTCGGCGGCTCAGTCGAAGCCTCGTGCGCGCTCGGCATCGCCGACGCGGTCGTCGACCTCGTTGAGTCAGGCGAGACCATGCGCGCCGCGGGTTTAAAAGCCATCGCGACAGTGTTCACCACCTCGGCCGTGCTGATTGCAAACAAAAACCCCGACCACGCCGACACGGTCGCGCTCGTGGTCAAGCGCATAATGGGCGTGCTGTCGGCGGATAAGTACGTGCTGTGCAATTACAACTGTCCGCGCGACAAGATCCCGCAGGTGCTCAAGATCACGCCGGGGAGACGGGCGCCGGCGATCTCGCCGCTGGAGAATGAGGAGTGGGTTGCGGTTAGTAGTTTGGTGGAGAAGAAGAAGGTGGCGGAGGTTATGGACCAGCTTAAACTCAGCGGGGCTGAGGATATCCTTGTGCTTTCTGTCTCCAACTCTAGAGTATGATTAGACAATAGACTAATATAGAAGAGACTCAATAGACCAAGAGAAGGAGGGGATATAACCAGCTCAAACTCTGCGCATTGTGTTCTCTCTTACTGGTTCATTTACGTTTACTAGAGTAATATAGAATAAAGCCGTAAAGGAAAGAGCAGGAGCTTGAGCATGAGCATGAGCATGAGAAGAAGAAGAGGTTATAAGCCAGAAGGAGCAATGAGGTTATATACCAGCTCAAACTCAGCGCCTTGTGCTCTCTCAACTTGCGAGTCTAATACTGGTATATTTACTTTTACTAGAGTGATTTAGGTTAGAAAACTTATAGAAGAACTAAGAACAAGAGAATTAGAAGTTTGAGGAGGGAGGTATGAGCCATCTTAAACTCAGTGCATTTGCTCTCTCAACTAGAGAGTCTATACCGGTCATTTATCGTTTACTAGAGTAATATAAGCAAAAGAATTATAGAGAATAAGAGAGAGCAAGATCAAGTGCAAGAGTTTGAACATGAGATGAAGAAGCAAGAAGGAGCGATGAGGTTATGAGCCATCTAAAACTCAGCGTATTGTGCTCTCTCAACTCACGAGTCTAATACCGTATGGTTTACCGTTCACTAGAGTACTATAGACGAAAGACTTACAGGCAAGAGCAGGAGCTTGAGCTTGAGCTTGAGCAAGAGCTTGAGCATGACGTTGAGAAGAAGAAGAACAGCCAAGAAAAGGCTATGAACCTGCTTAAGCTCAGTGCATTTGCTCTCTCTTAACTTGCGAGTCTAATACTGGTTCATTTACGTTTACTAGAGTAATATAGACAAAATAAATAAAGAGCAAGAGCAAGATCAAGTGCAAGAGCTTGGGAAGAAGCAAAAGCTCGAGCATGAGAAGAAGCAAGAAGGAGCAATGAGGTTACAACCCAGCCTAAACTCAGCGCCATATGCTCTCTCTCAGCTCGTGAATCTACGTCGGTTTATTTACGTTTACTAGAATAACATAGACGATACACTCAAATGGCAAGAGCTTGAGCTTAAGCAAGAGCAAGAACAATTGCAAAAGCATGAGCAAAAGACGAAGAAGAACCAGAACGAGGTTACAATCCAACTCAAACTCAGCGCCGTATGCTCTCTCACTTAGTCGAGTCTAGTTACTACCTAAGAGTCAATTCACAGAGTAAACAACAAGTTATATAACAAACACAAAGAACACCGAAGCAAGAACATGTATCCCATCCCCCCATCCTTCCACCCTACCACCCCACCCATCATAAACACATAAAATCATAAGCATAAAATCATACCTAACAAATAACACAACTTCCCCGTCTCTGCATCTCCTCCTCCCCACCCCCCTCCCCTCCCTCCCCTTCCACGTCCGGATCCGAAAGATGCCCCAACTGCTGCCCCCCCAACGTCTCTCTAAACAACATCTCCAGCACCTCCTCATCCCGACACACACCCTCCTCACTCCCTGAATACGGTTGGTGTAGGAGAATCATCTCTCTCAACGCGGCGCCGATCTTCCTCGTCCCGCTGCTGGTGCTGCCTTTTCTCAGTCCATGGCTCATGAACCGCGATAACCGCCGCTGCAGGACCGTAGGCGTCTGCTCGACCTGATGCAGCGAGCTCGGCGGCGACGCGGGCGCTATGTCACTACCCCACCGCCGCAGCACAGCATCCACATCGATCCCCACCGCCGCAGCGCTCTGCTCGCGCTCGCGCACCCAGCCTTCAAACCCGCAGATCACAAGACCAGCAGTCTGAAGCATCGCGGTCTGCACGTATTTCTTGTATCCGAAATACGGGTCTGCGGCGACGCCGGTGCAGTAGACTGACCAGTCGGCAGCGAGCTCGTGCGCGCGGGAGAAGGCTGCGGCGTGGACTTGCGTGAGGTGGTGGGTGAAGATGGGGGCGTATGCGTATGAGAAGTGGACGTAGATTTGGCCGGCGGAGAGGAGGATGAGGTCGTCGTCGTCGTCGGTGAATTCACATAGCGTCACTTTGCTGTCTGCTTCCTCAGACGGGGAGGAAGTGTCGACTGGTCTCTCAACGTAGAAAAGACTGTCGACTGCAGAGTTACTCACCCTCGGCGCGCCAGAGACAACTACCCGCTCCATATTCCTCCTCATGACAAGTAACAGGCCATACCACGTAATATTCGGACAATCATACACCGAGATCCTCATGACGATCCCCGGCACCCCATCCACCTCCCCCCCACCCTCCGCAACCGCATTACAAACAAGTGCACGCGTAACCTCCGCCGCGGCCTCAAGCACGCCATCTCCGATCCGCGTATTATCCAACTCGAGATTCCGCAGCAGCGGCAGCGCGCGCAGCATAGCAATCACGCCTTCGTCGTTTACATTTGCGCAGTTTGAAAACGAGGCGTGCTCGAGTCTGCGACAATGCTCCGCCAGACAGTGCAGGGTCGGACTGCCGACGTTGCCGACGCGGTCGCAGTCTAGGAAGGTGAGGTTGGGGGTTGTGGCGAGGACGGAGCGGAGACCGCGGTCGCCTACCATTCTTAGACCTGCGAGTTCGAGCTCGAGGAGTGCGGGGAGGTAGCCTGCGAGGTCTTTGAGGGCGCGGTTTGTAAGTTGCGTGCAGAATGAGAGGTTCAGGTGCTGCAACTGTCCAGCCGGAGTATGCTCGTCTTGCTGGTCTTCATGATCAGTGGTAGTTGATCCGGTGAGAAGCAGTCTGATCGAAGCGTCTTTAAGAGAGACGCAGTATGCCATAACAAGCCGGGTGAGGTTCGGCAAGATCTTATGCAGCGCGAGTAGAAACTTCTGCTCATGCACCCCCGTCAACGACGAGACATTCAAATCCCTCAACCCCGGACACGCCTCGATGATATCCAAAACCCCCGCGGCAGTAACGACGCTACAGTACGAAACGTCAAGCATGACAAGATCCCGACACGTCATACTAACCGTGAAACAACTCGCGTTGGTGAACGCAAACGTCCCGCTGACCACCAACCCGCGCAGTTTCTCGTTCGCGCGGAGTAAATGCGTGAGCGCGTTATGATCGAAATGCAGATTCTGCTCGAGCGAGAGGAACGTCAGGTTCCGCAGGCCGCCGTCGGAGAGGTCCACGAAATCCTGCGGCGAGAGGTTCTTGTGCCCGCGCAGGTTCAGACGACGCACGAACGGGGCCGCGTCGGAGACGAGGGTGAGCAGCCGTTCGGCGGACATTTCGCAGAAGAACTCGCTGCCGCCGATGAGTTGCCATAGTTTGCCGTCGCGGGAGAGGTCGTTCCAGGATCTGTTGACCTGCAATGATGTTAATATGCTAGCTGTAAGTAGAGAAGGTATGACGTACTCGACCAAGACGGATGATATCGAATGGCTCGAGATACTTGAAGATCCCGAGCAAGACCTCTCTCGGCAAGAGGTTGATACAGTCCGCCGTGCTTCTGACCTCTCTCTCACTCCCACACTCTCCCACACTCTCCTCACTATCTCTCTCCACAACGGTCTGCGACAGCGTACTCAGACTTCTTCCCAGCAAACTCGCAGAGGCCATTCTAGCTCGAACTACAAAGGACAAAGGTGAGGTGTACGCGGGGCTGTGATCCCAGATCAAATCCAAACTCCCAACGCGATGCGATGAGCGGTAAGGTTTGAGGAGATGTGAGCAGAGGGTTTGGTGTTGATGTTACTATTTTGTTATTGTTGCTATTCAAATAATTGCGACCATAAGACAGAGACCAACATGCACATGTAGTATAAATAAAAGTAGATAACGTAGATGAAGATGTAGACGTAGAAGAAAGAAAGAAAGAGAAACCCCAAACACCGCTTAACGCGAAAGCTATGATACAAGAAGAAACAAAGAGGCTGAAAAAATCTATGCGGCTAAGAGTTGAGCTAATACCTGACGGTGCTGGGGTTCTCGACCGGGGAGTAGATGATATCCTTCTCAGCGTGGGTGCGTCTGGTTGAGCCGACGCAGATGGAGAAGAACCAGAAGACGGAGGCGAGGAGGGCGGCGACGGCGGCACCCCAGCCGAGGCCGAGGGTGGTGTGGTTGAGGGAGGAGGAGATGTTGAGGTCTGAGGAGGAGAAGGCCTTTGACTCGGCGGCGAACATGCCGGTAGCGATGCCGATAGAGGCGAGGGAGCAGACGAAGGACATGACGGAGATGATGAGGGAGCAGAAGGAGCCGCCGCGGGAGTGGAAGGCAAAGAAGCCGGAGATGAACTCCATGATGGCGAAGACGGCGGCGAGGCAGAAGAGGATGGACATGGCGTAGGAGAGGGCCTTGACGCTCTTGAGCGCGGTGGAGACGGCGGAGGGGACGGTGATGTCAGCGCCGGCGGCTTCCTCGATGATGGAGATGGGGTTGAAGTAGAAGAGGCCCTTGGTTTTGGAGCAGGTGGTGTTCGAGTCGGTGGTGGTGCAGTAGTTCCAGAGGCCGACTTTGTAGGAGTCGGGGAGGCCGAGGTCTGATGCGGAGACGGTGGTGTCGTCGACGGTGACGGAGAGGTCAGAGAAGTCTAGGTCCATGAAGTAGAGCTTCGAGAGGAGGCCGGTGGAGGTGAGGTTGCCAACGATGACGAAGATGGTGAGGACGAAGGCGGCGATGGAGAAGAGGTAGGGGAAGGAGATGATGAAGCAGTTTCTTCCGGCGGCCATTGTGTTGATTGAGGAGTAGAGTAGGTCGAGAGAGAGAGTAGGTTGAGAGAGAGAGCTGATTGAGTAGAGAAGAGTAGTAGAAGTAGATAAGAGTAGTGGAGTAGATGAGAGAGAAGGGAAAAAGGGGCTTCTTAAGAAGGCGAGAAAACAACAAGGCGCAGCAGCAGCCACCAGCCACTTCGCGCGGAGGCTGGCTGGGCTGTGTCGCCGAGAATAGAACAGATAATATATAAATGTGGCTTGTGATTATGTACTTATGCCACAACCTGCTGACTAACATTGCTCTGGTGACGCGTGCAGTACGCGTGAGCCGCAATACGCAAGCACAGCCCGGAGACAGGAAGAGACTGAGCACAGTATGAGAAGAGACCGAGACTAAGAGAAGAAGAGACAATGGTGCACAGCCTGTTCTATTTCAATCTGGTAACAACAATGGCAATGACAATGCATTGCTCATCTACCATCTACTATCTACTCTCTACTCATCTACATCTACTCTCTTAGACTCAGCAGAGGTCAGTCGGCTGTTTACACTCTCCCCTTTCTGGCTCTACTCAGCCCTCTACTCCACTACTACACACACTCTTGCGATGACACTCGATGCTCATTAACTCGATATACTGCCTGTCCCAAAACACAATCATTCATCATACTCAATACAATAACAAGCAAAACAAAACAAACTCATAGACAACGCCTAAAACAATATCTACTCATGCTCACCCTTCTCTTCTCACACTCTACTCCCATTCGTGCTCTCCTCCACAATCATATTGTCAAACACAAACGGGCCCGCCTCGTTCGCTGGCGTCAGCACGCTGTTCAGATTCATCCGCGATATAACCTCCTCCATATCGCTCGCCAGCTTCTTTGGTTGTCCTATAGACTCTTCAACTGGCCCCCCACTACCCTCAACAGACCCACTAGCATCCTCACTCCCGCTCTGTGCGTCCTCCATCTCCTCCTCATCTGATGCATCCTTCACCGTCTGCCCCAACTCCTCGCTCGCACTCACCAACACCTCCTCCTCCTCCTCCTCCTCCTCCACTACCTCCCCCTCCCCCTCATCCTCCACCGTCGCCAACTCCGGCACATCCACATCCGCCTCCAAATCACACACCGCCCGGCAATTCGGACACAAAAACTGCGGATACGCCTTCACTATAATCGGCCGAATGCACTTGTAATGCCACACATGCGAGCACGGCGCCACAAACAGACTCTGGCACGGCGCAACCGCTACCAGACATATACTGCACTCCTGCTGCTGCCCCGCCGCCGGCTTGCTGTCCTGCGTCAGACTCCGCAGCCGCGAGTGCGCAGACACGTTGAAATTGTTGATCCGCTTCTGCCACGACCGATTGATCTCAACCCGCATCTTCACACACTTGTACACTTCCTCCGACCCGCCCCGGAAATCCATCCCGAGCTGTAGAATGTCGCCGTCTTTGATCGGGAATGCTTGCGAGGCCGTGCACGCCGGCGACAGTCGAATCCGATTAAGAAACGTCCCCGACGAGGACTTTACATCCTTCACATACCACTACTCGCTCATTAGCCTTCTCTCTAAATTCACTCTCCTCTCTTCTTCAGTAACTACTCACCTGCCCATTCTCCACCCACAACTCCGCATGCGTGCGCGAAACAACCTTACTCTTAAACACCACCGGCGCAAAACTCGCCTCCAGCTTCGGCAACTCCTTCTTATCCGTATACCTCCCCAGCCGAATCACAGACCCCGCCCGTCCCTTGCGCTCAATCGGCTCAAAGTACAGAGCAGGCGTAGCCGACGAATGATCAATGAACGGCGACATCCGAATACACGGCTCCTCATCCGCCGCCGCCGCCGCCGCTCCGCTCCCGCCCACCGACGACGACGACGCATCTTCGCTGCTCGACGACCCGGACGGCAAACTCGACGACAGCGGCGTCTGGTCTACAGCAACGGGTGGCGCCGCCGGCGTGGCGAGCGTGTGCGACCGGGGACGCAGCGACGAGCGAATAGACGCTGCAGCAGGCGACAGCGACGACGTCGACGTCGACGCCGGCACCGCGGTCGAGGACGAGGACGAGCTGCTGTTACTGTTGCTGTTACTGTTCGACGAGCGCGACAGCCGCGAGTTCGAGTACGAGCGGAAGGCAGCTGTGAGGCGCGGCCTCCGCGGCGTCGACTCTGCGGCAGAGGACATGGCAGATGATCTGGATAGTGTAAGAAGTAGCTGAAACCCACAGACAATCAGACAGACAATGTAGAATAAGACGGGCGCAGACGGACCACTCGGGAAAGGTGGAAAGACGAGCGAAAGCGTTCGAAGCAGGCGAAGCAGCGCAAGTGGAGCCGCGATAGCGTTGACCAAAGCTGTAGTTTTGTGTGTTTGTGCCGGAAATGTAGTGAGTTTGTGCAGTTGTGCCATTAACATTGCTGCGGCTCTGCAGCGCTGGCTACGTCATGAGCCCGGTCGAGATTTCATATTGTATGAGATTTGTTGGTTATTAGAGGAGAAATCTCGCGCTGTTGAATGCTGTTTTTACGTAGTTCAATCTGTAGTATAACTAAAATCCATGTGCAATAACAAAAGCCCACAATTTGCGGCACCCGCCCTACAATCCACCAACTCACCCCCCTCCTCCTCCCCCCTCTCCTCCCCTCCCCTCTCCCCCTCACAACAAACAGACAGCCAATTCCAGCATCTCTGCACCCCTCCGCTCCTCATTCCATCACCTCCGCGTCACCGTGATCGGGCTGGAATGTGCGCGGCCGCAGTCAGAAGAGGACCCCTGAGTTTGTAAGGGATTAGTCAGGCTCTTTATTTGGTTAGAGTTTAGTCTTCCGACGTTGCCGAGGAGTCTTCTCTCTTGCTGTTGGCTGTGAGAAGAGAAGGTATATTATAGAGAAGAACTGAAAGTGGGATTGGGACTGCTGTTACTGCAGATAAAAGATAGTAGGTAATTGATTTTTTGAGCAAGCGTAGAAGTGGCTTGTTCACATCTTCAGTAATTACCCAATCGAGTAATTGCAACTACAACACACTACACCTCCCAACTAATAACACACAGCTACAACTACACTTCTCAACCAATACACAACTACACAACACAATACAACTCACCCTCTCACTCAACTACACACAATTCACTCAACACACCTGCCCTCGTGGCTCGAGTCCTCCTCCTCCTCGGCCAACCCCCGGTGCGGCTTGCGGCTCGCCCGGCCTGTTCCCCGTCCCAACTTCCCACCCCGCCAACCTCACCTTCACCACTTTTAACCACCTCCACCCCCTCACTACTCCGCACACACCCAGCATCACGCGGCAATGGCAGAGACAACTCCCCCCCGCACGCCAATCATCGGCATCTCCCTCAAAATGTACTTCTCCCCCTCCCGCACCGCGTCCTACATCTCCTCCTTCGCACCCATCGCCTCCGCCGCATCCGCCCTCGGCGTCTCCACCTTCGTCATCCCAGACTTCCTCTCCGCCGCCTCCTGCGCCCACACCCTCAACTCCGTCTCAACACCAAACCCGTCCGCCCCCACCGGCGTCGGCGCCCAGGACTGTTTCTGGGAAGAAGAAGGCGCGTTCACGGGCGAGATCTCGCCGCGCCATCTGGCTGAGCTCGGCATCCGCTTCGTCGAACTAGGCCACGCCGAGCGCCGCCGTATATTCTCCGAGTCCGACGCCGACGTCGCGCGCAAGACCGCCGCGGCTGTGAAGAACAGCATAATCCCCGTCATCTGCGTCGGCGAAGTCGACCGCGACGAAGACAATATCCCCTCTGCCGTCGCTTTCGTCGCAGACCAGATCCGCGCCGCCGTCGCTGACATCCCAACCGACGCGCAAATCATCCTCGCATACGAACCCGTCTGGGCAATCGGCCAGCCCGTGCCCGCTCCGACGTCCTACATCAACGCCGTCTGCTCCGGTCTCAGATCCGTGCTGGACGCCGAACTCGGCAGGAAGGAATCCGCGAGGATAATTTATGGCGGGTCGGCGGGGCCGGGGTTGTTTGCTGAGCTTGATCCTGAGGCTGTTGATGGGTTGTTTATTGGGAGGTTTGGCCATGATGTGAAGAATTTTGAGATTATGGTTAAAGAGATCGCGGCGAAGAAGTACGCCTAACCTATTCTTCTCTCTTATCATGTTAAAAAAAGAAAAAAGCATTTTATAGACTCTATTGATACAAAATATACACCCGCTTCATCTACTCAGAAACTCATCGAGACTCATATCTCCCATCAACAAACTCCGCAATGGATCCTCTGCGCCCCATAGCTCATTCATATCACCCATCATTGTACTCTGCTGCTGTTGCTCGTTCATCCCCGGAAACAACAGGCCTCCCGTATTTCCCGACGTCACCGACACGCCCGTCATCGCCGTCGCCATCGCTGTAGCTGTAGATGTAGCTGTGGCCGCAACCCCACTCGACCCCACAAACCCCCCACTCTCGGTCGTCGTCCCCGCAATCGCGACCCCCATATTCACCCTCTCGCTCTGCTCGCCCGCAAGCCACATCCTCGTCGCCTCATCGATCGACGCGCGCTTGACAAACCCTTCATCCCGCATCCGCACCCGACTCCCGCTCACCCGCGACAGATCGACGTCGTGCTCCATGTTCTCGAGCGAGTCCAGCATCGAACACAGCCAGCTCACGCCCTTCCACCGCTTCTGCAACCGTCGTAATCCGTCCTTGCACGTCGCGAAACTGTGCTGCAGCGTATTCGCTGACGACCCTTTTATCTCCCCGCTGTCCCCTTCCACATCCACCATCAACGAATGCCACAACGACAAACTCGCACACCCAGCCATCAGCATCGGCTGCGACACAAACGGATTCGACAGCAGCGCCTCGGGCGCAACCAACTCTGCAAACGCAATCATGTCCGCAATACTAATCGCCGACGTCCGCGCCAGGTCCGCGTTCGGATCCGTCAGCCAGCCGCTGATGTCTAGCGCGCCGCGCGGGTAGACTAGGTCCGGGTGGTACACGGCCAGAATGATTGCGTGGTTCCAGACGTGTAGGAGTAAGAAGCACTGCGCGTGCGCGGTCTGTGCGAATGCTTGGAAATTTCGCACGTCGAATACGAGATCTGGCGGCAGCGACGCGTAAAACTCAGAGACCTCGGTCTGGAGTCCGACCAGCACGTTCTGCGTCTCTGTTCCTGTTCTCGTCTGACTCGTATGACTCGTCTGACTACCACCCCCGCGTTTCGCCGTCAAAGAATTCAAGGTGTCGCTGACTTTCCCCAGAATCGTCATCAACCTGCACAGGAACGGGAACGGATCACTCAGCCTCGACCCATCCGGCCCCAGAATCTCATTACCCGTCACGACATCCCCGACCTCATACTCAACCTGCTCCAGCAATATCGTACACACGCGCCCGGTCCCGCAGCTAATCAACCGATCCAAGCAAAACACGCCCCAAAATACCCTCCGCCGCTGCTCGACCTGCTCCCTGTCCGCGCCAAACACCGCCTCGCTCGCGCTCTTGTGCAGACCTAAATCGTAGCTCATCCGGATCGCAAGCCCGCTCCAGCTCCATAGCCCGCTGTCCCGGTCCTGCGCAAACTCGTGGTACGCAATCAGCAGTAGCGCGTATACCGTCTCCACGCTCGGAATCGCCAGGTGCGGAATCAGTAGAACCTTAGCCCGCTCGGCATAGAGCTCAGACAAGTCCTCGCCGCCGGCAGCTACGCCGTCGACCGTCGCCGCGATCGTGCCTGGTTGTAGCAGCTCGACTAGCGCCGCAATCGCATACAGCATGCACTCGCCCGCCACGCCGTTCCTTATCCGGTCGTCCATTTCCTCGCGCCTGAGAAATGGGAGGAAAGAAGATAACCTTGAGTAAAACACATCGAGCGCCTCTTTCGTCGGCCGCGCGAGTTCCACCGACGACGAAGCAGTCTGCGTCGACAGTGTCCTCAGCGTTTGATAGTTTGTCTGATACTCCACAGTCGACGACGCGTCCTCCGACGCTACCGAGCTCGAAAACATACCTTCATCCAAATTCGGCGGACGAGTGAATTCATACTGGTCAATCACAAACGGTCGCTCACCCCCCTCTTTATCATCCACCGTCCTACTCATCGCACTATCACCGCTACTCCCCGCAACAGCAGACCCCGTAGTCAAATTCACAGAAATCAGACGAAACTTGCCGTCCACAGGCGGCGCCACCGAAGTCGGTCCGAGCCACCGAAAGTATGGCTGCCGGATCAGGACCGAGTTGTCGGGCCTGGGTGAAGAGACGCTGTCGGACTGCTTTGCCCGGCTGTCTAGTTTCCGCTTTGTTCCCTGCGACGACGAGCGCTCGGAGGAAGGAGAGCCGGAGGGTGGCTCGCGCTCTTTGTAGATGCACTCTATCTGACGACTTGCGCACACAGTACACGGCTGAGTGCCCGAACACCTGATCTGCGCTTGTCAATCAGTGATTTTTCTCTATGAAATAAGCACAAGGGCAACATACCTTTTTCTGCTTACAGCTCTGACAGGCTCGACTGACCCTCTTTGCTCTGTGTACCACGTTCAAATCATCCTCATCGCCATCCCCTCCCGCGCCCGCCAACGAACTCATTCGCGACGGATCATACTGCGCCATAGCTTCGTCGACCACAAACCGTATTCGGCCCGCCATAGCGCTCTCTCTAGTTCTGCTGCAGCTCTCCGCAGTTGCTTGCAGTCCAGTCTTCTTCCCGCGGAAAAGTCCGAAATTCTAGTTTAGCGAGAAGGAGACGCCCCCGGGCGACGGTGCGGGTGGGTTCTGCTTCTCTGCTTATATAGTTTTCTGTCTGCGCTCCGCGTTTGGGCTCTGCGCCATGATTATGTCATTCTGCCCCCATCCCCAGGCGGTTTCGCATCCCGAACTCTTTCCATTTTCTACTCTGCTTGATCCGAGTTGCGCTGCGCTGTCTGCGCTTCCGTACTCTGCTTCCTGGCGACATGCGGAGAAAGCGCCGGGCTCAGGACCGAGACGCGTTTTGGATCTCCCAGCTACGAAACCCTTGTTTACAACCTTACAGATCTGGACAATGCATTATTATGAACACTACTAAACATGGAAAAGAAAGAGAGGAAAGATGTTTTAGTCTGCCAATCCTTGGATCAGCTCATGCACACCCCAAGCACCGGGGTCCGGCGGCAGCAGCTTCTTCTCGGCCAGACCGCCGACATAAGTAGCCCGACCGAGCTTGGGCATCAACTTCATCGTTCCCTCGGCTGCCTCCTTGGCCGCCTTTGCCGCCTTGTCGACGTTTCCGCCTTCGAACGCGGCCGAGAACGGGATCATGACGTCCATCACCGTGCGGTCGCCTTCTTTAGCTGGTGTGTGTGTTCTCAGCGACGCAAGAGCCTCGGCGGTCGCGGTCGCGAGAACTTGCTCGATCGGCGCGGATGAGGACGTGCTAGCAGCAGCGACAAGCGCGCTCATCAACGCGGCAAAGAAGATACCAAACACAGCACCGAGTGTTCCACCCATGTGGTCCTCGGTGATGTCGACCATAGCGTCAACAACGCGCAAGATCGACCCCGTCTTTGCCAGTCCAGAGTCCAGCAGCGCGAGCAGCGCGACCGCGCCGGCCTTGATAGTCTCGCCGCAGTCGCCGTCGCCCATCTCGGTATCCCACTCCGTCAGCTTCGGCTCAATCTCGATAATGTTCTCGCAAGCCTTGCGCAATTTCCGCTCTAGTGTCGCAGGCTCGACAGTGATGTCCTGCGCAAATGTCTTTTCAGCCTCGCCATTCTTGAGTTCCTCCACTGCAGCCTCGGACGAATACGACGCCGTCTTGGGCCAGCTAAGCGCGTCGGTAGGGGCGTCAAAGTACTTGAGGATTGTGGCCGCCTCAACGCTAGACTCACGCGCAGCGTAAGTGACATTGAGCAGCGTGATGGCAAACGCGGGCGCGTTAAGCGAGGTCATGAATGTTCCTGCCACAACACGCGAGGGAGTGATACCATGGTGCTTTTTCAGTCCCGAGATCGTGGCCTGTGTGGCAGCACGCAACTCTAGGGTCGACAGACCGCCGAGGTTGTTCATTAGCACGACAACCTCGTCGGTCTTTTCGAACGGGACATATGCCCGGTCGGCGTCGTTGGGATCGATCAGGTAGTTGAGTAGCTCGGCGATGAGATCGTCGACGGGCGGGATAGGCGTCACAGTTCGCACACCGGGCTCGTTGTGGATTCCCATTCCAATCTCGAGCGTGTTTGTCTCAATCGCGCCGTATGCTGTTGTCCGGCCGGGGACGTGGCAGTGATCGAGACCGGCAGAGATCGTGACGAGAGACTTGCCGACCGCGGTGCCGAGTCCCAGGATCTCGTCATACGAGCAGTCAGCGGACGCCATGCTTCCAAGGATCTTGTCCACTAGATACACTATTAGCACTAATCCAGCTCAAACAGGAAAAGAAGGAGCTCACAGATGATGGTGCCAGCAAGACCGCGACGGCCGACCATGCCACCGTTCTTCCGTCCGACAGCAACGTCATCGGCCGCCTTGACGACGCCGACCTTGTACCCCTCCGCCTTCATCTTCTCGCACGCCAGTCCGAAATGCAGCATGTCTCCGGTGTAGTTTGTGACAATCAGGATGTATCCATTATCAGACGGCACCGCCATGCAGCCCTTCTGCACCTGCTTGGCCGACGGCGAGGCAAACACGTCGCCGCAGACCGCAGCAGCAAGCATGCCCTCGCCCACGAAGCCCGCGTGCGCAGGCTCATGACCCGATCCACCACCACAGATAACCGAGACCTGCGAGCGCGGGTGGTTTTTTGCGTAGAGAACCTTCTCAGATCGGAGGAGCGCGAGACCAGGATGCGACGCCGCGGTGCCGAGCAGCGCCTGGTCGACGAGGCCGTCGATGGTCGGGTAAAAGTGCTTTGTGGCCATTGCTGGTGATGTGAATGCGATATCAGGAAGCGCAGAAGCAGAGACGAGCGTTATTATAGCCCGATGGCCTCTGCGGCACCGCGCCGGTGTCCTCGGTCGTCGTCCCCGCGTCCGGCATTGCTGTTCGGGGTCCATCCGCGCGCCCCCCGGACTTACTCCCGGTCTGCGGCTCACCTGCCCCTCCCCCGCATTTGCTTATGTAACAATGTATTTGTGTGTGACTAAGCACTTATGTCAGGCTGCTCTCTACTTCCTACCACACCGTGTGGCCGCCGGAGACGAGGATGTCGCTGCCGGTGCAGAACGACGACGCATCGCTCGCGAGCCACGCCGCTACGCCCCGCAACTCGTGTACCGCGCCGATTCTACCAAGTGGATTCAGACTGGCCCAGAACGCCTCGGTCTCGGGCTCGACGTCGAGCACCGCGGCAGTCATCTTAGTGCGGATGTGGCCTGGCGAGAGCGAGTTCACGCGGATGCCGAACTGGCCTAGTTCGCATGCCATCGAGCGCGCCATCTGGATCACTGCGGACTTGCTGATGTTGTATGCCGCCCATTTCATTTCCTGAGCTGGTGTTAGTCTTGAGCACGTGTAGGAGAGAGAGAGAAAACAGAGCTCACCCGGTTCACGACCGATCCAGACATGGAGGCTATCAAGATAATCGAGCCCGCAACGCCCGCGCGCTTCATTATAGAAGAAGCTGCCTGTGCAGAGTAAAACACACCACTGCAGTTAACGTCCATGACCTTCCGGAACAGCTCCGGAGGGTACTTTTCGACGTCGTTCTCGCTTCCAAGTATACCCGCCGCCGCAATCAGTACATCGACCTTGCCCTCATTCTCACTCGCAATCTCCTCAAACACGGCATTCACTTGCTCAGGATCCGTCACGTCTGCGGACTTGTACTTCAAACTCGTGCCCAACTTCTTGCAGTACGCAACCGCGGCCTCAAAGTCACTCGAGACCGACGTTGGCAGATCGATCGCGTAGACAGCAGCCCCGAGCTCGGCCAGCACAATACAAAATTCCAGTCCAAGTCCTCCATCTCCGCCGGTGACAGCCGCCGTTTTGCCCTTGAGACTAAACTCTGAGAATATCTCGGGCTTGACTTCGAACGACGGATCCGAAGCTGCCTTGAGCGCCGCGTTCACGCCGACTAATTTGTAAGGCACCGGCGCGAGATGCACGGGATTGCGCACTGCTGTTGCACTTGTGGAAGCTGCAGAGGGTGTCATTCTGTCTATACTGAGTGTTCTGATCTGCGATAGTTGCTGAGATGCTGAGTAGAGGAGCTGAGAGATCGATCGTCGTAGATCTAGCACCCCGCATCGTCATCCCAAAATGGAAATTATTTATTTCCCGATCTGTACTCCACCACCTAATGTATGAGCTAAAACCCAGTCTTATGAATGATGCTGTAGTATTGAAGATAAGCTGTTAGATATACTACTCTCTCATCAACATTCCCCGAACTTTGGTGCACCCGCACTTTGGCGCAAGAGAGCAGGCAGCATCGGTTTCTGAACACTATCTGTCGTCATCCAGAAAGGAGCTGATTACGTACACCCGACACCCTCGTCTATCTGGATACACGACACTTGTGCAGATACGTAGGGGTTATCCCAAAGCTGGTGCTGGGACATCTACCTCTATACGTACTAACAATCGGAAATAGCCCTGCTGCAACATAACAAAAGGTCGTACAGCGGTCAGTATCGATAGTAGAGAGGTCCCTGCCTCGAATCAGACTGCGAGTCTGAAGTAGGAATATCAGCTCAAGCACGCAACAAGCCATGCTAAGAAGACTCACGCTGTAATCACTGCGACTAGGCTGCGCTACCAACTTCCTGCTCAAGAATCTCCCAAATCCCTCGTCCAGTCTCACCCATCGTCGACCGAACGCTATACTGCGGTGCTCCAATCTCTGCAGTCGGCGACCCTGAACCCGGACTAGTTGACAGCTGTCGCGCAAACGCCGGACCATCGTCAAGTCTCGCAAACCTCAGCGTGTTCTCTTCCGACACCAAGTTCATCGCCATACTCGCCTCGTCTCCCGCATACGGATCCCCATTCTCATCCTCGTCGAACAGCGCGTGAGTCGCCCGCGACTGCGCAACGTCCTGTGCTGCTAGTGCTTTAAACCTTTCCGGGTCTCGCTGGTAAAGACCCGGGATCTCGCCTAAACCGCCTGACTTGAACGACCGCTTGAAATAGCTCAACACACGACCGACAAAGACGCGCCCGTTCCAACGGAACGGCGATTCCCGCTCTGCCTCATCGTACAAAAGCATCTCTTCCTCTGATTTTTCCGCGTACGAAAAGTCGAATTCAGATGTGAGCGGGTTCACAAGAGGATGCGAGGCCAGCGGGGAGAGCAGTTTGAGGATCGGAAGCGACGCGGGATAACTGTCTGGGAAGAAAAGCATGAATCGAAAGATGCCGCCCGCATAAGGACCTTTCCGTACAAAAATCACACCGTACCATATCTGGGGCGTCGTAGGCGACGTAGCGACATACACTCCGGACGGACACAGAGTCTTTATGTTTGCACTGTCCGAGGTGGTTAGTATGTGTCTTTGCGCGTGAAAACAGGTTAGAGATTCATACTACTCAACCAGAAGCTCCTGCAATGCAAACGACGATATGGCCGGAGTTGCTGCTACTCCCCTACTCATTCTGACCGCAGATTCGAACAAGAAGTTCCTCAATCTTAACCCTTCTCCAGTCAATTTACCTGCAGCAGATGAGATGCGAACAATGACAAGAAGCCTCTGCACGCGGCGCACGTGCAGCCCGTTTTCAGGGGTTGCTGACATTGAAGAGGGGCTGGTGGCAGGGCAAGGGTCCATCCGATCAATATTTGCAAAAACAAAAGTTTGGTCGCGCGCTGTGCATCTTATAATAACCAAAACAGAAGCAGCAAGCAAAGAAGAGGGATCGCAAGACGAGTCCTGTTCGATCTCAAACTATAGAGGAGTAGAGGCTTAGAAAACTTGTGAGTTTGGTTGTTGCTTTGCGAGCGTGGTGGTGTCGGATCATGGACGCTTGCTAATTGGTATTTCGATATAGGATCAAAACGGAGACTGCTACATGCACTGATTCCAGCAGCAAGCATCAAACAAATCCAGAGCTGCAGCCTCGACATCTTCTTCTTCTGTGTTAACTACATCACAAACAATGGCGCCCCTGTCATGGTCGACTGAGCCGTTTGTTCAACTGAACGAGCTGTTCAGTTCTTACGACGTGTCGGACGAGCAGTTGGAGAAGAGCATATCTGAGATCCTCGATGACTTGCGGAATCTATTGGAAGTTCCGGTTAAGAATGATTCAAGCAGAAAGTCATTGACTCCTGGTATGGATAAATGCGAGAAAGTCTCTGTTTCTAGATATGTGAAAGCTAACAATGACTGCCTAGACTCCACCGTGGAACTTGAAGGCGTGCAGTACCGAATCAACTCAGACTTTGTCGCCCAGGCATGCGTGCTTTCGGACGAGCTAAACATTGATGAGAAAATCGCGGCGACATACCTCTCCTACGGTCAAATGAGCAGCGAAGAACTCGATCGTCCACCAGCGCAGGCGGCCGTCATTCTCTTCCACATGCGACGCGGCTACATCCTAGACATCGTCCGCGTAATTCTGGAGTACGCGCTACAACCGGACCTCGATAACTACAGCATGTACCGCGACCTAGCGAAAAAACTTGCGACTCCTGAATTCGTCTCGCGGGTTGTCAAGAGTATGGGTGATCTGCGTGGAACTCTGCGAGCGTTGCAGGAAAAGGAAACAAGCGGACACTTCCTCGGCCGAGACCTCGACGAAGAGTTTGTTGAAAACATCAAGATCCGCCGCGACGCAACACTGAAAGAGCACGAACTGCTGTCGCAAGTACTCGTCATGCTCTGCCGTCTCGATTACGTCAACGCAGATCAGCTAAAGTCACTGCTGGAGATCACCGCCACATTAGAACGATATGATCAGGTCTTGGTTCACTATGCTGTCGCCGTGATTGCATTTTTCGAAGCTATCTGTGTACCTGTCGACGAATTCGATCGCAACAAATCCAAAACCCTGCTTCAGAACGCCATGAAGATACAAACATACATCGCCGAACGCGCTCAAAAGCCAAGCGCAAAAGTTCCATACTTCCATGCTGCGGTCGAACTATGGTGGTACGTTTACTTCAATCGCATGTGCGCGAGTGAACGTGATAGTGAACAGAGCCTCATCAGCAAAATCGACTACGTCAAGGATCTCTACAAGCCCGCTCTATCCTGTATAATCAACGGCGGCGCTTTTGAATTTATGATGATTATGGCCTCTGACTTCTCAAGCGAATCCGAGGCTGCCACCTCTCACACAGAAATGAAAACTATCCTGCAGTCGAAAACACTGCAGTCAGCGGTGAATATGCAAGGCCAGGTCACGGGGGTCGAGATCCCACTCGTACTTGAGGTCGCGTTCCAGACATCAGACACGTTCGAAAAAGTCTTCACGGAGTCAATGGGTTGCTTGGTGGACGCGATCATTTCCGACATGCCAGATCTTCTCAAAGAGCTTTGCTTCAAAGAAGAAGAGTTACTTTTCGGCGACGATGGTGCCTCCGAGCAGCCGGACGGCAATCAGCCTGACGATCTTGGACCGCTAGACATGGAGCTGGAAAAGTTTTTCATGTTTATCTCATATCTCTATGCAGGTCGGCCAGACAGCTCAGTTGCCTTTTGGTCTGACAACGAAGGAAATCTGTATGGCTTCCTGGTCTGGGCGTCGCAATGCCAGACACCGTTGATGATTGCTTCCTACTGCGATATGCTAGCCTCGCTGTCGGCAGGCGACGAAATTAGTCTGGCGGCATACAACTTCTTGAAAGGCTCAGATGACTCTTCTTTCCGAGGAGGAGTAGCGCGCGCCCAGCAGCCGCGAAGTATGAGCTGGTCATATCTCTTTGAAGCATTCTCGTACTACATCACCCAGCTGCAAGACGTAACGCCAGAGCAGAATATGTTTGCTTCTAATGCGCCGTCGCGGTCGCTGATTGCGATCGCCGACCTTCCAGAGCTAAACGATGACGACTCGCTGATCATGGCTTCGTACTTGAGACTGCTGGAGCAGATTGCCAAGTGGAGTCCCTCGATTGCTCGAGCTAGTCTGATTCAGCCCACGCCAACGCTCAACGTCTATAATCTCTTGTTCTCGCTGCTGAAATGCCGGACGTCGCTCACAGGAGCTATATTCAACGTCATTGCTGCATTCGCCGCTGAAGCGCCGCGCTCTGAACGAGCTCAGATATGGACTGCTTTGGATTCGTGGCTTTTGCATGAGCCGATTGTTGTCTCTCGCACGCCTCATGCTCTATCTGGAGCGCCTGGCCGGTCGCAGCACCTGACGTTCCAGGATAGGTTCAATATTCTGTTGACGTCTTATCCTGACATCTTGGGGTTCGTTTCGCTGATTGACTGTCTGACGCGGGTTCCGATCGACGGATCGATCAACGATATTCCGTTTCCTGACAACCTGGGCGAGCAGTATCGATCACCGCCCGGCATCCGGCCATACATCGACTTTATCATGGAGGAGGTGTTTTATCCGTCAATGGCTGCAGAGTTGCCGCAGAAGCAGAAGCTGACGATGCAGATCCCCTGCCTGCGATTCATCCGGAATTGTATCCAGGACTTCAACACCGATCTCGTCGCTCTCACCTCAGCCTCTTCAGGCGCCGATGCCGGATCTGGCGGCGTGAATGTTGAGATGTCGATCCAGCCTCGCGGGCTCGCAAACTATATCCGCACACACGCATGCGTGTGGATAATGGACAAGCTTTTCCAAGAAAAGATCTACAGTGTGCTTTTTTCGATTTCAGCGCTCGGAATCGACACTATCTCCGAGCCGAGCGTTATTCGAGATGATGCAAACGAGGCCGTCGCATTGGCCTTGCAGGTCATCCTTCGCATCCTCACGATCGAAGACGTCTACCTCGACGTGCTCGAACCTGCAGTTAGAGCAGCGGAAGCGGGAGGAGACGGTACGAAACCCAGTCTCGTATCGGCCTCGTCGCGGGCACTGCTCGGTATCCGAAATTTCGAGGACGCGATTCTGTTTAACATCTTTGTCGTCACGAACTTCGCACTATATGTCAACTCCGAGTCGATAAACGTGGCGTCGCTGGCGATAAAGGTGTTGGACATCATCGCTCGCGCGCCGCAGTTTCTCAACCTTGACTACGACGCGCCGGTGCAGGGTACGTACGCGAACGGCGTCGTGCCTGGGATCACGAGCAAGACGTCGTTCAACTATCAGGAATCAGGGAATCGGATCGGAGTCAATCGGCTGCTGAGTGCGTTGGACTCGGTATCTGAGTCGAGAAGGATTATGTTTGGTTTTATTTCGCAGCTGCAGAGGCCGTCGGAGAGCTACGGAGAGGAAGACGATCCGACGGACGAGTTAAAGCTCGAGATTTTGGATTTCTTGTCTCGAAACCTGAATAAAGCCTCTTCCTCAGCTTTGAGGTCCCCGTTGAGCAGTGCAGACATGGCGCTGCTAGACATTGATGTCTCGACATTATCAGACGTGCCGACAATCTCGCACTTTTTGCTCGGCTTCAAGATCGGAGACGGCGCCACGGCCGCGAGCACGGCAGTCCTGCAACGCAATCACGAGCACGGCGGGGTTGACTCGCAAGTCTCGTTGTTCAAGACCGTCGTTTCGATTATGTCGGAGCATATCCAGAACGTGATTGACGGACGCGCAGTCAGTCCCCGGGATGCCGCGTTTTGTCGGATCTCGATGGAGATCCTGTACAAGCTGTGCACGGCGAAGATCTCGTCGCCTGTTGCGCTAGAGTTGCTGCGTAGTAGCGACTATGATTTCTTCAAGTCGCGCATCTCGGTTGAGCCGCTGGTTACGATGAACACCACACGATGGGGCGCCGCGACGTTTAGAGAGTTGCTGACGCCTCCGAATAACGGGGAGTACGAGGAGCTCGAAGATCCCTCTCTGATGGATCGCTACGTACCGACCGAGGTGGACGAGGAGAAAGCGACTACGACTCTGCTTCACTTTTTCGCCTCTCGTACGTGTCTGTTTGAGTACGCCTCAGTCGAGTTACACAGTGTTAGCGAACCCATCACGTCTGTATTTGAAGGGTACGTCAAGCTACTGACAATAGCCAACGGCGTCGACAAAGATTCCTCTTCCTCTGCGCTTGACTTTGGAGTTCCGATTGCGTGCGAAACAGCAAAAGCCCTCGAACTGCTTGATTTCCTTGAATTCGACATTGAGCAGCTTGCGGGCCGATGGGGCGTCAACGGAAGCCCGATCAAGATCTCGGATATCCTGCCACTAGTCCAGGATGTGCCGGCTGCGGCGGCAGAAGGAAGCGGGGACGCGCTAGCCGTGCAGGCAAGCGACTACTCGTTTGTGTTTGGCGGGTTGCGGCTCGACGACGCATGCATGTATGCGCTCCCCCCTACGAGATCGACGATGACCGGCGGTGGCTCGGGTGACTTTTTCGGGCCGAGCGAGGTCGTGTATGATATGACGCGTGTGGAAGGGATCCTCGAGCTGAAGGTGCGAGAGCAGCAGAACCTTGGTCGGCTGCCGTATCCTACTCCGGAGATTGTCGAGCGGCAAAGACGGCGAATAATCATTGCCTGTCGCCGATTCAACGCGATCATCTCTCTCCGCCGGGCTCAGAGCCAGTGTCTGGCTGCCTGGTGCCGGCTGCTGAGAATCATACTGATCGACACCACGCCGCTCATCTCGGAGCCAGACCGGATCCCCGGCCGAGACTCGTTCATGCTCGAGACAATGCAGGTGCTCGCGCCAAAGATGCTGCACTACGCGCACGTATGGGAGTCGCGCGTGGCCGAGCATCTCGCGTCGGCCTGTGCGTCGCTGATTGCAGGAATATCGCAGTACGCGGCGCTCGAGGAGTCCTCAGCAAATGGGCGAGAAGACGACGAGGACGATGTCGCGACGGATATCGCGCACACGGTATTCCGCGGGTCGTTGATTGCTGTGCAGAGTCCGTATGCGTCCGCGTCTGTGCGCGCGGATCTGTACACGCTGATCAACATTTTCATCTGCAGCCAGCCGACGTGGAAAGTCGGCAAACTCTCACAGCTGCAGCGGACGATCGAGAGTTGCGCAAACGGCGCGCCGACGATGTCGTCGAGCGGCGAAGGGCAAAATGCAGACGACGTGAAGGAGAACAGGCTTATTGAGCGGATAGCGAATGACGCGGTATCGGGCGAGGGCATTACACGCATCATGTCGCTTACCGTGCTGCGCGCGTTCGCGGCGGTCGAGAACGTGACGGGACGGTACTTTCTGCTGAACGCGTTGGTGCGGTATAATCTTTTGCTGCTGCTGGTGCGGTCTATCCGACGCATCGATGAGGAATTGGACGATGAGAATAGAGGTGAGTGAATTTTCTGGTGTCTGCAGTGACGGTCCAATGCTGACAGCTTATAGTCTCAAACTACGAGGTCACCGCCTTCAAAGCCGTGATGGTTTTCCTCACCGAGTTGGCCCAATCGCGAACCGGCGCCGCGCAAATCATCCAGTCAGGCCTCTTCCCACTCATCCAGGGCATGAAATACCTCACGATCGACCCCGACGTCGGCATCTTCACATTTGCCTCACACGCGCCCGTCAACCCCGTCGGCTCGCGCACGCTGTCCTCGTTCTGGCCCGTGAGCGAAAGCGGCGGGTCAGCAGGCGGTGGCGGACGGAATGTGTTTTTCGAGCTCGTGGCGCCGACGCTGAGGTTGCTTGCTTGTTGTTTGCTGAGCATGGGACAGCGTAATTACGTCGTGCTCAAGTACGTGCGCGACACGCTCAGCCGACGGATGTTGCTTACGCGGGCTATTTTAAGACGCATCGTTGGTCTTGACGTGAGTCAAAGCGGGCAGGGCGAAGCTAGTGGGGTGACTACTACCGATGACGAGATTGCGTTGCTGGAATCTGGGAAACTTATTATTCTGATGTCGAATTTGACGAGTTCGGTCGCGGAGGAAGAGGCGGGAATAGCTTGAAATTTGGCCATATTCGAAGTAGTGTATTATTATATCTAGTATATGTTTTGTTTTAAACTGTCAATACCATGGTTTCCATTTTTTTTCAACATCCAGGGCAGGAACACCATGTTCCAATGACAGAGGAGGTATTAAGATTGTCATGATATCAGACGTCATTAGTGGTCATTACAGTTGCAACGCCTGCCTACTGGTGTCCTAAGCTAGGGTCAGACCCACTATCACCTGACAGACAATCTTACAACCAGCAGAGCGATTCTGAGTTTACTATTGGATAGCTATTTGTAAACAAGGGGGCCATCACAGGCCGAGGCTGACAGAGGCAAGGAGGTAGGCGTAAGACTGTGAGGTATATAAGGACCCGGATTAGCCAGCTCCCTCGAAACACCAACTACTACACACTCTCTTCAATCTCTCCATCTACTTTACTTCCCTCATAACACCGCCTTATCTCAGCATGTCATCCGACGACAACACGAACGATGCAGTCTTGTGACTAGACTTCATCGATATCGATGAGAATACGTGAGCCTGTTCCAATGTGCGCCGCGCTCATTGCCATAGCTAGACACCAGGTCAGTCAAGTCTCTTGATTACAACAGCTAAGACATACAGATTCTGCTAGACAGATGTGCACGAACGAGCTAGCTGCTAATGTCAGCTAGGACATAGATTCTGCTAGACGGATGTGCCCGAATACGAGCTAGCTTCTGGGGGACTGTCGGGTAGGAGCGGCTACGAACCGCGGCAGCTATCGATTAGAGTCAGCTTTTGTTGGGGCGGGCTGCCCTTCGGTTCGGCCATGTACGTCACAGACGTTCGAACAATGGCGCTTTCACGCGTCTGCGACGTCGATCGATCTTCGTCTGATCTCGTTCGCTTGTTTGTCAGTCATCTTCGTCTGATCTCGTCCGCTTCTTTGTCGGTCATCTTCGTCTGATCTCGTCCGCTTGTTGGTCAGTCTGTCTGAACCAGCCTGACTACCACCCGAACCCGACTGAGGACTCGTACCGGCTGACAGCTCTCTTTCACCCCAATTGCGCTATCCGTGATGTCATAGCCTATGTCACGTTGCCAACCTGCTCTTGCCCAACCTGCTCTTAAACTGATCTCTCGCCACTCTTCCCTCTCTTCCCTTCACACCCCACTGCTATAGTCTTCAGCTCAATAGCTATTGCTATACAGTAAGCAGCAGGTCTTATATCTGAGCCTATTTGCTTAGTACCCCGTGGATCCGAGCTTCTTCCCGTCTCCCACTCGATTTGAGCTTATCTGCTCGTCTCCCGCTTGATTTGAGCTCATCTGCCCCTCACCGACTTGATCTGAACTCATCTGTTAGTTGTTAGCTGATCTTGACTTATCTACTGGTTGGTTTGTCTGTTTGAGCCTAACATTCGATTTCCCAGCAACTGCGACAGCACCTACGTCTGTAACTACACCTATTACCACAGCTATCATCACTCCCCGCGACCGCTAAGCATGCCTCTCAGAAATAATCATCTTCACCGGCGTCTTGAGCTGCCTCTTTTTCTTATTACCTTTGCAGTCTTGATATTTCTGCTCTCGAATCTTGGCTCGTTTGCTCTCATTTATTCGATGATTGCATATCCTAGCGGCCTTGTATATTCTTGCGCGCTCATCTTGATTCCCATATTCTGCGTTATTGTTGTGTGCTGCTTCCCTGTTATAATGATCTCAATAATTGGTATTGTGATAATCGAGGCTGTTCTACTACCCTTGAGATTTGCGAACTTGGTGTGATTTCTTCTCTGAAGATCATTACAGGAGACAGCGGGCATCCCAGCCAGCGCTGTTTGCACGAGAGATGAAGTCTTCGCTCTATTGTTTTTTCTTACTCCATCAGCCGTTTCGAGCTGGTTTTGGTTTCATGTGTTGTAGATGATTATGGATGCACGGTTTGGGAGTTTATACTATTGATGATTTAATATATGTTGACGATCTTTGCTTCGAGCTGTTTGTTTGATATTTTGTACTTGGGATTGATTGTTGGATTTGGGGAAGTGCTTTTATTAATAATTAATACACGGATAACGTTTAACTTTGTGTTAGCGATTAAGGGACTCACCCATCGATGCGTACATACGTACGTACACTTGCGCTTCCACTTCGACTTCCCAACCTCATTAATTGCCTGGCCATTTACTGTGTTTTCCAGCAGTGTCTCTAGGACACGCGGCAACGCGGCTTCATCACAAATAGACATAAGGTAGAGGCGCTTGTGAAGCATTTTACTTTCCCGCAAAGCCAGTTTATTAGTTATACCAGAGTCAAATTACCCGAATTCGCTACCATACGTTCGTCATTCAGGGACTTTCCGTCTCTGTTCGTTGCCATTTCGCTGCTGAGATGACGATTTTGGAGATTCCTTACTTTCTTTATTTCTCTTCGTCCCAGTAAGCATATCCTCTCTTTTTCTTCGTCCCAGTCGGCATATGCATGTGTTCGGGTAAGCCCGATATGATTGTGTAGGCCGGGTAAAAAGGTGGCAAACTACGCTAACATTGTGTGGGTATCAAGCGTTGGGGATTCCGCACGTCACGTGCGCAATCCGCAATCCGCTTGTCCTCCGCTCTTCTTCTCCAATTCCCATCCCCATCTCAACTCACTGCTGAACTCTTCAGCTCAGTAGGTTTCCTCCCTTTACACCCCACTGCTATAGTCTTCAGCTCAATAGCTATTGCTATACAGTAAGCAGCAGGTCTTATATCTGAGCCTATTTGCTTAGTACCCCGTGGATCCGAGCTTCTTCCCGTCTCCCACTCGATTTGAGCTCATCTGCCCCTCACCGACTTGATCTGAACTCATCTGTTAGTTGCTAGCTGATCTTGACTTATCTGCTGGTCTTTTCATCTATTTGAGTCTGACATTCGATTTCCTAGCAACTGCGATAGTACCTACGTCTGTAACTACACCTATCACCACAGCTATCATCGCCGCTCGCGTTATCTCAGCATGCCCTTCAGGACTACTCTTCACCGGCACCTCGAGCTACCTGTTTTGCTTCTTTCTCTTACAGTCTTTGCTCTTTGGTGCTCACTCTCGGACTCGAATCATCGCATTCTTTCAGTGTTGGATTCCCCTAGCCCCGGTGGACCTGGTCGCACGCTCATCTGGCTTGGGATAGTCAGCTTGTCTGCCGTGTTGATCTGCTACCCTACGGTGACGATCTCCCTAGCTGTTACGATACTTCTGGTGGGCTTGCGCTTACCCTGGAAGTTTATGACTTTGTCGTCGTTTTTCTTCTGAGAATGATCGGATGAGACCGCAGGCATCCTCGTCAGAGATATTCTCTTCATTGTCTTTGGCTTCCATCTTCAATAGTTTCAGAGTGGCGTTTGTTTTTTTTGTGGTGTGTAGATATTGATTTCATTTTTCTTAGTTCTTAAACTATGGTATTTTATGTTCTGTTAGCGATGTCGTGTTTGGGCAGGGTATTCGGTGGAGGTTGCATCTAATTTAATATAATAGTTAATCCTTCTCTCAGCGCACTCTCATCCACATCTTTCTGTAAAATGAGTAACAGCGCGACCACAACAAGTCAAACCAATTTAAACTCTCCAAATATCAGAGAACGGAGATTTTCCCATCATTTTACAAGTGCGCGCAGTACGTCACGTTCTCCTACACGTGCTACAGCGTCGTTTGGTCGACTCAGAGCTCTTTCGCTCTTCACCCCCGCAAATTAGCTATGAGCTCCTTCGCTCTTCACCCCCGTAAATAATCTGTAATTGCAAATAGTTTGAACAGGAGCTCTGATTATCAGCGATGTGACGCCAGTATGTACACCCCAGCACTCGCAACATTATGTACACCCCAACACTCGCAACATTGTTATTGTGGCAGGTAGGAGGAAAAGAAGCGCACCAGGTGAGCAGCCTTATTGTGATTTTTCCTAATTCGTGCACCAACAAATCTTAATCGATAGCTCAAATAACTATATGAGCGATGATCATCAAAACGATAACGTCACGTGTGAACTGCTCAAGCACAAAGCGCAAAGTACAAAGGCTTAATACTGCACAAAGCCCTTATTCGTAACATACCAGAGCAATAACAACAACGCGTCCATGACGCGACAAAACATTCCTACCTGCTCCACCCACCAACAACAACGACCACACACGATGAGTATCTGGTCTGACGAAAAAGACAGAACTTCTAGTCGACGAACTTGTCAAGCAAGTCCGCAGCGGCAAAAGCACGAGAGGTCGCGTCAAGAATGATACCCTGGTCGCAGTGCACGCCGCGTTGGCGCCGCTCTTTACGAGAAAGTACTCGACCGCGCTTTCTCTGAAGCAGGTGAAGGCGAGATACACCGCGATGAGAAATCACTATAACTATATCTTGATTGTCAAAAGCTCGACCGAGTTCGAGTGGGACGAAAGGCACGGCAGAGCAATGGCGGATCCGGAGCCGTGGGACGTGCTGGTTAAAACGAGGCCGCATCTGGCGCCGTGTATAAAGAAAAGATTTCTGTTTGAGAAAGAGTTTGCTGAACTTACTGGAAAAATACCAAGCAAAGAGAAGTCTTCGATAAGGAGATTAATTGCCACAGGTTCCGCTGCGAGCAAAGCTCTGCTTGAAAACAAAGAGAGGGGGAGGTATGTCGCGAACGGGGATATAGCCCGTCTGATGGAACTAGAAGACGCCGCCTTGGCCCGAGTGAGGGGGCAAGGGAGAAGAGCGCAAAAAGAAGCACGGAAAGAAGCCAGAGAACAAGCAGCGAGAGAAGTGAGAGAAAGAGAAGCCAGACAGATAGAGCTTGCTAGGACTTTAGCTCGAATCGAAGCAGCGTCGCCTGAACCGTCGACATCGGACGACTCCGACTCCGACTCCGAGCCTGGCTCACCCGCATCTGCGCGGGATAAATCGCCGTCCATCAGCCCATCCCAACCGGATCCAAAGAACCCGATCATGTATCTAGACGATTTCGATAGCCCGCCAAGCTCGGACCTGGAGCGGTTTGGAATTTGGAGGAGTTCGGATCAAGATACTGCAGATACCAGTTTGGATGATGTGGGAGTGGATGATAATACTGCAGATACCAGTTTGAATGATGTGGAAGTGGATGATGTGGAAGTGGATGATGTGGAAGCAGATGATGTGGAAGTGGATGATGCGGAACTCCAGTCGAGCCCTCTACGGAATACTTCAGAGCGTCTACCGCGTACGGCTGCGGAATGGGAGCGAGCATTGCGCTCTCCATCAGACACAGAACAAGACAGTATGTGGAAGGTTCTCACAATTCTAACCAAGCTGTTGGCGAGATCAGAGGAGTTCACATCGGCATGGATGAAGGAAGAAAGAGAAGCACGGCTGGAGTTTGAGGACGATATGAAAGACGGGAGTCTCGGAAAGTGGGACAAAGAAGAATTCAAGAAGGCTTCTGAATCATTGAGAAAGCATGGTTACAAGGGTCGCAAGTTTGCCCGTCTTGTACTGGCTTTTACGACGCACCCGAATTTGCAAACGGCGTATTTGGCGCTTGATGATGTTGCTGCTAAGGAGCTTGCGGAGACAACTCTTGATAGTATTGACGATGGATCACTTACTTTTCGTTAAAGGTACCTTGCTTTCTCTCTTCTCTTTCTATGGACTGAAGTCCACCCACATCCCCTCAGTAATCCTATCAACGCTCTTAGGTGCAGCATCACCCGATCCGCCCACTTCTTCTCCAGCGGACGGTTTATCAAAGGCTGTTCCGGCCCAGCATGATCAGGTAGAAGAGAAGAATAAGGGATTAGTGTCATCATTTAAAGTCTAATAATTTAGCGAGATGTAGATTTAACTCTAAAATCCCCGGATAAACAATGCCCGGATAAACAAAGTCCCGTGCGAGGAACAGCTGGAGAGAAAGGAAGATGGCGATGAACAAGGGTGAACATTGAACTTAACGAACGTAAGAGCACTGATCGGAAGACCTTGAGCTGACGGATTTGGTATTTTGTTTTCTGGTAGAAGATTTTGAAAGAAAAGGGTTTTATAGTATTGTTGGCTTGTTCAGTGAGGCGTGGAAAAGCGTACGGAGGTTGAGCTTCAGTGTGGAGATGACAGCGTTACTACAAGGGACAAGACGCTTCCCGCTTGCACAAGAAGGACCAACAGCCTCATCGCGGATCAGAATGAAAATATCGACAAAGAACAGGTCGGTGAGGATCGTGAGAGAAAATCAAAGAACAGCACAGGGATCCAGCGATGCCGAACAAGGATCATGGCCGCGTGTCTGGTACTACGCTACAGCAGCTCACACCAAATCTGCAATGCCACAACAAACGCATTCACAAAAAGAACAAGAGAGAATGCGATTCCTTCGGTCGGATAGCAATAAGATGAGAGGACTGCGTTGTCGGAGTATAATTACTCGACGGGGTATCGCGACCTGTGTCAGTACGCCAGAGCCTGGCCTCTTGTCGCTACCACCACAGTCAAAAGCAGAAATGCCAGCAAAAACACCAACGACACCTGACTCATGTGCCCAGCAAAAGATAATCGAGCTCGCGAATCCCCGCCTCAAGGAGCCCAAGAAGCAGCAGCTAACGACAGAGGACTACCAAAACAACACGCGGACGCAGGTTTCCAAAAGCCTAAGTCAGATCTTTTTCGTGACTCTTTCAGGACAAAAGACCGGTGTGTTTGAGAGCGTGAAGTTGACGGTCGCGGCGATGAGTGGGCAGAAAAAGCCGATGGTTCAGTTGTTTGCTTCGCGGGTTGAAGCTGTGAACTGGTATGAGCAAAGGACGAAGAAATCATTGTCATATAAAGCCAAGGAAGATACTGAAGTGAAAACAAACGGATGGAACGGCAAAATAAAAGACTGCGTGGAAGTATTCGCCGACGGCTCGTTGATTCGGAAGGGCACAGCAGGAACATCGCAGCACAGCGCAGGAGTAGGGATATACTTCGGTCCGGGCGACCCTCGCAATCGGGCAATTAGTATTCAAGGAAAGGAAACGATATCGAGCAATCAGGTCGAGATGCTTGCAATCTATCATGCGCTGCAGGTGACGTCCAAACAGAAAAACATTGTGATTTATTCCGATTCGGCAACGGCATTAGAGAGTGAGTATTTCTGCGTCACTGCAAAAATTAGAGCTAACAAGTCAGGCAGATATTCTCAAGATGACGAAAGAGTACATAAGTAACAAATTCAAGTTCCCAGAGAAAAGCAAACATGTCGATCGAGACTACCTCGAACAAGTATTCGGCGAGCTTGAGATGCGGTGGCAGCACGGGAAATCCGTGTTTTTGGTCAAGGTAAAAGGACACGCACGGATCGAAGGCAATGAAATGGCGGATAAGCTCGCAAAGATTGGTAGTAAGTTGCTGCTCTGTTGATGGGTGAGCGGAGTTGTGGTGTGGTGGTGCGGGTGCGAGAGAACGAGATTGGGAATTTTGGGGGTTGGGATTGGGTTGCTGTGTACGGTGTGAGTACGGCGTTGTGTTTCGGCTAATTTCGGTTGCTATTTTCATTTTTTTTGGTTCTCTGCGAAATAATGCTTTGCAAGTAATTGTATGATATTTATGTGATTTATGAGTGAACAAAATTTATTAGGAGAAGGAATGGAGACGTAATAGGGAGGAGTTTGATAATTAGTTAAGAATAAACTGAAATTTTCTGAGATTCTCTTTAGAAAACAGCGGTCAATTAGATAGATAACGCGCGGTTCCTAGGATAACTAGAGTAAAAAAGGAATAATTAAATGCGTCTGCAACGTACTGTAACATAATTCTAGCCGTTTAGTCTCAGGGCGTTGGATAAAGTACCGAGGAGAATGACAGCGCTAAGCGATATTGATACGGCGGACAGATATCTAATTAGATATCCGGATCGGGAACGACTAATGATAGCGACACTTGAGACACTGGCGAGGTCATGCGGGGAAAGATAGTGGATTTTGAAAGAACGAATCCAGGATATTGAGCAAGGAACATAGTCGCATAACTGGTGCTACGCCGTACAGACTCGTCGTATGGCATGGGTATAAAAGACCCCAGATGTCTCCGCAATTCGGGGTTTGTCCAGCGGTAAGAGAGATAAAGACGACACAGACGACAGCAACAACACCAGCCGCACAGAAGCAGCTCATTCAGCAGCAGGAAGAATTGTGCCCGTGCATCCCTTTATCTCTTTGACGATAGCCGAAATACCAGAAGGCAGTAGAGGCAGCAGAGAAAGAAGAGGAAGAAGAAGCGACAAACACAGCAGAAGCAGCAGAAGCAATGTATAAGATTGAGGTATACACCGACGGCTCAGTACGACATAATTGCGGTCGGGTGATAGGCGCAGGCGCAGGAGTGTACTTTGGTCCTGGTGATCGACGCAATCGATCATACAAACTCGTGGGAGACAGCCATCTGTCACCCAGACGCGCAGAACTCGTTGCAATCTTGATGGGGATAAAGTTGTGTATGCACGAACTACAACCGATAGTGCTTTACACGGATTCTCAGTCGGCAATTAACGGTGAGTGTATGCATTTGCTGACAGAGGCGAGGAGAGACACTGAGAGATCAAATAGGGATCAACCGGCGGCGTGAATACGTTTATCACTTTTCGGAACCAACAGCCAAAGAAGCAAATTTCGAACTCATATATGTTCCTGACCTGGACTTAATCCTACAGATATCTAGTATTATATGGATTCGGTTGGGAACATCTCTAGACGTGGAGATTATAAAGGTACGGGCGCATTCTGGCATAAATGGCAATGAAGCAGCAGACAAGCTTGCAAAAAATGCTAGCGGCGTTTGCAGAATTCCGGATGTGCGAGTTACTGAGTTGACAGGAATAGATATTTCTCAAACAAAACTGTGAAGTTTCGGTTTGTTTTCGGTTGCTTTGAATAAGTCAAACTGCTATCGCTGCTTTGTTATTAATATCAAAAACATTAAAAGATATCAAAAATGTAACGCTGACGAGGTCATGCGCGACCCGATAAAAGGCTTTGAGAGAGTAGATACGATAGCGGACAAGGAACGCGGTAGCATAACTGGTGTCACGCCGTACGGACTTGGCTATCGCATGGGTATAAAGACTCCAGATGTCTCCGCGATTCGCCAGCGGTAAGAGAGATAAAGACGATAAAGACGACAGCGATAACACCAACCGCACAAAAGTAGCTCACTCAGCAGCAGGAAGAATTGTGCCCGTGCATCTCTCTATCTCTTTGACGATGGCCGAAATTCAGAAGGCAGGAGAGGCAGGAGAGAAAGAAGAGGCAGAAGAGGCAGCAAAGACAGCAGAAGCGATGGATAGGATTGAGGTATATACAGACGGCTCAGTACGATACAGAGAAGGTTGGATGATGGGCGCAGGTGCAGGGATCTACTTTGGTCCTGGTGATCGACGCAATCGATCATACATGATCCCGACAGACGAATATTTGTCACCCAGACGCGCAGAACTCATTGCAATACTGGCGGGGTTACAGATGTGTATTCATGATGAGCGACCGATAGTGCTTTACACGGATTCTCAGTCGGCAATTAACGGTGAGTGTATGCATTTGCTGACAGAGGCGAGGAGAGGACTGAGAGATCAAATAGGGATCGACCGGCTGCGCGAATACGTTTATCACTTAAAGGAACTCCCAGTCAAAGAAGCAAACTTCGAACCCATAAATGATCCTGACCTGGACTTAATCCTACAGATATTTAGTATTATACGGATTCGGTTGGGAACACCTCTAGACGTGGAGATTATAAAGGTACGGGCGCATTCTGGCATAAAAGGCAATGAAGCAGCAGACAAGCTTGCGAAGATTGCTAGCGGCGTGCGCAGAAATCCACATGTGAGAGTTACTGAGTTGACGGGAATAAATACTCATCAACAAAACAATACGCTTTTGGTTTGTTTTCGGTTGCTCTTACTATTCCCAGATACAATTGCTTTTTTGCAAGAACACTTTGGCACTCAATAACGACTGTCGAGAACTATCAAAGTGAGCTTCTGGCCTCCTCAGATCAGCTGTGCGGTTAGGGCTACGAGAAAATCTTTGTTTATAAGCGATTAGTAATAAGTGATCAATTAGCAAGACTATTGTAGAGAAGACAAATGTAGAAGACAGGAGAGTCAATTGAGAATCAATGACCAATTGACTCTTGATAAGGAGAGTAGCAAGCAAAGCAGAAGACAGAGGCAGAGACAGAGAGACAGACAAGGTTTAGAGCATGGACGATGACGTGATGATTGCGTTGGAAGAGGTGAGCAGGAGGATGGTCTGATGGAGAGGAAGGGAGGAGATCAGGTGTTTGTATGCATGAAGTCATAGGGAAGAGGGTGGTTTATAACACGGACAGCAGAGGGTATTTATGTAAATGTGGATGTGCCTGTGCAGGTGGTAGTAGTAGGATGAGGATGAGAGGAGAGGTGGCTGCGATAAGAGGGAGGAGATAAGTGACGGGATAAAAAACAGGGACGAGGGGTTTGTGTGGGATTGCCCGATTAGGAAAGGGATTGCGGCGGCTGCTTTAGTCGAGGGCCCGGCGGCGGAGAGTTGAGTAGAGAGAGAGAGAGTAGAGAGAGATGAGAGTAGTAGTAGAGTAGATGTAGTAGATATAGAATATATATTAGTAGATACACTGTATATAAGAATATCTAAAGCAGAGATAAAAGAGAGACAAGAATAGTAAACAAAGCAGATCAAGAATGGCGATGCTCCGGGAATCAGGAATAGCAAACAGATCAACGTGGAAGGATTTGGAGAATTAGTTAGGGAATAACTAGACAACTATCAGTGTGGTTATGCCACATATCACCACTTCTGACGCACTGATAAGCCGCCAACCAAACCTGAACCAAGCACTTGAGCATCGGAAGTTCCGCTTTGAGTATTCTCCTACTACTTCTCTATTTGCTTATAGATACTTGAATAATAGAGTAATAGATAAGAGTAGATACTATTATTATAATCACTACTACCATCTTCAATACAATTGCACACACTTCTCAATACTGCTGCTATCTTATCTGTGGCGGAGGTAAAAAACCCAACTGGAATCGAGGGTTCGGGTTATTCCAATTGCAGGGCGTGGTGTGAGCGGCCACTTATCGCCTTCGTTTCCTTTTATCATCTCCGCCGCCTCTTCCTCCTCTCTTCCTCGTCCACACTCATCCTCCTCTCTCTTTTCTTCTTTTTTTTCCGTTCATCCCCGTCATCTAATCCTATCTTTCTCTCCTCATCCGCACTCTCCCGCCACAATGGCTGTCTACGATTCCTCGTCAAACTCATACTACGACGAGTTCTCAAACATGACCTACTCGCCCGCTGAGTGGAAAGCCATCCAGCAGGAGGAGTTCGACGAGCGTGGACGCGAATGGTCCCGCAAGTTCTACCTCTCCTACAACATCATCGTCGTCGCTTTCTTCCTCACCGCCGTCTTCGCCCACTTCTACAACATCCAGTTCAAGAAGACCGTCCGCAGACAGGTCGGCGAGAAGACCCCCCTCATCCCGACCTCCACCGGCGCCCCCAAGCCCCTCTCGGCCGCCGTCCGCTACTGGCGCAAGGCCACCTCGGTCCTCATCTACCAGCCCGCTGGACGCTACGCCGAGTCCGTCGGCACGATGACCATCATCGCCCTCTACCTCGGCCTCAACATCCTCTACGTCTTTGTCCACGGCGGCGCCTCCTCCACGCAGATCTTTGCCAACCGCACCGGTCTCATCTCCATCGTCAACATGCCAATCCTCTTCCTCCTCGGCTCCAAGACCGGTCTCTTGGTCGACTGGACCGGCTGGTCGCATGAGGGCTACATCATCCTCCACAAGCACGTCGGCCGCGTCGTCACCATCCTCGCCATCATCCACGTGTTTGCCTACTGCGCCGTCATCCCTATCTCGCAGCGTGTGCTTCTCAACAACGAGGCCATCGTCGGCCTGATTGCCACCACCTGCTTCGGCATCATCCTGGCCTCCTCGCTCGCTCCCCTGCGTGCTCGTCTGTATGAGATCTTCCTCTACCTCCACGTCTGGTTCCTCGTCCTTCCTTTGCCGTTCCTTTTCTTCCACTGGGTCCGCACCAAGCCTTATGTCATCACCTGCGCAGCCATCTTTGCCTGGGACAGATTCACTCGCTTCCGCAACGTCCACCACGTCGTCGGCACTTCCACCAACCTCTCTGGTGACACTGTCAAGCTTTGCATGAACGTCAAGTCTTCCTTCTCTGAGATCCACTGGACTACCGGACAGTACGTCTACATCGCCATCGCCAACCTTGCCCGCTGGCAGTACCACCCCTTCACCATCGCCTCTCCTCCGTATGTCTTCTTCCTTCTCTTGTTTTATATTTCGGCACAACTAACATAATCTAGTGGCGCTGATACCCTTGACCTTATCATTCGTGCTCGTAAGGGCTTCTCCCGGGCTCTCTTCAACTCCGAGGGTGAGCACTTGGTCGCTGTGCACGGCCCGTACGGAGCCAAGCACAACTTTGACGGCTGCCGCAAGGTTGTTTTGATTGCCGGCGGCGCCGGTGTTTCGTACACCTACCCCGAGGCCATCGAGATCGTCCGCACCCACCGTGCGATCGACGAGATCCCGCCCGAGATTGACTTCTTGTGGGTCGTTCCCGACATGTCGTTCGCGACCTGGGCCGACCTCGACTCGGAGAAGTACGGCGTCAACTTCAAGTTGTGGTGCACAAAGGAGAAGGGCCGTCCCGATATCCGATCGTACGTCCGCGAGAGCTTGAAGGAGTGCATCGAGCAGTACGGCGGCGACAAGAGAATCGCCGTTGCCGCTGCCGTCTGCGGTCCTGGCGCTGTCGTCCGCGAGACCCGCAACGCTTGCTCTGATTTGTTGTGGGAGGAGTACAACGTTGACTTCCACGCTGAGTCCTTTGGCTGGTAATCAGTCAAAGATCAAAAAAAACTTGAATAGAAGTTTCTGGTTTCTTTTATATCATCATTGTTTTTTTTTATTTTCTCATTTTTTTTATTTATATTTAATGTTGGTACGGTGTTTTTAGATGTTGGGTCCTTTTTATTACTTTTTATTACAGCATTTTATTCTTCAACCACAGAATTTCCTCTTTTTTTTTCTCTTTTCTTTTCTGAAATGATGCGATGATGCATGATGCAATCAATGTACATTTCACTATTCTACAAACTTGCATTATTCTATTTCATTACGTCGGTGGGTGTTTTCTTTATTCATTTACATGGACACAGGGGTTTTTTTCCATCTTTTTCTATCTTTTTCTATTCCTTCATTCTTTACATCTATACGTCCTACTAGATCTCTTCTATTTTTTGGATTTCGCGTTCCTAATCTTCCTCGCTTGTTTTATATGCCTTTATGTTTTTTTTATTATAGCCGGGAGGTGCTAGCTAATTTGAAGATGGAGGTGGGTGGTTATGAGAGGTGAGAAGGAAAGATGTATGTGTTGTGTTATACAGTCTTCTTTTTTATATATTCATGTGAATAGTGGGCCTTTTCTTTTCTCTTTATTATTTCATTAGAAGTCGAGTGGATACGAGTGGTTATGAATGAATTAGTTCAGCTTATTATTGAGTAGTAGATCATAGAGGGGAGGAGGAGGAGGAGGAGAGATAAGATCAGGGATTCCGCGGATGGACGCTATGTCCGCCGGCAGCCATCAGAGGAAGAACAGTTGACGGCGGACGTCGGAGGTCCCGGAACTGAACCGTGGCGTGGAATGTGGTGCAGTGTAGATAACAACACCACCACCACCACCACAGCATCAGCAGCAGCACAGTCCTCCCCTTGCAGCAGACGGACGGAACAAGGAAATCTACGCAGGACCTGAACGATGCGCAGATTATCATGAAGATAATCTCTAAACAAGGAATTCAAGACCCGAGTTTTCTCCCGCACAGACAGCCAAACGCTCCAGAGCGAGGATCTTCAGTTGAACCGAGCCGGGCCGTGTTCCATTCGTGGCCCGGAAGGAGGCGTAATTCCCGGCGCGCATGCGTGACAGACGGGAATAGAATAGGTTAGCAGTGCAGTGTCAATGAATGAATGAATGGCTTGCGGCCTAGCTTCGCAGCTGCAACCAACCAACCAACCTGTGACCGCACACGGCTCCTGTGGCGGCCGGGAGGCGTTGAGATAAAGATCAGATTAGAAGAAAGGCTGTAACGCTCTAGACTCCCTCCTTCATTCCTTGCTCTCTCCCTCTCTCTATCTCAGAACAGACAGACGAAGAGGAGGGCAGCGAGCGGTCTGGACGCTGGGTGCTGTTTACTTTTCCCTGTTTGGGAAGGGTAGCCTACTTCCTTTTCCATTCTCTATTTCCGTTGAATTTGATTGATTATCTCCAACCGGATCTCAATCTTATCAACAACACCACTCAGAAGCAATGCAACTCCTACTCTCCCTCTCTATCCTTTTCCTTCTTCTTCTTCTCCTTCTCTCACACGTCATCCTCGACGTCTGGTTACTCGTGACTTGCGATCAGCACTCACACTCACCGTCCACGCATAGCACACAATTGACTTTCTTCCATCGTCAGCTTTTGCATTCTTCTGTTTCCCCTGCTGCTGCTGCTGCTGCTGCTGTGTTCTATCCTTCTGAAGAATTACTTTATAGAAGATGCGTGAATTCCATCGTTTGATACCTTTGTCTTCTGCATCCTCTCCTTTCTTCTCTCTTCTCATACTCTGCTTCCTCGCATTGTTACTGTCCATTTCAATATCCTCGCACGTCCAACGCACCACAGTTATATTTGATATCCTTGCTACCAAACCGAACATCGTTCAGTCATCCCGTACGATCACTATGCGATCACTGTGCGATCACTATGCGATCACTGTGCGATCACTGTGCGATCACTGTGCGATCACTGTTCGATCGCTGAGCTGCTATCCGCAGCGGCCGGGCGCCGATGAGTAGATGTCAAGTATTGTGGTTATTTATACAGCCCGCGAGGGATAGATACGGATTCTCTGTTTTTGGTGCTTGACCACAATGTATTTTTAGTCTGTATGCAATTGTGTTATGAATCGAATAAGAATATAACCCACTTTTTCTCATTTTCATCTTCTTCTCATTCATTCACTCATTTTCTCCTCCTCCATCAACTGATTTCGTCTACGCATTATCATCCTTCGCATCCTGACTAACAGCATAATCCGCAATCAACAACCGACTCACAATCTTCCCCGCCTTACTATACGCCACCGCCTTCAAATCCGTACTCTTCTTCACACTAATCGCGCCCGTGTACTTTGTCCCGCACCCGCTCTTCGGCGTCGCTAGGTCGGTGCTGTAGTATATCGTCGTCCCGCTGCCCGTCGCGTTCGTGCTCAACTCGACGGTGAAGTCGTCATCGTACAAGCCGCTTGCGACGGACGCGGAAACGACGGCGTCGAGAGCGGCGGTCTGTGTGGTTTTCGTGCCGTACACGGTGATCTCGTTGATTCCCGCCGCCCAGGTCGCGGAGTTCCCGTTATGCGCGTTGATGATGCCGTCGACGTCGAAACGCACGTATCGGTACGAATTGAGGTCCGTGATCAAGTTCACGACGAAGCCGACCGCCTCGTTGTCGGTGTTGTCTGCAATCACAGTATAACTCTCGCCGTCGGTGCTGCCGGAGACGGTGTAGGTGTAGTACGTCTCCGAGCCCTTGACGATCCGCGTCAGCAGATCGATTTGGCTGAGCACCGCCTCCGCGCCGAGATCGATCGTGTAGTAGAACGGGACCGCGGAGGGGACGTAGTAGTTTGTGTACACGGTCTTGATCCCGTCCACCGCCAACCCGGCCGCATAGCTATCGCTCGACGCCGCCGTCGCATTCACACTCGCCCCGATCGACAGAACCTTCCCCGCCTGCACCGCAACCACCGAACTCGCGCCGCTTTCTTCAGGGTTATACAAAATCGCATGGTAAAACTCATAGCTCGCGAACCCTTGTCCAAACACGATCGGCGCCAACCGCTCAGAGTTGACGGCCTCGCCGTCAAAGTTCGCGCCCCATCGATCCGCTTTCATCACGTATTGCCCGCCGATCTTGTTCACGGCCCCGGACTGCGTGCCGAACGTGAACAAGTCGCCGATCGCGCGCGTGTCGCTCCAGGGGCCGGCCATGTCGGTCGCGGAAATGTAGTTCGCCGCGGAAGGGTACCACCCTGCAGAGTTGGACGTGAACAGGTAGTAATACCCATCAATCTTCTCGACGGCGGGAGCCTCGCGGTACTGAGACACCAGCACCGTAGTCAGCAGCTCGTCGATGTCGGTCCAGTTCGCGGTCAGCGAGTACACGTTCATGTTTGTGTTTGTATCCGTCGCGGAGAGGATATACCCCGCCGACCCGTCCTCCTCGCCAAAGAAGGTGAAATCCCGCGAGTCATACCCGAGCGGTCTAAACGCACCGAGGAAATCGAATTCCTCACCCGGCGTCGCCTCCGCGACACACAACTCCCCGAGCGCGTAATCGGCCTCGTTCTCGAAATGGCCCCAGAACACGATCTTGCCGGTTAACGGGTGGAGCTTGAACGTCTGCCGCTCGATCTTGCACAGCCCCGGCGTCGTCGCGTTCACGGACGCGCAAACAACGTCGCGCTCCATCACGGTCTTGTTGCCCGAGAACGAGTAGCCGTCGGTCGAGGTCTGCTGGTAAAACCGCAGGAATCCATCGTCGTCGGATTCGTACACGTACTTGTAGTACACGCCGTCGACGAGCAGACTACCGGTGTTGTTGAGCGTCGAGTAGAGGAACGTGTTGTCGTACACCTGCGGATTGCCCCCATCCGCGAGCGCGTACGTCGTGCTGCTGACCACGTCGCTCTCAAGCACGGTCTCGGTCCCGTTCACGCCGACGACTTTGTAGAAATACGTCGTGCTCTTCTTGAGCGCGTAGTCATCGTACGTGTACGAGGTCGTGTTTGCGATCTGGCTGAAGCCGGAGGAGGACGAGAGGCTGCGGGAGACGAGGTAGGTGTCGGCGGGGGAGGTGAAGATTAGTTTGATGTTGTTGGCCGCGGTGCCGCCTGCGAGCTGGAACGGGCGCGTGAGCACGACGAGGGAGTCTGCGGCGTGGGCTGCGAGGGTGTAGACGAGGGCGAGGAGAAGGATCTAAAAAGTCAGCAAAAGCAGTGAAGATGATGTAGATAGAACGTACATTTTTCATAGCGAGCATGGTGAACAATCGACAGACGCTACAACGCAGAGATCAACAGATGCTGCGATATGCACAGATCTCAACAGATGCTACACCATCCTATATTTATACCTCCACACTCTTGACAGATCACATCACATCACAGCAAACAACCGCGAGGCGCCAGAAGCGCACGCGCGCACGCAGGCGGGGGAGAATTTCATACACGGCAGGACAGGTGACAGCGACGGCGAGGACAGACGATGTGCGCGCGAGCTTACCCCGCAAACAGAAATGGTGGGGGAGGAAGAGAGAAAGAGAAACTCCAGGCGAGAATGTTAAATCTGGATCAGACAGACAGACAGACAAAGGAAGGGCAGGGAGACAGAGCAAGACCAGACGAATGTGGGGTTGCTTTCGTACTTGCCTATTCCATAACATATTCCTGTCTTTTCAACCTCTGTCGAGTATTGTGCTATTCTCAATCTCTGCATTCTCATAGAAAACTCTCGGGTATACAACCATCTGCCTTTCCAGAGAGTGAAACCGAGGCCGAACCTGTTCTCGATCCGACGCCGACCTAGCCTCCGCCCGCAGCTCCGCTCCGCTCCGCTCTCCGCACCAGCTCAAGCCTCACGAGCCGACTTCCCCGTCATCACTTTTTTTCTTCAACATTTCGTGATTTCTGATCTGATGTTGAATGAAAATTGCAGATTTGACTGCATTTGATGATGATGATGATTATTCCGATCGTAGACAAAACACATCCGACGGCAAGTATTATCTCGGCGGATCTAGATCGGCACTCTTTCAAGCAGCAGCAGCAGCAGCAAGTAGATTCTAGGCATAGTATATTCCTAACACTTGTATATAGCAAAGCAAAGCAAACGATATCAAAACATGTAAAAAACAGTAGACTTTCATCTTCAATATAGAAATACAAACAATCCCAAGTTACATTTTATACCCAAAGAAAAGTAAAGAACAACCCCAAACAAGTAAACAGATAAATCAAGTAGTAAACAGATATAATCAAGTAAATCGAGTAATAAATAAATAAATAACAAAAAAATCAATCAAGCGTACATCGGCACCGACTGAAAAGCTCCGCATTCTCCGCCTTCAACGTGGTTCTCGACCCAGTTCTCGTTGCAATCAAACATGACTCCGCAGGCCGCACACCATCCTCTCATTCCGGCGCGCTGATCACTTCGGGTGCCGGTAGGGTAGACGAAATGCCGCGACTTGAGATGGGTCTTGTAGGTATCTCGTCGAGAAAAGCCACCGGTGGAATGGCACGGGGACGGCGAAGTAGGATCGTAGAACGGGCATGTGTAGGCCTTGTTCATGGCGTGCTTCTTGAGATGCCGTGTCAGGTAGCCTTTAATACGGAACTTTGACGGGCAGTGCGGGCACTGGAATGTAGGCTGCGAGGAAGAGTTCATGTGCATGGGCGACGAGTTTGTGTCGGAGCCCATCATGATTGACTGATCAGGAGAGGCCACGCCAGCGTGCGACTTTGGCGGCGAGGACGACGGTGACGAGTTTGAGGAGGCCGGGGAGTTTGCCGACGACGACGAACCGGTGGAGGTCTGGGGCGATGATATGCTCGAGGAAGGGCTCGCGATATGCATCGAGACTGGAGGCTGGCCGACGTACTGGTGCTGGTGCATAAACATTTGCTGGTCATCGAGCGAGTTGTTATGCATGGCCACGAACGGCTGGACGAGCAGGCCGGAGTTTGCGTATTGCGTTTGCGACTGCTGGTGACCGTGCTGGTGGACAAGGTCGAGGGCGGAGAAGGGGTCGTCGAAGGAGGACTCCTTTCCTTGCAGGTCGACAAAGTCGTGGTGGTGCGTGAATTGCTCGACGGGGTCATTGATGGCAGGGGCAGGGGCGAACGAGTAGCTCGATTCGACGGCGGAGATAGTTGAAGGCGACTCTTGGTCGGCAAACTCAGCGGGCGAAGACCAGGAGGCCGAGGAAGAGAGGTCCTCGGGAACGACGAAGGAGGGCTGCTGCTGCTGCTGCTGGGGCAAGTGCTGGTGACCATAGGCAGAGGCAGAGGCAGACGATGGACGAACGTAGGGGGCAGCGGAGTACATGTTCTGGCGCTCATTGCGACGACGGACGACGCGGGGGGCGTTGGGGTCGAGGGAGAAAGCGGGGAGAGCATGGTAGAGGTCGTCAGCGGAGGTCTGCGAGGTGGCGACAGAGGGCGAGGCGGAGGAGGAAGGGGAGGAGGAGGAGGAGGTGGTGGAAGCAGCGGCGGCGGCGGCGGCAGAGAGACGGTTGCGCATCTGGGCGATGTAGACCTCTAGCTCGTCGAGCTTGTTGAGGAAGTCGCCGGGGTCTGTTGCCGAGTCGACGGCGGGAAAGACCTGGGGGGCGACGAACTGGGGCTGGTACTGGAGCTGGGGTTGGAGCTGGAGCATGTAGGAGGACTGCATGCCGGAGTCGGCGAGGTCGAAGCCGACGAGCTCGCCGCCGGCATTGTGGACCTGGTGGAGGGTGGCGGTGGGGTCGGTTGCGCAGGGGGTAGCGGTTTTTGTGTCGGAGAGGGCGGAGGGGGAGGCGGTGAGACGGAGGTCTAGGATGATTTGGGGGAAGAGCTGGACATCGTCGGGGGTGGAGGGGGCTTTTGAGGGGGAGGTGATGGACTTGGAGGGAGAGGAGGTTGACTTGGGGGTGGTAGAGCGGAAGAAGAAGGAGGAGAAGAGGGAGGAGAAGAGGGAGGCAGGTTTTGCGAGGAAGGAGGAGATGGGGGCGAAGAGGGAGAGGTGGTGGGAGGGCTTGTAGTCGAGGGAGAAGAGGGAGCAAATGGAGGACCAGAGGGAGAGGTCCGACATGGCGAGAGAGATGAGGAGAGAAGTAGCTGTAGAGAAGAGATACAGAGCAGAGGAGGAGAAGTGGAGAAGTAGAAGGGAAGAGGGATATAAGAGAAGGAACTGGTGAAGTGCGAGACAGAGGCGCAGAGGCGCAGACGCAGAGCAACAGCGCCGATCGAGGGTTCGGGTTGGCCGTGCATTAATTACCAATCAATGACATAATATTAGTACTAAACACTGACTAATCCAGAACGGCGCTAGCAGACGCACGGACGCTGGTGCCTTGTGCGGCGCCAACTTTAATAAAGTCGCTTCCAGTTTGGGATCGGCTCGAGGCTGTCAACGCAACTTCTTCCGCTTCACCACTTTTGTGTCTGTCGAGAAGAAGCCCGCTGCTGAGTAGAAGCAGTTAAGTAGAACCAGCTCTGTTCTATCTACTCTCTACTCTCTACCCTCTACTCGTCTCTCACAATGCCCGCTTCCTCCTCAGGCCAGAGGTCCCCCTCCTCCTCCTCCTCCTCCTCCTTCTCCGCCCGCTCATCGACCTCCTCCTCCTTCTCTGCCCGCTCCTCCGCCTCTTCCGTCTCCTCCTACGCGACCTCAGACATAGCAAAAGACCTCTCTCCGATCTACCCGCCCTCCTCCTCCTCCTCTCGCGAACGTGCAGACCTCTTCCCCCAGCCGACCCTCTTCGACCTCTCCATCCCCATCCTCCCCGACCCGTCTCCCATCTCTGATCCCTCGTTCTTCATCGACGACATCAAACCCGCTTCTCCGCGTATCAGACACCACCCCCACCGTCGTCACTCTCATCGCTCTTCCTCCCCTGATCTGCTCCGATATCACCATCACAATTCTCTCCAGCAGCAGCAACTACAACTCCAACAGCAGCAGCAGCAGCAGCAACAACTTCAACAGCAACCCCCCCTCTCAGACTCCTCCGTCGGCGTCGTCGCCGCCACAGCCTCCTCCTCCTCCGCCGTCCGCGTCCAGTTCCGCGAAGACATGCTCTTCGGCGCCGACGGCTGCATCGACGACGACGACACCATCGACGCAAAGATCCGCGCCTTCAAGTTCTCCCGCGACCCCGAATCCGACTACGACGCGGACTACGACGACGACGCAGACTCTGAGCCTGAAGCCGCTGCTCCGGCTCCTCACCCCGCCACCACTGCTCCCCACCTCCACCGCGAAAAGATATCCACTCGAACGCCCGTCAAGCTCTCTCCTATCGACACCCTCTTTCCCGACTCTCTTCCTTCCTTCCACCCCACTTCCAACCCCCCTCTCCATGACCCCTCCTACCCTCCCCTACAAGACCTCTCCCTGCGCGACCACATCGTCCAGCGACTACAGCAACCTCCTCCTCTGACCACCTCTTCTGTCTCTGCCTCCGCCTCCGCCTCCGCCAGCACATTCGCCAAACCAATCTCAGACCTCTTCCCTGCCCCCCTTCCGCCCTCTCCGCTCGTGCAGCACCCGGCAGACCATCTCTCTCAGCTCAGGAAAGCAGAGTCCGCAGACATCCTCGTCTCCCCTCTCTCGGACCCGGGCAGACACCCGCACATCTCTCTGCACTCTCAACTATCGAATTCCTCGTCTCCTCCCCCATCATCGCAGCATTAACGGTTATAATCTCATACTATACTCATACTATACTCATACTCATACTCATCCTCAAAAGCGGCGTTTAATATTTTTTGATAATTGTCTTGTTCTCGTTCTTGTTCTTGTTCTTTGTCCTTGTCTTTGTGCTTATATGGAATACACCAGATTGTGGTTCCTGTAGATATCTTCTTGATTCTTGTTCTTATATCGTTTAGCATTAATGAATTACGACCCATGATCTCTTCTTACATTTACAGTTAGCATTGTTAGATTTTTATTGTAACTCTGTTCTCTTTCTCTTCTTCCTCTTTCTCATAGAATGATCTCACTGGTATATATCAGTATAGATGATGACAGTGCTGTTGATATAGATGATACTGGGCTATAGTCGACATTAACACCAACCCTACCAGCCCCCTACATCTCATATATCCACCACTCCTCAGAGCTCCATCTACGCTCAAACTGTCTTATTCTTTCTTCTCTTGATAAGCTGTCATCAATTGTCTCTTCTTATTCAGTAATCATACTGTTGAACAAAGTGACCTAGTATCCACTAAGCGACTATATAAGACCGACAAGAGTATCGCTACTTTGATGTTAAATCATGCGTGCTGAGACCATATTAGAATAAGTAGATAAAACCAGAATCTATATTCTCTACTCATCAACTACACTTCATAACAGTATTCATTCAACATCACTGCTAAAGACATAACAGACAAGATCGCATGACGTAGGCACAAGCTCACGCGCGGCTCGACTCAGCCTTACTCAACTTCAACGCCAAAACAAACCGCCATCACCACTTCTCCTTCCTCTCTCTCACCCCTCCCTCTTCACCTCCCCCCCTCACCCATCCAATGCCTCCCGACACAGTCTCCTCCGGCTCCTTCACCCGCAGACCCGTCGCCAGACAAGTCACCACCCTCGACGCCTACTCCTACATCACTAAACTCTGCTACCTCGAGTACCTGCGCCGCCCGCGCCCGCACTCCCTCATCCAACGCGTCTCCCAATTCCTCAACGACACCGACAAAAAATCTCAAATCATCTCCCCCGAACGCGCCTCCATCTCCCTCCTCAAACATGTCCGCAAAGACCTCAAAGACTACCTCCGCCGCCACTCAAACTCCTCCTCCAAAGTCACAGAGATGTTCGCCGGCTTCGCCACCGCTGTCGAGTCCTCACCCCTCAAAGACCGGTTCAAAGACAGCGACATGCAGATCGACGAGCTCTTCAACGTCTTTGTCCCCCGCGAAAAGTACAAAAACCTAGACTTCAAACAGGCAAACCAAGTCTCCGTCGCCTTCGCAGACTACGTCCTCTTCGCCATGGACCGCAGCCGCAACGCCGTCGACAGTCTCCCCCGTCTCCGCAAGTTCCTCGGCCAAGTCAAGGACTGCTGCACCGCGCCCGAGAAATACCCTCTTGTCGCCGAGGCCGCGCATCTATTCTCCATCGACGAGGCCATGATCCGCCAAGACATCCTCAAACTATCGCAGTCCTCGCTCTCTGAATCAGACTACATCGACGATCTCAAAGTCATGTCAACAAGCATCATCACCCACTCCTCCACCATGTCCCAGTTCTTTTCCGAGCAGGCCTACAAAACCTGGCGCGAGCGCGAGGTCCGCGAAATGAACCAGCTCATCGAAATGTACCTCGTCATCCACCCCACCCGCACTTCCTCCGTCCGATCCAACGACACAAAAATGACCTTCATCCCTCCCGACGCAGCTGCCTACTACAACGTCATCCTCAAACTCGCAGTCGAAGCCGATCTTCCCCTCGCAAAAGCCCAGGACGAACTCGACCCGATCACCGACCTCCTCTCCGACGACTCCCGCAAGCTGCTCAGAACCGTCTCGACAAACTGGCGCATCAAGAAATCGACCCGCGACGTGCTCTTCCTCAACGTCGTCAAAGACCTCTATCTCGCTGAAATACTCGACATTAACCTCCTCACCGTCGCATTCATGGCTTCGCGAAGACAATCAGTCCAGCAGCACTCCGAAGTCGTCGATCCCTGGACAAAGCAGGATAAACTAACCTACGCCAACGCTCTACACGCAATCTACGACTTTTCGCTCAAGCAGCTGACCACCGATCTAAAGCTGATCTTCAAAATCACTTTGGTCTCGGATCACAAATTTGTCAGAAATAAGCTGTTTTGTACATTCGCTCTGATCGAAGACTATATCTGCTCGGATGATGGATTTCAGTCAACCCCTAAAGAGTTTGAAAAGACAGTTAAAGAGTATCGCGAGATCGTCAGAGTGAGTGCTCCTCTTTTGTCCTTTTCTCTTGTGTACTTTATATTAACAAATCAGGTCTCGGCCTACGACTACTTCAACCAACTGGTGGACTCTGGCCCCCGCGGCGAAGAGCTAGTAGACCACCTCAATCTGATGCACCACGTCATCCCCGCCGCTCTCAAGCAAATCAAGATCGTCAAGCATTACTACAACCTCCCCTTTGACTTTGACGGCGTCGACATCTCCCGCTGGTCCTCCTCGCTCTTCATCGCCCGCTGGACAGCCGAACAACTCACGCACATGTGCGCTTACTTTGCAAAAGCCGAACTCGACAGACTCCGCGCAGCAAAGACATCTAGTAAAGACGAGCCTGCGGTCGCGCTTGCGTTGGAAGATATCCAGGACTTGCACAATAACCAGCTTCGCTTGCTGAAGAAGGAGTTTGAGGACGCGTTCGGGCAGAAGAAAAAGTTTCCGATCGATGCCGAGTACGAGCTGTTTGATTATATCTACAGATCGATAAAGGATAAGCAGCTGGTCTTGTCTAATTGGGTTAACAACATCATTGCCAAAGAACACTCGGATCCCAATGCTGTATGTTCTCTCCTTCTTTCTTTTTCGTGTGTGTGACTAGCTAACAATGTCACAGTTTGAGATGATTAATTCGAATCTACGCCACAGCTTGAACGTCTCGGATCTGTTTGCGACCTTCCAGCAAAACCTGAAACTGATTGACGATCTCGACTGGGAAAACCAGTACCACGTCGCAAGGCTTTACAACCTCGTTCTGAGCTACATCTCGAAAGCAATCACGACGTACTTGAAGAACCTGGCAAAGGCGTTCAACGACGACCTCAACACCGGCGGCCCGATTCGCCCGGCGACATGCGTCAAGTTGAATAACGTCGAGTTTATCAAGAACCAACTTGACGCGCTGCAGAAATCGATTGGCGCGGAGAAAAAGACAAAGCTGCTGGACGACCTGGAGAAGCAGCAATTGAAGAGCTCGGGCCAGAAACCGTCGCGGTATATATTCACGATCGAGATTGTGCAGGCGGAAAACTTGAAGTCGATGGATAGGAACGGATACTCTGATCCCTACGTCGAGCTGCTCAACGTGCACACGCAGCAAGTTCTCTTCCGCACCCACACGATCTACAAAGAACTCAACCCGGTCTGGAACGCGCGGTTCGAGCTCGTGACCGAGTCCAGCGAGCGCATCGCGCTGCGCGTGTGGGACGAAGATCCCAACGACAAGCGCGACCTGTGCGGCGGCTGCATGCTGCTGCTCAAACCGACCGACTTTGTCGACGATCTGGCGAAGGACGAGTGGTACGATCTCAAGCTGTCGGGCGAGGACTCGAAAGGGTTCGGACAGGTGCGCGTGATTCTGACGATGGAGCGCGAGCGCGATAATATCCTGTTCCACATTGGCACGGCGTTTAAAGAGTTGCGGGTGACGGAGGAAATGATGGTTTCGAAGCTGACGTCTAAATTCCGAAGCCAGATCTCAGCCTACATCTCGCACGACGCGCTCAAGCGACTTCTCGGCAGTTCGGTCAGCCGACTACTAAGTCGCACGACAGGTCCATTGACGGACGACAAGATCGAGGACGCGATCCAGCCGCTGTTCAAGATCCTTGCTTCAGACTTTAAAGTGTTTGACGCGACCTTGACCGAGAGCATGAAGATGCGCGTGTTTCTGTCTGCGTGGTCAAACATGCTGCAGACGATCGAGATGCTGATCGTGCCGCCACTGTCGGAGCGGCCGACGAAGCAAAAGCCGCTGACGGACGGCGAGATGCGGATTCTCCAGATCTGGGTCCACGAGGCTCTCGATTTCTTCCACGGAGACTCGCATGGTCCGGAAAAAGAAGCGCTGCAGTCTTCGGAACACTACAAGACGATCCAGGTCGCGCAGCAGTTCTACTCTTTCCCCGCGCCGGAGCTGATTACCGCGTACCAGCACCAATCGACCGAGACGTTCAACAAGATGCGGCAGCGGAAGAACATGGCGGTGCCGAAACTGCTCGGTCGAAGCCGGACGATTATGGCGCACCAGAGTCTGGAGAAAATGGAAGCCGAGGGCAAAGAGCTCGAGGACGCGCTGAATGCGGAGAACTCTGAGGTGGTTATTTTGCGCATCCTGCGTATGAAGGACTCGAGTCTGCTCAAGAGATTTCTCGAGGAGCGCAAACGGCGGGCGGATATCATCTCTGGTCAGGCAGCGGCGAGTACGGCGTCTGCACTGGGTGGAAGTAGCAAGCCAAAGGCATTCAATCGCGTTTCGCATGTGCCAAAGTATCCCGCGATGCCACCTCTTCCGACCAAATAGATACAGTACATTATTTCATTTACTGCGAGAATTTTGTTTTTTTGCTCACTTGCATTGCGGAGTTTTGATTATGTTTTGTTTTCTGCGTCACTGCGTCATAATAGGAATAGATACAATTGTGTTATTTGTGATGAATATATTATTTCTCTTTACACCGTGACCTGTCTAACCCTCCCCTTTAAATGCGTAGATATCTCCAACCTAATCCCCACTCTGCTGCCTTACTTGGGATAGTAGCTACCATCGTCAACACCCGCGGGCTTGATCTGCGGGAAATCCTCCGCGCCGCCGAGTTCCTTGAACAAGCCGTTGTCGTAGACGCGTCCGGTGGCGATCTTTTCGGGAACGGAGAAGGAAACGGCGTAGCTGAAGAGGCCAAAGACGGTGAAGAAACCGAGGGCCCAGCGGACGGCGCCGGCGGTGGAGACGTAGTCGTGCACGTCGGGGGACCACATGTTGAGCATGTCGTCGTCTTCGTGGAGCTGTGGGGACGTTAGTTTATGTATTCTTCTTCTTCCTCTTCTCCTCTCTCTTCTTCTTCTGGTTTAGGGAATAACAAGACATACAGGATCATTGTAGTTACGTCTCAGCTGCTGAAAGTCGTACTTTGCGTAGGGGTCGCGGTGCTGGGCGTAAACATATGGATACTCGGGATAGTCGCCCACCTGCGCAGTTCGTCAGTACACATCCACGACTCTCACCTCACCTCACCTCACAGCACATCAACACTCACCAATCGGTCGTCGCCCTTCGTGTATGGGAAATCGGTGTACTCAGGCAAGACAGGCTCCTCGGGTGCCGAAGCGTAGCATCTGACTGCGCCTATCCGCGTCCGCACCGCGCTTCGGACCGGCATTCTCAAAGCTCCTCTCAGCATCGCAGACATGTTTCTCTCTGTTTCTCTTCTTGTATTTCTTCTTCGTGAACCTGGCGCGGAGAGTAGTCTTCCTTCTGCTCCTTCACGATGATTGTCTCGACAACTGGCTTACTGGAGAGGTGCTGATTGGCTCTGCCCTCGAAAAATACCCTAAACCCCCTCAGGGTTCGGGCTCAGGCAAAAAAGTCAACTCAGCCAAAGCCTCCCTTCTGCGGCCGACCCACGACGCTCATCACAACATACCCGCTCGCGACCGCTCAAACCGCCCTTGACGCCGCTGAGGAGCCGTGCCGAGCTTGAAATTCAAACAGCAGCTAGCTGACGATTCTGCGCGTGTTTTGATGCCGGCAACTTGCTGATCGGGATCCGTTTCCCTTTGTTTTTCTCGCGCGTTTCGGTCTGATTTCAAAGCACTGCGAGTGCCGAATCTCGACTTTATGGCGCCGCCGAGACATACCAGAAGCTTGCGAGCAAGCAGCTCTTCTCAGAGTGAGTAGTGATGGTATTGTTCTGTATTTATAACTGCTGTTTACTGATTCATGACCCCAGATGATGCTGATAACGCCGCCGGCGGCGACAACAGACGCGCTCTGCGCCATCGATCCTCACTCGATACCAGCGTCAGCACCGCCTCCAACGCGGATTCCACCTCTACTCCCTCTCGGCGACGAAGTAGCAGGCATTCGACAACTCCCTTGGCCAGCAGCAGCAAAGCCAACGTATCTGTGGACGCCAAGAAGCAAAGGGGGTCCAAGAGATCATCCCTAGGAGAGCCCGCGGTCGACAGCTCAGCAGCTCCAGTCAAGCGAGCGAGGGTAGGTCGACCGCCCAAGGCTGAGTCGAAGCCTCTGCGGACCTCTTCTAGAATCAAGAAAGAAGAGACCGAGCAGGTGAAGAAGATTGAGGACTCAGACGAGGATGTTGATCTGCTAGATGAGGATGGCAACATAATCGCCGTTCCAAAGATCAGAATCAAATACTCCGTTCCCGAGCCAATCGTCGGCCAGCCAGACCACGTTCCCGCGCCACCGAAATTCGGATTGTCTGTTGAATCCTACCTCAACTCGTTCAAATCATTAGACGACGACGTCGACGACGTCACGTTCGAAAAGCGCATCGCCGAAGAAGCTCACCTGCGTCAAAAGATCGAAAATGCAGTTTCAGAGGGCCTCATCTCTGAACTATCTGGAATGGAATCCATCCCACAAAAGTCTCTAACAAAAGGCTTCGTCGCTCCAAAAGATCATCATTCACATTACGACCACCTGATATCTCAAGCCTTTTTCCTCTCCAAACTCGCCAGCGATGAACGAAGGAGCCATATCTCGCGGGCAAAGAAAATCGCCGGCATGGTGCAGACTCATTTTAAGAAACTGTCTGGTGCAGATGAGAGAGAGCGCAAGGCTGAAGAGAAGAGAATACGGCAACTCGCAAAGAAAACCGCCGTTGCTGTTAAGCGCAAGTGGAGACTTGCTGAGAAGGTGTGTATCTTAGTACTCTGTATACCTTGATTAATACTGACGACAGCTAGGTTGTTCGGCAACGACTCGAAGCGCAAGCAAAAGAAAAGCAGCGACAGGCAGGAAAAGAGCAACTCAACACGATTCTCAACCAATCCACTCAACTGCTGGAAGCGCGTAAAGATCAACTGAGTCGCGACAAACACGACAACTCTGAACTGGGTGACGCCGACGATGATATGATCTCTGTCAACTCTGCCGATGCCAGCCAAGATGAGGACGAGGACTCGTTTTCGGAAATGGATATGTCTAGCGATGACGAAGACGAGAGCGAGTCAGAAAAAGAAGACGAGTCAGAAGACGAAGAATACGAAGAAAATAATGACGATCAACAAACAACATCCGCAACCCTCGCAGACCTATACACACCCGAGGAGCTCAGTGCCGTGCAGCCTTCTGAAGAAACAAATGCAGAAGCAGAAGCAGGCGACGAAGACACGTCGATGCGTGACGCCGACGACAGCGAGTCGCATAACGAGCGCGAAGTCTCTGCCTCACCGTCCGAACAACTCACTCCCCCAACACCGTCGAACGAGATCACGTCGGCGAAATCTACAGTACCTACACCTTTCTTGCTTCGTGGCACGCTCCGTGAATACCAGCAGTCTGGATTGGAGTGGCTCGCGGGGCTATATAACAATGGCACCAACGGCATTCTTGCCGATGAGATGGGACTAGGGTATGTTTCCTAATATCCTTTTAATTTTAATGGCGGAAGCTAATCATTTATAGAAAAACGATTCAAACAATCTCGCTTCTTTCCTATCTTGCGTGCGAGAAGCAAATCTGGGGACCGCATCTGATTGTCGTTCCGACATCAGTCATGCTCAACTGGGAGATGGAATTCAAACGTTTCGCCCCGGGGTTCAGAATCCTGACGTACTACGGCAACCCCGCGCAGCGCAAGGAAAAGCGGAAAGGATGGACAAACGACGACAGCTGGGACGTATGCATTACATCCTACCAGCTCGTTATCCATGACCAAGTCGCCTTCCGCCGGAAGCAGTGGCAGTACATGATCCTTGACGAGGCGCATAATATCAAAAACTTCCGATCCCAACGATGGCAGGCGCTTCTTAATTTCAAAGCTCATCGTCGGTTGCTGCTGACCGGTACTCCGCTCCAGAATAATCTCATGGAGCTGTGGTCGCTTCTATACTTCCTCATGCCGTCTTCTAAATCGTCAGAATCAGTGATGACGAGCGGATTCGCCAGTCTTGCGGATTTCCAGGAATGGTTCTCTCATCCACTTGACAAGTTGATCGAAGGCGATTACTCCAAGAACGACGCCGAGGCACGGACGACGATTTCAAATCTCCACAAAATCCTTCGGCCGTACTTGCTTCGCCGTCTGAAAGCCGACGTCGAGAAGCAGATGCCGGCAAAGTATGAGCATATTGTTTATTGCAAGCTTTCAAAGCGGCAGAGGTATCTCTATGATGACTTCATGTCACGCGCGCAGACCCGGGAGACGCTGGCCTCGGGAAACTTCCTGAGTATTATTAATTGCTTGATGCAGCTTCGAAAAGTCTGCAACCATCCAGATTTGTTTGAAGTGCGACCGATCGTGACCTCTTTTGCTATGGAGAAAGCTGCCATAACGAGCTATGAGACGATCGAGAATCTTGTGCGCAAAAAGCTACTGAGAACAAACGCGCAGGATTCCGTGGATCTCGAGTTTCTGAACCTGGTTCCTGCTCATGATTCCTCGATATCGACTATCGACTCCAGCAGTCTCCTGAAACTCTGCGCCAGCTATGCCATCAAGCGGGATCTTGGTGAGCTCGAACCTGACGCAGGCAATCTAGAGTTACCGGGAAGCTTCAGCAGCCTGGCGGAATACAAAAAGACAATGGCGCTTCGTCGCAAGACTGAGAAATTCCATCGTCTGCAGCACGAGTTGTACATCAACGATTTCCGCTGCCAGAAAGCGCCTATCTACGGAAGCAATGTTCTCCGGCTGTGCGATATTCGATCTGAGAACGCGGCGCGGACGCGGTATGATCCTGCGATCCAGAGGACTGTTGCTCGCCGGATGATTGTGCCGATCATCGAGCGTGCGAGTCAGATGCGTGATGTGATTGATCACTACGCGTGCGTGACGCCGAACGTGGTGGCGTTGAATATGCCGAATCTGTTGTTTTCTGGGATTCCTGAGGATACGTTCTTAGACATCCGTGCAAAGTGCGAGAACCCGATGCATCAGGCGCAGGTCAAGCTGTCGATCGCGTTTCCGGACAAGCGGCTTTTGCAGTTTGACTGTGGCAAGCTTCAGCGTTTGGCGGTTTTGCTCCAGGATTTAAAGTCCGGAGGCCATCGCGCGCTGATCTTTACGCAGATGACGAAAGTGCTGGATATTCTCGAGCAGTTTCTTAATATTCATGGATACCGCTACCTGCGCCTCGACGGCGCGACGAAGATCGAGCAGCGACAAATCATGACTGAGCGATTCAACAGCGATCCACGGATCACCGTCTTCATCCTCTCCACGCGATCGGGCGGTTTAGGAATCAACCTGACAGGAGCCGACACTGTTATCTTCTACGACTCGGACTGGAATCCGTCGATGGACAAACAATGCCAAGACCGATGCCACCGGATCGGCCAGACGCGAGACGTGCACATATACCGCCTGGTGTCGGAATACACGATCGAGTCCAACATCCTCCGCAAAGCGAACCAGAAACGCATGCTCGACGACATTGTTATCCAAGAAGGCGAGTTCACGACAGATTACTTTACAAAGTTTTCCCTGAGCGACATGATCGGCACCGAAGCCGCCGAGGAACTTTTACCCAGCACCGTCAACGTGGCCGCGCCTCTTCTGGACGACAAGCCAGGAGGTCTTGAGAAAGCGTTGGCGATGGCCGAGGATGAGGATGATGTTGTAGCTGCCAAGATCGCGATGAAGGAGTCGAGGGTTGATAACGAGGATTTCTTGGAGCAGGAGAGTAATTCTGCGACACGGGACTCGACTCCTGTTCGTCGCAAGGACTCTGCGTCTGTCTCCGCCGCCGCGACGCCGACCGCGATCGCGGACGACGCAGCGGAGAAAGCAGCGACAGAGGAGCCAGAGGAGGAAGAGGAGGAGAACGACGACGACGACGAAGAAGAAGAAGGACAAGACAGTGATGATGAGGACGACGATGGATTTGGAAGCGTGGACGATTACATGATCAAGTTCATTGAAGAAGGCTGGTACTGGGACTAATTTGTAGTTTTTTGTTATTCTCTTTTATTCCTCCATGTTGGCGTTGATGGTGTCTCATTGTCTTGCTGTTTTCTACTTCTGTCAGGGATTGATTCCCTTGTATATATAAATATTCATAGGTTGCTATTATCAACTTTTATCATCTACATTTCTACTTCTCTCTGCTTTCTAACCTGGCTACGGCATGGTGCAGCTCAGCAACCCTATTTCCCATCGCCATAAAGACCGCATACTCCTCCTTCAACGCCAACAGTACCGCCTCCGCACTACTACTCCCACTAATCCTCCCCTGCACAATCTCATTCTCAATCCCATCAACAGCATGATCAACCTCCTCGAGCACGAGCTTATAATCGCCAATCTTGCGCTCGAGATCGAGCATCTGCCGTTCAAAGAATCCCAGGAGCGGGTCGCCGGGCGGGAGACGGGCGCCTTGGATGCGGAGCTGCTGGAGGAGATCGACGCAGAGCTTTGCGTCTTGGGTTGCTGTTTCGACGATTTGGCGTTGCGCGGTCATGGCTGCAAGGTCGTTGGCTAGAGCTTGGTTTGTTGTCGCGAGTTTCTGCGTAGTGTTAGTTTGGGTGAATAGAGCAATAAAGCGGAGTAGACTTACGCGCATGAGAACTTCGACATCACGAGGAACGCTCTGTAAATACTCTTGCCGCGATTCTTTCCTCGCTTTTAAATCCTCAGAGATGGCGATCTGCTGAGAAATGTAATTACTATTTGCGCACGCGTTAGTAGCTATTTTTATCAGCTCAGACTCAAAAACAGCAAACGTACTCGACGGCGTCCAGTTCCTTCTGCGCGGACTCTGGTAGATCACTGTGACGAGTTAGGGATGTGATTTGCTGAGGCTGTTGCTGTTGCTGTTGCTGTTGTTGTAGCTGCTGCTGCTGCTGCTGTTGTTGTTGTTGTTGTTGCTGTGGTTGCTGCTGGCCTCCGAACGACAATCCAGTGTTTGCAGCTGCGTTATTGGTGTTTGCGCCAAAAAGCCCACCAGTAGCTGGCTGCGTCGCGGCACTATTGCTCATCGAAAAGAGCCCACCCGAAGGAGCGGGCGATGCCGTGTTGGCATTCGATCCAAACATGTTCGTCGCCGGTGGTTTCGCAGGAGTCGTACCCGCGCCAAACGAAGGCAGCGCTATGGAAGTATTACTGCTCGCAGCTGCGGTATTATTTGTGTTTCCAAACAGATTAGGAGCAGGTGTGGGTGTGTTTGTAGTTGTAGTTGTGCTGTTGGTCGCGCCGAAGAGGCCTGTTGCAGGTTTTGCTGGTGTGCTGCCGCCGAACAGCGACGGCGTTGTGGTGCTCTGCTGAGAAGCTGGGCTGCGCAGTATAGTCTTATTAGTATATAAAAGATCAACAGATTAATAGAAACAGGGATACGTACAAAAGCGACATGATGGATGATATAGCAGATCGAGAGCGATGTCGAGGAAAACAAAATATTGTTTATCCTGAAACCCTTGCCTACACGCTCTCAGCATAACTTTTACTAAATACAGCAGTGATGCTGAAGACGCGTGGGGCTGAAAGCAAACCCCTGCACAGCTCTAAAAACCATGCCGCAGTTGAGCCGGACGACGCCGCGCCGCGTCTACCGAGAACTCATAAATATCAACCTCCACAGAACCTGTTAGTTCACCAGATTTTGCCTGAAAGGACAGACAAAGACGAAGTGGCCACTGTCCTGCTGCGAAGAACAATCTCGCGACTAGCCTACTCGCGAGCTATCCACCCCCTCGTCTTCTCCTCCGTCAGAACAATAAGACAGATGTCGTCCGTCGAGGCCACGATCGAGGCCGCTAAACGGCTCGCCGCGTTCACCGCGATCGATACGCATTTCCCGAAAGACGCAAAAGTGGTCGGTATTGGCTCGGGATCGACTGTGATCTACTGCGTGGAGCGCATTGTGCAGAAGAAAGCCGCGGGCGAGATCCCCGCCGACGTCGTCTACATCCCCACGGGGTTCCAGAGTAAAGAACTGATTATCAACGGCGGCTTACAACTCGGTGCTGTGGATGGCTACCCGGTCATCGACGTCGCGTTTGATGGCGCGGATGAAGTCGACCCTGCGTTGAACTGCATCAAGGGCGGCGGCGCGTGTCTGTTTCAGGAAAAACTGGTTGCTATCTGCGCCAAAAAATTCGTGCTCGTCGCGGACTTTCGCAAGAACTCGACCGCGCTTGGAACCCAGTGGCTGCAGGGCGTGCCGATCGAGGTCGTTCCTACCGCGCACGCTAAAGTTCGGCAGGACTTGCTGGCGATGGGAGCCAAGACGGTCACTTTGAGACTGGGAGGGAAGGCCAAGGCCGGGCCGGTGATTACCGACAACTGCAACGTGATTATCGATGCTCATTTCGGAGAGATTGCGGATCCTAGCACGTTGGCGAGGGAGATCAAGTTGCTGGTTGGTGTTGTTGATGTCGGGTTGTTTATCAACATGGCGGCGGCTTCTTATTTCGGAAACGAGGACGGAACTGTGACTGCAAAGTTCAGCAATGGCGATGTCAAGACTATCCAGTAGGTGTAAATACTTATAGACTAATTCATTAATACACTATCTTTAACACAACTACTTAATACAACATCCAACACCTATCTTTACACTATTATACACCGTACATATCAGAAGTCACTGCTGAAAGTAAACAAAGCCCGCGCTATCCCTCAAGACCTGCTTTGTATAATCGACCTCCGGATCAAACTCTTTCCACGTACTCGCGGGAAAGATGTGCTTATTCTTATCATACCAGCTCTTATGCACAACCTTTGTCCGCTTCGCATCAGCTCCCTGCGGATTATCGAAATCAAACAGCAGCCCGTTCTTGGTCTGCACTTTGTTGACGATAAAGTAGTAAAACTCGTAGTAATGCGGAATGATGATGTTGTCCTTCACCAGCATTATATCGTCAACCGTACCCCTGTGGAATTCCTTCTTGCCTTTCCTCGTCCGGTCGAGCATGAGCCAGACCTGATCGCCCTTTTTGATCGTCAGCGAGCTTTTCGAGTACGTGCCGTCGTAGTAGCAAAACTCCATCTCGAACTGCTCTTGTTTGATCTTTTCTTGCCGCTGCAGGTATTCCCGTGTCAGTTCCTCGCGCTGCTTCTTTTCCCACTCTTCGAGTTTTTTGGTTTTCAGGAATGACGAGTCGACGGTGGGATCTGCTTTCCTTTTTCTTTGATTCAGTGGTGTTTTTTCCCGCTCTTTCGTCTCTCCTTCATCCTCCTCCTCCTCCTCATCATCTCCCTGGAACGACAGCTTTGTCTTTTCAATATTCCTCGTCTTCTTCACCTTCTTCTTCACCTCAGGCTCACTACCCTCCCCCTCCGTCCCTCTCCGCTTGACATCCATATCCTCCCTCATCTTCTTCAACCCCTCGAGATCCACAAGCCCGACCGCTTCCGTCGCCATCATCTTCTCGACCGTGGACATCGACGAGGCAGTGAACTCTCGAACCCCGGTCTTTGACGCCGCCACCTCCCGCAGCAGCGCCTCTGTTCGCTCGATATCATCTTTTTGCTTCTTTGTCAGGTTTGTGTTTGCCAGCCGAGCGGCTTTGGCTGAAATCGCGGGCTTTGTTGCGCGGGAACTCATTGTGGTGTGTGGATAGAAGAGAGAGGAGGAAGAGGAAAGTTTTTATGACGTAAACATTGGGAGTTTAAACCCTACAGAATCTACTCGACGGTCTATAAGTCTACTCGACAGTCTGTTGCATTAACATTGAACAAGTAAACTAGGCAAGAAGCTCAGGCGCTACAGTAGCAATGATCTTGATGTGCTTATCCTTGTTGTTAATAAGCTCATTAAAACCTCCCTCGATAATATCCTCGACCGGCACTCTTGCGGTAATCATCTTTCCAAAGTTCTTCATCTTTCCCGTCGCGATCGCATCAATCACCGCCGCGAAATCTTTACCGGTATAGCCAACCGATCCCATGATGATTCGCTCACGCATCATGACGTCAGCGGGATCGTACTGCGTCGGCTTTTCCCAGAGCGCGATGTTCATCGCGATACCGCCGACAGCGAGAGCGGTGAGCGAAGCCTTGAAGGTGGCCTGCACGCCAGAGCAGTCGTAAGTTCGGTCAACGCCCTCGATTCCGACAATCTCCTTCACTCTTGCCACGGCGTCCTCCTTCGAAGGGTCAATTGCATAGTCGACGGCAAACTCCTCAGCCTGCTTCCGTCTCGCGAGTGCGGGCTCGGAAACAATCACGGTCTTTGCGCCCTTGGCTTGCAGACAGAGAATAGTAGCGATTCCGATCGGCCCGGATCCCAAGACAAGAGCAGTCATGCCTGGCTTGATGCCGCTGAGCTCGACGGCGTGCCAGGCGACAGAAAGGGGCTCGACGAGCGCGCCGTACTCGATGGGCAGGTCGTCGGGGAGCTTGAAGACTTGTTCGGCGGGGACGACGACTTTCTCAGCCAGGCCGCCGCCGAGACCGGTGAGGCCGTAGAAAGCAGGTCCGTAGATGCAGCAGTTTGTTCTGCCAGCGAGGCAGTTTGCGCACTTGCGGCATCGCTGGGTGGATTCGACGCAGACCTTGTCGCCGACTTTCAGGCCGGAGACCTCAGGGCCGACCTCGAGGACGACGGCGGAGAACTCGTGGCCGAGGATGACTGGGATTGCCTCGGACGTGAGCGGGTGAGGGTGGACGGGACAGGTGGAGGGGCCTCCGAGGAATTCATGCAGATCGGAACCGCAGATTCCGCACCACTTGGGAGCGAGAAGGACGTCGGTGGGCAGCTTGATGACGGGCTCGGGCAGGCCAGTTTCGATGCGAACGTCGCGGTTTCCGTGGTATCGAAGGGCTTTCATGGTGGGTGATTGAGTGACGTGGGAGAGAGAGGTGAGGAAGAGAAGGCAGACGGAGGAGCGCGGGGTTGAGCCCGGAAAAGTGCAGGGTCCCCGCGTTATGCAGAAACAGGTGCGGATGGGCTGATAAGTTGATGTGCGATACTGTGATGAGTTAGTTGATATATGCTGAGATTAGCAACAGATAAACATTAAGCAGTCAATTGCCACTTATATCACCTCAATCCCAACTTTCATCTCTCTTCTCACCTCTCAGATCAGCTCAGGGCGGAATCGCGATGGATTTCAGAGCGATCTGTCATGGAATTGATAATGAACACAGTCATCAATTACATAATCAATCCACGTGATCCAAACAATGTCGTCGCGGAACGGCATCGCGGGAGGAGCCTCGAGGCAGCCTTCAGTTTTTCTCTCTTCCGACTTTTCTTTCTTCTTTTCCTCCACCTTCGCCTTTCTCTCTTCACAAGTGTTCCAATTCACTTCTCTCTTCCTCAATTAACAAAATGGTGAGTTCTCCTTGTTCTCTTCTTGTGCAGATCAATCTCTTTGCTCTCTTTGCTCCAAATCATCTCTCTGCGGCCCTGCTCGGATGTCTGTCACCATCTGGACCCCACACAGTCTCTTTTCGCTCCTCCTCCTCTCCACCATCGCTGCTCTTCTTCTCTCCTTCTCAGAGATTGATCCTTATTCACATCATCTACCTCCACTCCTCCATCTACAGATCACTAACTACCCATGTCTACCCCCCAGGCTCGCAAATTCTTCGTTGGCGGTAACTTCAAGATGAACGGCTCCAAGGCCTCCATCAAGGAGATCGTCGAGTCCCTCAACAAGGTCGACATCCCCGACACCGTCGGTACGCTTCCTCTCTTTTTTCTCCTCCTTCTCCTTCTTCTCATCTCCTCTAACCACCCCCCCCAGAGGTCGTCATCGCGCCCCCCGCTCTCTACGTCCACTGGGCCAAGGAGCACTTGACCAACCCCAAGGTCGAGCTTGCGGCTCAGAACGCCTTCCCCAAGGCCAACGGTGCCTACACCGGTGAGATCGCGTGAGTCCGCTCTCTCTCTCTCTTCTCTCCTCTCTGCTTCTCCTGCCTTTACTGACGCACACACCAGCGCCCCGCAGATCAAGGACGTCGGTGCCGAATGGGTCATCCTCGGCCACTCCGAGCGCCGCAGCATCATCAAGGAGTCCGACGACTTCATCGCCGAGAAGACCGTCCACGCGCTCGAGAGCGACCTCGGCGTCATCCTCTGCATCGGCGAGCTCCTCGAGGAGCGCCAGGCCGGCGAGACCGTCGCCGTCTGCACCCGCCAGCTCGAGCCCGTCGTCGAGGCCGTCAAGGACTGGTCCAAGGTCGTTGTCGCCTACGAGCCCGTCTGGGCCATCGGCACCGGTCTCGCTGCCACCCCTGCCGACGCGCAGGAGACCCACGCTGCGATCCGCAAGTACCTTTCCGAGAAGATCGGTGCGCAGGCCGACGGCGTCCGGATCCTCTACGGCGGAAGCGTGAACGGCAAGAACGCCCACACTTTCAACGACTGCCCGGATATCGACGGCTACTTGGTCGGCGGTGCTTCCCTGAAGCCCGAGTTTGTCGACATCATCAAGAGCCGGCCTTAAGCTGATGTTGTCTTCTGTAGCTATTTTGAATACATTCAGTCATCTTTTTACACGAGTAGATATTATATCATCTTTTTACATGGGTAGATTTCTAGATACCTGTCTAAACTTTTAAGTATACAAACCTAGTGAGCCAACCCGAACTTTTTGCACTCGACCAACACGTCCCCAAACACACCCGGCTCGCCCTGCGTCACAACAGTCGGCTGCCTGCTCGCAGTCCCCTTGTTGCGCACATTGCCCCTCAGCACCCGCTTGGCCACCCTCCGGATGTCAGAGACCGTCAACGCGTCGATCTTCGCGCACATCTCCTCCACCGGCACCCGCGTGCCCATCTGCAGCACCTGTCGCCCCGTGTCCTCGAGCTGGACCAGCTTGCTCTCGAGCGTCATCAGCATCGTGCTCCGCAACTGGTTCTTCGCCCGCGTAACGTCAGTCTGCGTCAGCCCGCCTGCGAAACTAGACATCAGGTACCCGAGCTGCCCGCAGATGATCTGCGGAACCATCTTCGCGTACGAAGGCAGGCATGCCACCGAGATTCCAAACACCCCAGAGTCCGAATACACATGGTTGAACGACTGGCAATTCTCGATAAACGCGTACCGATTCAACACGCCCGTGTACAGCCGCGAGTACATCCCCTTGCCCGGTCCTCCCGCCGAAAACGACCCTCCGCCGCCGAGCAAGACCTGCAGCGTGGCGATCGCGTAGATATCAGGGTCATCGAGCGCCAACGCTTCGAATCCGAGATAAATCCGCGCGAGCTCGGGCTCGTTCGGCACATGCTCGACCGGCATGTCACCCATATCGTGCACGCCTCCCACATACCGCGAAACCTCACGCTCGACCGGGATATGCGACTTTTGCATATCGCCAAACTGCTTGTGCGCCATCTCGACCGCGCGGTCGTGGTCAACGCCAATAAACGCCACCACCATCCTCTCCGGAGTGTAGAACTTCTCGCGGTACCGCATCACGTCATTCCGACTGATCACATCCAGCCTTTCCTCGGGACACAGCGGAGGCAAGCCGAGCGTGTTGTCCCGGTACGCACACATGTCCACGCACTCTGGCAGGACCATATCGGGCTTTTCCCAGATCTGGGCAATCTCATACCTCATTGACTCTTTCTGGTTCTTGAGTTCTTCCTCGGTAATCTGCGGCCAGCGAATAGTCGCTGCCATCAGCTCAAACATCTCCTCGACATTATGATTGAATACTGCCGCCTGGTAGAGCATTATCTCCCGCGACGAGAGACACATGTGGTTTCCGCCTAGCGAGGCAAGTTTCAACTCCATAGTCTCCGCGCTCATGCCGACAGTTGACTGTTCAGTGTCAGCAACAGCAATTTTCAGAAAACTCATGAACTCAAGAAAAACAAGAGAGACTTACCAGATAAGACAGCCGATCTATTACATGACTGACACCGATCAGCGACGAATCTTCATACCGCGTACCGGCGTCAATGTATACCCCCAGAGTCGAGAAATGATGCGGAGGCCCATCAGTCACGACGCGAAGCCCGTTCGGCAGCGTCGTAATCTTGAACAGCGACTCCGGCAATTCCTACACATCAACAACAACAACAATCAGTAACCCGTACTTTCACCTCACGGCAAACGCAGTCGTCCATACTTGACTTGAGAGAGATCGCGAGCTGCTAAACTTCCTCCGCACGAGTCGGCTGATTCCGGCATTCTCACCCAGCGACCGCCGAGCAGCGCACTGTAATGTTTTTGACAACATTCTCTTGCGTATTTGAATACACAAAAGTCTGTGAATTATTATAAAAACGAGAAACGCAGAGAATCAGGAAGATGCAGACGAGGCGGCAGGTCGGGAAGAAGTTCGACAATTTCTAATCCTCTGATGTCCGACAAAAAAATGTTTACGGCCCAGAATAGCCAGAAGCGCATTAGTAAGCGCTGGCTTTCTATTCTGGGTATAATTATCAGTAAGCACTACTCAGGGCCCTGTAAATTACATATCCAAATATGTTTACATCCAATACATCCTCTACATCTACAACATACATTCATGCACTGCTGATACTCCATAATGTCAAACAGCCTGGGCATAAACGCAGGCCGCCCCACGCCCCCCTCAGACATCTCCCACCCCCCTCCCTCTCCCCACCGCGACACCCCCACCAGCGCCTCGCCCACGTCCACCGACGCAAGATCATCCCACCGACCGCTTCCGCAGCCCCTCACGACAGCCAGGCAGAGCCTGCAGGGAGCTCACTCCAGAAGCGCGTCTCTGGGAAGCACAAGGCCGTCTGTGCAGCGGCTGCATGAATGGGCTGCTGCGAGTAGGAGTAATAGTAGCTCGTGGTCGCCGGCAAGATCGTCGTCTGCTGAGAGCGCACGGCAGATACAGTTACCGCCACAGATTCTTCAAGCGGACCTGCGCAGACGGACCCCGTCAGTTGTTGACGTTGACACCGACGTCAGTGTTGAGGCGCGGAATACAAGCACTGCGGAACCCACCCGACCATCATCCAGTGCTGATCTAGTCGACCTCGACGACGAAGACGCCATACAACCAAGAGCGAAGCGCCAGCGCTTCAACCCAGCCGACATCATTGATCTCGACGGCAGCGACTCAGACCCTCTATTCCCAGACGACTCAGACCAAGACGACGAAGCCGAAGACGAAGACGACAACGACGACGACAACGAACAGAGCGCAGAACACAAAGAATGGCAACGCAAACAACTCGAGAAACCCACAGAAAGCTCAACCCTCCTGAGCGACCTCAACTGCGTCATCTGCTTCGACCAGCCTGACGTCCTAACGCTGACACCCTGCGGCCACATGTTTTGCATGGACTGCATCTGGCGCGCTCTCTGCACCGGACCTAAAGTCACGCCTACGGGCGGCGAATGCCCGATTTGCCGCCGAAAAGTACATTATAAGAAACTGCTGCCGCTGCAGATGAGACTGGCGGATGAGGAGCTGGATGAGCTCGATGAGGTAGAGGGTCCTCAAGCGAATGATTAGCACTAGCATTTTGGCAGAAGCATGGGTTTTACTATATGATATTTACGGAGTTTGGGGAAGTGTACAGCATTCATATCTCTATTCGGTGTTTCTTTCTATATTTTTGTGATTTTTTTTCTGTAAACAATACAATTCATGCCGTTTTCTTCTTCTTGTTCTTTCTCTTTGTCTTTTTGCCGTTGGACTCGTTCGAGCTGTCATTCGAGTTGGGAATTGGAGCCACAACATCATCAACGCCAAACCCGTTCCACTCCTCCACATCGTCCTCCTCATCCTCATTTTGTTCCTCACTTTTCTCCTCATGCTCACGTTTTCTATCCGCTTTTGGAGCCATCTCAAGTGGCTCACCAACCTTCTCAAATCCAGCAACAAAAAACCCAATTCCGCCATCAGCAACCGGCTCGGCTCTGACGCACCCGTCTGCTAACTCTGCCGGACTCTGGACATCATACCCCTCTCTCTGTATTCCTTCAAACCGCTCCGTCCATCCTCTTCTCTCCCAGTGCGGAATCGCGTCTTGTCGTTTCAGCAACCGCCAGCCCAGACGTGCGACGTCGGGATCGGTAAGTAAACCTCTGACGACGTCCTCGTTCTCCTCCGCATGGATCGAGCAGGTCGAATACACCACCCGCCTGACGTTTGGGAAATCCACAAGCGCGTGCTTAACGATTTTTTTCTGGAAATACGCGAGATTGAAGAGTCTGCTCGCCAATACCTCTTTATCATTCGTAGTAATAACCCCGTCCTGCTCGTCCTCTATACCCTCGATCTCTTTTGTCCTGCTAACCTTGAACTCGTCCTTGCGGAAAATACCACTTCCCGAGCACGATGGATCACATAATATCCGCTCGACCTTGTTCATCTCTGGCGGTTTACTCCGCGTGAAATCCGAGTTTTCAACACGCACCATGTCGCCCGCGCCCGCGCGCTTGACCATCCGCGAAAGTACCTGCGCCCGCGCCTCGTCGCGCTCGTACGCAATCACAGACCCATCGCCGCCCATGAGCGCGCATATATGAGTCGTTTTATTTCCCGGCGCCGCGCAGGAATCAATCACGGTCTCGCCGGGGTGCGGGGCGAGGATCTGTGCTGGAAAGCAGGACGCTCGGTCTTGCAGGATAAGCGCACCTGTTTTGTACGCCTGTGTTCCGAGAATAAGACGGGTGTGCGTGTTTGCGACCGCGTAGAGGTTTTCGATGTACGGGTCTTTGTAGATTGTGTTTGGGGGAGGAGGGAAGGTAGTTGTCGGCGAGAATGGGAGAATTTCTGGTAGAGCGGATGCGAGCACTGTATTCACTCTGATCCAGCGAATCTGGCGGTCTATAGCAGCGTGTCAACAACCAGCCTGTACAAAATATAAAGCGAGTGTATATACCATTAGCAGAAGCGTTGAAAGAAGAGAGATCTGCTATCCCCTTCTTCACCAACACTTTTGTAAACTCGCCCTTCAATCTGACCTTGTGCCTAAGCACTGCATCCTTCAACGGTCCCTTCCCGGCCGTGATCCCGGTCTTTGAGATCAACAAATCATGTAGCAAGAGTACCGCAACCGAATAACTCAACCTGCGCTCCTCTTTCAAGATCTGACTCTCTTTGATCACGACATCGAGCAGTTCCTTGTACCTGATTGTCGACCGCAGCAGCGCGTAGATCCGCTTCGGCTCGGACTTGAGCGTCGAGAGTTTCGCCTCGATCCGCGCATGCAGGGCCGAGAAGCTGTTTACCGACTCGGTCGCGTATGCAGTTTTCTGGTCTATAAACTGAGCAGAGTCGAGGTAGAGGTTCATCGTTGCTGCTTGTTCTGTTATAGAATCGAAAAAAAATCGAGGAATAAAAAATAAATTCGCTAAGAAAGTTCAAAGGTGCGGCTTTGGCTGGGTCATTAGTGGATTGATTTGGCTGCACCATTTCTCCTTTGCTCATCATCAACAGCTTCACGAGATGTATCATCTGGCGAAGGGAATATACTACGAGCTGACAAGGAAAGAGGGTGAGTGGGATTGTCTACTGATAGCTGTATTTACCTGTTTGGAGCTACCGCTGACACATTGCAGAATACTCCGTCCTGATCCTGGGCCTCGACAACGCCGGCAAGACAGTACGTAGCTGCCTCACTTGTTCTGTATCAGCCTGCTAATAATACTCCATCACAGACTCTAGTCGAGAAGCTCAAGAGTATATACAATGAAGGCCGATCAATGGCTCCAGACAGGATTGTCCCCACCGTCGGACAGAATGGTGCGCCGCCGCTGCTGCCTCCCTGCTCTTTGACATAATCATACTAACGCCTCTCTGCAGTCGGCCACATCACAATCAACCGCATGAATCTAAAACTGTGGGACGTCGGAGGCCAGGACATGCTCCGGCAGCTATGGAAAGAGTACTACGCCGACTGCCACGCCATCATCTTCGTCGTCGACTCCACAGACCGCGCGCGAATCGAAGAGTGTCGCGACACCCTACAAACCGTCGTCACGCACGAAGACACAGAGGGCATCCCTGTGCTGATGCTCGCAAATAAGCAGGATCGCGATGACAGTCTTGAGGTCGAGGATATCAAAGAAATCTTCAACAAAATCGCAGAAAGCCTCGGCGCGAGAGATAGTAGAGTGCTGCCGATATCTGCGTTGAAGGGTACAGGCGTCACGGAGGCCGCAGACTGGCTCACGACTAGATTAATGAGGAATAAGCAATATCGGCCGCCAGACAAGCGGTGATTGCGTTTTACTTAGTAGGAGTCAATGTATACAGCATAGTCAATAAGTAATATCAATTTTTGTTACAACAGTTCGAACCAGCATAGCACAGATAAAAGACAAAAAAGCATCAAAAGACAAAAGCTATGAAGGATCAATAATATTACAAAACGAACGACTATAGGAATATCACAAGAAGTGACGGGTTCGCATCGGCTCGTAAAACATGAAGATTGCTGAGTAGAAAACAATGAAAAATAAGAATAAAAATGAGAAATAAGAAAAACGCCATTTCAAAACAACAACTGATTCTTGCGACAGCAGTCGCAATGGAAAGGCCCAAGAAGAAAAATCAGCGCGAGCAATGGAAAACAAATAATTCTATATGTACACGAAAGCAAAAGAGGACATCGAATGATAGTTGCAGAAAAAGGTAATGGCTTCAAGATACAATGGAAAGACATGAGACAGGAAAAAGCCGCAATGATAAGAAAGCAGCTTTGTCGAGTCGAGAGTTTTAGATCACAAAGGGAAACAAGGAAAAAATAGAACAAACCCCGCATAAAGAAGACATAAAGAAAAGCAGCATGAATGAAACGCCATCTTCTTGAATGAACAATTTATAAGCTTTCCAACGCAAAAGATGAAGGGCTTGCAAAACAGAGAGAAAATTGAGAAGAAAAAAGTTGAAAATAGAAATAAACGGAAACTCCTCGAATGTAAAGATGAAAGGTAAAAGTATAGAGGAGACTACTCCTGGCCGAGATACTTGTATTTCATGGCCACTCTTGGGTAGTAGATTCGTCGCATGACGAGGTAGGAGGTGAATCCAAAGACGGCGGCGATCATGAAGCCAATAATGGTGAAGAAGAGCCAGTGCAGGCCGAGGTACTTGATCCACTTGGCGTCATCCTCGTGCCAGCTTGAGCCGTGGAGGTCGTTGAAGTAGGAGGCACCGGGCTCGGCGGGCATGAGGATCCAGAGCTGCTCAGAGTCGGTGACAGCCCATCGCTTGAATTGCTTCCAGATGACGGAGAGGAAGAGAGGGCCAGTGGCGTACATGACGGTGATGTAGGGCACTCCCCACTGGAAGTCGTAGTTTTTGAGCTCGAGCATGACGCGCATGAAGAACGGGTGGTGAGGGGTGGAGCCCATGACTGAGTTTGAGATACCGGTGGGATCGGCCTTGCGAACCCAGGCAGGGTAGGTAAGAAGAGGGTCGAGACGAGAGACACAGCCCTGAGAAGTCAGATCAGCAGAGGTAAGAATAAAGAGTGAGTGTGGGGAAGACATACCTCATCTAGGTCGATATAGATGCCACCGAAATGGTTCAAGACGAAATAACGAATAGCGTCGGCGCGCATGATTGGGAACGGGTAGCTATCGAATGTTTCCAAGAACCACGGGTATTCCTGCTCGATAAAATCGCGCGAGCTGGCGTCGGTCCATAGCTAATGAGAAGGTCAGTTTTTAGAGTTCAAATTCCAGACAAAATCGCGCGCGAGGTGGTGAAGGACGAGCGACGCGCGAGGATGACAAGATAGAGAAGAAGGGAAAGACGCACTTTGTATTCAAAATCGGGGTGCAGGTCGAGGCAGGAGGCCTGGGCGGTCTTCCATTGCTCGGGGACGGTCTCGTTCTTCCAGGTCTGGTGGAGGATCTTGGGGATGAGCTGAGGGTTTGAGGTGGAGTATTTGCCGGTGGCTTTGTCGAAGGAGGGGACCTCGAAGTCGATGGCATTGTCTGTGGCGGGGTCGAAGAGGAGGACGATGTAGTCGAAGGTGATGACGATGCCGATGAAGACGATGAGGCCGAGGACGACGAGGGGGACAGCCCAGGGTTTCCTGAGGGTGTGGACGGCCATGGTGGATATGATAGATAGGATAGTAGCGAGCGGGCGGGCGGATAGGATAGGATAGAGATAGACGAGGTGAGTAGAAGAGAAAGAGAAGAATATAGAGAATAAGCAGAGCTACTGCATAAATAGTAGCAGCAACAAGAGAAGATGAAAGCGGCAAAGATATTGAACAAGAAAGAGCGAAAGGCGATGGAGAAGAGGAAGAGTCGAAACGCGTGGCAACGAGCGGCGCGCCTTCCTCGCCCTCCGAGCCCCCGGCGACCGGGCTGTGCCTCTCCTGCACCGCGCCGTTATCAGCACAAACGCCGCTAGCCCGATTCGGCGGTACAACACCCTCGCCTGGATCGGCCCAGATCGGTGTCAGCCCAACAAGATCGCTACAACACCCGCGCTGGTCTGTTAGCACACATGCACCGCATCGCCACCTCATCCGCACGTGACCTTCTTTGTCTTCTTGAGGTTGAGCCAAGGTCTGCCCAGACTTATGGCCAGACTACGGCAGACTGCCTGCGCCAATAGAGTCAGCTCGTGAATATCTTCTTGTCTTTTGTCTGCTTTCTTATTCTACTTCTACGTCTTTTACTTCACCTCTCGTCACTTGGTTCGAACGAGGGACGGCACAGCAGAGGGGTGCCTGACATACTGTCTGTCGCCTACAAGACAATGGATCACATCAACTCACAATAACTCACACTCAACTCACATACGCTCTTTCACCCGCAAATTCACTACTATCCTCGCCCAGCCTGAACTCCATCTTATATCTACTTCTCGGCATCTCCCTCACCACCTTGGCACTGTTCTCATATCCAATTACTCTCTCTTCTCTGCCACACGTGTGTCCTCTGGTTTCTTACTTCTCTTCAACTGTCTTCTCAACACATATCCAGCCAACGACGTCCTCTCTTTCATAGGCGTGCACTCGCATTCTGTCTCTGTATCCTGCCTCTGCATCCTGTACCTGATCTTTTATATATCACCCCCGCTCCTTGTTCTTCTGCTCGTTGCTCTACTCTGCTTGATATACTCGCCTGTCTCTCCTTCCTACAAACCATCATGGCTTTGCATGAATTTGACTACCTCTTCGCCATTGGCATGATATTTGCCTTCCTCGATGCTTGGAATATCGGAGCAAACGATGTCGCAAACTCTTTCGCTACCTCTGTAGCATCTCGCTCTCTTACCTACCCCCAAGCCATGGTAATCGCCGCGCTCTGCGAGTTCCTCGGTTCTGTTCTTCTCGGATCACGCGTGGCCGATACCATCCGCAACAAGATCTGTATGCTTCTTCCTCTTCTTCCTCTTCTTCTTGTATCTGAGAGCTAACATCAAAAAGTGGATGTGACTCTTTTCGAAGAAGCCCCGGCTACTCTCCTGCTTGCCATGGTGTGCGCCGTCATCGGTTCCTCGCTCTGGCTCACTCTCGCGACCCGCATCGGCGCTCCGGTCTCCACAACCCACTCGATCGTCGGCGCAATCATCGGATCCGGTATCGCCTGCTTTGGAACAGACGGGATTGTCTGGGGCTGGGACGGCTTTGGCAAGATCGTCGCCTCCTGGTTCATTGCCCCTGCCATCGCCGGCTGCTTTGCCGCCATCCTCTTCCTTATCACGAAATACGGTGTTTTGCAGAGAGGCGATAAAGCGCTCCGCAATGCATTCTATCTTCTTCCCGTTTACTACGCATTCACGGCTGCTGTTCTTTCTCTTGTCATTGTCTGGAAGGGAGCCCCCAGTCTCAATCTCGATGAGCTCTCTCCCGGAGGTATCGCCGGCGCTGTCTTGGGTACTGTGGGTGTTGTCGTCTTGCTGTATGTCTGCTTCTTCTTACCCTACATGCGCCGTCGCTTGATTAAGGACGACTGGACTATGAGATGGTATCATGTTTTTATTGGGCCTACTCTGTGGAAGCGCGGTCCCGTCCCCCCTGCTCCTCCTGGTGTGTCTGCCGTCCCAGATTTCTACAGCGGCCATGAGGCGCTGCCTGATCCGAAGGAGCAAATTGCTGCAGTAAACGACGAGAAGATTGCCTCGACAGCCATCACCAACGAGGAGTTTGATCGGGCACAAACTGAAAACAGTGGGAGCGGCAGCTCTTTCGAGGCACCTACCCCTGCAGCTGAGATCACCCCCTACCAGGATCCCACAGAGCGGTTCGTCTCTCGTCTTGCCGAATTCGAAAAGGAGGGCCGAGAAAAGAAATGGTACAATCCGCACGGTCTGCTCACGCGTATTATGTACGGACTCACCTACGGAGTCCGTCAAGATGTCATTTCCCACCAACTCTCGGGCAACGGCGGCTTCCTGGCTGGAGATGTCGCTGCTCGAAACCGTGCTGCTCCACGCTACGACAACAAGGTCGAGTACCTTTACACTTTTCTGCAAGCTCTGACGGCCGGCACTTTATCTTTTGCGCATGGCTCAAACGATGTTTCGAATGCAGTCGGCCCTCTGGCTACTATCTACATCGTCTGGTCAAAGAATATCGCCGGCTCAAAGTCGGATGTGCCGGTCTGGATTCTGGTCTACGGTGGTGCTGCTATCGTTATCGGTCTCTGGACATATGGATACAACCTCATGCGCAACCTGGGCAACAGACTTACGCTGCACTCGCCCTCTCGTGGATTCTCGATGGAGCTCGGTGCGGCAATCACGACGGTCTTTGCCACCAAGCTCTCGCTGCCCATCTCCACCACTCAGTGCATCGTGGGCGCGACCGTCTTCGTGGGCCTCTGCAACAACGACTTCCGAGCGGTCAACTTCCGCATGGTGATGTGGTGCTATCTCAGCTGGATCCTGACGGTGCCCTGCGCTGGAATCATCTCTGGCTGCATTTGCGGAATAATCATCAACGCCCCGCAATTTATGGCAAAGTACACCATGACCTGACGCATGGGCTGGAATATATAGCGCCTCTGTTGTTCTATATTTTCCCCGCTAATTCTCGCTTTATAGCCTGCTTGGTTTCTCGTTTGTTTTTTCTTTTTCACGATTAATTTCCTCTTAATAAAAATACATACACTTCATCGATCGATCCTCGGCAGAGCAGATCTACCCCTCTTCTCAGTAATCACCCTGGAGTCTGCTTATTGAGCTGGCTCTGCATTTATAATCCGGATCGTGCAATCGAGGGCAAATTTAGCCCTGGAACCGAGCTTCCGGTGTCTTTCAATCTATTTATTTTGATTGTTTTCTGTTTCACTTCCCCGGCGCGGCGCTGGTAAAACATCACGTGACTATAACAGCGGCGTATGCAGCAGACAGAAGATCCGTGATGAGCAGGCTCGGGGCAGCGCAAAAGCCTAAATTAAAGGCAGGGTCCATGTCCGCTAATGTCACCGTCGTGGCCTCCACTGTTCTGAGCACTTAGAGCTCCCTGCACGGACGCGTGAGCTACAAGAGTGTCTTTGCTGAACAAACCTGCTCAGGAACCCGCCCGGAAATGCTCTGAATACCGGCTGCTATCTGAAATGCTGCCCTGTGAACCGTCGCCTCCACCGCACAACCATCGCGCACTCCGCTCAGTCAGCACTCGTGAAGCTCAACAGATCTGATCAACCGCTCTTCTTACACCCATCTCTCCGAATCAGACGCCGTCAGCTTCCAGCCGTATCTCAACATGGCTTCTGGCGTCCCGACCGGCCGAGATACGAGCGGCAATCCTGCTATCACAAAGCCTACCCGGAAGCGAGGGAAATATGTCGCAGCTGCATGGTAACGTCGCAAATGATCTACATCGTGCTCAAAACCAGAAATACATCTGACACTGATATCCTCTTATAGCACCGAATGCAAGCGAAGAAAAGTCAAGGTATGCAAGAGTCGCCGTACGATCCGAATGCTTCCGAATGCTAATCTTCTACTCCCAGTGTAATGGCGATGCAATCTGCGCGCGCTGTACAAAGATGAACCTCGTCTGCACCTATAAACCTGATGGCCACACAGCTCAGCAAAGCAGAGGCTCAATGTAATGCTCCATCATCTCTTACTTCTCTCTTGTACCAACCTCTAACCTCCTCTGACAGAAGGCAATCAAAACACCATTCTCACTCGCCTCTCCCACCTACCAACAACACAGCCCCGCCAGCAGGACAGTCGCAACTTCTTCCTGGCGTCGCCCGGATCATGTCTCAACCGTCGCAACCCAACGAATCAATCTCCTGCGATCTCCGCCCTCCGCTCGAATCAGTCCAGTCTGGTTCCGTGCCTCCGCTCTCCTCGATCCCAATCCAATCTCTAACTCACGCCAACCATGTCGAGTTCCCACAATCCACAGCACCGCTACCCCACCCCCAACTATCGACCGGTCCTACATCCCACCCGCCGAATCCTCCGAATTCATCCTACTTTCCCGGTCCGTTCACCACAAAACAGCTACCCTTTCCTGTCGTCGATCCTCGCTCGTCCGTGAGCTCTCCATCTGAGTCGTCTGCTGCAACCCACGGCTACGGATCTCTTTCGATGCTTTCGATGGAGTCTGGAATCGAACCCGGGTCCCGCTACAGTTCTCCCGGCAGACGCTCACGTGCACTACCAAAACCGGCTCGATCTTGGGAACAAGAAAACCAAAAGGCATTCACCGGACCGATGTCGGCTGCTACACCTTTCCAGCAGGCCTCGGATCTTCTCGACAAGCGCAGAGCATCTGTGGAGGGAAAATCAGAGGAAGACGAAGAGTGGGACGACGGGCTTTCAGACTATGACCATGAAGATCAGAGCTCGTCCAAGTCTGACGACGGATCGAAACCCAGGAATAAGCACAAACGAAATTGCCGATTTTTGTATAACGAGCACGAGACTGTGAAAAACCTCATCCAAGTTTATGAATCCGAAATCAACAGCATGTCTCCGATTTTTGAAGTCAACGAGCTCGACACAAAATACGAGCAGTTCAGACAGTACTTCTTTGAGCACCATGAAGAGTTTCCGGACGACCGGGACGTATCTGTCATCAAGCTTGTGGTCGCGACGGCCACCGGAGTTACCGAGAAAAACATCAAGGAAGGACGCAGACTATATCAAGAGGTTCTATCAATGACAGAGTGGCGTATTGTCGCCGGCACAGCTGACGTCTACACTCTGATCTCTTTATGGCTTATCCACAACTACCAATTCCATTCAGGCCTCGAGTCCCTGGCCTATCGAACTATCTGCTTCTCGGCGGTTTTGGCGGTTGAGTTGGGACTCCACCAGTCGAGTAAGATGAAGCAGATCTTCCCAGATCCTCGACAACGCGAGAGATGCTGCGCTCTGTTTTGGTGTATCTATGTCGTTGAGCGTCGTCTGTCGTTTAGTACCGGCCGTCCACATGTATTGCACGAGGACGATATCGACCAGAAACTACCCATGGCGTTTGAGAACGAGCCGGGTATATCAGACGACAAGTTGGTGCGATCATTGTACTTAAACGCGATGGTTGCCTACACTCAAGTCGCAGGACGCGTCTGGCGCGCTTCTTCCTCATTCAAGCCTCCCGAGCGTTGCGACATCAACACTGAAGAAATCGACTACATCGAGTTCCTAATCTCGAAATGGTACAATGGCCTGCCTCGTCAGCTGCGCTTGTCTCGTCCGTCAGATCCTGCTTACCTGCCACCACCTATGCTGTCAAGGAAGCTACAAACCATTCTGTACCTGCGATCCAACCTGATGTTTCTGCACCTCTACCGTCCTGTCCTGTTTTCAAATCGCACGATTGCCAAACACATGCAGTACGCTTTCCGGGCTGTCGAAATCGCGCTGGACTCGATCCGAGAGCTGTATCGACTGCATTTCGAGTCTGATCTCTACTCAAAGTGCCAGATCCATTACAATTACTTTTTGTTGACCGCCTTGGGTGTATTGTTCACCGCAATCATCCATGCGCCAAACGTCTTTGCCGCCCATTGCAAGCGGGAGTTCAACATGGCCCTCGATCTCATCAAGCTCTTTTCTAAAGTCTCTAGTGTCGGCAAAAGACTTTGGGCTACGGTGAAAAAGCTGCGCTCGGTCTCGGCGGCGATTGCAAAGACCCCGGCAGTACCTCTCGAGAACCACAGTGCTGTTTCCGTGGCGCAGGATCCGACTCAGAGACGACCTGAATATCACGGCGATCGAAATATCACATCTCAACCGGTCAACAATGAACCAGTGCCGAACATTGCGGTTCCTCAACACATTCATCCTTCTCCAGCCCAACCGGTCGACAGTCCCCATCGATCTGTGAGTGTCTCGGCGACGTCCACCCCCGTCAACTACAACGTGAACCCGATCGGCAACGGCGATGATTACATGCACCCCAGAAACGAAAACCGTGCCTCTGTCGAGAACTCATCCAACTCGTCGATCGACGGCCAAAATCTTTCCTCAGAGGTGTCGGACTTGTTCTTCATGGTCACCGGCAACATCCAAGGAAATGGCTACACTCCCGTCCCTCCTGCTCCAATGCAACAATACAATTCAGCGCCCACGTCGCAAACTTACTCCGTTCCTGTACCCGCCCCGGTTGTATCTCAATCACTCAACACTTCTCACGGACCTTTACCACCTCAATACTCACCCACGCAACTCCAGCCTGGTCTGCAATATCCATTCACCGACTCGAACGCTGCTTTTACTCCGCTGGGCATGGAAGCCGCGTACGTCGCTCAAATGCTGGCGCAGGGTTCACGAACTGATAGCCATGACGATGAAGTTTTCAAGTTGATTGATAATTTGTTTTAGGTAGGATGCTATCTACCAATCAAAAAGACTCTTTTTTGGACATTTTGGTCATAAAATATGACTACACGTGGCCGTGGAGTTTTGCAGTGATGTGATTCGGTTTGTTTTTGGTGCTATTTATAATGTAATATAGGGGTATCTCCGGTTAGTTGGAGTGTACTATTAATTGTACAGATAGTTTGTCGTGATCGTGGCAGGGCGGTCTTATGTGATGTCATTGGTATCGTTAATGCACCTGGTATCAAGATATGAAAGCGCACGATCGAATGTATGAATCTCTCAGTAGCTCCTCGTTCTAAAAAATCAGGCTCTGCACGGTTAACCTTGAAGTCAACTACGGATACCGCGAGTTCCTTGACTAGTGTCACTAGACTCTACCATTACATTACTTCTTATAAAAGCGACAATTATTAATTTGATAATATCAAGGACAGAATTAGAAACAAACCCTACACAGATTCACTCGTCATTCATGAAATCGTTGAGGAACTTATTACGAGCGATAAAGCTCCGCGCGCGCTTTCCAAAGATCCACAACGGAATGGTACTCAAGCACGACAATACAAACAGCATGCCCAAGATACAAAACACCTTAAGAGCGCCATCTTTCTCCAGCCAGTCGTTGACAAAGTAGGTCAAGCCGAAGGTAAGTACGTTGCGTAGATTGATAGCGACAAACGCTTCCTCAGAGAGTTTCGGATGTGAATCCATCACGTAGCCAAAAACGCAACCGGACGCAACAGCCATGCTCATATTGGCGAGGCCGTAAGTGAAGACAGGGCCCATCCAGTGTGTCTGGTAGTGTACGCAAGCGCCGAATCCGAAAAACCCGCAAGCTCCCAAAATCATCACAGGGATGATCAAGACCAGGCGGAACTCCGACTCATAGATACCCTTGTTCTTTTTAGCCAAGTAGACGCACAAGTAATCGTTGAGGGGACCAGCTGCGAGCTCTCCGATAATGACCAGAACGAAAGGCGAGATTCCAATAAGACCAGTCTGGCTGACAGAGAAGTTATAGGGTGGGGCGGTGAAGATGGACGCATTGACAACGCTGAAGACAACAATCCAGGTGGTCGTAGTACCGATGACCAAGAAAGCCCAGAAGACGGCAGGGTAGAAGAAGACAATCAGAGTACGGCAGATGATTCTCCAGAGAGGAGCAGCTGAGTAGCGACCAGTGTAGACGGCAAGAGAAGCAGTAAAGCTTTTCTTCGGGTCATCGGAACCCCAATGCACAGGGTGGACAGCCTCGCGCTCCGCGTCAAACTCCGCATCCTCTTTATCAGAGGTAGCATGGGTGTCTTCAATCTGCAGAGCCTCCTTCTTTTCCTCAAGGTTGAGCTGATCCGGAATAATGTCCAAAGGTGGGCGGATAAATGTTGTTTCGGGCACAAAAAAGAACACGAAAAACATGAGTACACCGAAAAATATAGCACAGAACCAGAAAGTCCACTTCCAGTGCATATTTTGAATAATGTAACCAGCGACAAGACCTCCACCTGAAATACCGCAGAGTAGGAAAAGATTCCACACTGCGACGCGGGTCGCCTTCTCGTGGACAAAGTACATGTCATTGAGAGTACACTGCACTAGAACTTCATAAGGAGCCATCCCAAATCCAGCATAAATTCTGCTGCCCAAAAGAGAGTTGAAGCTAGTAGAGGCTCCTCCCCAGATACAGCTCGTAAACATCAAGGTGATGGCGAAGATGTACATTGGACGCTTTCCATAGGCCTTTGCAAGAGGGTTGATGATGACGAGAGCGAGTCCGATAGTGAGCGTGAGCCACGAAGTAGTTTGCGACATGGAATTGACGGAGATTCCGAAATCTTCGGCAATAACGACGAATCCAGGCGAGAGCATAGGTCCGTAAGCTCCAACAACGGCGGCAGAGAAACCCACGATCAAAAGGATGCACTCCTTTTTCCATTGCGGCCACTGAAGATGGTTTTAGAATTTGTTTCTGTATCAGACCTCAAATCAAATGACAACTTACGTTGAGCGGATCGTTTGGGGAATCAGACGGCTGAGGCACTAGGACGACGTGAGAGAATCTTCCCTTGCCATGCTTGAGCAAGCTAGGTGGTAGATGGGCGTAGATCGTCGCGGCATCCTCCTGATCATTGAGGTTGGCTATGCACATACAGTTAGACCAAGCAACTAGATCATATTGAGCAGCAGCAATACATACCAGTTCCTGGAACAATGTCCAAATGGTTGTCTTCGAGGATTCCGAACGGCATGTTGCTCCTTATGTTTGAAACAGATAAGCTGATGAGCAATCAACAAAGGCATGCCAACCCTGGCGGACATGCCATGCCTTTATAAAAAGCTTTCCATAGACATCATCAGCCGTCTCTCCAAACAATTCAGTCTTGGATTGATGCGGGGAAGCAAGCTCATCGGAAAGAAGAAAGTGGGTAAGATCAGAATTTGGACGCCAAACGAGGGCCACAAAAGAAGGGCTGGTACGGAAATACTGTTGTGCCGTCAAAGCGCCAAGTAGGGTTTGGCAGAAGCGTGTTAATAGCCAAACAATAGAAGCCAGAACCACATAAAACTGTCGCCATCCAGCCAGTAGGTGTTCATCCATTATGACCACTGGAATCTTTGTTTTATCGTTCGCGAAGGCTATATATGCAATCCACGTTATTCTGAATAAACCCATGGTGTCAGGGTCGATGGACTAAAAGGCAAAACTTCAGAGTTACTCTCATCCAAAGATCACGCCCGATACTTTGGTCTTCAGTTCAGTTGAGTTGTGGAGACCAGGTCACGCTCAGGGTCTCGTCTGCAAAGGCAGGCACCGATAGTTCGCTCACGATGATCTTTATGTGGGTCAATTCCGATCGCCGTTTCAGTCGTCGTCGTTGTCGTCGTGGCTATCATCATGCAGATATAATAAAATATAGGAAAAAATTAAAGAAAGACAGGATCAAATGGACGAAATGTGTTTGAGTGACGGTGATCGAGCGGCTCCCAGGGAAACGCGGGGTAAACAATGCGGGGTACGGCTAATCATTCAAGACCTACACAAACTCGTGTCAGCTGTCAAACCGCATTGTTCCCGACTCGCGTCCAATCGCTTATATAACATCTCGATATAAGTTTCATCAACGCTATCCATCGTCGTTTGACTTGACTGTTTTGAGTATATTGACACTGTACCGCAGGTCTCGTAATTATCATGTCTTTAGTGATTATATTGCGCTTCTAACAATTTAAAGCCTCCACCCGCCGCATTCACTTCATCATCCACTCTGCACACACAGATCTCAACTAGTCCATAACCATCCAGAGCATGCCACATCTTGCATGTAATCATCCCTCTGTATTATAACCCTTCAGCAACAAAAACCTACTGCCACGATCCGGGAGGAAGACCAAACCATCCCTGCTCCGGCAAATCCATCAAAGGAACAGAACCGTCTCCGTCAATGCCTGCATCTTGGACGGTATTTCCCCACCATTCGAGCTTCACAGGGTGAAGCTGTAGCGCGAGAAAGATCAAAATAGAACCGAAAGCTACACCAGCAGCCATACCTGAAGATATGATGTAGTTGTACTTTGACCACCAAGCCAGATAGCGCGTTTTGGCGTACCACATAAAAGCAGTAGACGCGTAGAAACCCGGAAGATAGTAAGATAGGTTGTAGGTAGATCCATATCTGATACAACGTTAGTCAGCAGTGAAGTAGCAGTACAAAGGATGACATAGCCTTCGAATATGAAAAAACTCACCGTAGAAGTCCGCCCATGAAGAGGACAGGATGGAAGAATCTGAGATATCGCAAAAAACGCTTGCGTATCAAAAACACTGGCGGTGCCATACACGCACCGATAAGAAAAGCCCATTTGAACATCGGGTAAAGCTCCCCAAATGTTCTAGCGGGGCCAATAACGCCCATCAAAAGGGAGTCGGCATAAAGAGTGTGTGCAAACGTACAGACGAACTTTGATTTGTTCTGAAAGCTGCAAAAGTCTTCCATGCCGACCAGAATCTCAACCACACCAGATGTCACAAAGATCATGATCAAAGTGCCAATGAACTGACCTCGGAAGACAGCACGCGGAGGAATTTTAGCATAGTGTGCCATCTTCAGATCCCCAACAACTAACTCCGATTGCTCATCTACACCAAACGCAAAAGTACGGGTGTAAATACAAGCGAGTCCGTTTCCAGGTTGTAGATATCCTCCAAGAATGGTTCCCAAATTATTGATAGACATGAAGTATCCGGTAGTAGAGTAAAGAACAATGAACGGAATAAGTAGGCCAACAGCTACTACAACCGCAACGACAACAACATAAACCGGGGTCTGTGTGGGGAACGCCGGCGCTCCTACCGCTGCAATACCAACCCCGATTGAAGCAATTAGCAACGCCAGATACCACCAGTCAGGAACTTCCTTATAGTTTCTCATATGCGTGGACATGGGATCAGAGTATCGGTCGTAGTTTGATCCAGTTCGATATCTCAGTCCATGATAGAAACCTTTGAGGGCCTCAACCATAGTATGCCACTCACTGGCAAAGACATACACAAACGCAAATGTGTATATAGTATAAGCAGTAGCTTGATACATGTTCTGGCCCGCAGAGATGTAAGGAGGCGAGTAGTCCCTGTATGCGGTAACGTTGAATTGCTGGTCAACAGTCAAAATCCGTGACGTGTTGTAAGAGTTTCCAAATCGGTCGTAAACGGTGCTTGTATTCGGCGGAAGATATGCCGAGTACTTGTAATTGGTGTAGTAACAGATGAGTACAATCAAGCCTCCTAGCACGGAGCCAAAAAATGGGTTTGCTGTCGAAAAGAAAGGGACAACAAGAGGCCTGGAATAATTGACGACAGACCAGTCAAATGTCGGAATAGGATTGAAACCAACGCCAATCAAGGAGCCTGTGACGTAGGCTAGATTCTTGTTGTTTGGAGCAATCCAAGTCATCCAATTAAAAGTGCTCAATGCCTTGAAGAGAAAGTCCGGGAGAAACAGATATACCAGCGAGCACAAGAGCAAGATATAGAATAATCTGTACTTGCTGATAGTCCAACCGTTGATATTCCTTTTGGTTTCCGGAATCAGAAGTGTCCTATTAAGCTGCAACACAGGGAGGACAGTAGGCCAAACAGCCTTTGTTGGATAGATTGCCCATCGTCTCAAGCAACCACTCATCCCAAATCCAAAAAACTGAACAGCCAATCCCATAAGAACCGAGTACGAGTAGTTCATCCAAGACTGATTGTAGAACATTTCGAGACGCATAGTGGGCATGTAGCTGTTGAAGATACTCGCAGTGGCGGCACCTAGATAAGCAGTGATTAGTATAAGTGTAACAACACACCCAAAAATACATCTAGGTCTGAAGATGAAGCGACAAAGAGACTCACAGTTGACGATAATACTGCAGAATACCTGCTCCTTGAAAGACCAAGGTCCGGGATTTAGATCGACTTTATATCTTCCGAATCCGATCTTCTTCTTCGGTAGCACATACTGCATGAAACGGCCACACGGAAAGATCAAAATCTGGATAACCTGCGACGAGAGAGAAATTGATGGACGACGATAGGTCATGATCTGATTGACAAAGGCACCAATGACGACCCAGACCATGGCGACCAGATAAACTCGGAAGGTCTCCACAGGAATCGTAGGATCATCAAGAGGGCCAACAACAGATCGTACTTCCGGGTAAGGAGAGTAGTATTTGATCATGCTAGCCTCCAGGCGGATGTCAAGATCATACACAACCTCGCCCTCATCATAAGCCTCAACACCCTGTACCAGACGTTGAATCTTGGCCATGGTCGCTGCTGGAAAGTTGATATCATTCGAGTGGTAGTCGATCGCAGCTGCAAGAACCTCCAAAGCCTCAGCAGGATCCATACTCTGCAACTTTTCAATGACGAAGTCCGCGTCCTCAGAGAGCAAATCGTCCATATCACCAGAGCTTTTGATACGTTCAATGATATGCTCATAGCTATGAATCATAAGACCCTCGGTTTCCGTAACAACGACATCGACTTTCTTCTCTCGAATGTCGTCGTATAGTCCATGGTCAGGCAGAAACTCTGTGGTCACTACGACACCAGAGGTATCTTCCTTCTCAGTCAAAGTCATCAATTGCTGTAAGTCCAATGTTAGTTAATCATATCTTTCAATTAACATCAAAATCAGATGGTCAGACAAACATCGAATAAGTATCACAAATGCTGAACAAAAGTAAAGAACTGAGTATACCAGCTTGTGTAGCACAGTAAATATTAGGTGCGCCAGCTGAATATGCGACAGCATCATGTTCTGCCGGGGTAGCTGGGTGATATATATGCGTTGTAGCACCTCCAGAATCGCTTTGTTGGTGGCCGACCCGCCACTGTGGGTCTACATGTTAGCTCCACTGGATGATGAATAGCGGTTCAAATATCATGTGCTCCGCTGAAACCGAGATACCGGGATACGGCTGCGGTAGCGTCCGTTATCGGTGCGGCCGATTGATATGGAGGGAGCATAATCTGAACGAACTCCGTACGAGCGGGCGTTTGGTAAAATTTAGAGTTTCTCATGCACGCGGCTTGTTTTCGTACCCCTGATTTTCCGGGGTAAGCTTTCTTTGCCCTCGGCTCTGCGATGCTTATAAGCTTATTCCCGCGCGGAGTTCTGCAATTTGTCCGCTTCATATGCAGTGATATTCGAGGTCATCACGGCTTTTGACGTTGTAATATGATGTTTGCATTGTGGTCAGCCGGTCGGGGATGTTACTAGGCCTGAGGTGATGTCGAAGACCGGCTTTGCTTCCGCAGTCCAATGGAGCCAACAGCGCCAGCGCGGTGCAATGATTTGAACCTGCATCTACGAGCAAAACTTGTTGGACCTAAGACCAACGCTCGCCAAGATCTCTTGGCTAAGCTTGAATGTATCTCAGTATTGAGTCAAATATTAAATCACAAATATGATGATGATCATGAAGATACCGCAACGCCCGTATTCGATTTCTCCAAACTCATGCTCAATAAGGCGCAATAAGGCGCAATCAATGAAGCTATCGAGCCTAATGATGAAGTGGAGAAGCGGCTAGTCATTTCAGCTGCTCAAAACCTCAATCTCAAGACAGAATGTGCAGACAGCGAGCCAAAACTCCAGTAAAATCTTTAGTCCAAAGTCTTGTCTAAGGAAATTGGAAAATGACGACATCTGTGCTATGATGAGATAAGGCCACAAGTGAAGAACGAGCACACAATCGAATTCTATACCGACGATACATGCACCCTCATTTTGAATCATTGCTTTGAGAGTGCGTCAGAGATAAACGCCGTTGCTTGAGATGATCGTTGACGAGGAGAGCGGTCTATTTATTGGTTTAGTAGTAGTAATAATCAGAATTCTATATGGATGATGCTATTAGCTCAGATTGTCCTGGCAGGGGGATTCTCAGAAATAAGCCTTTCTCAACGTTAGCCAGTGACCGCTAAAAGAGATGCGTCGGTTCCACGATTTTTGCACCGCAATTGCGGCACCTTGTCGTCGTAGTGGCACCAGTTCTTCGGTATATATTCGATCTTACTATGAATAACTCCGTAGCTCAATGGTAATATTAGTAATAGCAGTAGTAGCAGTAGTAGTAGGATAGCCGAAGCAAACACCGTTAGGTTCGATAACCTGGTAGAATGAATGAATTTTTGGGAGGGCAGCCGCAGGCTGCGGTGCGGGCCTGTCGGAATTTACTCCGGACTGGCGAAGTAATCGCGCACAGGGCCGCAACTCTAGGGCACGCATTTAAGGAATAGTTTGTCTAGGGTTCTAAAAAAACACAATCTGCAGTCGTGCATTTGATCTCTTGATGATTTTGCCTTGCCGATCCTAACGCTCAAGGGTATGGTATGTATGTATTGTATGATATTAGTAGTAGTAGTAGTAGTACAGGTAGTAGTAGGTAGTCTAGCCTGAACGGCTCTTAACATCTATCCAGTAGCCTCTGTTCCACCACACCTCGACCGAGCAGCACTGGATCGAACATCTTCTACCTTCTCGAAACTTAAGACTTATGATTGATGCAAAGCATCGTTATCCATAAGCCATTACTACCACTAGTAGTAGTAGTAGTAGTAGTAGTAGTAGTAGAGTAGGTAGTAGGTGTATGAAGACCTATGTTCGGTTCTTGTTCACTCGTACTCGTCCGGGCCGTTAATATTTCTGATCTGCTCGCTTGCATGTTCGTTAGGCAGGTAGTGGTAGGTGGTAGTAGAGGGTAGTGGTAGGTAGTAGTAGTAGTAGTAGTAGTAGTAGGGTTTTGTGTAACTCTCTCTGTCTGTTCTATATAAATAAATAGTAGTGACCTCCACTGATTCCCGCACTGCCACTGCAGATGCACAAACCCAACCACACGTGATCGAAGAACGGCTCCTGCGACAAACAAATGAGCCGCACACTCGCTTCTGAGAGTCCTCGGGGACTATCAATCGCGATTGAACACATAAACTGCATTCTTCTGTCTTCCTGGACTTCTGTGAATAAAAATAATAAAGTAATAGACTAATATATAAAAGAGCTACCTAACAAACCTAAAAAAAATCAGAAAATGAAGCGTGGGATCAGAGATCATGGGATAAACAACAGCATTCGCTCATTGCGAATCGGCCTGGGAGACACATTATTAGCCCTCGTCCACCCATCGCCTCTCTTCCTCTCCTCTCCTCACCGCCGTACAGTGTCTTCCCTTCACCGTTTGCTCCAAACCTTGAAGTCTAGCTCTACTGCAATCCAACTTACAAACAACCTTCCAAGCTTCCCTTTGCCTCTCATCGCCGCCCCCTCGTTTTACCTATACAGATTATTGAAAGAGCGGTTCCCGAATCCGAGTATATTCTGAATAGCTGGCCACCATGAGATTCAGATTCAAGCTTACCCCCACCAACTTCAACCTTTCCTTCTCCACCGATCCCCAGGACGTCGCTGGCTCTGTGTATTTCAACGTTCTGCAAACTCCTCAACGCCTGGAGTTTCAGTTCATGCACGACAGCAACGTCTCCTTCCCCTCCTCTACAGTCCCCAACGCTGAAGTTGACTCGGACTACTACGACAGCACCTACGCCGACCACGACTTTCCTACGTCATCTTTCGAGGTACTTACCGACGACAGTATCTCCGAGGAAACCACCGGTCAACCTGACGCGTCCGAGCCCACTATCAGCAACGAATACCGTGCTAGCTACGGCAGCACCTACGTCGGCCATTCCGACAATCTTGAGACGATCGACTCTACTCGGCCGATTACTCAAGCCGAAGCCGAGCCTCATAATGCGACTGGCTCTGACGATCTCAGCTCCCCATCGGAGCAGTCTGCCAACGAGAACGACGACCCTGCAGAGCTTGAGCCCGCGACGCTCGCTACTGCCACGCCGCCCTCCGCTGATTTTCCCGTCAGACAGCCGTCCCCTGAGAACGGCAGCCGTGCTCTTACAGCTCGCAAGATCATCCTGGCAATGATCGGTCACCATTCATTGACTCGCGACGCGTGCCTCGGAAACGGCACGCAAGCTCTCACTCCTGGGCAGGCGGCCGGTCGTCGTATCCTGGATCTGATTCAGCCTCCCAGACTCACCCCCGGACAAGCAGCCGGTCGTCTCATTCTCGATTTGATCAAGCCCAAATCGAGCATCGATCACGGAACTCTAGACGTCGTCAAGAACCGTGGTAACGGCGTATATTCGGATCCAGCCATCGTGTCATTTCTTCGCGGCCCCGAAACAGAGTCTGAGCAGCCAGCGCGCAGCTCCTCTGCTTTGACGCAAGAGAACGATACATCCTCTGAGATACTCATCCAGAAACATAGATCCGTCCGTGCTCCTAATCGTCCATCTGCTCCCGTTCGCCGCTTCTATCGCTTCTCGAGCTTTGCGGGCATCTGCACCGAGCCTCTCGACTACTTCGCGTGCAAGGCGCCGCACAGCGCTCAGACTCACCGCGCCGCCACAGCAGAGTGACAGCCGGCTGAGATCAAAGTCCGTCACCAGCTCAAGTCTTCTGAGCGCAAGAAGAAGAACTATGGCGAGATCAAGAGCAGCATTGCCGCGACTACGACGAAGGAAGACTCTACAGCTCAGCCAGAGTTTGATTTGCTCTCTCAACTCCCGATCGATCCCGTCCAGTTGCTCGTCCAGAAGTTCGAAGCATTGCAAGCTACGGTCCCCGATCCTAAATTTCTCCACTCCAAGTTCTACCGTTCTCGTGCCTCTAGCAGATCGGTTTTGTCTGGGATCTGGTAGAACGTGGCGGACGGCCCTTCCCAAAAGGCTAGCGAGCCTATTGTGCCCGAGAAGGCCGATGAGCCGGTAAGCTTATTTTAGTCTCTCTCTTTTCCCACGCCAGAAGCGATACTGATTATCTTACAGGAACCAATCGTCGATGGACCATCTGAAGCCATCCAGGAGGATCACCTTGCTGGCTCTGCAACGGTCTCGACCGGTATGCAGCTGGTATTGCGACATGAAGCCTACCACTTGGACAGCCCTGCGCCTGTATTCCGTCGAATGGTACTTCCTGATTGGGTCCTCCTTGTTCTCCAGTCTCCGTTCAGGCCGTCCATCAGCCGCGAGCTTGCCCTATCTGTTCGAGGTCCTCTTGATCTGCTGGCGCCGCCAGAGTTGTCTGCCCTCGTGCTTTATCGCTCTTCGTCAAGACAGGCTCCGCTCGCGCTTCTTCCGGCACCCGAACCGGTATCTGACCGCCAGCTTGTGCTCTACAGACAGAGCACCTTCGAAGCCGTTTTCCTGTCTTCGCCAGAGCCGGTCCGAGACCGCGGTTTTGTGCTCTACCGAGCACTGACGGTGAAGCAAGGCTTGCTTTCCCTGCCCGCACCAGTTCATCTCTCCTTGCGATTCCGGATCGCTAACAGAGCATCCGCTCTTATTATGCACGCGCGATATGCGTGCTGCGAGATCATCGCTTTCGGATTTGTTTACTCCGTTGCCGCCCTGGCTTTTTTGGCGCACTTGGCACCCACCGTTCTACGATATACGGGTCAGACAGTCTCATTTGCTTGGGGGATTATTCTCGCTATATTCATCTCATTCCAAGGAGAGTTTCGCTATCAGCTTGAATTAAGAAAGCAGAAAAAACAGGCCGCGCTTGACTGTAGATCCCTTGTGATCTACCGGCCTCCCCCCGCTTCCTTTTCCTCTATCGTTATCTCGTATGTCACTGCGCTGGGCAGTCTTTGCGTACGTGGAGGAAGAGTTTCCAAAGCCGTCGCTATTTCCATGGTTTCCAGTCTTTCCGGTTTTGTGGATCTCAGCTTCAAAGCTGTTCTTGTGGTGATCATTATTCTGCTGGCAGGACTCGCACGCGGTCTCCAGAGATCCTTCCAGCTCGTCCGCATTGCGACTACCGCGGTGCACACTTTCATCGTCACCAACGGGTCTACCCTTTATACTCTTTGGCGGTTTGTTTGGTTGGTTTATTATTTGACTGTGAAGTACCGGTTCAACATGGGAGATAGGCAGCTCTCTGAACTTTTGGTGCTTTTGCAGGCTAATTGGCGTGTGTTTGGGCAGTTTTTTGTTATTATGGTTTCTTTTTTCCTTTTTTCTTCTATTCCATATTTTTATGATGATTCTCAGCAGAGAGAGCAGAGTCTGCAGACCGTGCAGGGTATTTTTTCAGACGAGACGGTAAGTCCTCCAGCCTACTTTTCGAAAACGAATCTCAGCTGACAAGATGACATTAGTTTGAAACGCACGACAGAGAGCTAGAGCAAGAGAAGTCTATCGCCGCGGCCGCACCCACGACCGGTGGTGCGAGCCATATCGATGCGCGACCTTCACTTACGCTGACTACAGAGCTTGCTATCGTGAGAATAAACCCCTGCTGCTGTTTTCCGTTGAATGATACTGATATCTGTGATAGTCGAGTATGAAGGACAGTAGCCCGGCTACTGAGTCTTCTTCTTTGGAGCTATCGCCCTTCTCTAGCCCGTCTCTCCCAGCCTCATCGCCAGCCTCTTCGGTGCCTTCGCCTGACACAGTCCTGGAGAAGCCCGAGCCCTTCTCTCAATACGGCACGGAGGAGGTTGTGTCCCACGACGATGAAGTGGATTATGAGATGGACTACTCCCCTGCGATCCCCGATGAGATCGAATATAGGGGGGAGGGCGATAGCTCGATTCATACGAACTGTCCCTCCGACTGGTACTTTCCCGATTACGAGCAAGTCCTTGACGGAGCCGATGGTTCGCACTATCAGATTTCTGACATGGAGCCGTGCTTGTCTATCTTTTTGGTTGACGAGTCTACCATTCCGTGGTAAAGCGGCTTCAGTGGTGGGATGAGGGTATTACTACTAATTCCACGCACATTTCATTTCAGAAGCATCCGCTTTTGGACCTTCGCATTCGCATACAACATTGCATATACCACTGCATTTGCATACAACATCGCATACAGCATCGCATACAACATCAACTTTGGACACATCACCGCATACAACATCGCATATAACACTGCATATCACTTGGACACAACATTGCATACGACATTGCATACAACACCGCACTCGCATACAACTCTGGACACAACATTGCATTCGCATACAACTTTGGACACAACATCGCATACCACTTTGGACACAACCACATCACATACCACATCGCATATCACTTTGGATACCACATCGCATACAAAACATCACATTTGCATACAACTTTGGACACATCGCATACCCCATTTCATACCCCATTGCATACGACATCGCATTCGCATAAAACACCGCATTCGCATACACCTTTGGACACATCATCGCATATCACTTTGGACACATCATCGCATACAACATCGCATACATGTTTGGCTATACTTGCATACAGCACTGCATATCATGCTACCTGAAACACTATGTGCAACGCTACACTAGTGGAGGATGATAGAAATACCAATCTACGCAACACCCCACACGACCAGGAATCTGAGGAACAAGGAGAAGATCGAGAACACATACCCGATATCGAGTCTCTTTCTACTGTCTGTCTGCCGTCGGTCTGATTTTCACCATCTGTCATGGTGCCTCGCCTCTGCTACTGCTTTACGTGCTGATTTCCCAAAGCACTGCTCTGCTTGTGGGAAATCAATCACGAATACTCTGCTGAAACCGAACTACTGCTCTAGTTCGGTATTTCTTCTCTGCTGATCATCATCATTTTTCTTCATCCTTTTTCTTCTTGGTCATAACTGTAACTGCCTACTGTTATGACTGTTACTGCCCTTTTTCTAGTTTATTACTCCTATCAAATATCAAGTATTATTATTATTATTATCATCATTCGTAGTATTAATATATCAATACGACAGAAGCTTCGTAGACGTAGTGAAGTCGTGAAGTCGCAATTAAAATCCTTCTATCCGTTTGATCGAGAAGAATTCACTCGAAATGGCTCCTCCCGTATCCACGGCCAAACTCACCGCCCCGGAGACCACCCCCATCGCATTACCGACCAGCTTGGTCCCGAACCCGCTTTGGGTGCGATCCCTGCCGCACTGGTCCTCTCCGAGTTTTCTAATGACGGGTCCCCTACTATGAATATGACGATCCGCTTCATCGAGCAGATTCAGCAGATGCAGCGCCAGCAGTAGGAGATTCTCTTGTCGAGACTGGACACGCCCTCTTCCTCGGGTTCCGTGGCTCGAGTCCCGCATATAGTACTATAGTAAGCGCAGTAAGGTCTTGAAGCGAGCGGACGCAAGATTTGGGTGGGTGGTGCAGGTGGGCAGCGTCAGTGTCAGCGTCGAGGTAGAGAAATAATACGGAACCAAAAGAGCGACGCATATCAAGCCAGAGCCAAAGAAGACCAAGGGTACAGAAACATAGTACAAAGAAAACAAAGCGGCGCAGTTAGGTATTGAAGCGGTTCAATTGATTGAAGAGCGTGCAGTTCTACGCGTTTGGCGAGTATGAGATACTCCTCTTGGGTTTGAGAGAAGAGTGGGCGCGCTTGGGCTGAATGTCGAATGAGTGGGAATGATACTGAATAGATGATAGAGAAGTACTGAGGAAGTGCTAGTGCGTCATGGGATCTACGAGGTGTTATCTACAGGAGAGGAGCGATTTGAAAAAAAAAAGGTAGACACTAGCAATCAAATGCGGTTCAGAGATGATCCCTAGTGACAACCCGTTGTAGATAATATTGATGAAAAGCAAAAACGAAACTGAAAAGACTTGGAAAAGGGTCCGACGAGGACTTGAAAAGCGTGATATACGCGCGGGAGAATCAAGCGACAGAGCCCAGTGAGTGATTCGCCTCCAGCTCTGCGCGATTAGGTGATTGTTTCTTTTTTTTGGTATTTGGCGGGATCAAAGATAACCCTATTTCACAGAAAAAAAAGAGAGGGTATTCCGAGCCAGTACATTGCAGAGGCCATCGGTTTTAACGTCCATAGGCGACCGTACAGCAGGGAAGGTGGTGGTGCAGACAGACAGGTGGGTTACTTCTTGAGGCATATACCAACATGTGGTGCGATGAGATGACTTCAGCAAGGGTATTCTGTACAATGGGTATAAGACAGAAACGGGGAGGGGTAGACCACTTCTCACATCGGATGTTGGGGTATTAGCCTGAACAGTAGTCTTTTTACACAGTATCAGAGCATGCCGGAATGCCGGAAAATCCCGTATTCCCACTTGCTTTCTATGGGACTCGCGCTTAAGGTTTGCGCCGCTTGCCTTCGATTCCCACATGGCGCAAGTGGGAATCCGGGGATTTCCACTTTCCAGCCCTTTCTGCAGATTTTTAGACTGCCTAGCGGTATTATCGACCTCTTATTATTTGCAGATTATTTTAGTTTTTGAATTAGAGTCGATTTGCGATCATTTTGTGCCGCTTGAGCGTAGAGCGCTGTTTTGGATGGGCTGCCTCTACGAGCCCCCGGGTTTGGCTTTGGCCTTGTAAGCGCCTCTACGAGCCCCCGGGTTTGGCATGTAAGCGCCTCTACGAGCCCCCGGGTTTGGCATGTAAGCGGACACACAGTATCAGAGCATGTCGGAATGCCGGAAACTCCGGTATTCCCACTTGGTGTCTATGGGACTCGCGGTTAAGACATTGCGCCGCTTGCCTTCGATTCCCACATGGCGCAAGTGGGAATCCGGGATTTGCACTTTCCAGCCCTTTCTGCAGATTTTTGAATAGTATGGCGGGTTTATTGAGCTTGGATTATACGGCAAATGTTTTTATTTTTTGAATTAGAATTGATTTGCCATGATTTTGGCCGGGTTTGTTGTATGTCGCGCTTTTTGTATGGGGTGCCTCTACGAGCCCCCGGGTTTGGCATGTAAGCGGACTTTGGTTAGTCATCCATTCAAAAATTTATCACCTGACATTAAAAGTCGAGGGGTTTGTGTGTCTGAGATCTTAAGAGAATTAAATTGATTTTCGCAAATATTATTGTAAATTACATCAGGCCTTACGTAAACACACTTTACACCATAAGAGAATTAAATTCATTTTTTACCAAAAGTCTTGGAAATTGGTTTGTAAAACAACCAATAATGCTCTGTCGACTCTGTTTTTTTGTCTTCACACGTGCTCTACTCTTAAAGTCTTGGAAATTGGTTTGTAAAACAACCAATAATGCTCTGTCGACTCTGTTTTTTTGTCTTCACACGTGCTCTACTCTTAAACTTGATCGGCCTCTTTTTCAATTTTTTTCGGCTTTGTGTAAGCCTTCGTTTTAACATATTTGTCAGCTTTGTTTTTCTCAACTTTTGTATGAGTTTTCTTTCTACTCTTTCCCTACCTGTTTATACAAGGCTTTAATGGTTACCTTCTATGCGTAAATACTACATCTAACTGGTGGTTCTAAAGCGTACTCTCCGGGTTTGAGTGTACACCTGTACTTTGTACTCTAATATATAATTGAGGATTTGACACTGTACTTTGTACCATACAAGTTCTTCTGCTTTGTACTTTGGAATTATGTTTTAACTCTTTAAACTTGTACTTTTAACTCTTTAAACTTGTACTTTTAACTTGTTCTTTGTACTTTTAACTTGTTCTTTGTACTTTTAACCTGTGCTTTTAACTTGTGTCTCTATCTTGTACTCCAAACTTGTACTTTTAACTTGTTTTTTGTGCTTTTAACTTGTGCTTGTACTTTTAAATTGTTTTTAGTGCGCTTTCAACTTGTGCTTATAACTTGTGCTTGTACTTTGTACTCTTAACTTATGCTTTTATCTTGCGCTTTTAACTTGTGCCTCAGGCCTGTACTTTTAATCTGTTTTTTATGCGTTTAACTTGTGCCTTTATCTTGTACTTCAAACTTGTACTCCAAACTTGTACTTTTAACCTGTTTTTTGTACTTTTAACTTGTGCTTTTAACTGGTGCCTGTACTTTGTGCTCTTAAATGGTGCTTTAATTATTCTGTGCTTCAAACTTGTACTTTTAACTTGTGTTTTGTGCTTTTAACTTGTGCTTTTAGCTTGTGCTCTGAACTTGTGCTCTTAGCTTGTGTTTTTGTTTTGTGTCTCAAACTTGTACTTTTAACTCGTTTCGTGTACTTTTAACTTGTTTTCTGTGCTTTTAACTTGTACTTTAGACTAGTGCTTTTAACTTGTACTTTAGACTAGTGCTTCTAACTAGTGCTTTTAACTTGTACTTGGGCTTGAAACTTGTACTTTTCACTTGTACACGTTTGTGTTTTTTTAAGCGCTTTTGGCGTTGGAAGCAAGCGCTTTGGGTAAGTGTAAGGGTTAAGCTGGTAGAAAGAGCAGGGTGTAGGGTTTGTGTAGGGTTTGTGTAGGGTTTGTGTAGGGTTTGTGTAGGGTTTGTGTAGGGTTTGTGTAGGGTTTGTGTAGGGTTTGTGTAGGGTTTGTGTAGGGTTTGTGTAGGGTTTGTGT